GACTAGGCGGAAGAAGAAGGGGGAGGGGGGGCAGTCGGCCAGGCGGCATAGAAGAATTGTGAGTATTATTAAAGTAAGATTATGCTCAGAAATAGACTGCATTATACCCACGTTTGTTTAAAGTGAATAGAGGGAGGTTCAAACTCAATATAAAAACTATGTTTTACATTTATAAATTTGTAGTCTGCAGTCCCATTTGATTTAAAGATTAGAGGGTAGAATAGAGAATATAGATTTTACAAGAATATTTAGGACTTCAAGCTTTGAGCTCAATCCTGATATAGTACAATAAACAGATAGTCGGAGTAAGATTAAAGGTTGTTTGGATAAACTTCTCTAGTATACGAATATCAAATACGGAGCTGGCTAGATTTAACGTCCGTCTAAGTTTATCCATCCAAACATAAATCAATCAATCCACGTTTTGCAACAAATATCAACAGGCAGGGTTCAATACTATATCTACAGTCTAGGTAGGGTCCAATACTATACCTACAGTCTAGGCAGAGTCCAATGCTGTACCTATAGTCTAGGAAGGATCCAATACTATATCTGCAGTCTAGGTAGAGTCCAATACTATACCTATAGTCTAGGTAGGGTCCAATACTGTACCTATAGTCTAGGTAGGGTCCAATACTATACCTATAGTCTAGGTAGGGTCCAATACTGTACCTATAGTCTAGGAAGGATCCAATACTATAACCATAGTCTAGGTAGAGTCCAATACTGTACCTATAGTCTAGGTAGGGTCCAATACCATATATAGTCTAGGTAGGGTCCAATACTAAACCTATAGTCTAGGTAGGGTCCAATACTGTACCTATAGTCTAGGTAGGATCCAATACTATATCTACAGTCTAGGTAGGGTCCATTACTGTACCTATAGTCTAGGTAGGGTCCATTACTATACCTATAGTCTAGGTATGGTCCAATACTATACCTATAGTCAAGGTAGGGTCCAATACCATATATAGTCTAGGTATGGTCCAATACTATACCTATAGTCTAGGTAGGGTCCTAACTATATCTACAGTCTAGGTAGGATCCAATACTATATATAGTCTAGGTAGGGTCCATTACTATACCTATAGTCTAGGTATGGTCCAATACTATACCTATAGTCTAGGTAGGGTCCAATACTATACCTTATATACCTAGACAAGTGTGCTTTCACACATTTATTCGCCTTCTTGAGCAAAAAAAGTAACATCTATTTATGATTTGAATTAAAAATATTTTGAGTCTTAAAATGGAATCTCCTTTATAGTCTAGGTAGGGTCCTAACTATATCTACAGTCTAGGTAGGATCCAATACTATATATAGTCTAGGTAGGATCCAATACTATACATATATTCTAGGTATGGTCCAATACTATACCTATAGTCTAGGTAGGGTCCAATACTATATATATAGTCTAGGTAGGGTGCAATGATATATCTGTTTTTTAGGTAGGATGTTGAAAGCACAAGTCATACTGAACACAAAATAACTTTTAGTATTTGAAGTTTATGGGTGTTAAGGGGTTTAATTATATAGATAGATGTTTTTGAGAATGAATGTAATTTTTGGCCTGATTTAATAGCGAGGCCGGGGACAAACATTCTTGGGAGTTTTCAGGTTGAAGTAATTGTTTCTCTGAATCACTGATGAATGCAACTTGTTATTGTTTATCAGATCAAAGGATTTTTAGCAGAAGGATACAGTTACACATAGGATACAAAGTAATATTTACAGGATACCGGATACAAATACAAGATACAGAATACAGGATGCAAAGTACTCTTTTCAGGATACAGGACATAGGATACAAATTAAGGATATAGATACAGGACACAAGGTATTATTTGTAGGATATAGGATACAATGTACAATGCACTGGGTACAGGATACAGGATACAAATTAAGGATAAAGATACAGGACACAAAGTACTATTTTCAGGATGCAGGATACAGGATAAAGAATAATAAGAATACAGGATGCAAAGTTCAATTTACATTGCACAGGATACAGGATACAAGGTACTATTTTCAGAATACAGGATGAAGGGCAAAGAATGATAATAATGAAGGATACAAGGTACAATTTACATGATACAGGATTCATGATAACAGATAAAGGCTTTAAGATACACTGAGTCACATGAAAATAAATGCAGTTTAGATTTATAATTGATAATACTTAAATGTTTTACTTATAATTCATTGAAAAAAATCATTCTTTTCTAAGAATTTAAGAAATTTCATAAAAGGATTGTATGCTTAATTCATAGTAGGTCTCACTCAAAATGAATTAGCGTAAACTTAACCTGACCCATGAAGAATTAGCGAAAGATACAGAAATTTTGAATGACTTCCAAGGTTCAACAACGGAAGAGAGAAGGGGGACAGTTCCCGGATTGAGCCAAATATTCCCTTATTTGTGAAAAGGAAATAGTTTGCATATAGTCCCTTTATATTTATTGAATTTTCAAACTAAACTAAAAACTTATCTAATAATGACTAATGTTAATAAACTCTAGTTATCAAACCAAAATTAACAAATTTAAATTACACTTTGAACATGCTGACACATTACTTACTCATATTTACTCATAGCGCAGTGCTCTCATTCTATTCCTTTACATCTCCCAGGACTCTACGAGGTTTCACCGTTTTCCAATCTTCTCTCAACTCTACGCAGTCGGATAATTCAGACCAGACTCTACGCGAAATTTAATGTCCGAACTTCTTTCAGTATTGTGAGATGAGGAGATGAGGATGGTTCACATCTGTTAAAAAGTGAAGAATGAGGATCAAAATAATAATCATTTTTCTTCTCTCAGTTCTCAGACAAATATCAGGAAGAACTCCATTATCGATTAGAATAGGTCAGATAAAAGAAAAACCAAAAACAACAAAAATTCAACAGATAAATTTTATTTGTGATAATGATCAAAGTTATCGAGCTACATATATTGATCATCTAACCCACCCAATCATCTTTCTATATTCCACCTAATTACTCTGCTGCACTTAACTACTATACTCCACCTAACTACTTTACTACACCTAGTTACTATATATATACTCCACCTAGTTACTATACTCTTGACTAAACCCAGCTTCTATACTCCACCTAATTACTATACTCCACCTAATTACTATACTCCACCTAACTATTATACTCCACCTAACTACTATACTCCACCTAACTACTATACTCCACCTAACTACTATACTCCATACTCCATCCACCTAACTACTATACTCCATCCACCTAACTACTATACTCCATCCACCTAAATGCTATACTCCATCCACCTAACTAATATACTCCACCTAACTACTATACTCCACCAAACAACTATACTCCACCTAACTACGATACACCACCTAACTACTATACTCCATCCACCTAACTACTTTACTCCACCTAACTACTATACTCCATCCACCTAACTACTACACTCCATCCACCTAACTACGATACTCCACCTAACTACTATACTCCATCCACCTAACTGCTATACTCCATCCACCTAACTACTATACTCCATCCACCTAACTACTACACTTCACCGTATTACTTTGTATCTTTGGAATTGAAATCTTACGCGTGAAAGATATAAATTATAAATGATAAAGATAATTGCCTGTATAATCACAGGACAAGCTCCCCTACTTCTCTGCATTGTATCAAGTTCTTTTGTTTAGTTAATTCCTACTTTACATTGGTAAATCAAGGTTTAGAGAAAACCATGAGTTACAGGGTGTTTCAAAATGTTTAATGTTTGTTTCATTTTATCGAGTAAAAAAGTCTAGTTTAAACCCTTATTTATCTTTTGAGTCACCCGATCACTAAGCACTAATACTTCAGAATATAGGAGAGCCACGGATACTCGAGGATTGAATCTAAACCTGGAGAAATAGGAACATGACCAAACCAAATTAATATTTAGATCCCATCAGGAGTGCGGAGAATCGATGTGGACTGTGGAGTACTTAGAAAATTTAGTGTGTGTTTGGTTTGAAGAAACTATATATAGTACTTAGTTTGGAGGACCTATATGGAGTACTTTGTTTGGAGAAACTATGCGGAGTACTTAGTTTGGAGAAACTATATGGAGTACTTAGTTTGGAGACACTATATGGACTACTTAGTTTGGGGAAACTATATGGAGTACTTAGTTGGGAGAAACTATATAGAGTACTTAGCTTGGAGAAATTATATGGAGTAATTAGTTGGGAGAAATTATATGGAGTTCTTAGTTTGGAGAAACTTTATTTTGTGCTTAGTTTAAAGAAACTATATATGTATATCTGGAGTACTTAGTTTGGAGAAACTATGTGGAGTAATTAGTTTGGAGGAACTATAGGGAGTTCTTAGTTTGGAGAAACTATATGGAGTTCTTAGTGTGGAGGAACTATATGGAGTACTTAGTTTGGAGAAACTATATCGAGTTCTTAGTTTGGATAAACATACAGAGTACTTAGTTTGGAGAAACTATATGAAGTTCTTAGTTTGGAGAAACTTGATTGTGTGCTTAGTTTGAAGAAACTATATGGAGTTCTTAGTTTGGAAAAACATACGGAGTACTTAGTTTGGAGAAACTATATGGATACTTAGTTTGGAGGAACTATATGGAGTACTTAGTTTGGAGAAACTATTTGGAGTTCTTAGTTTGGAGAAACTTTATGAAGTACTTAGTTTGGAGAAACTATATGGAGTACTTAGTTTGTAGAAACTATATGGAGTACGTAGACTGGAGAAACTATATGAAATACTCAGTTTGGAGAAAATATATGAAACTATATGAAGTTCTTAGTTTGGAGAAACTTGATTGTGTGCTTAGTTTGAAGAAACTATATAGAGTTCTTAGTTTGGCAAAACATACGGAGTACTTAATTTGGAGAAACTATATGGATACTTAGTTTGGAGGAACTATATGGAGTACTTAGTTTGGAGAAACTATTTGGAGTTCTTAGTTTGGAGAAACTATATGAAGTACTTAGTTTGGAGAAACTATATGGAGTACTTAGTTTGTAGAAACTATATGGAGTACGTAGATTGGAGAAACTATATGAAATACTTAGTTTGGAGAAACTATATGGAATACTTAGTTTGGGGAAACTATATGGAAGACTTAATTTGGGGAAACTATATGGAATACTTAGTTTGGGGAAACTATATGGAATTATATGGGATGGATGGGATGGATGGATGGATGGGATGGATGGGATGGATTGGATGGATGGGATGGATCTAAAATTATATATTTCAGGGTATGCAGGCAGGTTTGGTAAACTCTGAGACGACCTTTATCCTGACATCTCTAGTAAGAAACTTTTTATTAGGATTAAACAAAAACGTAAACTTCTTAATTCTTGAATCTTTTTATGTCATGGTCAATGGTCATTTAAAAAAAATTCCACTAATGCAGAATTATTTTAACAAATTGATGACAATACATTATTGATTTTGACTTCAAATGCCTAAGCTTGTAAAAACCTTATAAGTAAGACGGAGTTAAATAAAAAATATTCAATATCTCTAAGTTACAACTGCAAGATTGTTAAATGGATCTCACAAGCTGACAACTTTATTGTGAAGAATATTTTATTAGGGTTGGAATTGTTGACTTCTGTTCAAGATGCGGGTTTAGGATTTATTAAGATTTTTCCAGGATTTTTCTGGAGTAAACCTTGAAGTTGCAAGGTTCAGCGGAGCAGGAATTATTGGGTTCTCTCTCATAGATCCTGAACTCACGTACAATCTTACTCAGGTATACACTGAACACTGAACACTGCACACTAAACACTAAAAACTAAACACTTAACACTGAACACTAAACACTGAACTGTAAACACTGGAGATTGAACACTGAATACTGAAAACTGAAATCTGAACACTTAACACCGAACACTAAGCCCTTAACACTTGAACACTGAGAAATCAATACTGAACATTGAACACTAAACATTCTGAATACTGAACACTATAGGCAACGAGCGGTGAATACACTGAATACTGAACCTTGACATCTAAACATTGAACACTGAACACTAAGTAATTAACACTAAAAACTGAACACACTGAACACAATGACCACACTGACCATACTGAACACTGAAAACTGAACACTGAAAACTGAACACTGGAAATCTGGTTTTTACTTGAAATGTAAAAGCAGTGTTTTTTGGACAACCTTAGGAATTTTTCAAATTTTGAATTTCATCAAAACATCAAACTATCCTGACACGTTGCAACTTGTTTGATTTGAGTTGTTTATTATACCTAAAGGACAGCATTTTCATAGAAAGCTTACTAACTAAAGTTATTTATTGAAATGTTTAGAATATCAATAAAAAAATAAACATTTGCTGAACTTACAATAATATTCTACAGGTTGCATATCTTAATTATTCATATTAAGGTGTTAACCTAGATCTTCGTCCTTTAACACGTGTTATAATTTTTATAATAAAATCCTGTGAGTCCTGCTTCTGTTCCTGTTCAGTTTAATAAATAAACTTGTCTAGATCAACATGTTTAATCTTAGAAATCAAACATTCTTTCATCTCGTAAAATCTTAGCATTACAAAAGAAAATGTAATGCTAATTAAATATATTGAACAAAATAGCGATTGTTCTACAGTGATAACCAGAAAACTTTAGAATCAAGTTAGAAGTTTAAAAAGTCCAATGAGAATAAGAGTACTTCAAGGTTAAGATTAATTTACTGAGACATGGTTAAGTAAACTTTAAAGTATTTTCTTCTGATGTTTTCTTTTTAAGACACTCCGTATCCTTTATGTAGTATGTATTAAATCAAATCAAATAAAAATGAAGTTTTCAAGTCCACTAAACCGATATTTATCATTAAAGTTTTTATTTTGACTTTATAGCAATAACACAATTTCCCGACAGAGATTTAAACTTTTGCTATGTTTAGGTGGGGTTCTGGAACCGCAGGAAAGGTTTGCTGAAACAACTCTACAGGCTGCCGTGGATAATATAGATCAGAAGGTTTGAGAAATATTTAAACCTTGATCTCTTCAACCTATCCAAAAAAAAAACATGATTATGAATCAAACTTTTAGCATCTCCGCGTAATTATGATTGTTTTAGGGTATTTTGAACGAAACTCGGATAGATGTTTATCTGAAGTATGTTGAGAACTCTCCTGTCTCCGCCTACACTGCAACCTGTGATCAGCTGGAGAGATCTGTATATTCAATATTCTCCAGTACTCAGGATATACAACCTATAATCAGTTCTCTTGCTTTCCAGTTCAAGATTCCACATTTCTCCACACAGCTTCCTTCCTCTTCTAGACCCTTCTCCAGTCCTTTCTCAATCTACCTTGCTCCGTCCCAATGGGATATAACGGAGATAACTCTGGAGATAGCTCTTAACCTGGGAGTGAGCAAGGTTGGATTGGTTTCTCACTCCACAACCTCTATTCTTGAAACTGCTAGGTTGGTCGAAGCTCTACAATCTGCTGGAGTAGATGTTCTAGTTCTAGATCTAGCAGAGAAGGATGTTAGACCAGACCTTGCTCAGCTCAGGAATATTTTCCATCCCTCTCATTGTGTGCCAAGTTGTCTTTGCTCAATGATAAATCCCACGCAACAATGAATGCGTAAATGAGGAGGGGTTCATTTTAAACATTCTCTGCAATTCTTAGTCGCAGTTTTTCCATTTTCAACATTTTTCTGGTTAACTGCAAATTGCATTTTATAAGTTCACACGTTGAAAACAACAAAAAATCTTTTAAGTTTAGTAATTCTTTATTGTCAAACATACCGAGTGAAAACTTAGAGTTTAATGTTGGCGTAAGATATTTGCTAACCCTTCTATTTATATATACAGTTGAATGACTATACTAACCCTTCTATATATATATACAGTTGAATGACTATACTAAGCCTGAAACTTGATCTTTTTATCGAGGATACTTAGTTACTGTTCGTATGACAAGGAGATGACATATAAAAAGATAAACTCATCTAAAATATTTTTAAAATATTTCATTCAACTGATTTAAATAAAGTCCGGTGTCATTAAAAACCCCTGAAGTTCAATATATCTCTCTCCTCACTTAAGAAAATCAGAATTTCTGTTTTGATTATGAAAATGGTAACAGCTACTGTTAAAATATTATTTAATTTTAAAATGTAAAATGTAAAATGTTGCTTTTGCATTCCCCGGACGGATTATAAACAGAAGGAAAGGATTCTACACTTGTATTGTTGATGTCGCTGACTATCTTATTAAACCGTTTATTGAGCAGGTAGGGACCTGGGAGATGGATGGGATGGATGGGATGAATGGGATGAATGGGATGGGATGGATGGGATGGATGGGATGGATGGATGGATGGGATGGATGGGATGGATTGGATGGATGGGATGGATCTAAAATTATATATTTCAGGGTATGCAGGCAGGTTTGGTAAACTCTGAGACGACCTTTATCCTGACATCTCTAGTAAGAAACTTTTTATTAGGATTAAACAAAAACGTAAACTTCTTAATTCTTGAATCTTTTTATGTCATGGTCAATGGTCATTTAAAAAAAATTCCACTAATGCAGAATTATTTTAACAAATTGATGACAATACATTATTGATTTTGACTTCAAATGCCTAAGCTTGTAAAAACCTTATAAGTAAGACGGAGTTAAATAAAAAATATTCAATATCTCTAAGTTACAACTGCAAGATTGTTAAATGGATCTCACAAGCTGACAACTTTATTGTGAAGAATATTTTATTAGGGTTGGAATTGTTGACTTCTGTTCAAGATGCGGGTTTAGGATTTATTAAGATTTTTCCAGGATTTTTCTGGAGTAAACCTTGAAGTTGCAAGGTTCAGCGGAGCAGGAATTATTGGGTTCTCTCTCATAGATCCTGAACTCACGTACAATCTTACTCAGGTATACACTGAACACTGAACACTGCACACTAAACACTAAAAACTAAACACTTAACACTGAACACTAAACACTGAACTGTAAACACTGGAGATTGAACACTGAATACTGAAAACTGAAATCTGAACACTTAACACCGAACACTAAGCCCTTAACACTTGAACACTGAGAAATCAATACTGAACATTGAACACTAAACATTCTGAATACTGAACACTATAGGCAACGAGCGGTGAATACACTGAATACTGAACCTTGACATCTAAACATTGAACACTGAACACTAAGTAATTAACACTAAAAACTGAACACACTGAACACAATGACCACACTGACCATACTGAACACTGAAAACTGAACACTGAAAACTGAACACTGGAAATCTGGTTTTTACTTGAAATGTAAAAGCAGTGTTTTTTGGACAACCTTAGGAATTTTTCAAATTTTGAATTTCATCAAAACATCAAACTATCCTGACACGTTGCAACTTGTTTGATTTGAGTTGTTTATTATACCTAAAGGACAGCATTTTCATAGAAAGCTTACTAACTAAAGTTATTTATTGAAATGTTTAGAATATCAATAAAAAAATAAACATTTGCTGAACTTACAATAATATTCTACAGGTTGCATATCTTAATGATTCATATTAAGGTGTTAACCTAGATCTTCGTCCTTTAACACGTGTTATAATTTTTATAATAAAATCCTGTGAGTCCTGCTTCTGTTCCTGTTCAGTTTAATAAATAAACTTGTCTAGATCAACATGTTTAATCTTAGAAATCAAACATTCTTTCATCTCGTAAAATCTTAGCATTACAAAAGAAAATGTAATGCTAATTAAATATATTGAACAAAATAGCGATTGTTCTACAGTGATAACCAGAAAACTTTAGAATCAAGTTAGAAGTTTAAAAAGTCCAATGAGAATATGACAAAACAATTTTGCAGTGTAAACAGACCCATCTCATTAAATCAGTGATTTAATAAGTGTCTAATAAAACTATTTGCTTTGTAACAACATCAAAAAAATGGTTTGTATAGTCTTATAGATAATAAATGTTCTCAGGAAGTGAAAACTTTTTTTAAGGAATTGGATTCGACGACAAACATAAACATTAAATATTTGATTCGAAGACCAACATAAACATTAAAAATTTGATACGACGACAAACATAAACATAAAATATTTGATTCGACGACAAACATAAGCATAACATATTTGATTCGACGACAAACATAAACATTAAATATTTGATTCTACGACAAACATAAACATTAAATATTTGATTCTACGACAAACATAAACATTAAATATTTGATTCGACGACAAACAAAAACATAAAATATTTGATTCAACAATAAATATAAACATTAAACATTTGATTCGACGACAAACATAAACATTAAATATTTGATTCGACGACAAACATAAACATAAAATATTTTATTCGACGACAAACATAAACATTAAATATTTGATTCGACGACAAACATAAACATTAAATATTTGATTCAACAATAAATATAAACATTAAACATTTGATTCGACGACAAACATAAATGTTAAATATTTGATTCGACGACAAACAAAAACATAAAATATTTGATTCGACGACAAACATCAGCATAAAATATTTGATTCGACGACAAACATAAACATTAAATATTTGATTTGAAGACAAACATAAACATTAAATATTTGATTCGACGACAAACATAAGCATTAAATATTTGATTCGGAGAAAAAATAAACATTAAATATTTGAATCGACGACAAACATAAACATTTAATATTTGATTCGACGATAAATATAAACATTAAACATTTGATTCGATGACAAACATAAGCATTAAATATTTGATTCGACGACAAACATAAACATTAAATCAGCGTTTTCTTCTCATCTGAAAAGCCTAATCATTTTTCAGAGCTGAAAACTTTAGAATGAGATATCCTTAATCCCGATTACTTAATCTGAGTATTCAATGGACACACTTTTGATTTACTTCTTAAACCGTTCTTTCTTGGATATAGTAGAAAAAAAATCAAAAACCGGTTTTTTAATTTAGAAAGTCCCTCCCATTTCTATATATAATCTTAAATGCCGCGCAAAATTTCAAATTTATTGGCTTCATATACGCGACTCTGATTGGTTGAATTTTATACACTTTTCAGGATACAAGGACAAGATTAGATTAGTCTCGATATTAAGAAAAACAGAGGATCCACAATTCTAAAGTTTTCAGCTCAGACGATCTAAACTTTAAAAAAAATAGCGGAGGAATAAAGAATCTATACCGGAATTATTTTATATCTTTTTCAATCTAAAAAGAGAGGGGGCTGCAACTATTATTTTGAGTATTACATATTAATGGTGAACTGGAGAAATAACAAAACAATGTGATATCAACTGCCAAAATTGTTCAGGTTTAATTTAACAAACAGGATTTAATTGTATTATTGTATTTGTTTTTATTATTTTTATTTTGATAAACTTGCTTTAAAAAAAATCATCTTTTTCAGTTATTTGGTTATCAGAACCCCCGAACTCCCCCCGACCCCCCTCAATAATTATTTAGATTGGATTGTAGAAAGTATGTTTATTTTAATCAAGGATTAATCTCTCAACCTCAAATTACATTCTAATAGCATCCTTTCCTTTAAGTCAGAAATGAATACTTTTATTTTATTCCAGTGTTTTCAAATATATCAAAAGTACTTTTCCAAAGGCATGTTTCCAAATAACCCAATGTACGATTTCCTAAGTGTAATTTCCCAAATGGTCAAGCCGAAGAGCTATAACCTTTAGCTTGTTTTAAAAATCAAATTAGATTAAAAATTATGTAAATTATAAATGTTAAAACTAAGGGAGGGATGACAGCGGACGTCCTATGGTTGTACTATTTAAAAAAATCTTTTAATAGTATAACGATAAAGCGGGCATCATTTTCTGATAGGCATAAAATAATTTTTTGGAAATTATTAATGTTAAAACTAAGGGAGGAATGAGAGCGAACGTCCTATGGTTGTACAATTTAAAAAAATTCTTTTACTAGTATAACGATAAAGCGGGCACCATTTTCTGATATAAACTGTTTTTAAATAATTTTTTGACACAAACTGCCTCCTCAGTCCTTAAACAGACAAATTTAATTGATGCATAAATAGAATCTGGCATTTGAAATAATAATAATTAAGTGCTTTTCCTACAGGGCGATATAAAAACATGAGATAAAATGCTAATCCTAGAGAGAGTTGCAAAAAAAATGAGATAAAAGAGCTTTTCCTGCAGGGAGTTCCAAAAACATGAGATAAGAGTGCTTTCTTACAAGGAGTCCCTAAAAACATGAGATGAAATTGCTTTTCCTACAAGGAGTCCCAAAAACATAAGATAAAAATGCTTTCCTAGAAGGAGTCCAAAAACATGAGATGAAAATGCTTTATATATCTACAGATAGTTTAGGATTAGTTTATAGATACAAGATCCTGTTTAGACAAGGTGTAGGTGTATGGTTAAAAATATTGTTTATTTTGTCTAGAATGAGACAGATCTACTACGACAAAGCTACAAAGCTGCAGTTCTTCTAGACTCCGTTAGATTATTCTCCGAGGGTATCAAGGATCTCAGGTTAAAATATTCTCCGGACGGATAAAGATATTTGGTTTTATCGAGTTTTTATAATCTGCAACCACTGAAAATACTCGCTAACTGCCGTCAAACTAACCTGAGTTTAATTTCTCCATATTAGTGAATTAACTAATTAAGCAGTTTAAAAGTTAGTGTAAAATATTTGAGCATCCCTCTCTTTAAGTTTAAAAAAGTCTCTCTTTAGAAAAAGTTTTGAAATAATATTTTATTTTTAGTAAAATAACTGATGTGGAGAATCCCCGAGTTAGCTGTCAAAACCAAACCCAGATATATGAGGATGGAGAAGCGTTATTTGCTAGTTTTCAGAGGGTTTCATTTCAGGGGTATACCGGGATGGTTCAGCTCCAGGTACCATATTAGTTCAGCTCTACCTAGTAGACTTGTTCATTTTACTGTACTAGAATAGTTGAGCTCTACGTAGTAGCTACTTCTTCTCCAGGTACCTTATAAAGGAGTATTAGACTTCAGGTACTTTCATATTTAAGCTTCAGGAACTAGACAAGTTTACCTTTAGATAGTAGGTTAGCCCGGCTTACAGTACTAGAATAGCTTAGTACCAGATTTATGATGCTTAAGTCCAGGGTAAGGAATATTTCAGGATAAGGTAGTAGGTTATTAAGCTAAAGTTAAGATTGTTAGATTTCAGGTTCTAGATTTTTCACTGAGCTAGTTAAGTTCCAGGCAGTACGATAGATCTGCTCCAGTTACTAGAATAGTTATTAGTTAGCTCCCAGTAAGTAGTGTTGCTTCGGCTCCAGGTACTAGGATAGTTAGCTCCCGGTAAGTAAGGTTAGTTCGGCTCTGGATACAGTTAGCTCCCAGGGATTAAGGATAGTTCGGCTCCAGGTACTAGGATAGTTAGCTCAAAGTAAGTAAGGATAGTTCACCTTTAGGTACTATGACAGTTAGCTCCCATTAAGTAAAGATAGTTCGGCTCCAGGTAATAGGATAGTTAGCTCCTGGTAAGTAAAGATAGTTCAGCTCCAGGTAATAGGATAGTTAGCTCCCGGTAACTAAGGATAATTCGGCTCCAGGTGCTAAGATAGTTAGCTCCTGCTAAGTAAGGATAGTTCGGCTCTAGGTATTAGAATGGTTGGCTCCCAGTAGAAGGGTTAGTGCGGCTCCAGGTACTAAGATAATAAGCTCCTGGTAAGTAAGGATAGTTCGGCTCTAGGTACTATAAATACAGTTAGCTCCCGGTAAGTAAGGATAGTTAAGCTCCAATTGTTTAAATACATCCTGTGTTTTTTTTGCAGGGTCAAACTAGGGAAGATGTGAATCTACATATTCTAGCGCTTCATCCTGATCTAGGACTCAAGAAAATAGGACTTTGGTCCAGAGATAGGAGAGGCTCAGCTGTAATTGGAGATATTAAAGAAAACATTGATCAGATCAGGTTTGAAGTTTTGATCCTTCAAGACAATAAAAACAAGAATATTAATTTTATTGATAATAGTCTAATTTAATGTGAGATGAAATTATTTAGACAGCACTGTCCAATAAATATTTACTGATTTTAGGATGTTTGGGAAGGACAGATTAGCTTTAATATCCAGGAATCCTGATCTAGAAGTTGAAACAGTCCTGAAAACTGTGGCTGAGAGACATGGATCAGTTTATAGAACAGTTTCTACCCTGGAGAAAATACTACAGGTAACCAACCAACAAACCAACAACTCTTATTCAAGACGACAAAAAAGATTTGAGGTTAATATATCTCCTGTATCGTGCACTACAAGCAACCAAACATCCCCAGGGGGTAGAGTGGTTCAAGTCATTTCCCGTATCGTGTTCTTCAAGCAACCAAATATCGCCAGGGGTAGAGTGGTTCAAGATATCTCCTGTATCGTGCACTACAAGTAATCAACCATCTCCAGGGGGTAGAGTAGTTTAAGGTATCTCCTGTATCGTGTACTACATCAAGTTATCAACCATCTCCAGGGGGTAGAGTGGTTCAAGATATCTCCTGTATCGTGCACTACACGTAATTAACCATCTCCAGGGGGTAGAGTAGTTCAAGGTATCTCCTGTATCGTGCACTACATCAAGTAATCAACCATCTCCAGGGGGTAGAGTAGTTCAAAGTATCTCCTGTATCGTGTACTACATCAAGTAATTAACTATCTCCAGGGCGTAGAGTAGTTCAAGATATCTCCTGTATCGTGTACTACAATTGTAATCAAACATCTCCAGGGGGTAGAGTGCAGTTCAAGATATTTCCTGTATCGTGTACTACACGAAATTAACCATCTCCAGGGGGTAGAGTGGTTCAAGATATTTTCTGTATCGTGTTCTACATCAAGTAATTACCCATCTCCAGGGGGTAGAGTGGTTCAAGATATCTCCTGTATCGTGTACTACATCAAGTAATCAACCATCTCCAGGGGGTAGAGTAGTTCAAGATATCTCCTGTATAGTGTACTACATCAAATAATTAACCATCTCCAGGGGGTAGAGTGGTTCAAGATATCTCCTGTATCGTGTACTACATCAAGTAATCAACCATCTCCAGGGGTAGAGTGGTTCAAGATATCTCCTGTATCGTGTACTACATCAAGTAATCAACCATCTCCAGGGAGTAGTTCAAGGTATCTCCTGTATCGTGTACTACATCAAGTAATCAACCATCTCCAGGGGGTAGAGTAGTTCAAGGTATCTCCTGTATCGTGTACTAAACTAAGTAATCAACCATACATCAAGTATTGAACCATCTCCAGGAGTGTTGAATAGATTTTAGAAGTTATGCAATTAAGCATATCTAAGGAATCGGTCTAGTTTAAGGTATACAGTCTAAAAATTTATTTCCGATGAGACCCTGAGCAGTATTCTGAATATCCTAGATATAAAATAGTTGTTTTGTATTTGTGTGTGTCCTGATTCCTGGAACATGATGAAATGATAATAAAGGGTAAAGGATAACTGAAAATAGTTAATCATTACTTAAAACATTTTTCTAAATTCTACATTTAACCTTGAAAACCTAAGCAATCCACATTATTTGCTCTTTTGTGCTTCTTTTCAAAAGTGATTATTTATTTTTTATTATTGTAAACTTTTTAGGAGGAGATTCCTATATACTGGGATACAATATCTCAAGGTTCTCCTAACCTAACCACGGAGAGCTTGAACCCGGAGAAGGAACTGGATTCTACTCTACCCGTCTCACTCTCAGATATATATTTAGTTTTCAAGGTTAGGGAGGAAATAAACTCCGAAGTTATGGCGGAGAAACATAATAAAACTATAATATCCTCTTGCAACCCCTTCCACTGTAGTTTTCGGTTTAAAGATTAGTTCAGAAATTAGTTTAAAACAAATAATTCTTGAGTTCATTTAAATTTTTTTTAAGTTTTCGTTTTTATTTTAGAATTTAAATTAAAATGGTGTGAAATATTAATAAAATGAGCTTGGATACTGATTAAACTAATGGATTATATTTACAAACTCAAATTATAAATATACTGACTCAGTTTAATGGAAAATAAGATATTTGAAACTGCAAACAATGAGTATTTTTAGAGCATGAAGCTTGTACCAATATATAAACATACAATTATGATTTCATTAATTGAAATTTTACAAGCTCATTCATCATTTAAACGGAAAATATTTATAAAATTCACGATATTTATATTTTTTGGCAAACACGCTTTGATTTTTTCGACCGAAAGGAACTAAGTTCTAATTTCCTGATTCCTATATATATTTGGACCTAGTTGTCGTATTTCTCTTATATTTTAAGCTAAGATAAAATATCAAGGGTTTACACGCTCAGGTTGCAAAGATATAGGAATGATAAAATTTATGTTTATGGCAAGATTTCCTTTGAGCGATAAGGTTGAACTATTTTTGTTCCTTAGTTTTCAAGTGAAAAATCAGTATAAAAATCAGTATTCAGTATATATAGTTGAAGCAAAGTTAACATAAACTGTAATTAACAATATTTTATCTCCTCATCTGTTGGAAAATTTAGCTTTGAAATTGAAAGTCTCAAGATGCACTGGGATATACTCAGTGTTGCATTACATTTAATGAAATTGACATAACAAAATGAATGCTTGAGAACTTCAGGGCTCTCCCAAACCAAACCAAACTCATATAAGAAATAAACATTGAAAATGAATAAAAAAGAATTCCCGTTTTTATTAATCAAAGGGATATTGTAAGCGTAATTTTAAGTTACACTCCATGAAAAAAGGGCATTGCCCGATTTACAACGGTACCATTAAAATCTTTGAGTAAAAAGATCTCACTGTTTAAACATGTCGTAACCCGCTTGAATTCCTCTGAAATGCTGGTTGTACGCTGAGTACAGAGTAACCTCAACGCAGCTGATCTGTTACTTACGCAACAAAAAGTATCAACTGTTTTACATTAAAAGCGGTTTTAAACATTCAAATGTAAATTTTTATTTTCTCCCACTTTTAGAAAGTAGCTATTGATATTTGTTAAATACATAACAGGCAAACTAAGTGTTCAGCATTTAAAAGGCTTTCAGATGATTTACATAGATATGTCCGACAGCCTTCATCAGTCGAATGTTAAAGGGTACCGTTGTTAATCGAGAATGCTCCTCTTTAAATGAAGGATCACTTGAAATAACGCTTACAGTCTCTTTAATGAGGAGCAAACAGCAATATATCCAGTCAACGAGGAGTTTGTGACAGCCAATTATATTCTCTCATAGTGTGTTTGATAGGTCTAATTTTCTACGGTCAATTTCACGGGCATCCGTAGTAAATTTGAATTTCCGGGCCGGTCAACCTTTCCGGTCCCAGTTTGTACTGTACGTAGCTCTATGGACAGGACTAGCCGGCGCAACAAGGTTGACGCGGTCAGACTTTATGCTTCATATAGGTTGAATTTACTTTTACTCAAGGGGAGGATTTGCGTGATTTAGATATATCTAACACAACGTTAGGATTTTTTTCTAACTGTTACGAAGCTAAAGTAGGCAGACGAGGTTAACAAAAATTACAAACTATAATTGTTTTCATTAAATACAGCCTTGTAGTCACAAAGGCAAGCGAGGACGAAAACCTGTTTGAAATATAGTTTGTATTGGTTAAGAAAAGATGTTTAATCCGTTCATAACATTTTTATGTTTTAGAAAGATAGTATTGGAGGTCTGGATTGGTTAAAGTGTATCCTTGGTTTTCTCTTCATCCTTCTCTGTTCCTCTTTATCCCTCTCCTTCTCCTCCAGGATATCTCCGTACCAGAGACGAGCCAATCCGTACAGTATCCAGGTAACCTTAATATATAATAATTTCAAATGCAGCCCCCCCCCCTTCTGGGGGTTTAATTTTTATTCTTCATTTCTTAATACTAATCTTTCAGTGGATTTCCAGAAAAAACTCCGAAATTAAACTTAAGTCCTTCAATTCAAAAGTTTAAATTGTGTAAATCGAGTTAATAATAATTAACCCCCCCATCAATAATTAAAATGATAATGAAAATGGTTAAATACTAGCGAATAAATTAGTTGGAACTTTTTAAATGAATGTGTTGAATGTTTAAAAAAAGAATTTATTTTATATTTGTCCTCAAATATCAAGTGACAAGGATGAAAAGATTTAATTGAGGAACTAAACTGCAGTTGCAGTGCGATACTTGATACATCCGATATAAAAACAGGCTCAGATTGGACAAGCAGAATTTTTTACATCTTTTTATTTATCTATCTTCGATGTTTTATATTTATTTTTTATTTCCAGGATTCTATTTGGATAAATGTTTGTGGACTCTTGTTCCGATCCTGGGATTTTCGTCTCCAGGTTTAATCTTACTATAATACTGATAACTAATATTTTCATATTTAAGCTCTTTAAAGCTTTTGATTGATAAAGAAATTGAATTTTAACCACAAACTTAAATTTTCTAATCAATATACATTAGCAAATTGATGGTGCAAATTTAGACTTTTTGATCTGACCGAATTTATCGTTTAAAATATCAATGGTCTATGACATCGGGTTGCAAAGATTAGGGTTTATAGAATGAGAGTTTGTAAAGAAAAATCAGTTTCTTTGAAAGGTTTTGAAAATAAAACTTTCCCCCAACCCTTTACATATGCTCCTTAGACTATTTTCTATGCTCCCTACCCATTTACCCATGCTCCTTACTTATTTACCCATGCTTGCTACCCATTTACCCATGCTCGCTACCCATTTACCCATGCCCCCTACCCCTTACCACTCTGCTCTCTACCCTTTACTCCCTTATCCTCACTATCTAACCTCCTACGCCCTACCTATTTTCTCTTTTAATCCTTGTAACAAGAAAGAATGGTGCTCTCCAACTTTAGATAATAAACCTATAACTGCAGCAGAACTCTAAATTTCTAAAATTGTAAAACTTGATACAAGACTAACTAGATACCCTGGCTCGTTATATTAATCCTGCAGTCTCAAAGCTTTTTCAACTAAAGACTAAGTAATGAAACCGTTTCTTAAAACTAGTAATAAAATTTTGATCATATTTAACAATTTATTTTTGGAATCATTTGTTACAGTATTGAGATCAATCTTATCTGATATGGCAACTAAATCTAATTAAAACTTTTATATAACATTTTCTTTTTTTATAAAAAGTTTCCATAATTTGATTTTAGGGCGTTTCCAGCAGATTAGTTTCCATAGTTTGGTGGGTTTTCAGTTCTTTTACCGTCCTACTCCTCTCCTACCATCTTCTAAACCCAGCGGTTAATCTTGATCTCACCCATATCCTGCAGGATCCAAACCTTTCAATACAAACCTTAGAACATTCTCAGCTTCATCAGTATCTCAAGGTATGCATATATATATAGATTAGGTTCAGAAATACAGCATAGGTTTAGGTGATCACTATGCTAGATAGGTTTATGTAAACAGGGTAGGTTGATGTATACAGGATAGGTTTAGGTGTACAGGATAGGTTCAGGTATCCAGGATAGGTTTGATAGACAGGATAGGTTCAGGTATACAGGATAGGTTCAGGTATATAGGATAGGTTTAGGTATACAGGATAGGTTTGATAGACAGGACAGGTTCAGGTATACAGGATAGGTTCAGGTATACAGGATAGGTTCAGGTATACAGGATAGGTTCAGGTAAACATGATAGTTTCAGGTATACAGGATAGGTTCAGGTATACAGGATAGGTTAAGGTATACAGGATAGGTTCAGATATACAGGATGGGTTCAGGTATACATGATAGTTTCAGGTGTACATAATAGGTTCAGATATACAGGATAGGTTCAGATATACAGGATAGGTTCAGGTATACAGGATAGGTTCAGATATACAGGATAGGTTCAGGTATACAGGATAGGTTCAGGTATACAGGATAGGTTCAGGTATACAGAATAGGTTCATATATACAGGATAGGTTCAGGACCAAAGGATAGGTTCAGAAACAAAGGATAGGTTCAGAGATACATGAGAGGTTCAGAAACACACGTGTTTGGTCGTTTTATTTTGCAAATATCTTCAGTCAGGGTCAAACTTTCACATAAAAAATTTTTGTTTAGAATATTACAATTAAACCCTAAATAAGCCATACATCGAAAGAATTCATCAAATGTCGTATTCTTCACTTTCTGATAATGGAATATTGTAGATATTTAGTTTTTTTCATTAAATGATTATAATGTAACTCTTTAAAACTGTTCCCGCAGATTCAAAGAGGTTTATATATACAGGATAGGTTCAGATATACAGGATAGGTTTAGATATACAGGATAGGTTCAGGTATACAGGAGAGGTTCAGGTAAACAGAATATGTTCAGGTAAACAGGGTAGGTTCAGGTATACAGGATAGGTTCAAGTATACAGGATAGGTTCATGTATACAAGATAGGTTCAGGTATGCAGGATAGGTTCAGGTATAAAGGATAAATTAAGGTATACAAGATAGGTTCAGTGAAATCTTTTTTTAACGCAAGACAAAAATCCTTTCTGTAGGTTTCTCCGGACCCTGTTCACCAACACCTATCCTCTAGAGTACAATCCTCCTTCCAGAGGTTATCTCAAGGATTGGAAACTGTCTCAAGTCAAAACAATATTCTCATTATTCTAGAAGGATCTCAACTCTTAGGTATTTGAAATATGTTTATATATTTTGATGTTAAAGTTCTGAAGTTTACTGATATGACGGGAATAGATTATTTGTTATAAAACAAGTTTCCTTTTTCATTTTACTCCGGACCATGATCTGTCTTTTCTCCTAGACAGAGTAGAGATTAATCCAACATTATTATAATATCCTATTATATCCGCAATCAAAACAACAGGGAATGAAAAAAATACAGAAGCTTGTATGAACATTTACAAAAACTCATTATTCGTATATATACCTTCACTTCGTTGCAGACAAACTCCGAAATAACAAAATTTGGAAATACAAAATCCTGACATTTTTTAACCATGCTAGGCTTCCTAGCATTTATACTTGCCGCAGCGCTCGGCCCCTTGTAGCCTGCAGTGCCACAGAATGTGTAACCTGTAAATGTAGAATGTAGAATGTAGATATATATAGATAATTTCAAAATTTGTGCTGTTAGGAGTTTGTCTCTCCGAAGATTGTCTTTTCTTCAGTTTTTTCTAAAGTTTGTCATGGCGCCTCCGTAGTGTTTAATATTCCTTGTATTTAGAGGTAGGGTGTGAGTTTGAACGGATCAAGGTTGGGTCTAGACCTAGATATCTGAGCATGAGGTAACCATTGTCTACGAATCCTTGTGCTGAAAACAAATCGATAAAAACGATATATTTTCATCTTATTTTTGTCACGGTTTAATTCTTCTCCCTCAGATAGTTTGCACAACACATTGTAAAAGATCGATCTGGTTTGAAAACAGAAATTTGTGCAAAAATTATTTGCATATTTGCAAGAAAAAGTTGAATAAATCCCAATTTCCATCCCACCATATCTACAGATGCAGAGTAGCGCTCAAACTTTTATCAGTGGTTTTTATGCTCCAATATTTCTTAATTTTAAAGTTTTAGAATTATAATAAATGTACACGGGTTGAGGTGGAACAGGATTGATCAATCCCAGAGTTAAATCCAAAGAAGGTTGAAAAATATTATTTTCATTGTTTCTTGAATTCCAAAGCTATCAGAGAGAAATAATATATTGAGATTGATGTATCAAGGTTTAAATCTACAATTGTTAAAAATTCCAACCAATTACCACAAATTCAAATTTTCTAATTATCATATCTTTGCAACTTGAAAGTGTAAAACTTTGATATTTCAAACGTAGACGTTTTGATCTAACAGAATTTATAATTTGAAGTATAAATGGTCTACGACACAGGGTTGCAAAGATATTGGTATTCCTCTACTCGAGATAAACTCTTTGATCATCTTTAATTATAATTTTAATCTTTTCTCTGGATCTTCTGATATTTTTAAGATTTGTAACCGAACTAAGGTATTAAATTGCGGAAGATTTAAAAATAGAAATGAACATAAAAAAGTTTCCCGCATTAAAATGATTGCTGAACTTTCATGCATTAAAAATACTAGACTGAAAGAAGTCAAGAAAGATGAAAATTTTACATTTTTAATTGTAACAAAAAAGTCATGATGCGAAAAATATCAGAAGTTCTTTACTATAGAAACACTAAACCAAAAACTGTTGGCTCAAGACAATATCTGGAAAGAGCTTTCATCTAGATCGAAAAAGAATTCTCCGGTCTAAACATTTTCTGTTTTCCATCCTCTCTGTATTATATAAATTGTATTTCTTGTTTAAATTACAGGAGAGGATCTATCTGGAGAGAACGATTAAACCATGGAATCCGTACCTACCAGAGTACCCGGAGTATTCAGACTTCAGACCAGATTCAAGACATCAAAACTCAACCCTGTCAAATAGATGACATGAATTTTTATTGTAAGTTAGAGTACCTTACTATTGTTAGTAACTTTTCTGTGTTTTAACCACATTAAAACTCTATATAGAACCCTGTTTCCGGGTGCAGGGGTGTACATTTTCTTGAAATATCATACCCCTTTTGAAAATCATTAATTTTCACCAGTAGTTAGAGAATAATAAAAATAGTTTTTTTCGCTGATTTTGGGGGAAAATGGTTTTCAGGTGAAAATTAAGTATCAAAATGGGTGATACAACTTTTGATGTCCAATTAAAACAATTTTTTGTATCCTTTTACTCTGAAACCTTCCTGTGACCCTGTCTCCTTACTATCTTTTCAGTCCTTTTTTACCTTTCTTTCACCAACAACCTCCATGACCTTCTGTATTTCTCTAAAAACCTTCCCTTCTCTTTGTCTCCATGAAATATCTAAACTTTTCTTGTTATCTGAAACCTTCCCAACATATCTTTAACCGGAATTTAAATAATTTCCAAGTTTATTGGACGGTTACCAAGTTCTTGAATTTAAATTAATCTAATTCATGGTTTTATTTCAGATTATCTCGCAGGCTTTGGATTGGTTGGATCTTTACTCTCTCTCCTCTTTGCACTCGGAGAACTCGTCTTTTTCTCCGTCCGCAGAACTCGTAAATCTGAATCCTGGTGGAAACGTCTTACTCAAGAACTCAAGGTATACTTAATATTAGATAGTAGAAAGTAGATAGTAGATAATAGATAGTAGATAGTAGATAGTAGATAGTAGATAGTAGATAGTAGATAGTAGATAGTAGATAGTAGATAGTAGATAGTAGATAGTAGATAGTAGATAGTAGATAATAATCTAAATTAAGGCCCACCTTATCAAACGTAAAATTGAGCGGAACAATCAAATCATCACGATTAATAAAGAGCTTCATATTCTGGTGCTTTAAAGTGCAAAACACTGCAATGCAAACCATGATGTTAAGTCATCAGATTTCATTAAAAATGGAAACCAAAGATTTAATGCACTAAAGCGTTCAAAGGCAACCAATTTTGTACCAATTCTGTGTATTCAATATCAAAGAAGGATAGACATTGATTTGGTATAAAATTTATGTATAAAATATTAGAAACTAGGTTTTTAGAGCGCTTCGCGCCCTCTTTCCTCAAAATAATTTTAGATGTTAATTTCATAATAAAAATTCCAATTTCTTTTTCTTTAAATTTTGATGTTCAATAAACCTTTCCTGGGATCTTGTGAGGTCTAAACACAAAATTTGGGCCCGATCGGTTCGGTCGTTTAGACGTTTATTGGATACAAACGAACAATCAGACAGACAAACATATATGTAAAGATGAATTTTTCCTTATTGTCTTTCCTTTAAAATTATCTATGTAAAGAATCCTCTTTTTACTACTAGTCGTAAAGTAAACGTGAATAAAAATTCGGGTTTTATCAACTGAAAGTTGTGCAATAGACTCTCAAGTAAAACCATAAAAATTATTTTCTTATTCAAACTTGGTTTCATTGGTTTCAGCTTAAAGAATTGAGTTTACTCCATCCTTTCTTAAAAGAAAATTTTTAATAAATTTTGTCTAAAGTATTTTTAATCTATCATTGTCTGATGTATTTTTAATATTACTTGTCTTAAGTATTTTCAGAATTGTTGTCTGAAGTATTTTTAATTTTGTTGTCTGAATTATTTTGAAAATTTAGAAGTTATATTTTTGAAATTGTTGTCTGAAGTAATTATAAAATTGTTGTCTGAAAATTTTTTGAAAATTGTGTCTGATTTTTTAATATTGTTGTCTGAAGTATTTTTAACATTGCATGGTCTGAAGTATTTTCAATATTCTGAAGTATTCAAAAAATTGTTGCCTGAAGTAATTTTAATATTGTTGTACAAAATATTTTTAAAATTGTTGTCTGAAGTATTTGAAAAATGTTGTTTGAAGTAATTTTAATATTGTTGTTTCATAAATTAATAAATTTGTTGTCTGAAGTATTTTTTAAATTGTTGTTTGCAAAAAAATTAAAAAAAATTGTTAAGTATTTTTAAATTGTTGCCTAATTTTTTTTTTGATGTTGTTGTCTGAAGAAGAATTTTTAATATCGTTGCCGTAGATAATAATCCTAAAAGTTGGACTACTCATAGAAGAAACCTCTGCCAAAACTGATTCACTAAAAACCTCTTTCCATCCAAAACCTGTAGACTTATCAAGTTATACAAAGAGAGTCTAAAAATAACATGAGAATTAACTGCAAACTGTCTTAATCGTTTATAATCTCTGATAGAAAATAGATTTTATAATATTGATATAATAGTTTATAGTCTCTAATAGAAAATAGATTTTATAATATTGATATAATCGTTTATACTCTCTGATAGAAAATGGATTTTATAATATTGATATAATCGTTTATAATCTCTGATAGAAAATAGATTTTATAATATTGATATAATAGTTTATAGTCTCTAATAGAAAATAGATTCTATAATATTGATATAATCGTTTATAATCTCTTATAGAAAATGGATTTTATGATATTGATATAATCGTTTATAATTTTTGATAGAAAATGGATTTTATAATAATATAATCGTTTATAATCTCTGATAGAAAATAGATTTTATAATATTGATATAATTGATCAGACCAAGGTTGAAAAGGTACTGTTATGAGTCGGATAGGCTATTCTATAAGTGTATTAACTGCAAACGTATTACGTAAATATACAAAGGAAATGAGAATTTACCACAAACTTAAAATTTCTCAAACCTAGATCTTAGCTACCTTTGATATTTCAAACTTAGTTTATTTGATATAACATAAATTCATAGTTGGAAATATCTAAGGTCTACGACATTGTGTTACAAAAATTAAAGGAATAGAAAATCAAAGTTTTGGCAAATACTCACTCCCTTTTCAGTATTTCATACAAGTATATATGTTCAGTATTTCATATAATAATTTACAGTGTTTCATAAAAATTTATATTTTCAGTATTTAATATAAATATTTATTTTCAGTTAATGATGAGGAATGAGAGCACTGACGAGAAACTGGTTCAACTTTCAAACCTAGAGTTTTCTTCTCCAAGTAGGAATGAGAACCTGGCAAAGTTCTCCAGTAGCGGAGAGAAGCAGAGGAGTCCTACTCCGGATAAGGATGATGATGAAGATGAACCCTCTGTAACGGAGAAACTAATCCTAGAGAAAGCCTATGACGAACATCTTGAAAACTCTCGGCTCTAAAACTTAAGCATTCCATACTCAATGTCTTAAATGTATTAGTTAATGTATTTTCATGTTATGGTTCTGTTAAAAGAACTGGTTTTTTTCTGTTAAAAAAAATGTATTAATGTATTAGTGTATTGATGTATTAATGTATAATAATGAATAATATCCTGGTATACTGATTTGTCCAAAGAAAAGTAAAAAATTTAGTAATTCCTTTTCAGTTCAAAAATAAATTATTTTAATTTTCGTGAACCGCATGGTTCTCTTTTAAGTTCAAATTGCTTTTTCAACCATGGAATTGGATCTATTTTATGATATTTTTTGGTTTCGGCCTGACTCTGCAGTACACTTTCAGTGTAAACACACTTTTTTGTTTAAATAAAGGATTTTAGAACAATGAATGGTGAATCATAATTAAATAATGAATCCGTGTACTTCTTTTATTCCTATCCGAAGTTTTTGTAACAACGTGCTACGTAGAGGAAGGAAGTGCACCACAGTGGGGATTATAAGAAAACACCGGTTTTCCACTTTATCTACAATCCATGGAAGAGATTAAAAATAAATCATTTTTCTGAAACATCTAATAGACATATGTAAATGTAATATTAATATTTTCATAATTTAATTTAGATCGGAGCTTACTAAACCAAAATTTTACTAAAATAAGTCCTATTTTAATAAATTTAAAATTAAGTAAAAATCAGTTTTCAAACAGGAACTTAATTCTCTGATTTATTTATCATTTTTTATTCTATTAATCTTCTTTACTCTGCGCCAATTCATCCTTTAGATCGAAACTTTGGTGGAATATTGTTAATCTTGAACGCTTAATCTCGATATCCAATATGGATGCTTTTAAATCTGAGGGACAAGGCTTGATCCCTTCATTTTAGTTATTCCTGCAGGGTATAACGACCACGGGATATCGAAGAGGAATTAATTAATCCGTTAGTCAGCATAAGCTGGAGATCAATGCTGAGTAAATTGTCGGAATTAAAACTTTTCAAACTAGAAAAAACGACAATATCTTCCACATTATTTAGCTCACAAAAGGTTAGTTAAAGGTTACCGTTGTATTTGTTAAAGGGTACCGTTGTATTTGTTAAAGGGTACCGTTGTATTTGTTAAAGGGTACCGTTGTATTTGTTAAAGGGTACCGTTGTATTTCTTGTATAGCCCTTCTTAATTTAAAGGTTACTTTAGAAATTACAATTCGTCCCGTTAAATCCCAATTATAAAATTCCCACTCTGGTTTATCACTTAGATTAGATTTTTTCTACTGTAACTAATACTTTATCTCTTAGGACTAGAACACTCTATACGCTGGACAGACTTAACGTAGCTGGACGGACTTAACGTAGCTGGACGGACTTAACGTAGCTCGACGGACTTAACGTAGCTGGACGGACTTAACGTAGCTCGACAAAGCTCAACTTATTCTCCCAATTGTTTATTCATTAGCACTGCTGTATTAAAAGCTTTTCTGTTATTTTTGTATGAATTTTCAAGTCTTGCTGAACTAGAATATATTTGCTTCAATGTACTTAGTTAGAATACGAGACAGAACAATAGAATCTAGAAATAGTATCAAAGGGAAGAATTCTCGATTTTTCGCCCAATACCATCTATTGTGTTAGTTTATAATACAAACATACAAACATTACTATTCTTATTTCAAATTTAATTTCAAACACAAAGACAATAAATGTAATGCCTTTGTACACTGTATAATGTATAATAATCTTTGAAAATTAGTGAACATGAAAACTTATAAACATGGAAACAAGTAAACATAAAAATTAGTAAACGTGAAACTAGTAAACATGGAAAACTAGTAAACATGAAAACAAGTAAACATGGAAACAAGTAAACTTGAAAACAAGTAAACTTGGAAACAAGTAAACTTGAAAACTAGTAACCATGGAAACAAGTAAACTTGAAAACAAGTAAACTTGAAAACAAGTAAATTTGAAAACAAGTAAACTTGATAACAAGTAAACTTGAAAACAAGTAAACTTGATAACAAGTAAACTTGAAAACAAGTAAACATGAAAACTAGTAAACATGGAAAAAACTAATCATGAAAACTAGTTAATATGGAAACAAGTAAGCATGGAAATTAGTAAACACAAAAACAAGTAAACATGAAAACTAGTAAACATGAAAACTAGTAAACATGAAAACTAGTAAACATGAAAACTAGTTAATATGAAAACAAGTAAACATGGAAATTAGTAAACATAAAAACAAGTAAACATGAAAACAAGTAAACATGAAAACTAGTAAACATGAAAACTAGTAAACATGAAAAACTAGTAAACATGAAAACTAGTAAACATGAAAACAAGTAAACATGAAAACAAGTAAACACGAAAACAAGTAAATATGAAAACTAGTAAGCCTGAAAACTAATAAACAGGAAAACTACTAAACATGAAAACAAGTAAACATGAAAACAAGTAAACACGAAAACAAGTAAACATGAAAACTACTAAGCATGAAAACTAATAAACATGAAAACTACTAATCATGAAAACAAGTAAACATGAAAACAAGTAAACACGAAAACAAGTAAACATGAAAACAAGTAAACATGGAAACACGTAAACATGAAAGCAATTAAACATAAAAAAAGTGAATATGAAAACAAGTAAACATGATTAAACAAGTAAACATGAAAACAAGTAAACATGAAAACTACTAAACATAAACACAATTAAACATGAAAACTACTAAATATAAAAACAAGTAAACATGAAAAATAGTTAAAATGAAAACAAGTAAACATGAAAAAAAAAACTATAAAAACTAGTAAACTGGCAACTGCCAAACATGGAAAACAAAAAAAACTATAAAAACTAGTAAACTGGCAACTGCCAAACATGGAAAACTAGTAAACATAAAAAAGACTAGGTATAATGTTGGAACTGAATAGAGATAAAGAAGAATATATGGGAAATGTATTTCCACCGTAATTTCCCAGTAAATATCAGATTTCTTCTTTATCTTTTTAACCGACATAAAATATTTTTGATAAAATTTTATACAAAATATTCAATGCTGTTATTTATTACCGATTATTACAAAAAGTGCTTCATTTTCCCCTTTTCTGTTACATGGAAACTACTAAAATCAACCGACGCTATAATTTTTTCCAGTTCTCTCTCGTTTCTCTCGTCCTATCCTAATTTTTTTTGCTTAAATTTTTTTGTAACTTTTGTGTATGGCTTAAAATTCAAAACAGCCTTTATAGGCTAGATAAGTCCTGACTAATGTATTATATGTATGTGGCAGTTTTTAAAATGTCTATCATTAGTCGAAATCAAATAGACTGTTAAGTACAATAGATGGCAACGTAGTATTTGTACACTTTCAGTACAGCTGTATTCTTACATCACAAGTGTCAACTCAGTATTGTGTTCGACAAAATTAAATTAATAATAGTGATAATTTTAGAATAAAGAGCTTATCTGACAGTGAAATAGGTGCAATTATGTGTTATTTATTTTCTGTTTTTAGTTTTTCTTATTTAATTTTGAAAAAGATGTCTACTTTTAAGAGAAATTTTCGTTTTCCTTGTTTGTTGTTATATTTGACACTTGTGACGTCATGTAAATTTGATCCATTTCTGTGTTGCCACCTATTGTACTTGATAATCTATTTGGTCGAAATAAAGTTTAAAATTTCCCCTCATCTCAATTTACATGGTCTAAATAAAAAACTGAATATTTTCTGGTTTCCATGCAAAGTTGCAGTATTCGGGTAAAGGAGATAAAACGGTTATTTACAACTTTTTATATACATGTATAAACTGTCTACACTGCTTTATACACTGTATACACATGTATATGCTGTTTACATTGTATACACTGTATACACATGTATATACTGTTTACATTGTATACACTGTATACACATGTATATACTGTTTACATTATATACACTGTATACAAGCGGGCTGTTACGGTAAAACCATAAAGATATTCTATGTAAGTATAATTTAAAGATATTCTATGTAAATATATTATTTAAAGATATTCTAAATCAATATAATTTTAAGGAACGGTTCATACTAGACGGAATATTGCGTACATAGACGATGTAACATTACCAATATAATCGATATGAGCATTCTAAACAATTATTCTGACATTTTTTTTTTTGGTTCTCCATTATCCTTTAAAAGCTAAGATAGGTGTGATTAGAATTATATCTTTGATGATTGTTGATGCATAAATTTGGTGATTGTAGATTTTATGAAAAGATCTGTAATGATTTGATACAAATTTCATTCGTGGATGATTTCAGAGATCGGAGAAGGAACGAAACAGACATGTAGAAAACATTAAAGTTTTCACAACCAAAATTCCAATTGCTACAAAAATTCAATATCTTCAATCTGCTTGAGTTTGAAAGACGTAATTCATAATAATATTTTCAGGATTTGTACAGAAATCGAATTCTCTCTTTGGAAACATCAAATAGAAATTAAAGTATATATTGTAAATAATATGTTATATTAGATTATATTGATAAACTTGTTCAAATTGGTGACTTTTTATTCTGATTACTTGGTTTCATTAAGTCATAGTATATTAAGTATATTCATACTTTTATACTGAAAGGAACTGTACGTATAATTTCAAGGTGACCCTCCATGCACAGATAGCATTACCGGATTAAAACATTAATCTGATCAAACTGCGGAGGATATCGTCGTTTTTCTGAGTTGAAAAGTCTTTATTTCTTATAAGCAAGAAATGGTCATTTTTGTAGAGAAACTGTAATAAAAATAAACGTTATTAAATAAAACATGGATATTCAATTCATACCTAATCAGACAAAGCTTTTAATGGTGCTGAAAATCGGGCATTACAAATTTAGAAAATTGCAACATACGACTTAGACCGTAAAAAATCAATTTAATTTCAAACAAATCATTCCGATATTACAACCTATTGCCATCGATTATTTTTCGCCACATTTGTATATATTTGATATTTCATACTAGTTTTGATTTTGTTTTTTTAAATAATATTTAGCTTACAACTTGTTTTCGAACATTCCTGGAAAATATGAAAATGTCGTCTTCATTACCAAAAATCCTCGTAACAGGAATAAATGTTTTTATAAGTAACTCTCAGATCATAACAATTAAAACATATTATGAAATATCAAATATATACAAATGTGGCGAAAGATAATCGATGACTATAGGTGGTAATATCTGAATGATTTGTTTGAAATTAAATTGATTTTTTTACGGTCTAAGTCGTATGTTGCAATTTTCTCAATTTGTATGGTAGCTACGTTCTTCGGTATGAGACGTCTTTAACAATTTTCTCCTTATAGACGCAACAGATAGAAGTAAGATTAGTAGCGATCAAAAGCGCTTTTTTATCGCATTAAGCCTATACCCCCTTTCATTTTTCGCGAACACTCCCTTTAAGTTTAAGACCTGGGATATAGAAAACATCAGCTGTCAATACCTCCCTGATCCACCCTGATATTCTTCGACCTCCGAATTAATGTGGTTTCTGATTTGACCATGACATTTTCTTCTGGCTCGCTTGGCTTTGATATTTTCTCTTGGAATCACGAAACTTCGAAAATGGTGTTTATTTAGTCACGCAACCTTTCAAGTAATCACTCAACCTCTCGTTCATTTCAGACCGATGGAATAAGGGATCTTTAAAAAAGATCCAAATCTGATGTTCTTCCAAAGTTGCGCAGATATAAAAACCACGACGATAAAGTGTGTACTGTGTATCCCTTTGAAATTTGATCGTATCATTTGGAAAAGTTAAGGTCAGGGGAAGTAAGTTTATAAAAGGAATGAATTCAAAACCTGACAAATGAAAGTATTTGTCAGTTAAAAGCTTTTTTTTGCCAGCTATTTTAGCCGTTATTTTTTCGTGTTTGTAGTTTTAGTTAAATGAATTGATTGTATTTGACTATTGTTCTTATCAGGGGCTTAAATGACTCAAAAAGAGTCAAAATTAATGATTAAAGACTAAAAAACTTGGCATCCTTATCTGAAAAAAAAACAAAAAAAAATTTAAATGTAGCTTTATATATATATGTAAAGAAATATTTAAAAATGTCTTTTCTTGAATACCATACTTTTCTATGTTACTTTTACAGTGTACATAAAAAGAAGAAAGAAGAGTAACATTGAGTTAGCTAACATTTAAATAGAGAACAGCATACATGATACAAGGAACATTAAAGGGNTCTTTCCGAATTTGTATGGGCGCTACGTTCTTGGGTATGAAACGTCTTTAACAATTTTCTCCTTACAGACGCAACTGATAGAAGTAAGATTAGTAGCGATCAAAAGCGCTTTTTTATCGCATTAAGCCTATACCCCCTTTCATTTTTCGCGAACACTCCCTTTAACAAACAATAGAACAGGTATGTTTGGAGAGGCTACATACGACTTATGAAATTGGTTCTTATCATGTTGTCATAAAAAACTATAAAAAGTTGTTGGAATTTTTTAGTAAATTGACAATATAAATTTATTGCTAACAATAGAAATATCCACAAAAATATTAAATATATTTTACAAATACTGGAGTTGAAATATGTTATGATAGAATTACATTTTGAAATCTTTACTAAACCTGACATTCTGCTATATTGACCTCTCTTTTTTAAACAGGCATCTTATTGCTTAGTATTTCTCTGCTGGTGCCTCATATTTTGGTTCCTCATACTTGGGTTCTTCATATTTTGGTTCCTCATACTTGGGTTCTTCATATTTAGGTTCTTCGTATTTGGGTTCCTCATATTTAGGAGCTTCTGGCTGGGGTGCTTCATACTTTGGTTCTTCATATTTAGGTTCTTCATACTTGGGTTCCTCATATTTTGGTGCTTCAGTTGGTGGTGCCTCGTACTTTGGTGCCTCAGTTTCATATTTGGGTTCCTCATATTTAGGTGCTTCAGTTGCTGGTGCTTCATACTTTGGTGCCTCATACTTTGGTGCCTCAGTTTCATATTTGGGCTCTTCGTATTTAGGTGCTTCAGTTGCTGGTGCTTCATACTTTGGTGCCTCAGTTTCATATTTGGGTTCCTCATATTTAGGTGCTTCAGTTGATGGTGCTTCGTACTTTGGTGCTTCATACTTTGGTGCTTCATACTTTGGTGCTTCAGTTTCATACTTGGGTTTTTCATAAGCAGGTGCTACAGTGGTTGGTTCTTCATACTTAGGCTCTTCATACTTTGGTTCTTCATATTTTGGCTCTTCATACTTAGGTGCTTCATATTTAGGAGAAGTATACTTAGGTGTAGCAGGAGCATATTTGGGATGATATGCAGGATCTACTCCATACTTAATTTCAGGTTTATAAACCTCGCCCTCCTCCTTAGTGATATTATGGGTAATCCACATACTCATGTCCAGGTTCACCTGAACAATACCATAGTAAGTACATTAGTTTTATTAATCAGTACAGAGTTGCATTTTAAAATATAGCTTCACGGACAACTTTTGTTTCAGAAAAGCTCAGTCATTCTCTACAAAGATGTGTTCATGAATATGTGTGTATCATTATGTCACAAGAAATTTTACTTCTCAAAACGCAATTTCATACATCACATCAGTCCAATCATTGCATGATTCGAATCGCTACAAGGATTTACTGATTAAGTGTGCTACTGTTTATGTCTTTTCGTTAAACCAGCCGGTCTGGGGTAACCAGTGTGTAGTGGACCCAGTATTCTTTACGTACAAAATATTCACTTGCTGGATCGATGTAAGATAGTTTGCAGAGATAAAGACACTAGTTAAACAACCGTTGAAAAGTTCGATATCACTTCTGGGCTCAGTTGGAGTTTCAAATTTTCACCCCATGAATTTTGGACGACTTTAGAATTAAGATAGTTGCTAATATAACTTAATCTTCTAAAAACCGGTTTCTGTCCGCGAGACTAGACAGTTTAAGTCCTTACTTAGAGGAGAAACGTTTTTTTTATAGATTTTCCCAAAAATTACTTCATGGTATACTTGATATTTGGTAATTGTTTCTGGGTAAGATTGCAGTTCAGAAATCATTTCAAATTTACCTTTGTATCCTTGTTAAACTTAGGAGCTCCTTTGTATCCTTTAGGCATAGCATTATCCATCTTGCACTTGTTCAAATCTGACTTGGTCTTAGATATCTCGGCCTTGGTCTTGGAGATTTTAATTTCAAGAGCAGAGATGGCAGCAAGAAGTTCTCGGAGTTCTTCCTTATACCTCTCAGAATCCAGTAGATGGGTTTTCAGATTCCTATTGTACATTAATATCAAGCTCCTATATAATATATGGATACCCTACCCTATACACTTACGGATATCAAGATGGCATACAGTATGCCGATATCAAGATCCTTTACAGTGTACAGATATCAAGATCCTATACAATATACGGATATCAAGATCTTATACAGTATACCGATATCAAGATCCTTGACAGTATACCAATATCAAGACCTATACAATATACGGATATTAAGATCCTATACAGTATACGGATATCAAGATGGTATACAGTATAAGGATATCAAGATCGTATACAGTGTACCGATATCATGATCCTTGACAGTATACCGATATCAAGATCCTATACAGTATACGGATATCAAGATCCTATACAGTATATGGATATCAAGATGGTATACAGTATACGGATAAAAAGATCCTATGAAGAATACTAATATTAAGATTCTATACAGTATAGGATATCAAGATACTATATTATATACGGATATCAAGATCCGTTATTGTATGTGGATATCAAGCTAAATACAGTATACGGATATCAAGATCCTATACAATATACGGATATAAGCTTCTTTATAGTCCATGGGGATCAAACTCCATATGCTGTACACGGATATTAAGCTCATATACGGTCCACAGGTACGTCCAGTAACTAGATAAAGAGCTAGCTCTTATATGGTACATGGATATCAAGCTTCTATACAGTCCAGGGATATTAAGCTCCATACAGTACACGGATATCAAGATACTATACATATAGAATATATATCAAGCTCCTGGGCCCTACCCGAATAATTTTTTTTATATATTTTTTAAAACGTAAACTCAAGAATTTACAGTTATTTATGTTCTTCAATATAGATTGAAAATATATAGATTATTAATGAGATCTTCAAAGATAATTCATATATACTTAAATTATAAAATTTCTTTAAAGTTTGTTTATTTAGTTTCTATATTTGTCAAACCTGTTCTCAGTACTGACTTCTGTAAACTGTGCATTAAGAGTTGAGAGCTCAGATGTTAAGATTTCCTTCTTCTTGGCTAGTTCATCGTTCTTCAGTTTAGAGTTCTTAACCTAGTCAAATAAATTCTTATATACAGGATGGTAAACGAAACATAACAGTTATGAGATGATTCAAATATCGTCTTTAATTCTTTATATATTTTGCGGCATTCAATCTAATTTTAGAAGAAAAACTCTTGAAAAAAAATATGTCCTTGCATTTCTAAAATATGTCCTACCATTGTTTGTGCTTTCGATTTTCGAATATAAAAAGATTTATATTGAAATTATCTAAATCTGAACGAAATTTAGGAAGAACTATGAGTATTTTGTGATAATTTTTACAAGAAGTAGGTTGTCAAATGTATTCCTAGTTTTTAATGATTAAATACAATCTTCATTCTGCACCTAGATAAAGTACCTAGGGTTTCTGTATATACCTTGATTTCCATACCCTTATACTGAGCCTTGAGCTGGTTTAGATCCATCTGCATCTTGTTGGATTTATTCTTCCAATCCTCAACCTCCTTCCTCAATCTAGAATATTTCTGGATTTATACAAATTTCTCCTCTTGTCTCCAATCCTGAAACCATACCCAGGAGACACGAAGGTTTTTACAGATATATTCTCTTTTCTCCAATCCTAAAATTAAACCCAGGAAACATGAAGGTTTTAGAAAATACATCAAGGTTTAAACAATAAATCATTCTTTTTACAATCCTTAACCTAAACCTTGGTTATTCCAGGGTTCTATCAACTGTCTCCTCTTTTCTCCAATCCTTAACCTAAACCTTTGATATTTCAGGGTTCTTTTAACTGTCTCTTTTCTCCAATCCTTAACCTAAACCTTTGATATTCCAGGGTTCTTTCAACTGTCTCCTCTTTTCTCCAATCCTTAACCTAAACCTTGGATATTCCAGGGTTCTTTCAACTGTCTCCTCTTTTCTCAAATCCTTAACCTAAACCTTTGATATTCCAGGGTTCTTTCAACTGTCATCTCTTTTCTCCAATCCTTAACCTAAACCTATGATATTCCAGGGTTCTTTCAACTGTCTCATCTTTTCTCCAATCCTTAACCTAAACCTTGGATATTCCAGGGTTCTTTCAACTGTCTCCTCTTTTCTCCAATCCTTAACCTAAACCTTGGATATCCTAGGGGTCTTTTAACTGTCTCCTCTTTTTTTCAATCCTTAATCTTAACCTTGGATATCTCATGGGCCTTTCAACTGTCTTCTTTTTCTTCAAGCCTGAACCTGAACAACGGTTTTACAAAGAAACAGAATTGTTGCATTTCAAACTTAGATTATTTGATTTAACAGAATTTATAGTTTGAAGTATAAAAGGTCTAAAACATTTGGTTGGAAAGATATAGGGATTAGAAAATAAGTGTTTGTGGCAATAACTCAGTTCCTTTCTCATCTTTTCTCCAATCCTAAATGTAAGCCTTAGATAAGCCTCGGGTTTACAAATGTCATCCTTTCTCTAGTCCTTCAGTGAAACCACAGTTTAGACAATATTCAATCTTTCTCCAATCTTTTAACCTAAACCACCTGGATAAACCACGGGTTTTCAAATGTCATCCTTTCTCTAGTCCTTCAGTGAAACCACAGTTTAGACAATATTCGATCTTTCTCCAATCTTTTAACCTAAACCACTTGGATAAACCACTTGGATAAACCACGGGTTTTCAAATGTCTCTTATTTTCTCCAATTCTGAACCTAATCTTGAATACACTATAGGGTTTTTATACATACATCCTCCGGTGAAATATCAGGGATTTTCCTCTATTCTTTAAAAAAGTATTTTTCATGAGAGGGAGAAAATGTATGATTTCATACTTTGAGAAGAGGAATTTTATTTCATGATACACAAAAATATGATCTAACGGATAAAGATAAAGGTTTAAATATTTTGAAAAGTTTGACAAATATCAATTATTTCATGATACACAAAAATATGATCTAACGGATAAAGATAAAGGTTTAAATATTTTGAAAAGTTTGACAAATATCAAATGTTAATTGTAAGAATGTATTTTTTGGAAAAGCTTTCATGAATGAAATATTATCTTTCAAAAAAAAAGAAAGAAAAAAAATATCGAAGAATAAGTTCTCCTATGAATATATGAATCTATAAACCTACCTGTTAATAGTTTGCTCAGCATCATGATTTCTTCTCCCGATAATAGAGATCTCACGTCGTAGATCCATAAGCCTGAAATCCAGAGATTAAAATAGAGGATGTAAATCATACCTAAATAAAGAGCCAGAATATTTGAGATTTCAAACATTTTGATTAAAAGCTGTTCATAGGTTTGATTGCATGAGATAACATTTTAATTTATGTATGTACAGGAATGAAACAAAATGTTAAGGTTAGAATAAACTTAAGGTTTGGATGAAATATCATCCTGGACAAGTACATATGGGAAATTCTATAGGTCAGAAACAAAATTAGACTGTAGATAGGGAAATTTAACTATATATCTTATAAAGTTTGGTCAAGTAAAATTATTTTGAAAAATACGATATATTGAACTAAGTTTTCTAACAACACATAAACAACCAGATTCACCGTTTTTTTCAGAAGAGAAACAGATTAAGGATAGAGAAGAAACAGAATTAGGATTAGAGGAGAAACAGATTAAAGTTAGAGGAGAAACAGATTAAAGTTAGAGGAGAAACATATTAAAGTTAGAGGAAAACATATCAAACTTATAGGAGAAACAGATTAAGGTTAGAGGAGAAACAGATCAAGGTTATAGGAGAAACATATCAAACTTAGAGGAGAAACAGATCAAGGTAAGAAGAAAAACAGATCAAGGATAGAAGAGAAACAGATCAAGGTTAGAGGTTAAACAGACAAAGGGTACAGGAGAAACAAAAAAAGGTTAAAGGAGAAGCAGATCAAGGGTAGAGGAGAAACAGATCAAGGTTAGAGTGGAAACAGATCAAGGGTACAGGAGGGACAGATTATGGTTAGAGGAGAAACACATCCAGTTTAGAGGAGAAATATATTAGGGTTAGAAGAGAAACAGTTCAAGGTTAGGAGAGAAACAGATCAAGGTTAGGAGATAAACAGATCAAGTGTAGATGAGGCAAAAATCAAGGTCAAAGAGTCTATCATTCTGATCCTCCATTTAAAGATCTCAAAATTTATTTGATTAATAATGTGGAAAATATCGTGGTTTTTATCTTGGAAAGTTTCTAATTCTGAAAATTAAAAGAAAAACTTAAATTTCTCTCGCATTCAAAGCTTTTACCGTTGTGACTCGGATATACCCATGTATAAATAGAGGGTCACTTGAAATTACTCCTATTGTCTCTTTAAAGGAAAAACAGACCAAGATTAGGGAAGAAATATAATGATAAAAATCAAGATTAGGGCGGAAATAGAATGATAAAAATCAAGATTAGGGCAGAATGATAATGATATGATGATAAAAATCAAGGTTAGAACAGAAATAGTGATAAGAATCAAGATTTGGGCGGAAATAGAGTGATAAAGATTAAGGTTAGGGCAGAAATAGAGTGATAAGAATCAAGATTTGGGCAGAAATAGAGTGATAAAGATTAAGGTTAGGGCAGAAATAGAGTGATAAAAATCAAGGTTAGGGCAGAAATAGAGTGATAATAATCAAGGTTAAAAATATATCGAGTTTTAACTTTAAAATAATCATAATCTACCTTTTTCTGAGCTCATTGTAAGCATTGAAGAGAGTTTGTCCTCGTTGGTGGATCAAATCAATATATCTAAAAATAATGTAATAAAAAGAAAATACAATAATATTAATGATATCTATATAATCAAGCTCTTTTTTCATATATATGTTAACTATGGCTGGCCAAATGGTTGGACTGAATGAGCTGAAATTTTCATGGTTACCCCGGGGCAGATTTCCCAGGCAATGCAGGGAACTTCAGCTATTTCTAATAATGTTCCAAATTTATTTGATTTAGAATATGTTGACTATCAAAATGTATTATAGTGTTTTTTATAAAAGAAACTAACCTGTGAAGATCTTCAATCATACTCTTGAGTTTCTGAAGTTCAAGGACGCACATCTTGTGCTCGTTCAACAACCAGTTCGTGCCTGAAATATTTATTTAAAGGGACTGTATACGTAATTTTAAATGACCCTCCATTCAAATAAGACTTTGCTTGATTCACAACAGTGCCCTTGAAACCTTTATCTAATTAAGAATGTAATGGATATCGTCGTTTTTCTAGCTTGATCAGTGTATTTTCTAGCTTGATCAGTGTATTTTCTAGCTTGATTAGTGTATTTTCTAGCTTGATCAGTGTATTTTCTAACTTTAACAGTGTATTTTTCCTTGGTAAGTTTCTTTTTTCGAGACACTGCAATTGAAAATAATTCTTTTTTATAAAAATAAAGATAAGGTTTGCTTAGACAAGGGTTTTAAGGGTACCGTTGTGTATCGAATATGCCCCTCAATAAGAAGAGGATCATCTGAAATTTCGTCAACAGTGCCTTTAAGATGTTGGAAAATTTACCAATAAACTTATCTCAATTTTTTAAGACAAGTTCCCAAGTGGTGTCAAATGATGGGTGATGTTTACACTTCTATATGTTATCATGCACAAATAGTTTAATCCTCTTTGTACGGTATAATCTTTAACCCTCTTCGACTAAGATTGATTGTGCACTGTATATTCCAATTCTTTCTACTACTAAGGACATTTGCTGATATTCAAGGAAAGGACACAAACTCTGACTATCTAATATCTATATCTTTGCAACCATAGATATTTTACACTATGAATTCTGTTGGATCATATAATCTAAGCTTGAAATATCAAAGGTTTACACCATCAGATAGGAAAGATACAGGGAGTAGAAAATTTGAGGTTGTGGAAAAGACTCAATGCCTTTTCCAACAAGCTGCAGAATTCCTAAAGACAAGTTCCCCATTGGGAGCTCAAAAACTGTAGTCGTGTCAAATTGCGGGACAGCCGGACGTTTCACCTTCTTGTCTTGGCGACAAATGCTTGATTTTACAGTTCTGGTAACTTGTTGAAACCAACATATTTTATGTTGGGATAGGGTTTGCCGAGACTTGCATATTTAAAAAAAAATCCCAAAAAAATCAATTTAAATTGGATATGTACTGTATACATTAAACAAATGTACAGTGTACATATCCAGTTTTTCAATAATTGTCACGAAGAAATATAGGCTGTTGTTTTTTCGGACAATGCGAAAAAAATATTCTCCAGGATAGAAATTTTTTCCAGTACTCCAAGAATTATTTTGAAAACACTTACATTGGAAAGGGAACCAAAAGCTTCAGAAAACCCTCGAGGCTTCCTTTAGAAATTTGGAATGTCTGAGATGAAATTTTTAATAATGAACTACCACAAACAACCAAACTGAACGATGGTTTAGTAAGAAGTTTTAAAGCTGATCAGCCTGGAATACAGACTGCAGGGAAGTCTTTCTTAGGTCTTAGATGAGAATACACATTGGTTAAACTAGTTTTTAAAGAGCTCAAAGACAAGACCTACACTGATCCGCAGCCATCTCAATCGACAAGAATTCTTGAAAGAAATATTCGATTTAAACTAATTGTTAATTATTTTGATGAATGCAATTTAAATTAACTTTTACAAATAATAAATAATAATTTTTTTGTCAAATTATTAGTGTTATTCATTACTGTAATTTAAAGTTCATTTCGTATCAACACTAATATTGAAGAAATTATGTTGTATTAAAAAAGCAGCCCTGACTTCAGTTTCAGTAATTTGCCGCCAAGGAAAGAAGGTGAAACGTCTGGCTATCAAAAATGATATAACAATCGGGTTTATCAAAGAAATCATAAAATTGTTTTGTTATAAGAAATTATTTAATATTTGAATCCTAACCTGGAGGAAGATCATTCCTTGAGCAAGGTTTAGTGATATTCTTTCTCTCAACACAGCTAGCTCCTCCAATAACTAATCTCTCCTCCTTGATCCTGATCATCTTGAAGGGATCACAGTCTCCCCACTCACCAACATACTGACAATCTAAATACGTCTCATTAAGATTGATTTATCACATTGTTTGAATATTTTTTTTGGAAGCTTCTAAGCATATGTGTTGTGTGAAATTTATGAAACCTAGCTTGGAAACCAAGCTTTGCCTGGAGTTTTCCTTATAAAAGTCAACCCACTCAACTTTGAGATTTTAAACCAAGCTAAGAGCTTTAGACAAATCTATTAAGGAGTTCCTTAGTTTTGACAAACAAAAAACAGAGATTACTACTTAATACATATGGATATACCTGCATTATTTCTTTAAAATTATCATAATACCGTTCAGAAAAAAAAACATATTATTTGATTTTATTAGTTTAACATGAGGTGAATTAAAGGGATTGTATGGATCCGTGTCTACATTGGTCCCTTTAATCAAAGAGTGCAACAAATTATTGAAAACGTAACATTTTTAAAGTTTGGGTGACACAGATTTGTATTCTGTCTGAAAGTTTATATCCTGCTGACGTGATTTTAAAAGCTTTAAAAGTCTAAAACAGGGCCAAATGTTGTTCAGTTAGAAAAATGCCTAGCTTTTGCAAAAAAGGTGTAGCGGTTAATTTTGTGAATTGTTTATGGCACCCTTAAATTGAGGGATCACTTACATGTACATTAATAATCCACCACCAGTTATATTAAATGTAATGTACGCAATAAATAAGTATCTTTCCTTTTCCTTTTATTTTTTTATTTTTTAGAATTTTGGGGAAATATTCCCCCATCTGTATTTTTGGAGGTTTTTTAGATATTTTCTCCTGAAACACTTAATTTTGTATGTTTTTGTTATATTTCATTAATTAATGATTACTTAGTAACTGCTTAATACTTACTTCTTATTATACCCATTATGTAATATGTTATTTATGTATTGTACAAATGTACATTGTACTACATCGTACACTCATCTGTTAGAGTTGAGATTAAGAATGGAGAAAAATTTATTAAAAAATGAAGTACCATTATATTCATCATGAGCTGGATGCATCCTGGTTTCATTATAAGGTTCAGGAGCAGCGTAGCCCCCTGAGCTGGAACCAGAACTATACCCTGAGGAGGCATAGCCTGAGCTTGAATCGGAGCTCATTGCAGATGAAGACGACTTGGCTGCAGCTGATGAGGATGCCGCGGAGACAGAGCTGGCAGCCATTTTACTGCTGCTGCTGCTGCTGCTTTCATCTCCATTGGCGCTAAAATATAAACAATTTAGATAAACTATTATTATTGTACGTCAACTGTCATAAATTATCTTTTTACCTATCTGAAATCAGGTAAAGAGATTATTGAAGAAATTAATGGTTATAGGCAATTGGATGATAAATTATTTTTTTATGTACGCTCATGAAAAGAACAATATGCAGGAGCTGCTAGGTCATAAAGTCGAATCTGTAAATTCACCAAATTTAGACATTTTTCTTAATTGTGTGGATTAGTAACTTTCTTTGAATCACCATAGAATTAAATTTGATTCTATGTTTTATGTTCTTATCTTAAAAGGAATTGAGTCTTTGCCACAAACTCTGATTTTCTAATCACTTTATCTTTGGAACCAAATGTTGCATACCTTAGATATTTCAAACTATGAATTCTGTTAGATCAAATAATCTGAGTTTAAAATATCAAAGGTTTACAACATCGGGTTTTAAAGATATTGTGGTTTAAATATTTGATTTGTTCCAAAGACTCAATTCCTTTCTGATAATTTTCTACATGCTCAATAACAGCAAAGTCGGAAACCCACTACTTTTTTTAATTCCTTATTTATTTGAACATACATTAAATACATTTGAACATACATTAAATACATTTGAACATACATTAAATACCCGAATTGTTAGGAATACAACTAGTTTCCCTCAAAGATGTTCCTAATGATAGATACTGTCTACCAAAACCTGGTTTTTATCCGCAAATGGTATTTTTCATGAGTCTAATATAGTAATGTGGTTTTACACTAAACTTAAGCTGACCATGCTAAGTATACTTAAATATTTTTTTTCTCGAGCATTTCACAAGGCTTAGATGCAGTCACAGTGAGAATCATTGTTAAACCAACGGTACTATTATTACAATGAGACACATGGAAAACTGTTGAAGATTGTTGGATTCAAGTTATGAGTTTGAATATTCCCATGAAGATGAAACGTTGTAATTATTTAGTGTACACACTCACAGATCCATTTCACTTAATAAGTTGGTTTTCAAGAGCAACTGGTAAAACTGTTTGCTTTATAACAACATCAAAAACATAATACTGCTTATATATCGTCTTCTTATCCACGGTTTTATTGTTTTCAATGTACCAAAAACATTCGTAGAAGTATGCTCAATATCTCTCACTTAAAATCCCAGAGACTGCAGTCTACTTTTTTTATGTACACCATATTATTAATAGATCAAAAAGCTAGGGAAAAAAGTGTTTTGCGGTGATAATTCATCTTTATTTTTTTATCTATACTTTTTATTCCCAAACCTCCAATCCGGCCGAATCTTTGAAAAATTTGTTTTAATCCTTTAAAATTAATTTAGATTCGCTCTAAAGATAAAAATATAGAATCCTAATTTTCGGTGTATATCTCTGAATAAGCTAAAAACTCAACTACCCCTGAAATGCAGGGAATACATGAAATATATTGGGATTTAAAAACAAAACTATTTTCTGTTGTGTTCTTTCATACACATTTATCATATTCTAAATCCTATTTAGCTTGACTAGATTGAGATTTTTTATTAAAAACTTGAAAACTCTTATCTTAAGAATGAAAAAAAAATTGACTTTTCGTTAAATTTAAAAATCTCAAAAATATGAAATAGGTAAAATATATATGATATTTTTCTATATTAAACTAAAATGAACGAATCCTTATGATTACGTTAAGTTTTTATCTCTTTATCTTAGTTTTCCTAAATAAATGTGAATACAAGTTTACCTGGTATATATAGAGAAGATGAGAACTATAACTATTCCTCTCATCTCTCCTCTCAACCCTGGAATGGACAGGATCTGAACTAGAATGATTTAAGACAATGGATCAGTTTACCAGGAATTGGATATTGGTATAAATCATTCCTGAGGTGGTGGTAGTAAACATTAGAGGACAATTATCTGAGACAGGACTCTTGTTACTTAACTAATATATTCATCACTTTCTATAGAACTCACTTTACATCTCCCTTACTTTCTATAGAACTCACTTTACATCTACCTCCCTTTCGATAGAACTCACTTTACATCTACCTCACTTCTATAGAACTCACTTTACATCTACCTCACTTTCTATAGAACTCAATTTACATCTTCCTTAATTTCTAAAGAACTCTCTTTCCATCTACCTCACTTTCAGTAGAACTTCCTTTCCATCTCCATCAATTACCAAAGAACTCACTATCTGTTTACCTCACTTTCCAATTATCTCACTTTCTATAGAACTCACTTTCACTCTACCTTACTTTCGATAGAACTCACTTTACATCTACCTCACTTTCTATAGAACTTACTTTACATCTTCCTCACTTTCTTTAGAACTCACTTTCCATCTACCTCACTTTCTATAGAACTCACTTTCCATCTACCTCACTTTCTAAAGAACTCACTTTACATCTTCCTCACTTTTAGCAGAACTTCCTTTCCATCTCCCTCAATTTCCATAGAACTCACTTTCAGTAGAACTTACTTTACATCTACCACACTTTCTATAGAACACACTTTCCATCTACATCACTTTCTATAGAACTCACTTTCCATAGAACTCGCTTTCAATCTACCTCACTTTCCATAGAACTCACTTTACATCTGCTTCACTTTCTATAGAACTCACTTTCCATCTACCTCACTTTCAGTAGAATTTCCTTTCCATCTCCATCAATTTCCAAAGAACTCACTTTCCGTCTACCTCACTTTCCAATTATCTTTTCATAGAACTCATTTTCCATAGAACTCACTTTCCATCTACCTCACTATCCATCTCCCTCACTTTCCAACTCACTTACTTTTCTTCTACTTCACTTTCCAAATAAATCACTTTTTATCTAACTCACTTTCCGTCTCACTCACTTTTCTTCTACCTCACTTTTCTTCTCCTTCACTTTCCAGATACATCGTTTTTATCTCCCTCACTTTCCATCTCCCTGACTTTACAGCTTACTCACTTTCCATCTCCCTCTCTTTCTCAACTACTCTCCAATTAGAGAAGTTATGATTGAAAGAAACCAGTACAAACTTTGGACTGGTACAAACTTTGGACTGGTACAAACGTCGGACTAGTACAAACGTCGGACTAGTACAAACGTTGGACTGGTACAAACTGGTACAAACGTCGGTCTGGTACAAAATGTTGGACAGTACAAACGAAGGACTGGTACAAACGTCGGACAGTAAAAACGTCGGACAGTACCAACGTCGGACCAGTACAGACGTCGGACTGGTACAAACGTCGGACAGTACCAACGTCGGACCAGTACAAATGTCAGACTAGTACAAGCGTCGGATTAGTACAGACGTCGGACTGGTACAAACGTCGGACAGTACCAACGTCTTACCAGTACAAACGTCGGACCAGCACAAACGTCGGACTAAGAAAAAAAATGTATTGGAATTTAAGATTTTTTTTCAAAAAGGTATTTCCTGTTATCGAATGGTCTAATTAAAATCTACCCAAAGGAACCGAGTTCTTGCCGCTAACTCTAATATTTTCAGCCCTATATCTTTGCAGCCTGATGGTATTAACATTTGTATACTTTCAAACTTAAACTGCTTGATCTTATAGATTTCAAACAAAGGTCTATGACATCAGGTTGCAAAGATATAGGCATAAAAGTATTAAAGTTTGTGGCAATTACTCAATTCCTTTTAGATCTGTTGTGTATACAGTGTTACCTTCAAAGGGTTGAGACTTTATTCAGTTTTCTTTGATTTTTATCACAATAAGTAAGTTTCAAACCCAACCAAAGTCTGACGTTTTTCCTTATAAATTCACCCGTCCGACGTTTGTACTGGTCCGACGTTTGTACTAGTCTGACGTTTGTCCCAGTCCGACGTTTGTACCTGTCCGATGTCCCAGTCCGACGTTTGTACCCGTCCGACGTTAGAAAGTCTGACGTTTGTATTGTCCGACCTTTGTAACGTCCGACGTTTGTACTGGTACCTATTTAAAACATAAAATTTGAATCTTCTGTGCTATTTACTCTAGTTTGATTGTTGTACTATCCCTTTTTTGTCACATTTCATTTTTTCACATTTTATTTTACACTTCCGTTTTTCAAACTTCACTTGCTGTCACATTTCATTCTACACTTCCTTTTTTCACGATTTATCTACTATTTCTTTTAAACTGTCTTTTATTCTAAACTTGGTTTCTTTTATAATTTATTTAANCCACCCCTCTACAATAAACCGTCCTCCACCTCGTTTGAAGAAATTTTAAATACCGACCAGTGGTCAATTTTCTAATGGTGACAATTTTGATGGATTGTCTATTTGCTTAATATTATTGGATGGACCGAGGGTCACGTGGTTCAGATAATTTGATCCTATTGGTCAACCTCAGCTCAGGACCTCACACAGAAAAATTAGCTGAACACATTTTTAAAAAATTCCAATCTCCGAATTAAAAAGATTGTTGAAGTATAATCATTATGAACCACCGTTTCTGGAAGGAAATTGAAAATTCATAATTTGAAAAATTTAAAGACCTAGATTTGATCATTTTGCAAGACCTAAAATATGTTGACTTAGATGTTTTGAATAAGCAGGGAAGGTGGAAGGGGGTAGCTGTGGGGGGGGGATAGTAAAACAAGGAAGAGAACAGTAAAAATGATATTGATAAAATGACCACAACAAGTGTAAAGGAAGCAGGTGAGGACAGGTGGAGTGAGGACGTATCCTGGACTAGGACGGAGAAGGCAGGTGCATCTCCAGGTCATCTGCTTGTACCCTAAACTCCTTATACCGGGATAATTAGTAACCTTCCACCTGCACTGGTTTTCCTTAAAACCTATCCAGACCACGTTGTGCAATTATATTTTCTTCAGGAATACGCAATAATTATAGGAAACCTTTCTAGCAGTTCTCCGGTAGGATCAAACACGGTTTAACTCAACTATGTTGATATCTATATAAAGTAATAGAGTCATAACTCTTTAGATGACAGCTATCTCTCCGCGGTCAAAATTAGATATTTAGAGACCACCCTCTGANCCAGCATATCCCACCCTTTGTTAGTACTCAAACATAGTAAATTGGGTGGTATACTGCTATCTCGGGGGATCGGTGGCAATTTATATAAAGACCTCTCTATTGACAAGAATTCCTACAGGAGTTGATGACAGAATAGAATAAAAAGGAGGCGGGCTAGTTCAATGTTAAGAAGTGGGTGGGCGGTTCAACACATTCTCTTATTCTCATCTCATATAATAGGAGAAAGATTAGGGGAGTTACAAAGAGAGGGTTGAATTCCAATCCGACAATAGGTGATGAAACATTAAAGAAACGACCTCCCACTAATCATAACTATATTTATCTTTCTATTGCATATTTAGTAGGTTTAATATCTTAGAAGTCTACATAGGTTTAATATCTTAGTAGTTAAATTAGGTTTAATATCTTACTAGTCTTATTAGGTTTAAGTTCTTGGTAGTCTAAGTAGGTTTAATATCTTAGTAGTCTAAGTAGGTTTAATATCTTAGTAGTCTAAGTAGGTTTTATATCTTAGTAGTCTACGTAGGTTTAATATCTTAGTAGTCTATGTATGCTTAATGTCTTAGTATCTTAGCCGTCCCCGTGGTTGTTTAAAATCTTGGCCATCCAAATATCTGTCTAATCAAGATATCTTAATGTTAAATATCAATATGATATCTATCTATCTATCTCTATATCGGAGAATGTATGTGAAGTAATTAAGAAATTATTTAAATAAGAGATTGAATTCAGAGCAAACAATCTCAGCGTGAGAGAATGCTTGTCCCATGAAACCCCTTGGTTTCAATTGGACCTGGAGTTTGGACAGATCAATAAGTTGAACTATCCCAATGTTAATTAACCAATCATTAATTAGTATTACAACTATTTCCATTATATATCTCACAGCAGTATCAACTTCAGCTAGTATACAGCAGGAGGGTACTTGGATTCTATACAGAATAAGAAATACTAATATTTTGGTTTAGCGGAGATAAAAATAAGGATAAAAGTAAGGATAAGTCTCTCAAGAATGGAATTTATGTATTGGATTAGAGAGAAGTCGGAGAAGAGATATTTCAATCCGTCCTTCAATCGAATTTTCTAAAGATTATCTTTCTTTAAATATCTGGGGAGGGTGTCACCTGGTTTAACGTGAGGACTAATTCAAATTTGTTTTGCAGGGGGGTGGGGGAGGGGAGATAGGGGAGGGGTCAAGAAAATCATGTTTGAAAGGGGATAAATGGGGATACAACCTGGTGAATGACAACTTTAATTCTTTTGAAATATTTGAGAGTTAAGACCACAATAAAGAATAAAAATGCATGGAAGTATAATATATGTAAGATATTTACTAAATTATAATATCAATCTATAAAACAGAGAAACGAGGCTTAAGAAAAGCCAGATTGGAGATCACTTACAGCATACTATTCCGGATATATACAATTGACTAGAGGAGAAATAGGTTTCTATTCAGAATGAATGCCTTGAGGAATCTTCACCTGGTCCAAGGTTTGGCAGGGGGAGAGATTAGACCAGGAGAAATACCTTATTATTGGAAGCACGACATTTTCTCCAGGTATTATTAACCAGTGAAACTATTCAACATTAGAATACCGGGTTCTCAGCTCAGATGGCATCCTAACAGGAATGATACGGGTTTCCAATTCCAAACAAGCACAAGGTGTTTACAATACTTAGAGAAGAGTAAAGAGCTGAAGTCGTCTTTCGTTCGCACCTTGCTCCCTGGAATCCTGGAGCACAGGAGCAGCTGAGTTCTCCTAACCAAGGGATATACGAGCAGCTTCCATTGTTCAGACAATATCCCTTCAAAGGACAGGAAACCTTAGCACCTGGATTCTGAGGCAATCTTGTTGTAGTCGTTGGTGTTGTTGTTGAAGTAGAACTTGTGGTTGAAGTAGAACTAGGAGTAAAAGGAGAAGTAGTAAGGGTAGTGGTTGAGGATGCAACTGTACCAGTAGAAGAAGTGTGCTCTACAGTATGTTCTGCGCTCTCCGGGCTGTTGACAGAACTAGGTGATCTCCTTTCAATGAAGATACTGTAGGATTTGACATCTCTGCCTGCTGGGTTGATGACAGCACAAGAATACACCCCGCTGTGGGCCACCCTCACAGGATTGAGGAGTAGGACGGATTTGTACCTGAAATTATCGGCTCATTAGGTTCAGCAAACACGTTTCCAGAACAAATGGATTGGGGTAAAGATAATCTTTTAAATCTTCTCCTATCTTACTTAATCTGTTTTAGAAATTAGAAATATAAATGTTTACCTCTTATTTTTGATCTTGATATCTTGAGTGATCTTGATCTCCTCTCCGTCCTTACTCCAGGATATTTTAGCATGGTTGAGGGTTCTCTTGGTTCTGCAGACCAACTTGACTTTCCTTCCATCCGCGGACTTTTTCACATCCAGGCTACGTATCTTTGGAGGTTTAACTGAAAATATAGTCCATAAGAATACTGAATAGTCTAAAATCTTTTATCTGTAAAGCCGGTTAACCCTCCCTTCCCCCCCCCTTTTTGTACCCCCGTGCCCACCCCTCTACAATAAACCGTCCTCCACCTCGTTTGAAGAAATTTTAAATACCGACCAGTGGTCAATTTTCTAATGGTGACAATTTTGATGGATTGTCTATTTGCTTAATATTATTGGATGGACCGAGGGTCACGTGGTTCAGATAATTTGATCTAGAACTAGGATAGAGAACTAGGATAGAAAACAAGGATAGAGAACTATGATAGAGAAATAGGATAGAAAACTAGGATAGAGAACTAGGATAGAGAACTAGGAGACAAACTAGGATAGAGTAATAGGATAGAGAACTAGGATAGAGAACTAGGATAGAGAACTACAACAGTGTGTTGTGTTTCATTTTATCTCTCGAATTATATTTCTAGGTTGTTTTTTTAATAGCATTTTTAGCATTTCTAGGTTTTTTTTTCTCCAGGATTATGCTTCTAGGGTGTTATGTTTCATACTATCCTAATGATAATGCTTCCAGGTTGTTCTGTTTTATGTATTTCCTAGGTTTGTGTAAACTGGTATATTTATACTGAAAGTCGATATGTTTTGAAAGATTAATGATATATGACAGACTAAATGTTTCCTTCAGTTTATTTAAAACTTAGTAAGTATACATAACTACATTTTAGGGTAATTTATAAAAAATATAAACCTGGAATTAGTATAGAGAAACTTAACTACATTTTAGATAATGCCATATATATATATGGATAATGCATACAAGAATAATAAACAGAAAACAGGAAATCATGTTTGAATAAAAAATAGAAAACAGGAATTCATATCTGAATAATAAAGTAAAACAAGAATTAATATTTGAATTAAATACAGAAAATAGGAATTTATATTTGAATAAAAAACTGAAACAGGAATTCATATTTAAATTTAAAACCGAAACAGGAATTCACGTTAGAATGAAGAACAGAAAACAGGAATTTATATTTGAATGAAAAACAGGAAAGATGAATTCATGTTTGAATGATAAACAGAAAACAGAAATTTTTATTTGAATGAAAAAAAAACAGAAAAGAGGTATTCATGTTTGAATGATAAACAGAAAACAGGAATTCAACAGAAAAAGTGAAGCTTTCTATTATGACAAAGAGTGTTATGTTTTGTTAAAATAAATAACTGTAAAAATATTTATTTTTTAAAACGATTTTGACGAGCAATATAATAATATTTCATTACTTTCAAATACACTATTTATTGGTATTTTCTTTCTTTAACTAAATTTTGTTATTATTACCAGTGGTGCAGTAAGGGGCAAGTGGGATGGAGAAATATATAAATTGGATTAAAAACTGGTTTATTATGCCAAAAAAAATTGACGGACGGACGGCGGACGGGTTTTATGTTACCCTGGAAAGTATAATCATAAACCGCCACCATGACTAACACAGAAAGCACAATGTATCATCTTAAAGTTTAAGAAGGGTTTAAACCAAGATTATTGTTCCAACGTTTTCTAGGCAAATATTCAATGTTTTATCAAAGAATAATTAAAAAAGGTTTGGTATGAGAGCAGAGGGGTGAAGAAGTACTTTGTAAATATATACGAAGATGAAGGGGTGGAGGATAGTTGGACAAATAGTGAGGAATAAGACGAAGGCAGAGAGAGAGAGAGAGAGAATACCTGTCCGTTGGTCTCCATGAAAACTCCAAACACCAACCTTTTAGTTCCTCGGTAACTTCAGCTTTCTCCGAACCTTTAAATAAACAAGTAGACACGAAGAAAACCCTTGTTTCAAGGTTTAGCTTGAATACTTGGAGTAAAACGTCCTTAAACTGCAAAATCTTTATTTTTTTTTACATTTGGAACATGGTGTAGTTGAAGATACAAGGGAGAACTCCAGGGTTGAACTTATACTACGATTTCCGGGACTTCCGGGTTGGGAGCCAATTCTTCAGGAAATGGTTTACTACGGGAGGGGGGTGGGTGTAATTTGTGGGATTACTTTGACTTCCCGGTTCAACGATTTTAGATTTCGTTTTTTGATTGCGTAAAATCATAGAAAAACAATGTTCTGAAACAAATATGGCAAATTGCGCAATTTTGATTAAAACTTTATTAGTATTGTGAGTCAAGTTCTTAAAGGTTTAAATTAAATAGTTAGCAGATGACAATAGGTTACCATGTACAGAATTGGATGATAGAATTGAAGAGCAAGGAAATATTTTGCAAAGTAAGAAGGTGGGATTATTGGAGCATTCTCTAATAAAGAAAGACTAGGTTAGGTCTTGAATGTCCAGATGGTGGAATAATTGAAGGTTTCTTTGGTAAAGAAAGGAATTCTAAGAAGAAAAGGTTTTGAAGGATAAGAAGGTTGAATAATTGAAAGGTTCTCCAATAAAGAAAGAAATATTCTGAGAAGTTAAGGTCTTGAAGGTTAAAAAGGTGAAATAATTAATTCTGATAAAAAAAGGATCGATTGAGAAGGTTAGGTCTTGAAGGGTCAGAGGGTGGAATAATTGAAGGTTTCTCTGGTAAAAAAAGGATTAATTAAAAAGGAAAGGTTTTGAAGGGTAGGAAGGTGGAAGCATGAAAGGTTCTTGGATAAAGAAAGAGTAGTTTGGGGATCGAGAGAGAACGATTTTGAAAGAAAGAAAGGGTGGAATAAGAAAGGTTGAAATGATTAAGTGGAGAAGGAGAGAGAGGGGGGGGAGGAAAGTTGCCTTTAATTTGTAATTATGAAAAAATAATAATAATTTTCTACAAGAAGGGAATGTTTATCCTGCACGATGGAAGGAATTATGCGAAGACGAGGGATATTGGATTTGTTTAAAGAGACTCTTGTGAATCCAACTTGCCAATCTGATAACAGAGGGTAACTTGAAATTACGCCTACAGTCCCCCTTCAGTAAAATATGAAATGGAGAAAGAAAGTCCAAGAGAAGGATGGAATACTGGAGTAAATATAAGGACAGTTTAACTATGACAAGGATGGAATACTAGATTAAGACAAGGATAGTTTAGTATGACAAGGATTGAATACTGGATGAGGACAAGGATAGTTTAGTATGACAAGGATTGAATACTGGATGATGATAAGGATAGTCTAGTAAGACAAGGATGCACTACTGGATGATGATAAGGATAGTCTAGTAAGACAAGGATGGACTACACGATGATGATAAGGGTAGTTTAGTAAGACAAGGATGAACTACTGGATGATGATAAGGATAGTTTAGTAAGACAAGGATGGACTACTGGATGATGATAAGGATAGTCTAGTAAGACAAGGATGGACTACTGGATGATGATAAGGATAGTTTGAATAACGTCCCTCCCTGCAAAGATGGTTATGACTGATTTACAATGGTACCATTGAAACCTTTATCTGATCAATAATGTGAAAGATATTGTTGTTTTTCTAGGTTTAAAAGTGTTCAACTCTGATAATGCCAGTATGTTTTCTTGCAGTAGAAATGCTCGATCAATTTTGCAGAGAAACCACAATTTAAAATATTTAGTTATAAGAATTATAAACATTAATATCTATTTCGTGCTTAATCAGACAAAGCTTTGAAGGTTACCGTTGAAATCAGGTATTGTCATCTTTGCATGGAGGGTTGCTTGAAGCTATGCTTACAGTCCCTTTAAATCTTCAGAACAAGATACAAATTTTGAAAAAGCGTGTGTTTAAGTTTTTGATAAACAAAAAAATCTGCGTCTAATTATAACCTACTTGACCAATAACATGAGAAAGTACATCATTAAATATACTGTCTTGAAACCAATTAAGTTAGTGGCTTCTCTTTACTTATCATTAAACTGCTCATATATCTATCTATCTATCTATCTATCTATCTATATATATATATATATATATATATCTGGTTTAGTTTGAGTTCCAATATCGGAGATAAACCTGGAAAAGAGAAGATTATAAAATCAATTCTTATCAGATCTCTACAACTAAATGCTTTTTTTTACATCATGTATTGCATGATTTTCTTGAACTGCATGAATTGAATGAACACGGGTGAGAATTGTGATTTTTAAAAAGAAATGGATTCTAATATTATTTTTTATTCCATGGCAATTTAATTTTTAATCCAGATTCAAAGCTATGCAAATCCGTCCTAACTCAGCAAAGGTTCTGACGCTCCGGCATTCCTACCTCTCATCCTAAACCCAAAATATGAAAGATACAAAAGATTGTAATCTTCTGAGAATAGTTGAGAATTCTTGATTTCAGATTAAATGGAAGAATGAGACGGAGAAAGGTTCCACCTGACCCTCGCTAGCTCCAGATATAAGTAGGATCATCTTGTCAAGTTCTATAAACACAAGGAGATACAAGATGACCTCGGCTGGTCCAGAAGCGGTTAAAGTAATCGTAAGATGTCGTCCAATGAACAAGAGAGAGAAAGAACTCAATTCAAAGGTTCGGAATATTGTTTTTAATCAAGGTTGTTTGATATATATTAATGATAAATCTAACAATAAAAATACATCATATTATTAATCTAAAACTATTAAATAATATTTATATATATATTCAGAATGTTGTTCATATGGACTCTGCAACCCTGAGCTGCAGTATAACGAACCCAAATGAACCGAACACTCCACCAAAAAGCTTTGCCTTTGATGGAGTTTATGGTCCGGACTCTACAACAGAAGCTATCTACAATGACAACGGATTCGCACTCGTTGAAGTAAATAAATATATGTGGAAATTACAATTCTATAGAACATGATTCATTGAACCACGCCCCCGTAAAGTTTTCCATCATAACTCCCCTATAATTGAAGAGCTACATGAAAAAGAAAGTTGTAGTTTCTAATTTCTAATATGTAACCGTACTTGTGCGTAAACACAAATATAGAGGAGCTATGAGGTCACAAGGTTGTCTATCTTGCAGTCAGCAATTAAACACTTTATCAATCAGATTCTAAAAAAAAAATTACGTTCTCGAGGTTTTTAAAAAAGAATTAGCGTAACGTTTACAATTTCAGGGAGTGCTTGAGGGTTACAATGGAACGGTTTTCGCCTATGGACAGACGGGTTGCGGGAAAAGTTTCTCTATGCAGGGTATCCCTGATCCTGCCACACAGAGGGGAATCATACCCAGAGCATTCGAGCATATTTTTGAGGTAAGCAGACATCTTAAACCTTAACCAAAGAGAATAGAATATATATTAGAGTGGAATTTACTTGAAAAAAGTGTAAAACAACCATTTTGTCGTACTGTTTCCATACTGCAGGTGTACTTCACATATACATTATTTCATTATTTACCAATGAATAATTTCACATAGACTCTATGCCTTTCACTTCACAAACGATGATTTTCCGTTATAACTATAAATCAAATGATGTTTTTATTCACCTAATTCATTTTATAAAGTTTATTTAACAGCTTTAAAAAATTCGAAATTTAAATGGATAGTCTAAAAACATACTGTATTAATGTACTCTTCTGCATATAATGTGTGAACATTTACATGATTTGTACATTTTGAACTCCCTTTCAGGCTGAAAGGGACTGACAAAATTCATACCGAGGGATTGTCTAAATTCCACTCTAATATATATTCTTTACTTTTGATATGCATAGTTATAAAGATAGGAATCGTCTCAGCTAAAAGGTTAAAATTAGAAAACATTGGAAACTCTTTGGTCTTCTTTTAAAAAGAAGCAATATATATAAATGAGTGATAATTATCCGTATTTTTAAAACTTTTAATTTGAATGGAAGTAGTAGCTTACTCCGTAGAGTCTTTAAGTTTTAAATGTTTGAACCTAAAAGTATTAGCTAGTAATTACATAGAAAAAATGTAATAAAGTGGAAGCATACGAAATAATTGTTAAAAGATAAAACTAAAAAAATACTGCATAACTTTAATAATGTTTTCAATCGTCAGTTGTTTATGAAAAATGAATTATTTATTATGTTAAACACTTACATATTGTTTTTCTTTCATAAACCCACAAATAAGGCCATACTTGTGTTGAAAACATACATATTTGTCAGAATGATTCAATTAACACTGAAAATAGTGACACTTAACTAATTCAACGGTTTACAAAAAAGGCCGGTTTTATGGAACGGAAATACACAATACACAGTATACACACTTAAGTACGTGTAATGTATCCATGACACAAAAAATGTATTTAAAAAGTGAAAAGGTATTAATATTAATTAATAAATAGCATAATTTCCCCATATAAATATCATCACAATGGCTAGTATCTAGAAGTACTATATTGGTGTATTTATATATGTACAATGTAAAGAGTACATGAAGAGTTTATGTACAGATCTTTACAGTGCTTAATTACCATCTGAAATGTCCGTGGAATAAATAAAAAAATTAATTTTTGAAAATAAAATCGATTCTTGATTTTGAAGAGAAAAAAAATCTCAATTTTTTTAGCCTAAGTTACCCCCAGGGTACTCAAGGGTTCTAAGTTACCCCAAGGGTACTCATGGGTTCTCTCCTAAGTTACCCCAAGGGTACTCAAGGGTTCTAAGTTACCCCAAGGGTACTCAAGGGTTCTAAGTTACCCCAAGGGTACTCAAGGGTTCTCTCCTAAGTTACCCCAAGGGTACTCAAGGGTTCCCTCCAAAAAAGTAAGACTATTCAGTCAAGCCGTTTGGCCAGCTATAGCTAACATATCAATATTCAAATATATTTACATGAGCGAAGAGCTTTATTATATAGATATATAATTTTAGGCTATTGATTCCAGTGAGAACATGAAATATTTAGTTCATGCATCCTACCTGGAGATATACAATGAAGAAATCAGGAAACCAATCAAAACATTTCAAAATTTTATGAGATTCTGAAAAGAACTGTTATGATAAGCCTGATATTTGGTATATTCAAGTATAAAGCAAAACAAGTTTAAAATGTTAGACTTAAAACTGTGCTGCTACAGATAAAAATATACAAAATTCTTTATCCATCTTAATTTGTAAAAATATTTTAAATCAACTGTGGCAAATTATCAATATAAATTTTAAAAAAAAACTGTCGAATAATAACTTCCTGTCTTACTGTATGAGTATTGAGTACGTCCAGAGAATGAATTTTAAAATAAACATGTTTAGACTGGTTGTATATCAGGGATCTATTGGGGAAGGATATAAAGAAGAAGTTGGATTTAAAGGAACATCCGGATAAAGGAGTTTATGTACATGAAATCTCTCTTCATTCTGTACATAACACACAGGTAAAATAACTGGAGTTTATGTGCATGAAATCTCTCTTCATTCTGTACATAACACACAGGTAAAAATACTGGAGTTTATGTACATGAAATCTCTCTTCATTCTGTACATAACACAAAGGTAAAAATACAGGTTTTAATTTACACGAAATCTCTCTATTCTGTAAATAATACACATGTTTCTAACCTTCAAAATGCTTCTAAAATTATTCATTTGTAACTACATAGTACGAAAAAAGGGGAAAATCTTTTTTATCCTGTTGGGTCGTTCATTTATTCAGTACCTGGTCTTATACTGGTGAAAATGTTGGATTTAATGAGAAAAATCTATAATTCCTTCTTGCTAAATATTATTTGTATAAGAAAGATACAATGTACGATGTGTACACGCATGTACTGTACAGGAATGTGAGTCTCTGATGGAGAAAGGTTGGAAGAACCGTACAACAGGATCAACTCTCATGAATGCAGATTCTTCAAGGTCGGCAAAATCATAAATTTTTTATCCGTCCCCATCCATTGATTTAATCAGACGCCTTTCATCTCACGTAATCGAGGATTTTATTCATATACAGGATACAGGATACAGGATACAGGATACGTCGGTAGGATACAGGATACAAGATTAAAAGAAAGTTTACAGGATTCAAGGATTCAAAGATAGTTTACAGGATTCAAATATAGTTTACAAGATTCAAATAAAGTTTACAGGATTCAAAGATAGTTTACAGGATTCAAAGATAGTTTACAGGATTCAAATATAGTTTACAGGATTCAAAGATAGTTTACAGGGTTCAAAGATAGTTTACAGGCTTCAAATATAGTTTACAGGATTCAAAGATAGTTTACAGGATTCAAATATGGTTTACAGGCTTCAAATATAGTTTACAGGATTCAAAGATAGTTTACAGGATTCAAAGATAGTTTACAGGATTCAAATATAGTTTACAGGCTTCAAATATAGTTTACATGATTCAAAGATAGTTTACAGGATTCAAATATAGTTTACAGGATTCAAATATAGTTTAACAGATTAATATAGTTTACAGGATTCAAATACAGTTTACAAGATTCAAGCATGTTTACAGCATACAAAGAGACGGAATTCAGGATATAAAAATGTTTGCAGAATATAAAAATGTTTTTAGGATACAGATATAGTTTACGAGATACAAAAACAGCGTAAATATAATGTTAATGATAGGATAGGATACAAAAATAGGATAGGATACAAGAATAAGATAGGATAGGATACAAAAATAGGATATGATACAAAAATAGGATAATCCTAGAATACATGATTAGGATTAGGATACAAAAATAGGATAGGATACAAGAATAGGTTTATGATACAAGAATAGGATATGATACAAGAATAGGATTGGATACAAGAATAGGTATATGATACAAGAATAGGATATGATACAAGAATATAATAGGATACAAGAATAGAATAGGATACAAGAATAGGATAGAATACAAGAATAGGATAGGATATAAGAATAGGATAGGATAAAAGAATAGGGTTGGATACAAGAATAGGATAGGATACAAGAATAGAATAGGATACAAGAATAGGATTGGATACAAGAATAGGATAGGATACAAGAATAGGATAGGATACAAGAATAGGATACAAGAATAGGATTGGATCAAGAATAGGATAGGACACAAGAATAGGGTAGGATACAAGAATAGAATAGGATACAATAATAGGATAGAATACAAGAATAGGATAGGATACAAGAATAGGATAGGATACAAGATTAGGATAGGATACAAGAATAGGATAGGATACAAGAATAGGTATATGATACAAGCATAGGATATGAGTAACACTGAACTAATAATAATGAGCTGTATATCCAGGGTAAACTAAACCTGGTTGATCTGGCTGGAAGTGAACGCCAGGCTAAAACAGGAGCAGCTGGAGATAGGTTGAAGGAAGCTATGAAGATAAATCTATCCCTCTCCGCTCTAGGGAATGTTATCTCTGCTCTGGTAGACGGGAAATCAACTCATATCCCGTACAGAGATTCTAAACTAACTAGGATGCTCCAGGTATACCATTAAACACATTGACCCTAAAAGAACAGGCAAAAAAAGACAGAAAAACGAGCAAACCGAAAGCACAACACTAATACAGAGCAGTGTATAAGGAAAAATTATCAAATGATTTTAAATATCAGCGAGTTCAGCAGATATTATTAAATCAAGTTTTAAAGATAAATCTAAAGCCTGCCAAATTTAGGATTCCCTGGGAGGAAACACTAAAACCATGATGGTAGCATGTTTATCTCCTGCTGATAACAATTATGATGAAACCCTCTCCACCCTCAGATATGCAAACCGTGCCAAAAATATAAAAAACAAACCAAAGATTAACGAAGATCCTAAGGACGCAATGCTTCGAGAATATCAGTCCGAGATAGAGAAACTTAAACTTCTCTTAGAACAGAATCCAGGAATAGGAGAAATAGGTGAGTAACGTATATAGTACAGTAAATTGTAAATTATAGTAAAGATAGTTACAGACAGAGTAAATGACACGAAGAGACCGAACCAGTTTATACCCTCTCACATAAATGCATGAAAAACTTCGCCAAAAAAATCCTATTTTTGAAGAGCATTTTTCCACATATAGCATACACTGTAGAGAAAAATACTCGCAGAGCTTATAGCAGAAAGTATAGTCGGTTCACTATATTGATTGTACATGGGGTACAGTAAAGAATTAGTATGCAGTATTACAGCTCAAACTTCTGTACAGTAGCAAACTATCAAAATTCATACATCTATTTATTTATATTTTCATTTATAATTTTAACGTAATATAGTTTCTGTGAACTAGTACAGCTTACAGTGTACTGCAATATATACCGTGATGCAACCTATACCTAGAGTACTATATTATAGTGCATAATGTGGTGCAACCTTTGGTGTACTGTTGTACAACCTATAGTGTACTGTGTCAAGCGAGGTAAATTTTCAGTGTAAAATGAAACACAGCGTGCAGTTTAATTTTTTGTGTTTTTTGGTGTTCAGATGTTTTAATTTATGCAGTGTGTTTTCTGCGTACAGTTCCTTGTAGTACAATTCTTAACCGAATTACATAACTCACAAAGCGCGAGGTTCTCAGTGGTCAGATTTCAATCCCTCGTTCATCACCTCGACCTGGAATCCTGTAAAGTTGTTCATAAATAATCCAAATATAGAAAGGGACACTTTACTAAAATAGGAATAAAAGTGAAACATTTTGCTTTTATAAGCTAAGAGAACCAATTCCGCTTGTTGTTTAAAATAAGTTTGACACATGTTACTTGTTTCTATTTCTATTTAACATATATATATATATGCACAAAGTCAAGAATGGTGATGGTGCGTGGGGGAATCATATTAAATATTAACGTAAGTTTTATTAATGTATTTTAAAAGCTTACAAAGAACTCATTATTGAAAATATAACATTCAATAGAATAAAATTATTGTAGTTTTTCATAAAATAAGGTTAAGGTATCAATAGGAACTGTACTATAAATTGATATGTATAATGTACATAAGTGTACAAATGGTTCATGATCTTTATGCATGTACATGTACTTCTGTTAATTTATAATACAAATTTTGTATTGATCTTATCAAGGTTGTATATAATGTATTATACAACCTTGGATCTTATGAACTAAATACTTCAGTGCCAAACGAGGAGCTACTTGAGGCTGAGAGGACTAGAGTTCGGATTGAGTATGAGAAGGAGATGGAGGAAATCAGAGAGAAATACAAGTCAGAGCAACAGAGCAAAGCTAAAATACAATCAGAGGTAGGATTCAACTTAAAGGGACAGTAAGCGTATTTTCAAGTGATACTCCATCCATTTCACAACAAGTCCCCGAAAAGCTTTTTCTGATCAAGTTTGAATTATATAACAATGTTTATAATTTTGAAAACTGTTTTTTTCAATTGTAGATTCTACAAGGTGACTTGCGCATTTCTACTGCAGGAAAACATACAAGAAAAACGTTTAAACCTGAAAAACAACAATATTTTCACAAAATTGTTTAAATAATGGTTTCTAGGGTTTCATTGTGAATCATGAAATGCCATCTTTGCATTGAGGGTCCCTTGAAATTACGAATTACAGTCCTTTTANGGGGTTGAGTATTCACATAAGAGCAGTACGAAAGCTGTATCATATATATATATATTTTACTAAAATATTTAACCTACACATCTGAAATATCTTGATAACATCCTTAGAACAGTTTTCATCTAAGAAAGTAAAACCAAGGAGAAAGGGTTTAAAGCCGGCATAGAAACTAGTTTTATTTTCAACAATAACAAAGATTGCCAAAAAGCTGGGTTTTTCCTGGACAGGACATGATGGCGGGACCATCTACTTTTCCTGGACAGGACAGGAGGGCGGGACCATCGACTTTTCCTGGACAGGACAGGAGGGCGGGACCATCTACTTTTCCTGGACAGGACAGGAGGGCCGGACAATCAACTTTTCCTGGACAGGACAGGAGGGCCGGACCATTGACTTTTCCTGGACAGGGCAGGAGGGGCGGAAATTCGACTTTTTGCTAAATGTTAATTGTTTACAATAAAACTAGTGACAGATCTGTCCTATTACCCCACAGTAAAATGTAAACGATGTCTAACCCCCCCCCCCCTCTTGGCTTATAGGTTATGCCTCTTCTAGGGTATAGTAATTCTTAGCTCTGAACAGAAATGAAAGTTACATAAAAAATTTATCAGTTTGGTTTAATTAATAATTTAAAACTTACTTTATAAATAGTCCACGACCCACGTATTATTTACAAATGCACAATAAAGTTTTAAATTAACGTTATGCAAACATAACGATATTATGAATAATCAATATAGATATATAATATATATTGTACATATATGTTTTATACAATATATATTGTAGATGGTGTTGGGACATTGTAGATACTTATATATTGTACACAACATATATTTTAAAATTTAGAATAAAGGAACAAAAATATTTTTATAAATTCTAATGATCTCTTACTTATGAATTATTGAGAGATTAAAATGTCAATATTCCTTTCCCCGGACCCTTTCTCACGCTATACCTTCCGTACATACTCTTCCTCACGCTATACCTTCCCTTCATCACACTATACCTTCCATATATATCCATCCTCACGCTATACCTTCCATATATACCCTTCCTCACATACCTTCCATAATACCCTTCCTCACACTATACTTTCCATATATACCCTTCCTCACACTATACTTTCCATATATACCCTTCCTCACACTATACCTTCCATATATACCCTTTCTAACGCTATACCTTCCGTATATACCCTTCCTCACGCTATACCTTCCCTTCCTCACACTATACCTTCCCTTCCTCACGCTATACCTTCCCCTTCCTCACACTATATCTTCCCTTCCTCATGCTATACCTTCCCTTCCTCACACTATACCTTCCTTTCCTCACACTATACCTTCCATGTCTCAAGCTATACCTTCCCTTCCTTACACTATATCATCCCTTCCTTACACTATATCATCCCTTCCTCACACTATACCTTCCCTTCCTCACACTATGCCTTCCGTCCCTTACACTATACCTTCCATTCCTCACACTATACCTTCCCTTCCTCACACTATACCTTCCCTTCCTCACACTATACCTCCGATCCATAATAATCCCACACTATACCTTCCATCCATACTCTTCCTCACACTAAACCTCCGACTTACAAATAGATATATTATTACAAGTAGATATATTGTTACAAATAGATATATTATTACAAGTAGATATAATGTTACAAATAGATATATTATTACAAGTAGATATTTTGTTACAAGTAGATATATTGATACAAATAGCTAAATATTGTTACAATTAGATATATTGTTATAAGTATATATATATATAATACCAAAAATAAAATTTCATTACGCAAATTACACTTTTTTACTCAACCTGTAAATAAATTATATAAATATAACGATATATATATAAATATATTGTTACAGATTGAGGAGATGAAACAACATTATGAAGCAAAGCTAAGAGAAGTAAATGAAAGAGCTGTCTCAGCAATACCAGAAAGGTAAAGTTCGACAATTCTTGATTCTGGGTAAGCTCGACAATCCTTAATTCTGGGTCAGCTCGACAATCCTTGATTCTGGGTCAGCTCGACAATCCTTGATTCTGGGTCAGCTCGACAATTTTAGATTCTGGATCAGCTCGATAATCCTTGATTCTGGGTCAGCTCGACAATCCTTTAATCTGGATCAGCTCGACAATCCTTCAATCTGGGTCAGCTCGACAATTCTTGATTCTGGGTCAGCTCGACAATTCTTGATTCTGGGTCAGCTCGACAATNCCCCCCCCCCTCTTACCAACAACGTTGTCACTTCAGCCCCGCCAATTATTAGTTACGTCATATGATGATTTTGAGTGTCCATTGCTATGAAAACGACATTTTCTAAACATCGGAGCGCATCCAGAGTATCTCGAGTATCTAACCTTTACAAACAACCTTGGGATGTATATATTTAATGGCTTTTCTTTTTCAGTGTTGGGACGGATACAGATACAGATATAACAGCTGTTCCTAGACCCATCTCAGAGAATGGGGAAACTGTAAAACCGTAAGATTTTTTTCGCAAAAATTATGAGAAACTTAAAATATCTTAGTACAATTTTTGTTAATGATTTGTTCTTTATTCCAGGAATACGATGAGTCCGGAGCAAAAGGCAGCTTTAGAGAAGTAAGTCCGTCTAAAATATTTTTTTTTAATATTTCTCATATTAAAAAATTAATGTGAGGTTTGACGAACATTGAGTAAAATTAAATAGGTTTTATTATTAAACAAACTGTTTTATTTCAATTTTTTACTTGAAACCCAGTAATAATCTACCTCAGCTCAACCTTAACATATATGAATTATTCATGGTCAAACTTTGCCCACTAACTTTCAGTTAATTATGTTTAACTTTTTTTTCTCTAGTTTTTAACTTTCTACACAGTTTGCTTTACAATAAATTTGTTTTACGTCTAGAATACAATAAAAGTAGTTTTAAATCTAGAAAAGTTATTAACTTTGTTTCAGAAGATTGTAAAATATTTTTAACAGTTGAAATATTGTTTCAAATTTTTTATGGTGTGCATTTCAAGAATTTATTGTGATATAGAAGGGAATATCTCTAGGTTGCGTAAGTAATATAACTAGGTTGCGTAAACTCCAAGGGTTCTAGGATAAAATAACTATTCTAGGTTGTGTAAACTCCAAGAGTTCTAGAATTAAATGAAAATATCTAGGTTGTGTAAACTCCAAGAGTTCTATGATTAAAAATGAATCTATCTAGGTTGCGTAAACTCCAAGAGTTCTAGGATTAAACATGAATATATCTAGGTTGCGTAAACTCCAAGAGTTCCAGAATTAAAAATGAATATATCTAGGTTGCGTAAACTCCAAGAGTTCTAGGATTAAAAATGAATATATCTAGGTTGCGTAAACTCCAAGTTTTAGGATTAAATAAATAAATCTAGATTGCGTAAACTCCAAGAGTTCTAGGATTAAAAATGAATATATCTATGTTGCGTAATCTCCAAGAGTTCTAGAGTTAATTAAAAATATCTAGGTTGTGTAAACTCCAAGAGTTCTAGGATTAAAAATGAATATATCTATGTTGCGTAATCTCCAAGAGTTCTAGAATTATTAAGAATATCTAGGTTGTGTAAGCTCCAAGGGTTCTAGGATAAAATAAATGAATCTAGGTAGTACAAACTCCAAGAGCTCTAGGATTAAAAATGAATATATCTAGGTTGTATAAACTCCAAGAGCTCTAGGATTAAAAATGAATTTATCTAGGTAGTATAAACTCCAAGAGTTCTAGGATTAAAAATGAATATATCTAGATTGCGTAAACTCCAAGAGTTCCAGAATTAAATATGAATTTATCTAGGTTGCGTAAACTCCAAGAGTTCCAGAATTAAAAATAAATAAATCTAGATTGCGTAAACTCCAAGAGTTCCAGAATTAAAAATGAATTTATCTATGTTGCGTAAACTCCAAGAGTTCCAGAATTAAAAATAAATAAATCTAGATTGCGTAAACTCCAAGAGTTTCAGAATTAAAAATGAATATATCTAGGTTGCGTAAACTCCAAGAGTTCCAGAATTAAAAATGAATATATCTAGGTTGCGTAAACTCCAAGAGTTCTAGGATTAAAAATAAATATATCTAGGTTGTGTATTCTTCAAGAGTTCTAGGATTAAATGAATATTTCTAGGTCGTGTTAATTCCAAGATTTCTAAGTTAAAATAAATATATTTAGGCCGTGTTAACTCCAAGAGTTCTAGGTTAAAATAAATATATCTAGGTTGCGTAAACTCCAAAAGTTCTAGGTTAAAATAAATATATCTAGGTTGCGTAAACTCCAAGAGTTCTAGGTTTAAATAAATATATCTAGGTTGCGTAAACTCCAAGAGTTCTAGGTTAAAATAAATATATTTAGGTTGCGTAAACTCCAAGAGTTCTAGGTTAAAATAAATATATCTAGGTTGCGTAAACTCCAAGAGTCTAGGTTAAAATAAATATATCTAGGTTGCGTAAACTCCAAGAGTTCTAGGTTAAAATAAATATATCTAGGTTGCGTAAACTCCAAGAGTCTAGGTTAAAATAAATATATCTAGGTTGCGTAAACTCCAAGAGTTCTAGGTTAAAATAAATATATCTAGGTTGCGTAAACTCCAAGAGTCTATGCTTGATGGAGGGAAGAGAGCTGGAGATAAAGATCTCAAGGAGAGAAGATTAAAGAGAAAGAAAGCTGCTGAGAAAAGAATAAAGGTTCTAGGTGAGGCTCTGGGTCATGTAGATGTAGAGGATGGAGTTCTAGTCAAGGTTTATGATGATATACAAACTGAATTAAGTGAGAAGACGGCTGCTCTTAAACGAATGAAGCAGAGGGTAAGAGGACTCAACAGTGAAATAAGGTGAGACAAATCTGAAGAATTTGCAATTAAATCTTCGGTCTAACTAAAAATGACAAATTTTAATTGTTTAGTGATCTCCAGTCAGAGTTTGAGAAGGATCGCCAGGAGTACCTAGATACAATACGATCTCAGGATCAACAATTAATTCTTCTCCAGACACTGATAGACAAGGTTCAATCTACCCTGAGAAAGGATTGTAATTACAGGTATTCTCTTGAACAAAATTAGATAAAATAGTTACTAAATGGGAAAAGTATTAAATGATTTTTTTAAACTTCAATCTGAAAGGGACTGTTAAGGTAAATGAAACGAAGGTTAGGCTAAAGTCTAGAAATTTTAGGCGTTGATCACGACCAATAGTATTTCTATCTAATGTCCCGGTTTCTTGAAATTGATATAAAACTGTGTCCGAGAACTACTAAAAGTCACAAATATGTAATATTGTCGACGTAGCCCTAAGTGACCAAATACTGCACGGCCATTGGCGGACATTCACAATATAGACGGAGCCACATGACCAAATACTGTACTGTCATTGGTGGAATAATCGGTCACGTGATACAGACGCGACCCGATTAAATTCAATTATATCTATTAAAAAAAGAATATGTATTATATTATTCTCGGGCCCAGTTTCATATCAATTTCTCGAGACAGAGACATCAGATAAAACTATTATTGGTTATGATCCACTCCTAAAATGTTTAGGCCTTAGCCGTTACCCCCTTTTATTTTACCTTAACAGTCCCTTTAAGGAGCTATACAACTCAAGCTATTATTCAAACCTGACCCTGAGTAATGATTAATCCTTGTAATATTTTAGTAACATGGATAAGATAAAGCAGGAGAGTGTATGGAATGATGAAACCCAGAGATGGCGAGTACCTGATCTTGTAATATACAAGACTAAACTGCCCCCAGCAGGTAACAAATACGTTTTCAATTATTAGGTGGACTGAGGATATGTAGCTAGTGGATGATTGTGGAGTTTAGAAAATTCAGGAAGAATATTGGAGTTTAGAAAGTTATAGAGATTAAATACTGTTGCTTGGATAGTGGAGTTTTAAATTCAAAATTGGATATGGGAGCTTAGATGGTATTGTTTGGATAGTGGAATTTTATACTGGATAAATTGGAGTTTAGATGGTTGTGTTTGGATAATGGAATTTTAAATTTAATATTGGAGTTTAGATGGTTTTGTTTGGATATTCAAGTTTAGATTTTATATTGGAGTTTAGATGGTTTTGTTTGGATAAAGAAGTTTTAAATTGAATATTGAAGTTTATATGGTTTTGTTTGGATATTCAAGTTTAAATTGGATATTGAAGTTTAAATGGTTTTGTGTGGATAGTGGAGTTTTAAAATGGATATTGGTGTTTAGATGGTATTGTTTGGATATTCAAGCTTAAATTGGATATTAAAGTTTAGATGGTATTGTTTGGATATTCAAGTTTAAATTGGATATTGGAGTTTAGATGGTATTGTATGGATAGTGGAATTTTTAATTGGATATTGGGAATTTTAAAGTATAGTGTGGATAGTGGAGTTTTAAATTGGATATTGGAGTTTAGATGGTATTGTATGGATAGTGAAGTTTTAGATTATATATTGGATTTTAGATGGTATTGTTTGGATAGTGAAGTTTAAATTGGATATTGGAGTTTAGATGGTATTGTTTGGATAGTGGAAATTTTAATTGGATATTGGGAATGTTAAAGTATTGTGTGGATAGTTTAAATTGGATATTGGAGTTTAGATGGTATTGTTTGGATATTCAAGTTTAAATTGGATATTGAAGTTTAGATGGTTTTGTATGGATAATGGAATTTTAAATTGGATATTGGAGTTTAAATGGTTTTGTTTGGATATTCATGTTTAAATTGGATATTGGAGTATAGATGGTTTTGTTGGGATATTGAAGTTTAAATTGGATATTGAAGTTTAGATGGTATTGTTTGGATAGTGAAGTTTAAATTGGATATTGGAGTTTAGATGGTATTGTTTGGATATTCAAGTTTAAATCGGATATTAAAGTTTAAATGGTTTTGTTTGGATAGTGAAGTTTAAATTGGATATTGAAGTTTGAATGGTTTTGTTTGGATAGTGAAGTTTAAATTGGATATTGGAGTTTAGATGGTATTGTTTGGATAAAGAAGTTTTAGATTGGATATTGGAGTTTAGATGGTTTTGTTTTGATATTCAAGTTTAAATTGGATATTGAAGTTTAAATGGTTTTGTTTGGATAGTGAAGTTTTAAATTGGATATTGGATTTTAGATGGTATTGTTTGGATAGTGAAGTTTAAATTGGATATTGGAGTTTAGATGGTTTTGTATGGATAATGGAATTTTAAATTGGATATTGGAGTTTAGATGGTTTTGTTTGGATATTCAAGTTTAAATTGGATATTGGAGTTTAGATGGTTTTGTTTGGATATTCAAGTTTAAATTGGATATTGAATTTTATATGGTTTTGTTTGGATAGTGAAGTTTTAAATTGGATATTGGAGTTTAGATGGTTTTGTTTTGATAGTGGAGTTTTAGATTATATATTGGATTTTAGATGGTATTGTTTGGATAGTGAAGTTTTAGATTATATATTGGATTTTAGATGGTATTGTTTGGATAGTGAAGTTTAAATTGGATATTGGAGTTTAGATGGTATTGTTTGGATATTCAAGTTTAAATTGGATATTGAAGTTTAAATGGTTTTGTTTGGATAGTGAAGTTTTAAATTGGATATTGGAGTTTAGATGGTATTGTATGGATAGTGGAGTTTTAGATTATATATTGGATTTTAGATGGTATTGTTTGGATAGTGAAGTTTTAGATTATATATTGGAGTTTAGATGGTTTTGTATGGATAAGGGAATTTTAAATTGGATATTGGAGTTTAGATGGTATTGTTTGGATAGTGGAGTTTTAAATTGGATATTGGGGATTATAAAGTATTGTTTGGATAATGGAGTTGAAATTGGATTTTGGAGTTTAGATAGTGTTGTGTGAATAGTGGAGTTTAAAATTGGATTTTTTAGTTTAGAAAGTATTGTGTGGATAGTAGAATTTTTTTAAATGAAGTTCAGAACTGGATATTGGAGTGTTAATACTGTAATGTAAACAACGGAGATAAAAATTGCATATTAGAGTTTAGCAAGTATTGTGATTTTTAATTGAGTTCAGAATTGGAAACTGGAGTGCCAGATAGGGTTGTGTGGGGATGGTGCTGCGTATAAAATGGATGGTCTGATACATATATTGGATTTAGAAAGCAACAAGTTGAATTATTTATCCATTCTCCAGTCTCCACGCAGCGCTGGTAACTTTCCGCTAAACCCCGGGATTTCAGGACCTTCACTTTAACAGAGAAATATAAACCAGACTATCAAATATTTATGATTTTTGAAAAGTTCAGAGATATCTCATACACATAATCTATTATACGATATATTCAGATATTCCATTATACGATATATTCAGATATTCCATTATACGATATATTCAGATATTTCATTAGAAGATGTAATTAGATATATGGATACAAGACATCCAACGGGAAATTTATCCAGATTCTTTATTTAGACGTTTAAAAAATATTTACTATATTCTATTCACAATAAACATACAAGAAATTAACGTTTGGTTAAAATATTGTCAAAGTACACAGGGATTTTTCATAAAATATTTAACAGTTTTTTACTGAATAATTTTTTAATATTCAAGTAATTGATGTTTATTAGTGAACCTAAATCAAATATTGAAAAAGAATTACAAAGTTCAAGTATATATTTACAAGGACCATTCGGGAGTATATTAAACGGAGTGCCTGAACCCGAAATAGTGAGAGTAGAACCAGGACAAGGACTATCTAGGACAGCTCCAGCTCGTCTGCAAGCTCTCGACGATGATTCTGAAGACGAACATTCTAATCTTGTCAAGGTTGAGAACCAACCATGATTTAAATCCAGAAAAATGCATGATTTGAATTTTAGGAAATCTGCACTCTGTCGGCGGGAAGGATTCCCGTCCTCCCACCACATCCCATACCCAGGATTCCGAGTATCTTGAAAACTATGATGATAATGCGCGTGAAGATGAATCTGATGATGATGCTGGTGTACTCAGCCAGGTTTACCCCCCCCCCTGCTTACCCACTCAGGGGCGTATATAAGGGGGCATGTGCACCCCTGGAAAGTTGGGGTCATAGTTCCAAGGGGGCCTCTGGAAGTGGCTGAACCTATGAAAAGTTAAGAAAAGTTGAGCCTCCCTGGACTAATTCCTATATACGCCCCTGTTAACTCACTTACCTCACTTTCTGATCTTGTCCATGGAGAACTTAGATGTTTAACTGTACTCGGAGAAGTTTAAGGTTCTGGAGCACTTTTCATCCTACACAACAATCCTGGAGTAAATCTGTCGGGACGGATATTTTGGTTTTCTATCAAATTATAAAACGTTGAACATATCATCATAGTTGAAAGATACTCCAGGACAAACCATTCAAAATCTCGTTTCTAATTCATAATATCTTTACCTTTTTTTAGATGAAAAGAGATTTTAAATAGTTTTTTTTCACTTCACAAATATGATGAAACAGTCATTTTGCTTGAACTTACAAATGCAATGTAACCCTTTATACTGCACATAGCACAATGCACAACATTTGTGAATAATTTCTATTTTTAAAATACTAAATTGCGTATGTTCTTCATTCTATTTTTCACTATTCTGTGCATGTGTTAATTGGTCTGAAACATATAGTGTTAGAATGATCAGAGCTCCAGAACCTTTAAAATTAAAAAGGATTGCTTCTTTTAATATTCAAAATGATATTCACGTTTGATTTTTACTGTTTTTTAGACAAAATTGTTTTGTTTAAGATTTGCAGAATTATTATTGAAGTTTCCTTATAACAATATTTACGATAATTTGTTCAAGCAATAAACAAAATTTAAGAAAGAAGAAAATGAGTTTAAAATATTTTTAAGAATTATGATCTGTGATCATTGTGTTCAAATATTGTAACCAACTGAATATTTATTAAGTGCATTTAATGACCATCAATAGTGGACGTGGTTTCTTTAAAGCAAAACATCTTCTTAACAATTTTGTTCATAAATGAGATAAACTTATTTTACAATCTGCAGAGAAAGAGAGAAGGACAAAAATATTATATCAGTTCTTTGAAGAACCATCTTGAATTTAAAACCTGTTTAGAAATTGGCTAAGAGCGAAGAGGAGGATATTGCCGGAAACTATTTTAAACCAAAGCGTGCAACGCGGCTTATGGCGCAGGCGCAGGAGACGCAGAGAGCCGTGAGTAAGTTTAAAGGTACCAACTCCCAAACTGGCATTTTCAACTCAAAGTTTAATATCGTTTGATTTGTAAAAAATCCAAACAAGGATTGTTTGAAGTTTTTAATGTACATATATGATCTAGCAGTAATGTAAACATTTTTTTAACAATTCTTTAGAGTTTGGTTTAAATGGATAATGTAAGATTAATGATGCTATGAAAACCGACCATGAGTCTTTGCCACAAACTCTGATTTCCTAATCCCTAAATATGTGTAACCCAGTGTCGTAGACCCTAGATATTAAAAACTATAAATTCTGTTAGAACAATTAATCTTAGTTTGAAACATAGAAGGTTTACACAATTTCCACTGTTCAGAAGATAAAGGGATTAGAAAATCATGATTATAGTATTTCTTTTTTTCGTCTAATTCCGCGCTGAACCCAACTCCAACCTAATGGATTTAAAGATTTTTGCGTTTTAAATCCGTTATCCTGATCCTGTTATCCATGGATTTGGTAGCAATATCCAGAAAAAATATGTGTTAGGATTTACTAAAAATACATTGATGATACTGATGATATTTTATTTATAAACTTTATAATTTTTGTTACAGTTCCCGGGAGCTGGTACTTTTCATTTATCAATCTTAATGTATTCTTTTTATTTACAATGCATGTATGCATATGTTTTCTTTTCTGTATTTTTTTAAAAATATAACCTATACAATTTTGCACAAATCGCTACTTTTAAAAAGTTGGAGTACATATTACACTTAAAAAGTTTTTAAACTAAAGAAAGTTTCAATCGCAATTTTAAAATTTTAATGTCACCTTTCATTATTTTGAACTCAGCATGAAAAGAGGACTATTTATTCTTGTTTACCTTATAAACCATAGAAAAATTCTAGATTCTGAACTATTTATTTATTAACTATTTAGATCTAGTAGGACCTCGGTCTGGACTAAATCCAGGTGTATCTGGAAACCTGAACTCAGCTCTAGCTACCTCCTTCAACTCTGGTCTAAACACGGTTGGATTAAACAACTCCTATGCAGTCAACAACGGGAGGGAGACGAGGAACTGGGGCCCGGCATCTACGGGACCAACCTGGCTTAGTAAGCTCTTCATTATTTACTTTAAGATTTTGAACCTCCAGGAGTAAACCTATATTTTAGTCTGCAGCAAAGAATACTTGCCTTTTTGGATTTTTCCAGAGCCCTGGTTGACTTTAAACCAACTGTAATTTGTTATAGAAGCCCTGTTTCCAACTAAGAAAGGGTTTGAGTCTTTTCCACAAGCTCTGATATTCTAATCCTTTTATCTCTGCAACCCAATGTTGTAAACCTTTGATATTTCAAACTATTGATTGTATTAGATCAAATAATCATAGTTTGAAATATTAAAGGTTCAAATAATTGGATTGCAAAGATATAGGTAGTACGAGTTCTGAGTTTGTGACAAAGACTCAATTCCTTTGCATTTATTTTGTGAGATTAATAGTGGTTTTTTTCAAATACTACAATTCATTTTTTACTCAACGTTGATTCTTTATAAATTGAAAATTATCCTCTTTTGTCATTAAATAAAGTCCCATATCCATGTTTGTTGAACTCTTTAGAGCCTAAAAAAGTCATTTTATTTTTCTTAAAATTAAGATAATGGAGGTGGTGGTGGAACTACTGAGTATGGAGGATACAGCCTAGGTTCCTATTCTAACTACTCCAGCTCTGGTCCAACCAGTATATACCATGGTGATGCTCCACAACGGAAACCAACCAGGCTAGAAGCTCTACCCAGTATGGGAGCTCTAGGGAAGAATAATATTAAGAAGAAAAGTACACCGATCCTTAACACCATGGGAACATTTTAGAATTAATTTCTAACTAACCAGCTCTTTCAGTCCCTGCTAACTCTAAATCTAAAAATATTAGCTGTTTAATACCAAAAAAATGGCCATGCCTAGCTAGGACAAGAACAAACAAAAGCATTTTTTTTCAATTTCTAATTATTCTTTTAAAAAAGATAATAGTTTGCATTTTTTCAAATAAAACAAGATGAACTAATTATGAATTTTTTTACAACGTTGATAAAAAAATATTTAATACTCCTGCTTTGATTTTCTTGCAAGCTCTAACATAGTTGAGAGAATATATATCCAACATCTCAAGTAAAATAATATCTATAAAGTAAAAACGACCCTGCTGTTTTAAGCTGGCTAATCTATTCATAAAAGGAATATTCATATTTTTCCAAGAGTTGATAAAGTAGGTTTAGCTGGTGATATGTAATAATTATAAAACTAAAACATAGTTTGGTTCTTATTCTAAATCTATTTGGAGATAAGACCAAATTTTACACATCTTTGATCAAACCATCTCTAGAACGTCTAACAAGGTTTGGTAAATTGCTGATATAGAAGGTACAGTGTAACCCACGAAGAATGAGACTTCAGAGACGACTGTACAGAATTTATACTGTTTAAGATAGGTTTAAGATAGATTTTCAGGTCGTATTTACAGTCTTATACTTTGTGGGTAACCCTGTATATTGCACTGATTTAGTGATACGTAAACTGAACAATCTACAATCTGTGTTATCATCTATAAATTATTTATATTTAAACAATTATTTTCAATGAAATGAAATTATTATGATTATTATATGAATTGTGTAGTTGTCTATAATTCTATAGAAATAAATGTTTTATTTAATAACCAGGGGGAAACGAAAGGAAAATGGAGGGAACGGATTGTAGAGAAAGGCATGAAATACAATGTATAGAATAGAAATACACATGGAGTAAGAAAAGGATAGAAAAAAGGTTTTTTGATCAGTTCTCAAACATTTAAGTTTTCTGGCGTTTAAGAAGGTTTAAAAGAATCTGAGATGTTTCTCACAAAGTAGAATTCTATTTTCCTAAAGTTAGCTTTTATTACACTATTTAAAGTTTTTTCTCTGCATAAAAATATTTAAGAAAACATTATTTCAAACCGATTTATTATAAACGATTTTACCAAAATAATCGTTTTGGATTATATTTTTAAGAAGTAAAATAGGGTAAAGTGTAGATAAAGGGAAGGTTTAGATGAAGTAGGGAAAGGAAAAAACAAGAGGAAGTGTGGAGAAAGGAAAGATGAAGATGGAGGAAGTGTGGAGAAAGAAAAGATGAAGATGGAGAAGAGAAAGGATAAAACAAGATGAAGTGGGGAGAAAGGAAAGATGAAGATGGAGAAGAGAAAGGATAAAACAAGATGAAGTGTGGAGAAAGGAAAGATGAAGATGGAGAAGAGAAAGGATAAAACAAGATGAAGTGTGGAGAAAGGAAAGATGAAGATGGAGTAGAGAAAGGATAGAACAAGATGAAGTGTGGAGAAAGGAGGATGAAGATGGGGTGGGGAAAGGATAAAACAAGATGAAGTGTGGAGAAAGGAGGATGAAGATGGGGTGGGGAAAGGATAGAACAAGATGAAGTGTGTAGAAAGGAAAGATGAAGAGAAGGTGGTGTAGGGAAAGGATAAGACAAGATGCAGTTTAGAAAAGAAAGATGATGATGGAGGAAAAAACAAGTGTAAAGAAAGGAACCTTAAATATGGAGCAGGTAAAGAAAAGAAAAATTGTAGAGAAAGGAAAGATGAAGAGAAGATGGAGAAGGAAAAGGAAAGTACAAGTGTAAAAGTTGAAATGTAAAGAAAGGACAGTAAAATATGGAGTAGGGAAAGGATAAAACAAGTGGAAGTGTGGGAGGGAGGATGAAGAGGGATTTGGGAAAGGTGATAGGAGTAGAGAAAGGAAAGATGACGATGGACAAGGGAAAGGAAAGAACAAGTGTAGAGAAAGGAGATTATCAAGATGGAGTCAAGGGCAAGGAAAGAATAAAAATACGGTGGAAGGGGAGTGCGTATAGAGAGAAAAAGAAACAGAAGCGACCAAGATAGAAGATAGATCGAATTATGGAATATGAAATTTCGACTAGACGACCTCCCTGTATGGTTGAATGGATGGTTGGAGAGCAGGTAGAGAACAGCTGATCTATGGTTTAAGACCAAATCTACCATCGGATACTAGTACTCCGGTCTCCGGGTTCTCACACAGTAGGAGATTACTAGTGTAGAGAGACAGGAAGAGAGGGAGGGTGTTAGAATAAGCATATACATAACTTATCCAGTCAAGAGTTTATGCCAGAAAACTAAACGATAAATAGGATAAATAATAGAATTACATTATTATAATTTCAGAAAGAAATGAAACAGGTTTTCAGATAAAAACGTCGATTTTTTGGCACTGCCACTAAAATAAATTATGTCGAAGAAAATCCATAAGATAAATTGTGAAAATATAAAAAACTGTACTGAAACCATTCAACAATCACTAAGATCAATTTTCCACATGGAAACCATAAACCTATACTTCCCATCTAAACCTAGAGTTTCCCTGGAGACAAGTGAGTTGGTAGAATCCTGATCCTGCGAGTACCATGAGGATCCTACAGGATCCTACAGGATGGATTGGAGTATAGTTCCAAACCTGGGACAAATCCTAGAGGATCTTCGTCTTGAGGTTGTAGCGTACACTCATAAGGTATTTAATGTTAATCTTTTTCGCCAGAGAGACGTTTCACAAAGAACACTTTTATAGAAATTAAATCAACGTGGATTTATCTCCATTTTCTTCCTATTGAATTCCCTATTCCAAAAACGACATTCAATAATGTTGCAAATTCGAAATTTAGTTTTAAACCAAATGTTCTTCATGGCAACTATCTCTATTTTTTTCTTTTTTTTCAGGATTTTCTGCCAACTGAAAATATTCTTACTGAGATTTTTAAAAAGGTATAAATAAATTTTCTGTAAAAAATATAAATAATAACTTATTTCTTCTTTATTTCAGTGTTGCAGTTCTCTAGGTTTAGTAAAGAGATTGAATCCATTTCTTCAACTTATCATTGGAGCAGTCGTCTTCTCTTTCTGGATTCTTCTTGCACTCAAACTCTTCCAATCCATTACAATCCCATGGTAAATATAATTCACAGACAATCTGATATTTAAATAAATTGAGTTAAATCAGCCCCCCCCCCCGTGCAAATACTTTCAGTTACGGGGACTTCATGAAGTTTAAAACATATATTAATTGAAATAACAGATGAAACTCGTTCACAATAACCCTGAGGCAGAACAGGCTCTTTCTGTCTTGTAATTCTACGCCGACGGCGCGAAACTCCTCTGGGTTTCTGCCTCAGCCTCAGGGTTATTTTGAACGAGTTTCATCCTAATCTTGAAAAGACGACATTTAGTGTCCTATCTGTTATTTTGATTAATCTATGCTTTAAAACTATTTAATCTCTAGCTCTAATACAAAAACTAGCTTCTTTATCAAAATAAACACTTGAGTCTTAAATGAATAAAAAATGAAATAGTTTTTTAAATAACTTGGTAAAATCAAGATTGTTCTCTGCTTATTGATTTTTGAACCGGATTACTTGACATCCAACTTTGTGTTGTAACAAAAAGTCACGATTAAAATATTTTCTCTCTCTCGTTTTTATCAGATTCCTCGCCTCAAACTTCAATTTTTTTCTCTATATCTATGCAACCAGATGGTGCTAACCTTAATATTTCCAACATTGACAAATGGATTGAGCAAAATTGTGATTTGTAAATATTTAATGCCTACGACATCAAATTGCTTAGATGTCAAAATTATAAAATTAGGTTTTGAGACTGGTCACCAGTTTCTTAAATGATGGCTCACTTAAACAAAAATAATGTCGGATTCACGTCAGGATTTTGGATTTGAGTTTCATGTAACCAATTAGATCTAGATAAGTTTGATACATTCTACAGTGATAGCCAGAGAACCCTGAAATAGGAAGACGACTTTATAAGTGTATTTGACGTTTTTTCAAAGAAAATAGGTTTACTAGACACTTGTTAAAACACTAATGAAGTGAAATGGGTCTGTTTACACTGCACAATTTCTGTGTCCCATGGTTATTAGACCATTTAAATTCATAACTTAAGTCTAGAAGTCGTCTTCTTATTTCAGAGTTTTCTGGTTATCACTGTATGCTAATTGGGAGATTAACCAAACTCTGGGGTTGTCAAAACTAGTCAAACTTCGAGGATTAACCCATTAGAGATTGGTCATTCTCTTCTTAATAGAGATTAAAAATAACTCCGCGTATTTAAAAGTTCCCGGCTTAGGCAAATGTTTACTTTTGTTAAGCTATGCATCTGGGGAGAGGATGGATGATAAAACCGTCCTGATCACTGGTTCAAACAGAGGGAGAGGGTTGGAGGTAGCCAGGGAGCTGGCCAGTAGAGGAGCAAGGATTATACTGGCTTGTAGGAATATGCAGAGAGGAGAGGAGGCAATGAAATTTATCAGGTTTGGTTTGGTTAGCACTAGTATTTATAGATTTTAATTTTTTTTAAATAATTGAGATATTTGGGGTTACAGTGATGGGAGGATGGTATTATTAAAACTATTTCTTGTTTACCGTAAAACCAAAAGTGTAAAACAATTGTAATTTTACCCTTTTAAAATTTTTCATGATTTAAATAAATATCCGCTACAGAAGATAATAGTATATAAAGAATAAAGTACAAAACAAATATTCTCAAACAGAAATAAAAAAATCAGAAATGTTTTTAGGAAAGTCAAAGGAAAGTATGTAGCACTTTTGTTCTGCGATTTCTTTCTGTTTTTTTAGATACATCATACAGGGTTACCCACAAATACTGAGACTTGAAAACTTAATTAACGATTTGAAGGTTGAATTCGGTCTTCTGCTTTAAGTAAATAGTTCAAGTGATCTAATGAATAATTTTCTGAAGAAAGGAACAAGTTAAAAGTTGTAAGAAACCAAAAATGTTTGAAAAAAGTCTGCAAAAAGTCTCATCCTTTGCGGTTATAATTACTATACTATACTATATAATCACTATATAATCACTATACTTTACGATATAAACACTATATAATCACTATACTATACTACATAATCACTATATAATCACTATACTATACAATATAATCAATATATAATCACATAATATACTATATGCTCACTTTACTATACTATATAATCAACTATATAATCACTATATAATCACTACACTATACTATACTATACTATACTATACTATAATATACTATACTATACTATACTATACTATATAATCAATTATATAATCACTATACTATACTACATAATCACTATATTATCACTATACTATACTAAATAATCAACTATATAATCACTATACTATACTATATGATCACTAAGAAAAAAGTATAAATTACCAAGAAGTGAAAATCATCTTATTTCAGGAAAACTGCCAACACAACTAGACTCAGTCTTGCCAAAATTGATTTCTCTGATATGATGAGTATTCGAAATCTTGCTCATCAAGTCCTGTCAAACGAAACCAGACTTGACGTTCTCATTTGTAATGGGAGCGTATCCTTAGACAGGTATATACACTATATCCTTAGACAGGTATAGACACTATACAGATTATCCTAGTTTATATTCTAGTGGTAAAAATGATGCAAAATTTAAAGTAAGGTTAGGATTAGGAAAATGAGAAGACAAGAAGTTTCTAATGAGGACAAAGTTTGAGGATGAGTATCTGATAAGTTGAGTAGAAGGATGAAAGAATGAAAAAGTCAAGAGTAAGGATTAAAAGTTAGAAGTAAAACCGGAGAAAAGCTGAAAGATTCTGAAAGGGAGTGTTCAGAATAAAGAATGAAATGGTTAACCAGTTTTGGGTTCCTGGATATATGGTATTTTGCAGTAAAGATTCAGAATTTTCAAATAATCTCGAACGAGCACTTTTATTTTTATAATCAAAAAATGTTGAATTGAATTAAACTTTTATTACGGTTAAAATAACATATTTAACTTTTTTAAAAAAGAACATTTTTACCGCATTTATAGTAGAAGTTATTATATGGCGGATGAAAGAAGACTTTCTTCGTTTAAAGTTTGAAACTGCTCTCAGCAAAAAACTTTTTTTTACAATTTATTAATACTTAAACATCAGATAAAAATAGATTATTAACATCGATTTCGAACTGAATTCAAGTTTAGCAATTTTCACTTCCTTTAATTTAAAATAAATTCATATTTTAGGTTGTACAGAACAGAAACAGGAGTAGAAGTTCACCTTGCAACAAACTATCTTGGTTTCTTTCTTCTCTCAAACCTTCTTCTTTCTCTTCTTTCTTCCTCAGGTAATTCGTTCTTCCTCTCTTCCTAAAGTATTCTTATGTTTTCCTTTGCCCGTTCTTGTTTCCTTTTCCTCTTTGCTTCTCAATTATCAATTGGCTTCTCTTTTCATTCAAATGAGTTTTCCACATTTTATTTTCTCTCTCTTTTCTTTTTCAGACTAATGTTTAAACTTCAACCTTTTCTCTTTTATAGACGGACGAATTTTACTGCCAGCCGGTCAGGACCTATGGTCTGCGGACCTGGAGATAGATAATCTAAACTCAGAACTCAGATTTAACAAGAAGACTGTGTTTGCAAACTCCCAGCTAGCCAACCTATTGTTTACTCGTCAGCTGGCGGTGAGATGTGCTGCTGCTAAGATACCTGTTGCTGTGAATTGTTATGATATTGGTAAACAAAGAACTAGTTTCAACTGGTTCAGTGCCACACGAGAACATAATGCTGTGGAGAACATGGTTCACCTTGCAGTATCTAAGGATGGGAAGGAAACTTCGGGAAATTATTTTACCGGGTGTAAGATAGCCAAGGTGTCGGAGAGAGCCAGTGATTCCGCGTTAGCGGAGAAACTATGGAATTTCAGTACGTTCTTCACAAATCTACAAGAGGAAGAAAGCATATTCTAAACCATGTCTTATTATCATGTTTATTGTACAAGAGTAAACACATTTCCTAATGTTTTCTAAGAAGGAAAATTCGGACGTAAAAACGACAATGTCTTCCGTATTATAAATCCGATAAAGGCAAACACAACCGATGAAATCCTTTGAATAAAGGGTACTGTTGTTAATCGGGTAAGTAACTCTTAAAATTTAGTTTCCTTGTAAATAGGTCTTTTTAAGCTAGTTTGGCAGAAAAAAATCTGGGATATGAACTTTATAAATCCTTTATAAATAATCCTTGCCTTCTCATAATTTATAAGATTTTATTCAATATCAAATTAAATATTCTCTCATCTGGCGTCTGACAAAAAATCTTAAATTTACACAAGAAATCATTTTGGAATCTTGAAGGATGGTTGAATTATTTAAATATCAATTCAAGGATCAATAATGGAGAAGATTTAATGGTAACTTGGTCAATTGTTTTATTTAAATAGAATTATCTGCTCCCTGAATACTTTCTTGGCTTTCCTTTCAATAAAACCTCGTCCTCTCTCTCTCTCTCTCTCTCTCTCTCTCTCTCTCTCTCTTTTTCTCCGTCTATCTATCTATCTGTGTACGAGGAGCCTGCTGAGAATATTGATTGCGAAGAATAAACTCAGTCTGACTCAAACACAATGCTTTTTAGTCATATTATCACTCTAGTCTGCATATATTGTACAATTGACCTTGTACATAAACACAACAAATAATTATCAAAATTAAATTTAATTTAGTATGTTAAGTTTCTACCTGGACTCATGGAACACTGCACAATTTAAATCATTTTAACAACCACAGATCGTTGTTCAGATTTACCAAAATTATGTAAAACCATATGTACAGACCTTACCATTGATTAGTACCTGTATTGTGTACTTGTATTAAGTTTATTATGAAACCATATGTACAGAAACAAATTTTCAGAAAGAATGCGGAGTATATCAGAACTTGAGAAAACTAAAACAGAACTTTCCTTAGCTTTAGTAGAACTAGATAAACTTGGTTAGTTTCATCCTCCATCATTCATCATTCATCCTTCAATATTCATCCTTTATCATTCATCATTCATCATTCATCCTTCAATATTCATCCTTCAATATTCATCCTTCATTCTTCATCTTTCATTCTTCAACATTCCACTTTCATTCTTCATCCTTCAATATTCATTCTTCAACATTCATTCTTTATCATTCATTCATCAACATTTACTTTCATTCTTCGTCATTCATCCTTCAATATTCATTCTTCATCATTCATTCTTTATCATTCATTCATCAACATTTACTTTCAATCTTCATCATTCATCCTTCAATATTCACCCTTCATCATTCATTCTTCATCTTTTTTTCTTCAACATTCCAATTTCATTCTGCATCATTCATCCTTCAATATTCATCCTTCATCATTCATTCTTCATATTTCATTCTTCAGCCTTTTACATTCATTCATCAATATTCATCCTTCACATTCTTCAGAATTTATCAATCACCCTTCATCATTAATTCTTCATTATTTATTATTCATTATTCATTCGTTAATATTCATCCTTCACATTCTAAAGCATTTATCATCTTTCATCCTTCATCTTTCATCTTTCATCCTTCATTATTTATTAATCATTCTTTAATATTCATCTTTACATTCTTTATCATTCCTCATTCGTCCTTCAACTTTCCTCATTTATCCTTCAACATTTCTCAATCTTTAAGCATTCATCATTCTTTCTTCAATTTTCATCCTTCATATTTTTATCATTCCTCATTCATCTTTCAGCATTCCTCATTTATCCTTCACCATTCCTCATTCATTCTTCAATATTCTTCCTTTACATTCTTTAAGGATTCATCATTCATCATTCATCCTTCATAATTCATTCTTCAATATTCATCCGCCACATTCTTTATCATTCATCATTTATCCTTTAACATTCCTCATTCATCCTTCAATATTACATTCTTCATCCTTAATTCTTCATTCTTCATCCTTTATTCTTCATCCTTTATTCTTCATCCTTCATTCTTCATCCTTTATTCTTCATCCTTTATCCTTCATCCTTTATCCTTCATTCTTCATTCTTCATTCTTCATCATTCATTCTTCATCCTACATCCTTCATCCTTCATTCTTCATCCTTCTCCCTTCATTCTTCATTCTTCATCATTCATTCTTCATCTTTCTTTCTTCATCCTTCATTCTTCATCATTAATTTATTATTCTTTATACTTCATTCTTCATTCTTCATTCTTCATTCTTTATCCTTCATTCTTTATCCTTCGTTCGTCATCCTTCATTCTCCATCCTTTATCCTTTACCCTTCATTCTTAAATCTTCATACTTCAATCTTCATTCTTCATCCTTCATTTTTATCCTTCATTCTTCATCTTTCATTCTTCATACTTAATTCTTTATTCTTTATCCTTTATCCTTTATTCTTCATTCTTCATTTCTAATCCTTCAATATTTATCCTTTATTCTTCATCCATCATGTTGTATTCTTCAGTAGATTTCATCCTTTTCATCATTTAGCATTTATTTCCCGAGATTATTAGAAACCCTATACTAGGTTCTTTAATGTTACTAATTCTCTCTTTAGAGCGGTTAAGTTTGACAGAGAAAGATGAGAAGGATCCGAAAGTTTTCGATGAGAGAGACTTCGGACTTGTTAAATCTAACTCAGACCTTGTTGCCAGGTTGTTTTATTATTTTAATCTAAAAGAACATAATTATTGCTATCAATTTGTTTTAAAAGTGTTATTTTTTTCAAATTATTCTTCTCAGTGTTGTCTACTTGTATTGAAATGTAAACCCTGATTTGGATTTAGGAATGCAGAGCTTGAAGCTGAGAACTGTAAGATCAGGAAAGAGAGAGAAAAAACAAACCAGGATCTAAAACAGCTCCAAACCCTCAGTTCAAAACTACAGGTGAGTTATTTTAACCATAGTACAACCTCTAAAACGTTGAATGAAAATAATCATGCTGTAGGATGAAAGTACTCATCCAATTCTTACGAAATATATATAATATATATACGTATGTTTTTATTTAATATTTATTCTAAAAATCGTCAACATGTGTTAAGGTGGACATTGAACACATTAATTCGGAGAAAAGTCTGTTGGCTCAAATTGTGAAAAACACACAAGGTATTGATAAATTATTTAAAATCTCAAAATTGATCAGAGTTGAAATTAAAGATTTGATATTGTAGGAGAAAATGAGGTTATCAGTAAGGTTATGGAGAAGATATCCCAGGACTACGAAGAACTTAAAAAAGCTTTTGACAGCCAGAAATGTCCGAAGGATGATAAGATCTTAGCTCTGAGAAAAACAGCTCGAGCTCTGGAGACTGAGAATGAGTTGTTGCACGAGGAGAAGATGATGATAGGGAAGGAGAATGATAGAATAAGACGAGGACTAGAGACAAGGTTGGCGGAGCTAGAGAAACAGGAACAAAATCATCAAGCTCAGGTTCAGAAATACGTCCAGGAACAACAGGATCTCAAATCCAAATTGGATAAATCAGAACAGGAGAAACTGACTCTTTCAGTACGTTTTACCTCCCTGGAGAAAGAGTTGGAGAACTGTAAAACACAGCTCAATAAGGTCCAGTTAGGTGAGGTTATGAACATATTACATTTTGTTTATTTCTCATTTTATTTTATTTTTTTTATAAATCTAAACCCTCCATTCATAAACCTGGTATGTAGAAAAAGAGGAAGTAATCGAGGAGAAAGCACTGCTCGGGGAAACTCTTATAGCTTTAAAAGATTGCAAACGTGTTGTGGAGCTTAAGTTTCAGAATTCTTTAACGGAAAAATCTAAACTGGAAAACAGGATTGAATCTCTCACCCAGCAATCCGAACTGTTACAAGTAAAGAACTGTAGTCTAGAGGAGCGATTAGAAACCCTTGAATCTGAAAAGGAAGAGCAAACCTCAATCCTCGCAGAAATACAAATCAGTCTTGAACAAAAAACAAGTTTTTATCAATCACAAATTCAACAAATGCAAATAGAACTCAGTCATCGGTTGGACGAAGTGAATCTTATCCGAGTTGAGGATGTGGAGAAAGTTAGAGACGAATACGCCCTGCTCTTCAATGAAAAAGCTTCTGAACTGATGCTAGTAAGAGAAGAACTGGAAGGTTTGCAGGAGGCTCTGAGATCCTCAGAAATGAAGATCAGTGATCTAGAGTATAGAGAGATAGAATTGAACGAAACTATCACCAAGCTGAAAATGTCTCCGGAGCATCTTATTTCGGCACAGATAGAAGAGAAGCTGGAGAACTATGCAACCAACAGCCAGCTTCTACAATTTAAATTTAAAGAAATACATAAAGAGTTCAGACAAACTAAAATTAAGGATAGAGAAAACTTGCATAAGTTAACCAATCAAATCTGTGATATGCAATTACGATTAAACGGGAAGGATAATGATATTATTGCTCTTCAAGAAGAAGTTTTAAACAATAACGTTCTTCTCAATCATAACGCGTTGATCACACCAGATATCTTACATCCAAGCCTACAGAAAACAGAGATTGCAAATCAAGAACTAGAAAAGACAAGGATTCTTAATCAAGTATTGGAGAAACCTAAAACCATTGATAAAGTTATTGATCTAGTCAGAGATACTCCTGACGATGAATCAAGTAAGATTCAAACTCTTAATGTGAAATTGAAGACTGAAAAGATAGACTTAGAGATTAATAAACCTGGAATACAGAAAACAGAAATTCTTTATCGAGATTTAGAAAAATCAGAAATTTATAATCCAGAGAAATTTAAAACATTAACGAAAATAGAAACTGCTCCTTCTGTATTAGATGAGAAAGATCTGGTTCAGAACAAAATGGAAAATTTAGAAATTAAATCCTGCCAACCTACTCAACCTACACAACCTAGTCAGCAGAATAGGAGTAAGCGGAGAAGAAAGAAGAAACATTAAAATCCAGTTTAGATTTTTCGGTTTTTAATTATGCATTATTGTATCACCTTTTTATTTTTTGCTCACATCAAAACTGTGTTTAAAAGAATCAACAAAGATTTTGGATATTTTTTCATTTTCTCCCTTTAACACTCCTTATTATGAAATAAATGTATAAAATGATAATAATAATTGCAACCTGCTGTAAAATAAAAACAGAGATAGTTTTGATACAACATCAGGAGAAAAAAACTTTAACAGGTTTTTATAGATATTTGATTGCAAAAGTTTGGAAGTTACACATCAAATATACGCTAAAGATAGAAAAAAATTATATTTAACAAAATTTAATACTTTTCCTCACAAAACTAGCATGAAAATTAGCTATAGAGAGACAGTTCTGAGGATGGTTTAGTATCTCCTCTAGGGGATATCAGCAACAGGGACTACTTGACTCCGGGTCTGATTGTAAACATAGATTTTCTTGTTAAAGAATAGTTTATCTTCCTGCAGAGCCCATTTAGTCCTGAATTTAAAAAAAGTTTTATATATTTGTTTATATTTACGCTTCCATTGGGGAAAAAACATACATTTTTTTCTTGTTAATTTAAATCAAAAAAAGAAATGAGTCTTTGCTACCAACTCTGATTTTCTAATTCCTGTATCTTTGCAAACCAATGTAATCGATCCTAGATATTTCAAACTCTGAATTCTCTTAGATCAAACAAACAAAGTTTAAAATATCTAAGATTTTTACGCCATCAGGTTGCAAAGATATAGAAATTAGAAAATTTGAGATTGTGGTAAAGAATTAGTTCCTTTATTTTAGATTTCATGGTTTAGATAAACTAGAATAATTCCTACTAACCTAGTTTTGGAAGAACTTTTAGTTGCAAACTCAACCAACCGTCTACGGTTCTCTTTAACCCTGTCCGTGAAGTCATCCTGAACCCTTATCCGGGTTCTCTTTGCTCTGCTAGAGGATAAAACAAGGTTTCTATCCCGTATAGATGAAAACTTGACCCGGATAGGAGGTGGAGCTCGTCCTTTAGAATCTTCTAGTCGATATGCTTCCTCAATTTTAATGTTCTAAAATTAACGAAAATCAACTAACCTTGACTTTATAGAATCTATTTTAATCTTTGGTGGGAAAAATGTGAAATGATTTGTGAATGGGAGTAAAACCATTTAGAGTTAGAACTAGCTCGGTAATGTTTATATTCTGAACCAAGTTTTCTGCAAAGAGTATTCGATATAAAAGAATCCTCCACGTATCTCATAAAAATAAACCATATTTCAAAATCATTATCAATCTCCTCTGCCTGGAGTTTTTTTCTACAAAAGTCAATAGGTCAAAGGGTTCATGAGTTATATATATATACTTCTTTTAGATTTCTGATTTATATACCTGAAGTTTGAGTCCAGCTTTTAAGAAATTTGAAACCATTCCGATTAGTTGACCTTGGCGTTCTAGAGCTCCAGCCTTCTTGAAACCTTTCATGAGAAGAAAATATTTTCTCCGTTCTTGTTCACTTTTCTCCTGCTCGGCTTGAACCTTGTTCAGCCTCTCCACCACGTCCTTGAACCCGGAGATAAGGTTTGTATTAGCTGTCTCCGCGTCCTGTAATCTAGTTCTCCAGGATTCTAGTGCTTGGTTCTGCTTCTCTACTGTAACAACTAGATAGGACAAAGGTTTGACAAACTCTAGACTTTAAGCCAAACAAATTCATAATAATTTAGATTAATAAACACAGGAGATGGTTTTCTGCCGAGTGAAAAATAATGTTATTGAGAGGCACAGACAATCGCACAAGCAAAACACTGATTGGCACTGGCAACGCAAAACATATCCAGTATTCTTAAACTAGATAAATCTTTAAGAAGAAAAATAGTTAATAATAACTTCAATAGTTTTTATTGTATCATGGCATTAAGTTGTATACAATGTAATCTTCAGGATATCTACATTTTACTAAAAGAGACTACTAAAACTAAATACTACCTAATTCATTAAACTTAGATGAGAACTGTTCCCTGGGAACACAATCTAGATCTATAATCCCGGAAACCTTCCCCGACAATAGTTCTGCAGTGTATGCTCTATATTTATGGTTAATATATATAACGAATTTATTTATATTTAAATAAGATTATATGTTTAAAAGATACTTAATTGTAAATTGTCATTGATACTATTAGAGAGTAACTTAGTTTACGCTTAAAACCCGTGTGAGTAAAATGTTACTCTAATACCTCGTGGCGTAATTAACCGTAAAAGAGGAAAACCTATTTAGGTGAACGTGTAAAACTTAAACAAAGAGAATACGCGTTTTCCTAAATCCGTTTTTATTCTTGCGATTTCAGGATTCATACCACCAGGAACAGAGACAACTCCGGAAGCTGAACCCGGAACCATAGAATTCACATGCTCCTGATAATTAGGAATTAAGATTTTACTGCGTGTAAACATAAAGGTACTTTAGACACAATTTCATGTGACCCTACATTTATGTAGTGGCTTGTACGATTCACAAAGGTACCCTTTAAACAACGAGGTTATAGTATATTATAGAGTGATGATGTACGCTAATCCTTTACTAACTGTACAGGCCATGTACTTCACTTCCAAAGGTCAATCTGTATATTACAGTACCCGGGGGTGATTTTTAAAAATATTTAAATGGAGAATTTGTTTCCCATGTTAAAATCCACTACTCCTTTATTGTATGCAGGATTCCATTTTCACAAGACAAACTATTACAGTCTTTTACAGAGCAATATTTTATCGTTCATAAACTGTTCTGAGAAAACTGTGTAAAATTCAAAATACAGAACCTCCCCATACACTTGTACTCCGCAAGCGTACTGAATATTTGATGTTTGTACTGTATGAATATGCCATAATCTCTTAATATCCATTATCAGTAAACTATCCCAAGTGTACACTCAGGCTAATATACACTTAAATCACACTTTAAATTACGTCGATGGTTCCTGTAAACTGAAAGATGCTCTGTTTATTTACCGCGTCCTAACCTGGGTTCGTAGTTGTATAATACTTTGCTGGAGAAAGAATAATTGATTTTTCATCTTCTGAACTTCTCCAACTATAAAATCAAAAGTAAAAACGATCTCCACAAATAATATTATTAAATTGATAAATCTATTTTTTTTGAAAGAAATTTTTATGATATTAACTGTTGAACTGAATACAAACATAAAAATTATGAATTTTAGCTTTAAAAGCTGAATTCTTTTTTGATCGATGCCATTTTTATTTAGATTCCGTTCATTATACAGCAAATAAGAAACAATCCAATACGTATTTTAAAAAAATTATGATGAATCAGAGGTTTAGGATCCGTTTCGGGTGGTCTTTCCATGATACATTAAAATCATCCGATCGAAATCAAAATATTACTTGTTACCTAAAATAGTTAGTTTTTCATCGTCGGCGGATTGTTTGGAAACCTTTCGGATTTTCTGAAGAAAAAAAAGAAATAAATTTCATAAAAATATGTTTTCCCTAGTCTTTTTTGTTTACCTGTGCAGTTGCCCCGACACTGGTTTCTAGATTGTTGAGAAGAGTTGAAAGATGATAAACCTGAGCTCTATTCTCCTCAATCTTCTCCTGCTCCAACCTGTTCACATACCTCTTCAACTGCTCGATCTGGATTGCGTTTTCCTGCTTTTCTTTCTTAAAGCTGTCAATATCTCCAAAAACTGTATTTATCTCCGCTCTGAAATACAAAAGAAATATTCAAGGTTTAGGACATTGGGTTTCCAAGATATAGAGATCAGAAAATCAGAGTTTGTGGCAAAGACTCAATTCCTTATTTTGGGTTCTTTTATCTTTAAAAAACCACAATTTCCTCTTTTGAGGAAAGAGTATTGGCGAGGGTCGGACCTTCATTAGTTGAACATTAATACATGAGCTGAAAACTTTAGAATTGGATACCCTTAATACTGATCGTTTAATCTGAATATCCACTGTGGATTTCTGCTTAATCCGCTCTTTTTCCTTCATTTTGGATATTCCTACTGGATTCCAACCAATAAGAGGTCTCTCATTAAATGGCGCGCAACATTTCAAATATCCCGGCTTCTGATTGGCTGTTTGGAATTCTGCCTACGACACACTGATTGGGTGAATTTTAGACATTTTCCTAGATACAAACTAAAGAATAAAATAATCTTAAGATAAATAAAAAAGAGGAGATCAAGCATTTATCTCGATAACCATAATTATAAAGTTTTCAGCTCTGGTTTTCCAAATGCAAATTAGAGAAAGCTTTATAACAAAAATAATAGGAAGGTTTAAAAATGTAATTTCTTTTCATGAAGATAACGTATTGGTATTGTGATTTAATAAACATGTTAGCAAAATTTATCATTTCTATTTATTATTTTTTATGTTCATTGCAAATCGAGACTTGCTACAAAACTATTGTTTCGTATTTCTTTTTTTGATTTCTGATTTTGAAGAATAAAATATTAACCTGAAAGTGTGCAGCGTATTGGAGCTAGATTTCATCATGTTCCTGGAAACCTGGAATTATTCATCTTTTCAACTTTGATTTTAATTTTGATTTTGTAGAAAAGTAAATCCAGAAAGTTTGAAAGAGAAACAATTTTCCTGATTGTATTCAACTCCTCCTTTACATTGTTGAAGGATAAAAGAATCTCTTCCTCTTCTCTTCCTTCTCCTCTTTCTCCTGGGGTCAGATTTTATTAATAGTAAGAATTAAGTTAACTGCGTATTGATGTGGTTAAACCACTTTACTAGTGCACCGCCGATTTAAGTTATAAAGTAATGCAGTTCAACTTAGTACTCAACTTTTCATTGAATTTGATCTCTTCAAATTCCATATTTATTAAATAATCCTCTCCCACCCTTCCCTTATTGTCATAATATTCTTTTTTTCATATTTCTCATAACTTTACAATGAATATCTCCTATTTATTTCCCGCATTCCTTCTCACTTTCGCAGTTCTATTTTATCATTTTTCTATTCCTTTCTGCACCTTATTTTCTATTCATCCATTTTAAAAATGTATAAAATTTTTAATTTTACCTTCCTTTTCAATTCCATTTTTGTGAACACCTGAAAAAAAAATCATGAAAAAGTTAGAATGGCAATTAGCATAGCACATAAAATGTTTGATCTTCTAACAGGGTTACCCACATGTAACCCGCACAGGATGGAACTTCATATATGACTGTCTGGAATGTATTTAGACTATTTTTTACATGCATAGCTCGCTGGCGGTGTAGCCTTGATTTTTGTTTTTCACCAAATTAGTTTGTTTATTTGTAAAAGCCTCATCTATATAGTTCATTAAACCTCGGATCGTCTCATTTAAAGATTTTCTGTATGTAAAATTAAGGCTATAATATCAAATATTGTAGATATTAGAGAACCAGGATATGCTTGATATTTCTTGTAAAAAAATTGAAATCTTTGAATTTCTAAACTTTCTGACAATAATTATTTAATTTTAACTTTTTGACTCGATTTTTTCATTCTAAGTCTAGATTATGCCTGAAATGTCTATTTTAAGACTAGAATATACCTGAAATATCTAGTATAAGACTAGAATATACCTAAAATGTTTATTTCAATACTAGAATGTACCTGAAATGTCTATTTTAAGACTAGAATATACCTGAAATGTCTATTTTAAGACTAGAGTGCACCTGGAATGTCTAGTTTAAGACGAGAATATACCTGAAATGTCTATTTTAAGACTAAAATACACCCGAAATGTCTAGTTTAAGACTACAATATACCTGAAATGTGTAGTTTAAAACTAAAATACACCTTACGTGTCTCGTCTAAGACTAGAGTATCCCATGAAATGTCTAGTTTAAGACGAGAATATACCTGAAATGTCTAGTTTAAGACTAGAATTTACATGAAATGTCTAGTTTAAGACTAGAACATACCTGAAATGTCTAGTTTAAGACTAGAATATACCTGAAATGTCTAGTTTAAGACTAGAATTTACCTGAAATTTCTAGTTTAAAACTAAAATATACCTGAAATGTCTAGTTTAAGAATAGAATATAACGAAATGTCTAGTTTAAGACTAGAATATACCTGAAATGTCTAGTTTAAGATTAAAATTTACCTGAAATGTCTAGTTTAAGTTTAGTTATCTCTGTTTCCACTGTGTTCTGAAAATTATGAAGCCTAAGAATATCCTTGTCATAAATGTCCTCAATATTCCTAAAATCAATAAAATTGTATTTGGATTAAAATCATCTTAAAAAGTAAGAAATATTTATAAAAAAGAATCTTGGTGATATTGGTGATCTATATACTTTGTGGTGATGTTAGTGATCAGAGGTTAATATTGGGGGGGGGATATGGGCTCAGCCCCNTACCTATATCTGATAGTATTGTTTAATCCTACCTATATCTGATAGTATTGTTTAATCCTACCTATATCTGATAGAATTGCTTTGTCGAACGAATTCTGTGTCCGTTTTACCTAAATAAGAATTATTTTTATCAATTTATCGTGATATTTTCCTTTCCTCTTATAACAGATGAAAATATGTCAAGGAACGTTGAAAGAACTTAAACTTGGAATTTAAAAACATGAAAAATTTAAAAATTATATTGCTTTAAAGGTCCGAAAATCCTGCATTTTTTCTATTTATTTCTCCTTTATAAAACAGCGAAGATAAAAGATCGGTTTATCCCCCCCCCCCTCCAGGATAGTTTAGTTTGGTACAAATGTAACATTATACCGGTAGACTGAGGTTCCCTTGGTTTTCTTTAATCATCTCTATTTCTTTCTCTATCCGTCTCCGGAAGTTTAGCATGGTTTTATGATCCTAAAATAATCATTTTTACAAACAATTTCATCTGAATTCAAGGGAATATTGAATATAATTTTTAGTAATCGCTTAACGAAAAAGTTTCAAACTAAAACAGAGTCTTTATTGTTGATCAGAAGGTGCAAATTTGGTTTATCTTTACTCCTCTATAAATTCACGAGTCACTTTCTAAAAAATCCATGATCAATTTCTGTAAACTTTTGTCAACTTTTGTCAACTTTTGTCAACTTTTGTCAACCTTTGTCAACTTCTGTCAACTTTTGTCAACTTTTGTCAACTTAAAGAAATTCTCCATCATTGATTCTTGGTCAAAGATATGCAGGCAACCGTCGTGAATCATTAATTGATCTAAAATTTTCATAATCTAGATTTACATTCAGACCCTTTCATTAGTTAAATATTCACCTTCTCAATACTCTTCCTTAGAATCCGAATCCCTTCCTTTACTCCCTCTAGACCTTCACCACCTAGATGATAATGTTTATAGGAATCGAGTTTTTGCCACAAACTCAAAATTTCTAACTCCCCTAACTTTGCAACCCAATGTTGTATAGCCATTTGATATTTCAAACTGTGAATTCTGTTAGATCAAAGTTTCAAATGTCAAGTCAAAGGTTTACACCATCAGGCTGCAAAGATATAGAAATTAGAAAATTTGAGTTTGTGGCAAACACTCAGATCCTTTGTTCTTTAAAAAATCACAATTTCTCCTTTAACAAAATCATGAGATGTTGTCTTGCCAAATTACGATTTGACTTTTAATATAGGGCCCCCCTTTAACAAAATGATCAACAAAATTAATGATTTATCCTTTAACAAAATCAAAGATTTGTCCTTTAAAAAAAATCAATGATTTAGGTTTATGAGTACTTATAAACTTTGGATTCAAAAAGCCCCCCCAAGGAGTTAAATTCTATGTTCACAAATTTTCTTGCATCTTAAACAATTTTATTATGCTGAAGTTAACCAAGAAATTTTCGATTATTTGACAAAATTATTTGACGCTTAAAATGTTACTAAACGACCCGTTCTTAAATCAAAAGTTGGTTGCCAGAGCACATTTTCTTGTCTTTATAAACGGTTAAAAACTCTAATTTCGTTTTTTAGGGTCACCCTGTATACCTGTTCCAGTGTTTGTTTGTTTGATATTATCCCTGTCTGCCTGTAGAACCTGAATACTCTGCTGTAGGTTCCCGAGCAGGTTCCTAGCATAGCAGACATAGGTTCCATAATCTCCATCCTGGAACCCTCGGATAATTAGTATACTCCGGGTACCTGCCTCTCCTACCTCAATCCGTCCTGTTATTCAATTATAGAATCATTATTTTTATTAATGGAGAGTTTCTTATAATATATGGTTAATAATCAATAATGGATAATTTATAGTTACCAGATTCTAAAATAGTTTCTCCGTTCTTGTACCAATTGACCTAAGACATGATTTTTTTTTTATTACACCTTTGGAAAATCAATATTTAAGTTGAGTTGGAGATTTACCAAACCTTAGGCTTAGCGTCTATCTTATCTTAAATTTGGTGATAATTAAACCCTAGGTTTTATGGAATTCTAAGGTTTACGTGGGTTTCAGGTTCAAATTCTAGCCTATCCGGCCTTGATTTTAAGGTTTAAAATCTGCTGAAAGTCTTTGTTAAGCTTTAACCTTAGGTTTAGGATCTCCTTTGACAGAGCAACTTATCTCCAGAACCAGACCTTTCCCAGACTGAAGAACGTTCTTGCTCAGCTCCAGGATAACAGGAGTAGATAGAACCTGGATATAGATAGAGTCGAATTGTTAATAAGCTCAGAGCTGTTTAAGATAAGAGGACGGAGAGAAGAATGGATTAGAAGACAGTAAGACAAAACAAGAATAGATCATGTCACAGATAGATAAAACAAGGATATATCATGATACGGATGAACAAAGCAAGAATAGATCGGGAACCATAAAGACAAAACAAGAATAGATCAGGAATATAAAGACATAACAAGAATAGATCAGGAAACATATAGACATATCAAGAATAGATCAGGACACAGAAAGATAAAACAAGGATAGATCAGGACACAGAAAGATAAAACAAGGATTGATCAGGACGCAGAAAGATAAAACAATGATAGATCAGGACATATATAGACAAAACAAGAATAGATCAGGACACAAATTGACAAAACAAGAAAAGATCAGAACACAGATAGATGAATCAAGGATAGATAAGGAGACAGATAGATAAAACTAGTATGAAGACTAGTATATATCAGATAGACAAAACAAGGATAGATCAGAACGCAAATAGATAAAACAAGAATAGATCAGGAGACAGATAAATAAAAGAAGGATAGATCAGAACACATATAGACAAATCAGAACACAGATAGACAAAACAAGGGTAGATCAGAACATAGATAGATAAAACAAGGATAGATCAGGACACAGATAGACAAAACAAGAATAGATCAGGACACAGATAGACAAAACAAGGATAGATAAGAGCACAAATAGATCAAACAAGAGTAGATCAGGAGACAGATAGACAAAACAAGGATAGATTAGAACACAGATAGATAAAATTAGGATAGATCAGAACACAGATGGACAAAACAAGGATAGACCAGAACAAAATAGGACAAAGCAAGGATAGATTAGAACACAGATAGACAAAACAAGGATAGATCAGGACAAATATAAACAACGCAAGGATAGATCAGGACAAAGATAGGCAAAGCAAGGATAGATCAGGACAAAGATAGGCAAAGCAAGGATAGAACACCTGCAGACATTAGGCCAAGATAGACCAGGATAAAAATAAAAAATAAACCGGAGAAGAGGAGTTATTTACCTGGAGATGGACGGATGCTGCCTTCACTACTCCGTTGGAGTCCTGAGTTGTACAGTAGTAGTATCCAGAGTCCTCTAGTGTCACGTTTTCTAACTTCAACCTGGATCCAGAAACTGAATACGATCCGTCCCTGCACAATGTGATATATCAACAGCTCATATTATTGAATCTAAGGATGATTACCTGAACCTAATATTATCCCTGCTCCAGGATAAGGTTGAAGAATTTGAACCTCCAATAACAATGCAACCGAACTCAGTTGCTCCGTGAATAGGAACCATAATAACTCCTTCAGGGGGATCGGACTTAACAATTGTAAGTCTAATATTATAACATTAAAATACGATGGTGCGACACTATTTTTTACAAACTCTGACAGAAAAAAGTGCAGATTAAATACAAGTTCAAAAGTAATGATTCCCAACAAACACGTGAATCTAGAGATAGTTTAATAATCGTCATTTTGAATGTTATATTGCATCAAGAAAAGTTGGACGTTATAGAAGCTTTACAAAATGTGGTTTACCTTGTTTTTACTTTTCAAAATTTAAGGAAATTTTAGAAATTATATTTTCACGCATATATGATTTAAATTGAATAAATTAAAATCTTAAAAAAAAAAACATTATAATTATTTAAATATGAATGTACAAAAATTTTAGTCTCACAAACATTGTTTCAAGTCAATTGCTGCAACAACAAATGACGATTTAAAACCAGGCTTTTATTAAAATAAATACTAACTTATAAAATGAAATATGTGTTCACCTTTATAGAGAATGTCTCTGTAACCTGTAATCTGTGCTGAACAGATAAACTCTGTTTCACCATTATCCTGGAGAAAATATATACAGTTGCACCCATTTTTTCCGATCTTGGAGTTTCTACAAAATCTTGAAAGTTTAAAAAAGGTATTGAGTCTTAATCCATATCTCTCTGCAACCTGATGATGTAAAGCTTTGATATTTCAAACTTAGGTTATTTGATCTAACAGAATTCATGGTTTGAAAGGTCTACGACGCGACGTTGGGCTGCAAAATTATAGGAATTAGAAAATCAGTGTTTGTGGCAAATACTAAATTTCTTTAAAATTGGTTGCCTTAAAGCTTGCTTTTATTATACTATGCAAAAAAAGATTGAAAACTGTTCGGAAACAATACCTAACTTATCTGAATCAAAAAAATTTTAATCATGCATGATATTCCCGAATTTTATTAAAATTCAACCCTGTTATAAAACAGATTAAATCAAGTATAACTATAGATAGAAACAACACTTTTAAGCTAGAAAACATTAATATTGTTTAATATCCCCATGTACATTGAGATCCAGAAAATTTTAGAATAGGAAGACGACATTAGAATAGTACTGAACTGCATTTGATGTTTTTACAACCAAACAGCTATTTTAGTGACATATAAAATCATTTATTAGTTAAAATAAGTCTATTTGCTGTGTCTACTGTTCATTGGACTTTTAAAAGTCATTATTTGACTTTAAAGGTCGACTTCTTATTCCAGAATATTTTGGTTATCACTGTGTATCTAAACCTGCATTCATATACTCCAGAATCCTCTGTAGTTGAGTTAACCAACACCAAGCTCGTATTCTTTTCTACGGTGGTAGGCGATTATATCAATATAATGAATATAATATAATATATTGATATAATCGCCTACCACCGTGGTAATTAAGAAAGATAGTTTTAATGCTCCATAAGGTCGAAACTTTTGTGTTCTAAATCTAAAAATGGCGCGTATATCTCGTATATCTCGTATATCTCGTATATCTCGTATATCTCCGGATTTAAACTTAAATCCTTCAATTTTTAAGTTTAAGGTTTGGACAGTGTGGCGATTGCCAATCAAAACGTGTCCGCCTCTTGTCCTATAGATTCCACTTTTTTCCCGGGAAGTTTAAAATGTAAAAAATGATCATAGAATATTTAAAAATTCCGAAAATTATTAAAAATCTGTTTATTTTTCCAGATAAAATGTAGATAAAAACTAACCTGAGAGTGAGAACCTTGAATCTTCAGTAAGCCTGAACTACCAAAATTTGAATAAGAGAAGTTAAAAATTAAGATTTTAAAACCTGATTATTGCTTCATTGTAAAGTAAATTTTTAAAAATATTTGACGTAAAAAAATAGTTTCTTTTCTTCAAATTATTCTCTTTTTATTCCCTGATATTACCAGTAAACAACATTTCTCCGTTCTTTAACCAAACCCTGACAAACTTATCCGCGTCCTGGGCCTGGTAGAATTATTATTTAAAGATTTTTAAATAAAAATATTTAATTTGAAAGATCGTTGATTGCCTTACACTCTATTGCACTGAATTTTGAAAGATTAAATAGTCAAAGTTTGAAATATCAAAGTTTTACACCATCAGGTTGCAACGATAAAGGGATTAGAATATTAGATTTTGTTCGATTTCTTCTAAAAAATGTCTAAAACTTTCTGGTCTAAAATCAAGTGAATCAGATTTTAAAAAATATCGTTTTTAATCTGTAAGCGTAATTTCAAGTGATCCTCCCGATTTAAAACGACATCCTTGAAAGCTTTGTCTGCTCAAGAATGAATTAGGTATCAATCTTTTTGTTTCTTTAAACTGTTTATTTTCATTTTCGGGTTCTCTGTGAAAAAGGTTTGTGCATTTCTTGTTTATAAGAAGCAATGGAGAAACTCACAGAATAAACAATTTTCGAGTTAGAAAAACTACGTTTTTATCAGATAAAGGTTTCAAGGGTACCGTTGTAAATCGGACATTGCCATCTTTGCATTGTGGGTGACTTGATAATGCGTTTACAGTAGTCCCTTTATATAGGAAGAGGTTGTCAACTTTGGGTTTTGCATTTTGCATTAAGCATTATACCTGACAAGGGAAGGAAACAGATTCTAATGGTTTAATAATAATATTCTCAGGTCTGCTTGTAATCTCGGGAATATATTCTAGTTCACTCTCATCATACCTAAACATTTATATGAACTCAACAGTACTATATCATACCATGGGAGGATTAAAATCGGTGCACCGAATGTGGAGGATCATCCTCAGGTGGTAGTATTCCTCTTGAAGGGACTGCATGTAAGCGAAGTTTCAAGTAACCCTTTATTTAAAGAGTGTCATCCCGATTTATGAAACCGGTTGGACATGTTTTGGATATTCCAGGAATAAATTTGACGCCAGAGTGTACTCTAGCGTACACAGTACGCTAGAGTAGACCCTGGATATACGGCTCTTTACAAAACATTTATTAGATAAAGGATTTAAAGGTTTAAAGGTTTAAAGGTTTAAAGGTTTTAAGGTTTTAAGGTTTAAAGGTTTAAAGGTTTAAAGGTTTAAAGGTTTAAAGGTTTAAAGGTTTAAAGGTTTAAAGGTTTAAAGGTTTAAAGGTTTAAAGGTTTAAAGGTTTAAAGGTTTAAAGGTTTAAAGGTTTTATGGTTTTAAGGTTTTAAGGTTTAAAGGTTTAAAGGTTTAAAGGTTTAAAGGTTTAAAGGTTTAAAGGTTTAAAGGTTTTAAGGTTTAAAGGTTTAAAGGTTTAAAGGTTTTAAGGTTTTAAGGTTTTAAGGTTTTAAGGTTTTAAGGTTTTGAATCCTGATTCGTGGATGTCCCTCTTTAAATGGAAAATAGCTTGTAATTAAAGTCCCTTTCAGCAGTTATTTTTAAACCTTGGCAACTCCGTGTACACCAACTAGTTTGTTATAAAACTTTTTTTATTTAAAAATAGAGATCTTACTTCGGACCATCTTCATACTGTTGATAGTACTCAGCTGAACCCTGGTTCTCATCAGACATGGAGTAATCATACTCATAATAACCTAATCCACTCCCGTCATCATCATTTTCTTCCCTCTCATCCCTCATATCTTCATACGAAGTCTCATCTTCGTGTTCATCCTTATCCTTGTTGCTGGTTTCTTCATCATTTGGGTCAGTTTCATCATAATCATAATCTTCCACATTCTCTCCTTCATCAAAATATATTCATGAAAGGGACTATTGGCGTAATTTCTAGTGACCCTCCCCTTACAGAATAATAAGCCCGATTCACAAAGGAACCCTTGAATCGTAAGTTTTTAAAAATTTGATGGGAATATTGAAAAATTTCAATTGTGGTTTCTGTATAAATGTGACTCTTATGAAAGAATTCGTCTCTTTTCCAAGATAAAACATCTTCGATATCTTCCTCATAGCTGCTCGAAGTTGCCTAGCCCCTATTCAAGAACACGTCTACCCTAGGTCTTAATAACATGAACGTTGTCGTTCTTAACTCTACAATTTTGTAACATTAGAATTTTTGTCATTTGGTATTTGAACATCAGACGTATTGTCATTCAATCTCTTCACAATTACCTGATTCCATCTAAGAGATTAAACTCTAGAAATTATTTTTTTTATTAAACAAACCTTTACAATTCAAAATTAATAGGATTGTAGAGAAGAGGAGTAAGCTCCGAACCATCCTAACATCCTTCATTCAAACTACGTTGAGAATATGAACTTTCAGTACTCAGCTCAGGGCTGAAGAATATGGTACTTGGATTAAAGTAATATTAAAGGATTAAAGAATCGAAGTTGCAAGAAAGATTAGTAGAGGATTATAGTGCTAATGATCTCGGTAAAGCTAGTAAAGGATTATAACACTGGAGTAAGATTGATCTCAGTAAAGCTAGTAAAGGATTATAAAACTGGAGTAAGATTGATCTCAGTAAAGCTAGTAAAGGATTAAAACACTGGAGTAGGATTGATCTCTGTAAAGCTAGTAAAGAATTATAACACTGGAGTAGGATTGATCTCTGTAAAGCTAGTGAAGGAATATAACACTGGAGTAAGATTGATCTCAGTGAAGCTAGTAAAGGATTATAACACTGGAGTAGGATTGATCTCAGTAAAGCTAGTAAAGGATTATAACACTGGAGTAAGATTGATCTCAGTAAAGCTAGTAAAGAATTATAACACTGGAGTAGGATTGATCTCTGTAAAGCTAGTAAAGAATTATAACACTGGAGTAGGATTGATCTCAGTAAAGCTAGTAAAGGATTATAACACTGGAGTAAGATTGATCTCAGTGAAGCTAGTAAAGGATTAAAACACTGGAGTAAGATTGATCTCAGTAAAGCTAGTAAAGGAATAGAGTAGTATTGAAGAATAAATGTAGGTAAAGTTAGTATATAAAGGGATAGAGTGCTATAAATGAATTAAACTAGTTAAAGCTAGAAATGGATTAAAGTATACTCATGAAGGATTAATCAAGCTAAAGTTCGGAAAGGATTAAAGAAGTAATGAAGGATTAATCTAGGTAAAGTTAGAAAAGGATTAAAGTATACTATTAAAGAATTACTTCAGGTAAAGTAAGAAAAGAATTAAAGTACTATGAAAAATAATTAATGTAGGTAAGGTTATATAGAAGATTAAAGTACAATCGAAGAAATAATCTAGGATTAAAGGAATAATCTAGGATTAAAGGAATAATCTAGGATTAAAGGAATAATCTAGGATTAAAGGAATAATCTAGGATTAAAGTAGGATTAAAGAAGGATTAAATTAATTAAAGTAGCATTAAAGGTTGGATCAAGAAAATGTATTTAAAGATTAAAACACTGGATTAACACAATCCAATATAAGCACCGCTATTAAAGGATAAGAGCACTGAATACTATTAAGGGATTTACTGAAGCTTGGATGGGGTGAGAATTAGAAATGTTCCAAATTATTCCAATTTGTTTGTTTGTGGAAGGAGGAGAGAAAAAGTCGGCGGAACAATCTATTTGCCTGAACCGGATATATCATCAATTATGTTATTGTTTATTAGTAACAAGCAAGAATTTTGAAAAAATGTTTTATTTTACAAATATTTGTTTTTGTTCAGGAAAAAAATTGATTGACCGAATATTTGAAGGCCTGAAACTTGCATTGCTCCGCATATGTATACTATCAGTTCCAGAACACGTTCCTAGCACTATCAGTTCCAGAACACGTTCCTAGCACTATCAGTTCCAGAACACGTTCCTAGCACTATCAGTTCCAGAACACGTTCCTAGCACTATCAGTTCGGCTTTTTTATCGTCCCGGCAAGCTCTGACTTTATATCACTATTCAAGCAATTTAACATAAATTTTTAGCTTTTTCTCTTTTTTACTTTTATGAACAACACATCTAGCCTGGATAAGCCTAGCTCTGAAAACTGACAATAGGTGACTTATTGTTTTAGAACGGAAACATATTAGGTAAAAAATACGTGTAAAATACATGTCATTTCTAAAAATTTAATAAAATAATGAAGGAAAATTTTATATCAATAAATAGTTTCCTTTTCATACATAACTGAAAAAAAGAATAAAAAATATTTGCCATATAGAAGTTAAGAAAAGTGGTGAAAACAAAATTGGAATATCTCTGATGTTTAAAAACGAAAATTCCCACATTTGTATTTTTCATGTGAAAACAAACATTATTCTAAAAAAATCATTTATTAAAATAAAAAAGAGTTTTTTACAAAACGAATAAAACCCTTTGATCCTCTACTTCTGTTTCTCCGAATTTTTTAATCCAGGCATCTTGGACCTGAAACATTATTACTAATAAAGTGTTAAACCATTGTTTTAATAAATAAAAGGAAGAAAAGTGACAAAGCAAGCCGTCAAACGCAAAACTTACTTGATCTAATTACGGCTTGGTTGTCAAGGAATAAACTCAGTTAGAGTAAAATCTCTTATAAAAAAAACATAAATCTCTTAATAAACATCATTATGGTTCTCATATATGTAAAATAAAGCTCTTCGCTCATATACATGTATATAAATTAGTTCGCTGTTGCTAGCTAGCTAGCTGGCCAAAAATAGCTGGACTAGCTTAGCTGATCACACGTCTATGCCGATTCCATTAGCGCCTGATCCAATGAGGGTTCAATCATGTGTTTGTTGTATATTTTGAACCAATAGAAATTGCATGACGGTAACATCTATCTTTCTATCTATCTTATCATCCAATGAGAGATGAATCCTTAAATCAGCGCTTAGCAGTAAATGGAAATATTTACTTCTACTGAGACCGAAGTGTGATTGTTTTTAAGGGAACCCATGGGTACCCCGTGGGTGACATGAATTTGAAAAATCGATGATTATGAGAATAAAATTCGGCACAGTTGTCTTTGCAGGTTCTTCCTTTATGAGGAACCCTGTTCATATCCTTGTTACCTGAACATAGGTCGTCTTCCCTTAGGTCTATAAGGGGGAGCTAGAGCCCTATCCAGAGCAGCTTTATTCCTGCTCTCCTCCATCCTTCTCTGCGCTTCCATCCTTGCTTCCTTCTCACGGTACCTTCTCTCATTCTCACAACTTAGACGGGCTATCTCAACCTTAATTATTATCATTATTATTATTATTATTTTTATTTTCCATATAATAAAACAAGACATTCATATTTATGTTCCCTCTGGCCGGCCAAACAACTGGACAGAATGGGCTGAAATTTTGAGGACACTCATGGGTAGGCTAGGGGTGACATAGGCTAAAAAAAATTAGATTTCTTTATTTCCAAATTTTTTTTCTCCAATGTTTTTTTTCCACGGGCAATGCCGGGCCCTTTAGCTAGTTATCTATATAATAAAACAAGACATTCACACATATGTTCCCTCTGGCCGGCCAAACGGCTGGACCAAATGGGCTGACATTTTTTGGGGACACTCATGGGTGAACGAGGGGTGTCAAAGGCTATAAAAAAAAATTTTTGATTTTTTTATCAACGTCATCGTCATCGTCATTGTCATTGTCATTGTCATTGTCATTGTCATTGTCATCGTCATCGTCATCGTCATCTTCATCATTATTATTATAATTATTGTTATTTTTATTTTTATTTTATCATTATTATTATTACTATTATTATAATTGTTATTATTATTATTATTATTATTATTATTATTATTATTATTCTTATTATTCTTCTTCTTCTTATTATTATTATTATTACTGTCATCATAACCTTCTCGAAGTTAAGTGTCTCCTGTTCCCTGGTCAGATCTTCCATCCTTAGTTCAATATGATGAAGCATATCAATAGTTGAAATCTTCGCCTAGATATTATCAGGATAAAACTCAATATCTAAGAAAGAGAAAGAGAACCCTAACGGCTCATAATAGTATCCGTTCATCTTGATCCGGAGATCTTAATGATAAGCGTTATGGGTGCCATTGTGAATCAATTGGTAGTCTTAGTAACCTAATTCTGTTATTGCTGAAAGAAGTCAAATTTCTTATGAGCAATTAACCAAAAAGTAACAAATTTTCTAAGATATTCAATTCTGCTTTTAGACAATTTATCAATAAAATTAGGAAAATTATTAAAAATTTTTTGTGGCTTACTTTTTTGCGGATGAATGTTTTAACAATAGCAATAATCTTCTAGTTTACCTCATTCTTCCCAACACAAGATTCATAAATATTAAGAACTTGTTTCTCTAGATCATCAAGCATTCGATCCTCTCCTCCACGTCGGGATTCTCCACTTACTAAACCAAGATTAGGATTGTAATATTATTAATTTTTCATTCTCTTTTTCACTTTCATTCTTATACTCTCTCTTTCTTTTATTCCTCATCTGCGACCTTCTTTTTTCGCTTCTATTCAATCTTTTATATCTCAGAGATCATATACATATTTATGAAAACTATACATCAATTTTTAGATCTACAGTTTGCTTGTTTCTAGCTTCAGTTTAAAAGGAGTAATTGTTAAAATCTTGTTTTTTACAATAGAGCTTGCAAATTCTAATTCTCTGGTTAAGTGTATAAAATACATACCGGAATTATCTATTTTTCCATCTATCAAAGATGTGTCTTTTTTCTCCTTTCGAACCCTAGAATAAAAATATTGATACCGATTCCTGATTTTTCAAATGTCACTTTATTCCCATTTGTATTGGTTTACCCTTCATACCTGACTTGAAGTTCCTTTATTTCCCCCTGTAGGTTCTCCGCCTGTTGGTTCAATTCATCTCTTATTCTCACAGATTCTTTACGTTCTGTTTCAAGTAATGTTTCTGCCTAGAGTAGGTTTAATATCATGGTTGGCAATGTTTTAAATAGTTCATTTCAATTCTGGATGCTAGATAAGAAAAGGTTTACTTCTTGACACTACTGGATAAGCAAAGGTTTACCTCTTGACACTGCTGGAGAAGAAAAGGTTTACTTCTTGACAATACTGGATAAGCAAAGGTTTACCTCTTGACACTACTGGAGAAGAAAAGGTTTACCTCTTGACACTACTGGAGAAGAAAAGGTTTACCTCTTGACACTACTGGAGAAGAAAAGGTTTACCTCTTGACACTATTGGATAAACAAAGGTTTACTTCTTTACACTACTGGATAAGCAAAGGTTTACCTCTTGACACTACTGGAGAAGAAAAGGTTTACCTCTTGACACTATTGGATAAACAAAGGTTTACTTCTTTTCACTACTGGATAAGCAAAGGTTTACCTCTTGACAGTACTGGAGAAGAAAAGGTTTACCTCTTGACACTATTGGATAAGCAAAGGTTTACCTCTTGACACTACTGGATAAGCAAAGGTTTACCTCTTGACACTACTGGAGAAGAAAAGGTTTAATCTCTTGACACAACTGGAGAAGAAAAGGTTTACCTCTTGACACTATTGGATAAACAAAGGTTTACTTCTTTACACTACTGGATAAGCAAAGGTTTACCTCTTGACACTACTGGAGAAGAAAAGGTTTACCTCTTGACACTATTGGATAAGAAAAGGTTTACCTCTTGGTTCTGTTTGTAAGGAATGGTTTACCTCTTGACACTACTGAATAAGCAAAGGTTTACCTCTTGACACTGCTGGATAAGCAAAGGTTTACCTCTTGACACAACTGGAGAAGAAAAGGTTTACCTCTTGACACTTGTGGATAAGAAAAGGTTTACCTCTTGGTTCTGTTTGTAAGGAATGGTTTACCTCTTGACACCGCTGGATAAGCAAAAGTTTACCTCTTGACACTAATGGATAAGAAAAGGTTTACCTCTTGACACTACTGGATAAGAAAAGGTTTACCTCTTGGTTCTGTTGGAAAAGGAATTGTTTACCTCTTGGCACTGCTGGATAAGGGAGAGGTTTTCTTCTTCTAAAGATTTGAAAAGATGGAGAAGATGTTCTGGATCCTTGTAGAAGGTATATTTTATATACATACAATATGTATTTAACAATTCCTTGACTAATATAGTAAGTAAGTAAAGTAAGTAATTATTTATTTATGAAATCTATATATATACATATAATTTATATTTATTCCAACTGATGGGTTAGACCTATGAAACATTTTGTCTTGGAAGAAATATATATTTAAACATCTAAAATGTATATTTAAACTGAAAAAGTTGAAAATACTATATAATATAGTATAAATAAATAAAATATGAAAATTTGCTTTGATGGTTAAAAATTAAATTTTGTAAGGATAATTTGTTATCCTGTTTTAGCATTACTTAAAAAGTATGTATCAACTAAAGATGGGCGTATTTTAGAATACACAAAATTTTGTTAACGATGGTGTCATTCAGCACAAGTGACGAACGATGAGCGAACAATTTGGATCGTTCAGAGAAAAAATAATTATTATTTATGATTTTGCTGAACAAACGAATTTATTGTACAAACAAGTTTATTGATAAAATATTCAGTTAAAAACCGAACGAAATAGAAGAAAATGAACAAATGAAAATGATTCAGCTGAGGAACGATTTGAAATTTTACTTAACGACTGAAAATAAAACTAAAGAAATGGCTCATTAACAAACGATGAACGAACATGCCTATCTCTATTATAGACTCGTTTTCTAAATTGTAATGCGGGAAAGTAAACTGATCTTTGAATTTGAATGCTCTGCTACTTTTTGACAGATGTTTTCAGATTCAACAATTTGCATAGTTTCACACTTAGTTTAACCCTAGTTTAAAAACTTTAACATTCATTACTTTAAACAAAATAAAAATAGATACGGATTATGAACTTTCAGTTTTTTTTACATCATTTTGACATATTTGCAAAAACAAATTCTGTTTTGTCTAATAGTTTGAAGCATACATGAAATTTAAAAGTCCCACCCTGAAAAAAATATACTAACCCAGACACCGCTCATCCATATTCTCAAAGTAAAGAAAATAAAGCTCTTCATTAGTGAGAGGTGTTTGGAGATATCCAAGACTTCTTGATCTGAGTGTCTCCAGCAGAGAAGATATCCCTGGAGATCTACCCAGCACGTCAACTATAAACTTTATACTGTCTAGGTTTACCGGGCTATCAAGGAACTGAGGATGTTTACATATTCTGCTAATATTCTTGTTTATGTTATTTATAATTGCTTCCACTTTTTCAAGACAATAGGTTTCATTTGAACTTTCAATCTTTTGCACAGCCTTCTCAGTAAAGCATTCTAATGCAGTTGTATCAGTTTCACCTTCTAAATTGATAGTAATGGTTTCCACCTTTTTGTACAATGTTCCACCCTCTCCCTTAAGAATTGGGGCAAGAACATTAGAATTTTGCTCATAAATCGATCCAGCTTCCCAATCATCCTTAATTTGACCCACTGCCTGAACTGTTTCATTAAAGCTTTCATCCACAATTTCAGTAATGTTCTTATTTTCAACTGTTGCATTAAGTCTCTCTTCATAAACATTATTAGCTTCACTTTCTTCACGTATATCATCAACTTCACATTCTTTTTTTGTGTCTGAAACTAAACCAACTGTGTCAATCTGCCCGACATTTGGAATGTTTTCTTGAATATCAATTTTGGAATGTAAATTTAAATGATTGTCTTGAGATCCTTCTTTAATAGCGTCACATAATATTTCTGCATTAATTTTACCAGTAGATTCACCAGTGGATTCAACAGTAGATTCACCAGTAGACTCTCCAGTAGATTCACCAGTATATTCACCAGTAGATTCTATAGTAGATTCATCAGTAGATTCAACAGCAGATTCTCCAGTAGGTTCACCAGTGTATTCAACAGAAGATTCACCAGTAGATTCTCCAGTAGATTTGACAGTAGATTCAACAGTAGATTCTCCAGTAGGTTCACCAGTAGATTCAACAATGGATTCACCAGTAGATTCATCAGTAGATTCAAAAGCAGATTCTCCAGTAGATTTAACAGTAGATTCTACAGTAGATTCATCAGTAGATTCAACAGTAGATTCACCAGTAGGCTCACCAGTAGATTCAACAGTTAATTCACCAGTAGATTCATCAATAGATTCAACAGCAGATTCTCCAGTAGGTTCACCAGTGTATCCAACAGAAGATTCACAAGTAGATTCTCCAGTAGATTCAACAGTATTTTCACCAGTAGAGTTGACAGTAGATTCAACAGTAGATTTTCCAGTAGGTTCACCAGTAGATTCAACAGTAGATTCACCAGTAGATTCTAAAGTAGATTCACCAGTAGATTCTACAGTAGATTCCTCAGTAAATTTAACAGTAGATTCACCTGTAGATTCACTATTAGATTCTCCAGTAGGTTCACCAGTAGATTCTACAGTAGATGTATCCGTAGATTCTCCAGTAGATTCACCAGTAGATTCACCAGTAGATTCTACAGTAGATTCACCAGTAGATTCACCAGTAGATTCTATAGTAGTTTCACTATTAGATTCTCCAGTAGGTTCACTATTAGATTCTTCAGAAGGTACACCAGTAGATTTTACAGTAGATTCATCAGTAGATTCAACAGCAGGTTCAACAGTAGATTCACCAGTATATTCACTTGAAGATTCACCAGTAAATTCACCAGTAGATTCTACAGTAGATTCATCAGTAGATTCAACAGCAGGTTCAACATTAGATTCACCAGTATATTCAGCAGTAGATTCACTAGTAGATTCACCAGTAGATTCAGCAGTAGATTCAGCAGTAGATTCACTAGTAGATTTACCAGAACATTCAACAGAAGATTCACTAGTAGATTCTACAGTAGATTCAGTAGTATATTCTACAGTAGATTCAACAGTAGATTCACCAGTAGATTTAACAGTAGTTTCACCGGTAGATTTACAGGTAGATTCAATAGTAGATTCAACAGTAGATTCGGCAATAACAATATCACGAATATATTCACCGGCAGTTTTTTTTGTACTAACTTCAGAATTAAGATTATCCTCGGATGCATCATAAAAGACCTCATCTCCTTTATCTTTTTCAAGCTCTTCTACTATTTCCAATTCATAGTTTATGTCTTGAACTTCCGAAGTCACAATCACTGGAAATAAAGTTGTTTGATGTTATCTCATTTTAATTACAAAATATAGGCTTTACAGATCTTAAGACAAAGATAATTATTGTAAAGTATTTTAGGAAAATAGCACTAAATAAATAAATGCTTTAAGATTAAAGAAATGTTTACCAATATTTCCAGAAGATTCAGTATCATAAAACACCTCTGTAGTCTCATCAACTTCAGATTCATCCACAATCTCAGACAAACTTAGATCAGGATCTTCTGTTTCAACAGTTTGACAATCGCTAGAAGTTATCACTTCACCTTCAACTAAATTTTCATTGGCAGCTTTCTTCTCAATCATTTCCACATTAAGATCATCTTTTATTTCTCTAACTTCTGTCCAAGATTGATCAAATGATTTAATACCTACGGCTTCCTTCTCAAACCTTCCAATTATAAGGTCAGCTGGAAATTTTTCAAATGCCTGTACTTCATTGCTATCTTCTGAACCTTCACTTGGAAATGTTTCTTTAACTTGAATATTTTTTGCTTTGGTTTCATGAATTACAGATTTCTTTACTTTGATTGCTTCATTTACTGCAATCGAAAATGAATATTCTTCCAAAAGTGTTTCCACTTTTTCTGGGTCATTTCTTGGTTCAAAACTCTCTTCTTTTTGCTCATTTTCAGTTTTAGGTTTAGGCTCCGGTTCAAGTTTCATTACAGTTTCAGGTTCAGGCTTTGGTTCACCATCTGGTCTTATTTCAGCCTTAGGTTCAGGTTCTGGTACAAATTTAAGTTGAAGTTCAGGTTCAGTTTCAGCTTTAGGTTCAGCTTCAGGTTTGGATTTAGGTTCAAGTTCATATTTAAGTTCAAATTCAGGTTGAAGTTGAGGTTGAGGTACTGGTTTAAGTTCAGTTTCCTGTTTGGATTTAGGTTCAAGTACATATTTAGGTTCAATTTCCGGTTCAAGTTCAGAATACTTTTCGGGCGTATTTTCAAGATCATATTCAGCTTCAAGCTTTGTCTGAGAATCAGGTTCAGGTTCAGCTATTGGTTCAGTTGCTGATTCAGCTACTAGTTCAGTTTCTGGTTCAGCTACTGGTTCAGTTTCTGGTTCAGCTACTGGTTCAGTTTCTGATTCAACCACTTGTTCAGTTTCTGGTTCAGCTACTGGTTCAATTTCTGGTTCAGCTACTGGTTTAACTTCTGGTTCAGCTACTGGTTCAGTTTCTGGTTCAGCTACTGGTTCAGTTTCTGGTTCAGCTACTGGTTCAGTTTCTGGTTCAGCTACTGGTTCAGTTTCTGGTTCAGCTTCTGGTTCAGTTTCTGGTTCAGTCACTTGTTCAGTTTCTGGTTCAGCTACTGGTTCAGTTTCTGGTTCAGCTACTGGTTTAACTTCTGGTTTAGTTTCTGGTTCAGTTTCTGGTTTAGCTTCAGGTTTAGCTTCAGTTTCAGCTTCTGGTTCAGCTTCAGGTTTAGCCTCTGGTTCAGATTCAGGTCCAGCTTCTGGTTCAGCCACTAGTTTAACTTCTTGCCCAGTTTTTGGGTTAGCTTCTGGTTCCGGCTTTGTCTCATGTGGACCTTCATAAGTATATGCTCCGCATCGTAGTTCAGGATGAAGTTCAAAAGATTCTGTTTCTAGGATAGAATCAGGTTTAGCGTCAGGTTCTTGCTTAGAATCAGGTTTAGAATCAGATTCTAGTTTAGAAAAAGGTTTGGCTTCAGGTTCATGTTTAGATTCAGGATTAGCTTTAGGTTCTAGTTTAGAATCATGGTTGACTTCAGGTTCTAGTTTAGAACCAGGATTAGTTTCGGGCTCTAGCTTAGAATCAGGTTTAGCTTCATATTCTAGCTTAGAATCAGGTTTGGCTTCAGGTTTTAGCTTAGAATCAGGGTTGACTTCAGGTGTTAGTTTAGAATCAGTGTTGGCTTCAGGTTCTAGTTTAGAATCAGGTTTAGCTTCAGGTTCTAGCTTAGAATCAGGATTAGTTTCGGGCTCTAGCTTAGAATCAGGTTTAGCTTCATATTCTAGCTTAGAATCAGGTTTGGCTTCAGGTTTTAGCTTAGAATCAGTGTTGGCTTCAGGTTCTAGTTTAGAATCAGGTTTAGCTTCAGGTTCTAGCTTAGAATCAGGTTTAGCTTCAGGTTCTAATTTAGAATCAGGTTTGGCTTCAGGTTTTAGCTTAGAATCAGTGTTGGCTTCAGGTGTTAGTTTAGAATCAGTGTTGGCTTCAGGTTCTAGTTTAGAATCAGGTTTAGCTTCAGGTTCTAGCTTAGAATCAGGTTTAGCTTCAGGTTCTAGTTTAGAATCAGGATTAGTTTCATGTTCTAGTTTAGAATCAGGTTTAGCTTCAGGTTCTAGTTTAGAATCAGGATTAGTTTCATGTTCTAGTTTAGAATCAGGTTTAGCTTCAGGTTCTAGCTTAGAATCAGGTTTGGCTTCAGTTTCTAGTTTAGAATCAGGTTTGGCTTTAGGTTCTAGTTTAGAATCAGGATTAGTTTCAGGTTCTAGTTTAGAATCAGGATAAGTTTCATGTTCTAGCTTAGAATCAGGTTTGGCTTTAGGTTCTAGTTTAGAATCAGGATTAGTTTCAGGTTCTAGTTTAGAATCAGGATTAGTTTCATGTTCTAGCTTAGAATCAGGTTTGGCTTCAGGTTCTAGTTCAGGATTAGTTTCAGGTTCTAGTTTAGAATCAGGTTTGGCTTCAGGTTCTAGCTTAGAATCAGGTTTGGCTTCAGGTTCTAGTTTAGAATCAGGTTTAGTTTCATGTTCTAGTTCTAGTTTAGCTTCAGGTTTGGGTTCAATATCAATTTCAAGCTCTGGTTCCGTTTGCAGAGCAGTTTCCATAGGTTTAAAATATGAATTATCTCCCAGCTCAGATTCTGGTTCAGTTTCAATAACAGGTTTTGGAGTTGATGTCTCACTCCTGAATTGTTCTGAGTTTTCAAAATCAGTTTCATACCCACTTGAATCGATCAACTAAACATAAAACATGTTTTTATAATTAATAATAAACCACTATAATGGGTAAAAGGGGGGGAGGGGTTCGACAGCTTCTTTACTTTTAAGATTTTAGAGCATTGACGCTGGATTAAAAAAAATATATTAGATTCCAGAAATACGGACCTAAAATTGATGTACTTGAAAAGTCCTTGAAAAATGACAGTATAAACATGTTACATGCTAATATTTGTAAAATTGAAATTAAACTTGAGTCATAGAATTCACTTATACATTGTCTCTGGGGCCCTGTAAAGTCCAGAGAGGGAGGAGATCAGACGCACCCCCACAAGCTACGCATAGATTCACACCCCTCCCCCCGTCTTTTTAGTACTTGTTAAAAATAAATTACCTGAGTGACTGTCCTACAACTAACAGAATTTCGTACAATATCATCTAAAAAACATTAAAGTAACTGAAAAACGTAATTTCAAGTGACCTTACAGTCAAATATGACAATGCCTGATTCAATCTTTAAACCTTAATCTGATCTGTAACATAGAAGATATTGTCTTTTTTAAAGGTACGCACATTGCCATCTTTGCAAGAAGAGTCAATTAAAATTAGAGATTGGCCTCGTTTTTGCTGACGAACTCAAGTTTTCGTGAACGCTGTTGCCGTTCAGAAAAAAGGAACGATGGACGATCAACTTCGCTCATGTAGAGAAATATTAAAAACTATCGTTTATAAAAAATACTTTAGTCTCAACTCTCGAGTTTTGATATCCTTGTATCAACTTTAACTTTAACTTTAAGCAAACTTTGTGATTGTTTATTTAAAGGTACTTTAATGGTTTTAATGAGTTTTCTAATCCCTATATCGTTGCAACTTGATTGTGTAAACCTTTGATAATTCAAACTTAGACTATGTAATTTAACACAATTCATAGTTTGACCTCAGTTTCTTCTGACTCAAGTATAAAAAGATTAGCCCGAACCCTTGGGACTAATTTCCCAAAAATTGCCTAAATTGCGGCCTCTGAGTAAATTGTTTCTTTATCGTTATTTGAATCTTTACTTAAAAGTATTATGAACGTTAATAAATAAAAAGGATTATGTTTTAGAATTAATAGAGGATACTGTCATTAAAATAAGGACCAACTGGGGAAAAAAACAAACATTTTTCCTTCTAATGCATTTAAAATCTCAATACTTTCTGAACCTTTTTCTATCCGGGATGCTAGGTATTTTTGGCGCTTAAATAATTCCTTGGCAACAGGTCTTCAGATAACAAAGAAAATAGCCAGTGGCCGAATTTAAAGAATTTGAGTGGCGGTTTAAATTTAAGCCGCGGCTTAAATATTGTTGGTTCCACTTAAAATTGTATCAAATGTTTCAAGATTTAAGCCGGCGCTTAATTTAAACCGGGTTTTGGCAAATTTAAACCGCGGGTTAAATTATTTAAATTCCACCTCAGGATTCATTTTAGTCGTATAATAAAACAAATTTCCTATGAAACTATTTATACTAAATAAATATATTTCTCGTCTTCAGAATCAGATTTAAGAAGGGATATTTTTAGAATGTAATAACCATCAGATTAAGATTATGATGTATGTAGAAAAGAAAAAAATATTAAAGTAATGTTATATTTAGGGTGCAACTGTAATTTGCTGATAACCAAAGGACTGGTTTTAAGATATTAAAAGAGATATTAATTTTTTTACGTGGTTATATTTTGCTTTTGAAACTAAATCAATATATCTTTGATTAAAAAGTACAAAAAGAAACAATAATAATTTACTAACAATTTTATTTCAATTGTGAACATTTTCTTTTTGTATACTAGGAATGTTAACGTTTTCTTTTTTTTTGTAAAATGATCGTTAACGAAGAGAGGAGGAGAAAGGAAACCGCCCTGAAAGGCATCGGTACTCGTCATTGAGCAGTTTTAAAGAAAATATCAAGATGTTTTAGCCCCCCCCCCCCAACGACAACCCTTCGTTAACGATCGTTAACATATTTATCAATGAAAAAAAATTTCAAAAACTTTCATCTTTTTAAAAGCGATAGTTTTTTAAACAATCGTATGAAAAAACGATCGCTGATTGTTTTTATAAAAACTATCGTTTGCAAAAACGATCGTTATTCGTTTTCTAAAAGTTCAAAACAAGCTAATCGCTTTAAAAACGATCGTTTTTTTCCGAAAACGAAACGATCGTTTTTGAAAACGATCGGAAAACGAAACAAAAAACGATCGTTTTCAAAAACGTTAAAAAACCATATACGTCGTAAAACGACCATATTCAGCAAATACACAACAAATCTAAAACGAAGATATCCCAGAGGAAGCTGATTCTCACTTTGGTTTGCTCCAGTTATATTTCTATAATTTTTGATTTATTTTTAATTGATATGATTAATATTATTTATAAGTCCTTATTACGTCACCATAAATAATATTATCAACTATATCTATTAAAAATAAAAATAAAAATTATAAAATAATAATTGGAGAAACCCTAAGTTACAATTAGGTTTCTATGGGATATATTCGTTTTCAGATTGGTTGCGTATTTGCTGAATTTAATCTGTTTAAACCAAAATTGTATATATAAATATGAATCTTCGTACATCAGATATATCTTTCATGGGTCGCGACCAAGAGCTAAAGTGATTAGCTTTATACCTATCTTCTTTCATTTTTCCTTTTCAAATTACCATAATCCTTATTTTAACGTGATCTGTAAAAATTGTGGATCTACCTCGAACTACTCAATATGTATTTACCTAAATCAAGAAGTAAGTCGTCAAAGCTCTCGTCTTCATTCTAGAATAAAGATAAGTCTTACAAAGGAATTGAGATTTTGCCACAAACTCTGATTTCTAATTCTTTTAACTTTACAACCCTATTTCGTAGACCTTTGATATTTCAAACTACAAATATTGTTAGATCAGGAAGTGTAAGTTTGAAATATCAAAGGTTTACACAATAGGTTTTTGAGATTTATGGATTGGAAAAATTATGTTTGTGGCAAAAACTCAATTCCTTTCTTTTCATTTTGGTTATAAATACAGAAAATAAATATAGAATATTTTAAAATATGCTTAATATTACAATTAAAACGTAATTCTTTTATTCATTTTTGAAAAAAATAAGTTTTTTAGATTAGAAAATAAGATTTTTAATTTTAAGAGTTTTATCAAAGACAAGTTAAAATATTAAATATGAAAATAGCATCGCATTGGAAAACATTTGTCGCGTTAAACTGTAATTCAGCCTATAATTGGATAAGAGAAACTTTCATTGAGACTATATAAACAAAGGTTCTAAACATCCTCTTTATTGTATTCATAATCCGCTGTACAACGGAATCCTGTCAACGTACTTCATTAGATTTCTTGGATGTGCGCGATACATGGTTTACGGCAATATGTGTAAGGGAGGACTGTTTATTTAAAATTTCTTTTTATTATTAAAATACAAGTGATCAAATTTTACACCCATCTTATTAGAACTTGTATTAACGTTTTAAAACGTAATCTTAAAACAAATTTTGAAAATGTAAACTTAATTGAAAGTTAATCAATAAGTCAAAAATAACTGTTCTGCTTATTCAACTAACCATCTGCAATTAACTGATTAAAAAAGTCTGAATGTGGCCAGCTCTAGTTGGAACGACACAGAGCCGGAAATTCAAGAGACTATCATTGAACGAAACCCCCGAGTTTCCTTGTTGGGATCTATATGTATTTGCGTAGATTTTAGTAAAAGAAATCAGAAAACAGATAATGTAAAGAAACCGCATGAAATAATATTTTTTAGCAAAATGTATAATGATCAAATATACATAGCTCCCGGCCTATACATTGGTAACAAATTAAGTGGTCTTTACGCTTGTTTGTAATACCTGATTGGAGGAGGAGGAGGTTGAAGATAATGTTCTAAATCTTTGTTTTCTCCTCAGCTTGGTACTAGCCTATATGAGTATATATATAGTCACACAATTTATCAATATTTTTTATTTTAAGTGGTATAAGGTTTCCCACGTCAAAACGGGTTCAGCCACACCCTTTCTAGCTCGCATCCTTTTTTCTATTAATTACATATTGTTTTTCATCATTCCATGCTAACATTTTTAATTAATTTATCAAAACTAAAATTTCGCTGATTTTTAACTTTATATCGATTAATTTTCAAATTTTCTAATCCCTATATTTTTGTAACCTGATGATGTAAACTCTTAATATTTCAAACTTAGATTTTTTGATCTAACATAATTCATATTTTGAAATATCAAAGGTCTCCGACATTTGGTTGCAAAGATATAGCGGTAGAAAATCGAAGTTTGTGGTAAGCCGTATAGTTTCAATAGAAGTAAATATTTCCATTTAGTGTATAACGCCGACACAAGCATTTATCTCTGATTGGATCATGAGATAGATAGAAAAATAGATGTTACCGCAATGCAATTTCTATTGGTTCAAAATAGACACCAAACACATGACTGAACCCTGATTGGATCAGGCGCTAATGGACTCGGCATACAGGAGTGAAGCGCTTATTTACTTTTTTCTCTCTCCAAAAAGTCATGTTGAATTGAAAATCAGTAGTTGTGGAAACTGTATGAAAACTGTAGAAAATGTTGAAAATAAACCTGATAATCATCCCACCAACGATCCTCTCCTCCATCCGTCATTTTCACTCTAGATTCTCATCTGAAATATTAACTAGTTAACAACTAAAACATTATGAATTAAAATGTTAAGGTTAGAATATAAATTCCATGTTAATCATATGATTTTTAAAAAACTTTTACATTTAATTTGCGTTATAAGTTAACATTGTAAAACATTCACAGCTACGGTGAGACTCATAAAACTTTAGAATAAGACAAAGCTTATACAATCTTATATGTTTTGATGTTTTTATAAATTGCAATAAGTCATACACCAAAGCTCGATTACTGTGTTTGACGTTTATTGAACTATTTAAACTCATAACTTGAGCATGAGTGACGTATTCATACTTCAAAATTGTATGGGTCCTACTGTACAAGGCAAACAAACAACACTTGAAACTAATGAATTTCTACTTGGAATGGCTAAAATTGACGAACTAGAAAAAGTTAACAATAAACGACTAAGAAAACATTAAAAATTGCATAATGCTAAAATTTTAAAAGCTATAATTTTTTATCTTAGCAGTTCAAATGTAAAGAAAATAAACAAAAAAGCATTAAACAGAATGAAAATATTTTTGATCAAATCGTCATCTAATACAAGCAATGGGCTTGTATTTTTGTTGTTATTTGCTTGCGATGTAGTTTCTGAAGTTGCAATTAAAACTGCCTTGACATTATCTTTTTCTAATAAAAGTTCTTCAAGTGATATTTGTTCGATTACTTCAAGTGAAGATTCTAAAACAAATGATTCTATCTCAAAAAATTCCTTGACTTTATCTTCTTTTACACATAACTCTTCTATAAGTGACTCATTGCTAGAAGTTAGTAGCTCAGATTTTTTTAAATCTCGGTTTTCTGAAGCTGTAGGCTCATAAACGTATCTACAACTATGCTCAACAGAACTAGTGGGTTCTTGTGTAGGCTCATAAATAGTTACGTCAGTGGATTCTACAGTAGGGTCATCAATAGTAACATCAGTGGATTCTACAGTAGGTTCATCAATAGTTACACCAGGGGATTCTACATCACGTTCATCAGTGGATTTTAAAGTGGATTCTACTACAGTTTCATCAGTGAATTCTATATAAGGTTCATCAAAAGTGACATTAGTGGATTCTACAGTAGGTTCATCCAAAGTTGCATCAGTGGATTCTACAGTAGTTTCATCAAAAGTTGCTTCAGTAGGTTCATCATTATGTACATCAATGAATTCTATAATAGGTTCATCAACAGATACATCAAGAGATTCTACAGTAGGGTAATCAATAGTCACATCAGTGGATTCTACAGTAGGTTCATCAATAGTTACATCAGTGGATTCTACAGTAGGTTCATCAAAAGTTGCATCAGTGGATTCTACAGAAGTTTCATCAATAGTTACATTAGTGGAATCTACAGAAGGTTCATCAATAGTTACATCAATGGATTCTACAGTAGGTTCATCAATAGTTACATTAGTGGATACTACAGTAGGTTCATCAATAGTTACATCAGTGTATTCTACAGTAAGTTCATCAATAGTTACATCAATGGATTCTACATTAGGTTCATCAAAAGTTGCATCAGTGGATTCTACCGAAGGTTCATCAATATTTTTATCTGTAGTAGATTCATCAATAGTGACATCAATGGATTCTACAGTAGGTTCATCCAAAGTTACATCAGTGGGGTCTACAGTTGGTTCATAAATAAGTACATCAATGAATTCTACAGTAGATTCATCAAAAGTTACATCAGTGGATTCTACAGTAGATTCATCAGTGGATTCTACAGTAGGTTCGTCAATAGTTACAACAGTTGATTCTACTGTATATGCATTAGTGGATTTTACAGAAGGTTCATTAATAGCTACCACAATAGATTGTTTAATAGGTTCATCAAAAGTGGCATCAGTGGATTTTACAGCAGGTTCGTCAATATTTTTATCAGTAGATTCTATAGTAGATTCATCATTAGTGACATCAGTAGATTCTACAGTTGGTTCATCCAGAGTTACATCAGTGGGGTCTTCAGTTGGTTCATCAATAAGTACATTATTGAATTCTTCATTAGATTCATCAAAAGTTACATCAGTGGATTCTACAGTAGGTTCATCAATAGTTTCATCAGTTAGTTCTACAGTAGATTTATCAATAGATACATGAATGGATTCTACAGTAGGTTCATTAAAAGTTACATTAGTGGATTCTACAATAGGTTCACCAGCATATTCTACAGTAGGTTCACCAATAGTTACATCATTGATTTCTTCATTAGATTCATTAAACGTTCCATCAGTGGATTTTACAGTAGATTCATCAATACTTTCATCAGTTATTTCTACAGTAGATTTATCAATAGTTACATAATTGGATTCTACAGTAGGTTCATTTGTGGATTTTTCAGAAAGTTCATCAATGGAATCTACAGTAGGTTTATCAATAGTTACATTATTGAATTCTTCATTAGATTCATCAAAAGTTACATCAGTGGATTCTACATTAGGCTCACCGGTGGATTCTACAGCAGGTTCATGAATAGTAACAACAGTGGATTCTACAGTAGGTTCATCAATAGTTACATCATTGAATTCTTCATTAGATTCATCAAAAGTTACATCAGTGGATTCTACAGTAGGTTCACCGGTGGATTCTACAGTAGGTTCATCAATAGTTACATCAGTGGATTCTACAGCAGGTTCATGAATAGTAACAACAGTGGATTCTACAGTAGGTTCATCAATAGTTAAATCATTGAATTCTTCATTAGATTCATCAAAAGTTACATCAGTGGATTCTACAGTAGGTTCACCAGTGGATTCTACAGTAGGTTCATCAAGAGTTACATCAGTGGATTCTACAGCAGGTTCATCAACAGTAACAACAGTGAATTCTACAGTAGGTTCATCAATGGTTACATCATTGAATTCTTCATTAGATTCATCAAAAGTTATATCAGTGGATTCTACAGTAGATTCATCAATAGTTTCATCAGTTAGTTCTTCAGTAAATTTATCAATAGTTACATAAATGGATTCTACAGTAGGTTCATTAGTGGATTTTTCAGAAAGTTCATCAATGGATTCTAGAGTAGGTTCATCAATTGTTACATCAGTGGATTCTACGGTAATTTCATTCAAAGTTACAGTAGTGAATTCTGAAGGGGGGTCATCAATAAGTACATCAATGGATTCAGCAGTAGATTCATCGATAGTTATATCAGTAGATTCCAAATTTGGTTCATCAAAAGATACATCAGTGGATTCTACAGTAGATTCATTTATGGTTGCAACAGTGGATTCTACAATAGGTTTATCAGTGGATTCTACAGTAGGTTTGTCAATAGTTACAACAGTTGATTCTACTGTATATTCATCAGTGGATTTTACAGAAGGTTCATTAATAGCTACCACAATAGATTGTTTAATAGGTTCATCAAAAGTGGCATCAGTGGATTCTACAGCAGGTTCATCAATATTTTTATCAGTAGATTCTGTAGTAGATTCATCATTAGTGACATCAGTAAATTCTACAGTAGGTTCATTCAAAGTTACATCAGCGGGGTCTACAGTTGGTTCATTAATAAGTACATCAATGAATGCTACAGAAGATTCATCCAAAGTTACATCAGTGGGGTCTACAGTTGGTTCATTAAATAAATTCTGCATTAGATTCATTAATATTTATATCAGTGGATACTACAGTAGGTTGACTGGCGGATTCTACAGTAGGTTCATCAATAGTTGCATCAGTGGATTCTACAGTAGGTTCATCAATAGTTACATCAGTGGATTCTACAGAAGGTTCATCAATAGCGACAACAGTGGATACTACAGTAGGTTCATCAATAGTTACATTATTGAATTCTTCATTAGATTCATCAATAGTTACATCAATGGATTCTACAGTAGGTTCACCGGCGGATTCTACAGTAGGTTTATCAATAGTTATATCAGTGGATTCTACAGTAGGTTCATCAATAGTTACATCAGTGGATTCTACAGTAGGTTCATTAATGGTTACATCAGTGGATTCTACAGTAGGTTCATTAATGGTTACAACAGTGGATTCTACAATAGATTCATCAGTGAATTCCACAGTAGGTTCATTAATAGTTACAACAGTTGATTCTTCTGAAGGTTCATCAGTTTTGGATTCTACAGTAGGTTTATCAAAAGTTGCATCATTGGATTCTACAACATTTTCTTCAATAGATACATCAGTGGATTCTACAGTTTGTTCATCAGTGGATTCTACAGTAGGTTTATCAATAGATATATCAGTGGATTCTACAATAGGTTCATCAAAAGATACATCAGTGGATTCTATAGCTGGTTTATCATTGGATTCTACAGTAGGTTCATCAACAGATACATCAATAGTTACATTAGTAGATTCTAAAGCAGGTTCACCAAAGGATAAATCAAAAGATTTTACAGAAGGTTCATCAATAGTTACATCAGTGGATTCTACAGTATATTCATCAATTGTTACACGAATGGATTCTAAAGTATGTTCATAAATAGTTACATCAATAGATTCTACAGTAGGGTCAGCGATAGTTACATCATCGGATTCTACAGTAGGTTCATCAATAGTTACATCAGTAGATTCTACAGTAGGTTCATCATTATGTACATCAATGGATTCTATAATAGGTTCATCAATAGATGCATCAGTAGATTCTACAGTAGGTTCACCAATAGTTACATCAGTGGATTCTACAGAAGGTTCACCAATAGTTACATTAGTGAATACTACAGTAGGTTCATCAATAGTTACATCAGTAGATTCTTCAGTAGGTTCATCATTATGTACATCAATGGATTCTATAATAGGTGCATCAATAGATGCATAAGTAGATTCTACAGTAGGTTCACCAATAGTTACATCAGTGGATTCTACAAAAGGTTCACCAATAGTTACATTATTGGATTCTACAGAAGTTTCATCAATAGTTTTGACATTGGATTCTACAGTATGTTCATTAATATCCCTGGCTGCAATATTTTTTTCTGAAGGATTTTCAATAATATTTTTTTGATACATTGATTTGTTTTCAGTATAATTTTTTTCTTGCGGTTTGTGAAGATAATTTGTTGTTTGTTGATTTTGTTCTTCGGATTTGCCGTTGATAAACTCAGAATTATTTGGTTTGTTTCTTCTCGCACTCACATTGGTGTTTTCAACAATGCTTCCTTTAACAAATAAAATCTTATATCTCTGATGATGATTTGTTTTATTTAATGAAGTTTAAAATTATGATATATTAAACTTCAAAAAAATTATTGTCTTGATCTGAACGAAAATAGGTTTAAGATGTTGTAGTCTAATGATTTTGATATGATTTAAAGGAAAAAAAGAATTTTACTGATATTTGTTTCCTAAATCACTTAGCAAATCTTCATAATCGTCTTCATCCTAAAAAAGCATAGTGTTTGTATTATGTTGTGTCAGATTTAGATACAATATCTAAATATGTTCAAACAGATCACGTATTTTATTTAGTATAAAGCCTTTTATGTTAAAATAAAGTCAATATCTAAATATGTTCAAACAGATCACGTATTTTATTTAGTATAAAGCCCTAGGATAAATAGGAATGGGCAATGTTCCAAATAAACAGAACTGCGTTTACAAACGGAAACAATCGGAAATTTGTTAACAATAAATAAACGGAAATTCTATCTAGATTCGAATTTTTTTTATTTAAATCCATGACCTTCTGGTTAAGTGATAGTTTAGGGCTGGGGAAAAAATCTGTAAAGGTACTGTTGTTGTAGCATAGTGATCCATAATTAAAAAAGGGACATACCAAATTCACAACGGTACCCTTGAAACCTTAATCTGATCACTAACGTGAAAATAAGATAAATGTCATTTATTCCCGGCTTCAAAACTGTTATTTTCTATTTTGGTTATAAAAAATATGCAATTTTACTTTTTAAAGAAACTGCAATGGATGTCTTATTCACTCTTGATCAGATAAAACTTTTAAAATTATCGTTGTGAATTAGACATGTCAATCTGTCATGAGAGGGTCTCTTTAAATTACGAATACACCTCTGCTACACCTCCTGCACATAAACTTGTGAGGAAGTTTTCAATCCAATTAAACCCTGTTCAAACACCTCATTAGACTTTTTTGTTCAAAGAATAAATCAAACCTTGATTCATAGCTAATTTTCTATTTATTGAATCCCGGAACCTGTCGTTTTCCACAAAATAATTATTAACAATATTGGAATGTTTAAATTCCTTTTTATATTTAAAAAAAAAAAACTAGAATTTCTTGTAATCGTTCTATTTGTTTAATTTTGAAGATTTCTTAGTTTTATTGGTGAGTTTTCAAAAAGGATTCTAAGGATTTGAAACGTGTATCAAAATTTCTTTTAGTACTTGTTTTTGAAAACTGACCGAGAAAAATATGGTTTGTTTACTGTGACGTACTAGAACTACTAGGAACTAGTTTAATTTAAACAATACTGTGGAGTCCCAATACGTCATAGTCATAAATAAACAAACCACCCCCCCCCCCTCTCCTCGTTATAAACATATTGAAAAACAAATTGCAGAAACTTGAACCCCAACAAAAAATTAGACAAGAAAAGGATTTACTAAGAGGAGGCAAAGAATTTATTCATTTTCATTTTTAAAATTGTTCAGATACAGGGTTACCCACAGCAGATGAGACTAAAGAGACGCGCAGACGGAATTTTTATAGTATGTTTCATAAGATTCATGATTCCATGTAAACTGGTTTCTTTCTTTGCCAAACCTTTAAATAAGCCATTATTAACCTTAGGATTGTCATTTATTAACAGTTATAAGTCGTCTTTACATGTTTATTCTTGTGGGTAACCCTGCATTGCATGCACATTGTAAAATTAAATTAACTATGCTCGTCCCGCTAATAGGCAATGCACTTACTTTACCATGACATATAAAGAGCAAAACAAATATGACTAGATGCGGGGATTTTCTGGAATTCTCTAGAAAGAGAATCGAAGGTGGTTTTACTAATTTCTCAGTAGTCAAATTCCTAGAGATGACATCAGGATGCAACGATATAATTATTAGAAAATAAGAAGTTGCTCTACCTGCAGGCACACGTTTGCAGATTTCCTATTTCTTCGCGTACTGCAAGCCTAAATATAAATCAGTACCGGGCCGAACTTTCAGCAGCTAGAGGAAGCTGTACAGTACACATACAGACTTTTACAATACTGTCCCAGAACACCAAAAATAAATACTAGTAAAATTTATGTAGAGGGAGGGGGGGGGGGGCGCAAAAACAAGTAATGAATATTTTCTCCCAGCTAACATATGGTATAGGTATACATATATATTGCAACCAAATTGAAACACTGTGTAATTATGAATAAGATGGAAAAACAAGATTGTTATATTTTCACTGATATACTTATTATATTTCAATTAATAATGTCTATATACTAAAAAGAAAAGGAATTTCGGTTGAAATGAATTCTACTCACGGGGGTTAATTATCAACCCAAGAAAGATTTATAGTGGAAAAGATTTAAATCAACAGCGAGTAACTGTTAAAATTTAAAGAAGCAACCCGATTATTTTTAACTTGTTTTAATCAATACAATTAGTAAAAGATTCGAGGAATTTTGATGAATTTGATTTAAAACCGAAGCTGCCGAAAGCGATTCAAAAAAAAACAATTAGAATGATCGTTTTTTTCAAAATTCCAAAGAAAATGTTCATCTTTGCTATCGTTTAAACAAAATGTTTCTTCTAACTTCTGTATAAACGTCTATATACAATACGGTCAGAATAAAAAAAATAATCTTAAATAGAAGTTTAAACACAATTGACAGTGTTCACAATATCAACCAGCACGCTCCAATTTCCAAATTATCGAAAATTCTTCATTTTAGTTTGAGTTAGATTAAAGAAAATTATATCACTATGAGATTTCCAAAATTCTTTATTTTAGTTTGAGTTAGATTAAAGAACATTATATCACTAGGAGATTTCCAAAATTTTGTTTTTCTGGGTTTTAACTTAAGATGATATAAAAAATACCTTATCCATGAAATTGTAAGAATTTTGTTTACAAATACATCGATGGATTTGACAAAGAGGGAATTTCCAAACAAGTTAAAATATGATTAAAAAATACTAGGTTTTTATCATACGTTCTTTTTACTCTTTTTAAAGTAAGAAAATTCATGTCATTACATTAATATTTTCGTGGATTATGGTGTGTGATTCAATCATGCAAGAACATACTTTTATAATTTCAAAATATTTTTAGGAATGCATAAAAAGATATAAATTATATTTACTTTTATCAATTTTGTCCTTAGGTAGTGGTGTTATGAAAAAAAAGACAAATTTTGGCCACACAATATCCAGAGCGTAGGCGAAAGATACTATAAAGACAATATTGATCAAAATTTCACGATTTAAAAAAGAAAAATATAAAAACCTGGTAGTCTGTCCACCAAAGATCAGTTTTGTTTGATTCACTCATTTTATTCTAAAAAAGAGAGGTTTTTAATGTTTGAAAGGGTGTGTACTCTTTAGGCGTAATTTCAAGTTACCCTTCAGTTAGAGTGGTATATCCAATACACTTAACGTTGCAATTAAAAGCTTTGTTTAATTGATGAAGAATTAGATAAACATAAAACCCATCTTTTATGTGATTATTTATATTGTTTTCTCTACTAAAGTGATATTCAGATTTATGACGCAATAACGATGAAGAAAATAGTAAAAATTAAACACTTTTCCAGAAAATTCCACATTTTTCATCAGATAAAAGTTTCAAGGGTACCGTTGTGAATTGGTCACGCATCTCTTTAAATGGAGGGTCACTCAAAATTACAAAAGCAGTCCCTTTTTGTAAACTTCATGCTGATCGCGTGAAAAATATAATATGAAAAATTCAGTATTTAAGTAATGATTATATTCGGTGTGTCTCAAGTTTAGAAATCACGTGTTTTGTCTGATATAACAATAGTCCGGTGTCCTTCATGACTTTCTTGTGAATGAAGTGTTTTCCAGTATTTTCTTCAGATTTTCCAGGATTTTTAGATTTAACACAAATAATTTAATCACCTTCCCACTTTGAATTTTATTGATAAATGTATAATATTGTTTATATTTCACAATATTTCAAACCACCTCAGAATAAAATGTAGAATATTCTTTGAGAAAGGATTTATCGACCTAATAGAAAGTTTAAAAATAGTAATGAAAAAAGGGCACAATTTTTAGGCCAATAAAAAATCGTGCCGCAAATATTATGATATGCGGAAAACATTTTTATTAAAAAATAAAATTGTTTCTGTTAATGCGTCATACCAGCAGTGGAAAGTTAGAAATGCGTACGCACTCAGATCTACTTCACGCTGACCGGAGAATAGAGGTCATCTTAAAGGGACAATCAATATAATTTCAACTGATTCTTCATTTAAATATTATTATCAACAATTTACAACCCTATACTCTTTAGAAATAAATTAAACCTTTGGGCATACATGGGGGAGGGGGATGGAGACTAATTATTTTTTCACACACATTTTCGCAAAGAAAATACCACCGATTCAGGGGAAGGCTTCACTCATGGGCCTCGCAATGGATTTGTATGGGGGGTGGGGAGTGAATAGATCTTAAAGCGCACTATGCAGTGTGCAATGTATTTTTTGGCGTAAAACTGCTATCTAAATTAGGTTCAGCTAAACGAGGTGGGGAAAGCAGACAGCCATATGCCACAACATTGTTCTCTTCCATGCCACATATTAGCCTTTTTGTCTTTCGGCAGCCATAGGGTCTTCCATGCCACAGCATTTGAGTCTTCCGGCAGTTATTACGTTTTTAAATAATTGCATTGAATTTGCATTGAAATTGTGATTTTCAACATTTATCATTTAAAACGTAATGACTGCTGGAAGACTCAGATGCTGTGACATGGAAGACCAAATGGTTGTGGCTCATGGCTGCCGGAGGACAAAAAAGATAATATGTGATATGGAAGGAGAAAATGTCATGGCTTATGGCTCCATACCTTCCCCCGCTCGCTAAACAAGCTGTATTTTTCAATATAAACATTAAATAAAGTTCTTTTACTATCAGGAGGATATAGGCACACTTGCAGAGTCAGTATGCGCTGTGTAATGCAGTTATTATGTACGTTGTTTATCATTGTATCTACACTCAACATTGGGGTAAAACAATTCAAATTTTAGTTTTAATTAGGGTTTTCAGTCGTAATTACGCGTAACACTTTCTTTCACTAACGGAGGAGATTACGCGAAATTACGTGCTAATTACGTATACAAAAGAAAGTCTAGTTTCGTGTAATTAAGCCGTAATTCCGCGAAATTAATTACTTAGTGCGAAACCATTCCGGAATTAGTAAAGTACATATTAATTCTCAAAAATTAATATAGCGGGAAATTAAGTTTAAGGATATGTGCGATACAATTTAAATTTAAATACTTTCAAATTGATTTAAAATTTGTTTATGGTGATGAACCAAACCTTTAGAGAAAAAAGTAGATGTTAGTTCCACATTTTATTGAAAATATATTTTGGTCTAGATTGTTCCTTGTCAGTTCCAACGTTATAATAACAATCAAATCGATGTTAAAAACCACAAGAAAATAAACAAGCAAAAAAGATTATTTAAAGAAAAATTTAAATGGGCTGTCAAATGGACAAAAGGGAAACGAACTCTGATCATGAGATGGAAAAAAAGATAATTTGCAAATATTTACTTTTGAAAAAATGTTTTAAGACAATTAATATTTGTTGAGATTGTTTCTGTCGAATGAAGATTGAAAACAAACTAATTTATATGTATAAACATCCTAAGTGGTGGTGGGGGAAGGGGGTCGATCTAATTAACGAACTTTAACGTAAATCTGGAGGGGGGGGCGGCTTGTCTAAGGAGGGGTATTTAAACCTTTTAAAAAATTGGAAATAAAAAATACTCTTTTTTTAAAAAAATACTGATTTACAGTATACAATTTATAAATGAGATCAGTCATGTATTTAGATGAGATATTTAAAGTAAATTTCTCACAGGGTCCCAAACCTTCTCTAGTACACTAACTTTTAGATGGTAGAGTTCATGTCCAGGAAGGTTAAAATGTTCTCCTGTAGGCTGGTTTGTATCGAGGTTTCGCTAATTAGGCGTAATTATTGGAACTTTTCGCGCAATTATTTTTGTAGAAATTACGCGAAATTTTGGCGTAATTTCACGAAATCGAAGTTTCGCTAATTACGCGTAATTATTAAAAAAATTCGCGAAATAACGTTGTAGAAATTACGCCGTAATTTAGCGTAATTGAAGTTTCACCAATTACGCGAAATCCTGCGAAATAACAGGAAATGAAAATTATTTCGCGTAACTGCACGTAATTTCGCGTAAGTAAATAATCTATTACGCTGGAAACCCTAGTTTTACCATCAAAGGGCTCTAGCCAGCTCTATCTATCTTCTCCACTCCCTTTCTGCCCATGGGAGCCTGTAGTTTCTACCTAGGGACAACAAGAAAGTAATGATTACTGTAACCCACCATCCTTTGTTCAAATCCGGACACGAGGTCTGACAAATATAAGAACGATGAACTCCGAGAATGTTAGATGGAAAGTTTCATGGAGTAACCCGGATATTGCAACAAACGACAAATCGCACCCGTCCTTATCTTGGGTACTGGAACAAGTTCAAATAGGGGGAAACTATGAGGGAGGGAGGTAATCATACAAGCCTTAAACGAACATGGGAAGATGACTATCACTGAGGAGAAGATGAAGCTGCAGGAGGAGTTGGCCTTGGTGACTTACATGAGCTTGGTGATGGAACAAAGGATGGAGATAGTAAAACTGCTTGGCATTAATGCAAACATTAATAAAACTTGCTCTGATTGCAGAAACACTGGACAAGAAAGAAGATTTTCCTGGATGATATTTTATCAAGAAAAAGAAAATGTGATTCTCCAAATAAATAATCATGAACGAAGAAAACAGTGAATATTCAATTCTTCATGTTGCAGAAGTTGAATACAAGAATGTAAACCTCATTTGAAACCATGGGCACCAACCTGCTTATCCAAGAATAAATACCTGTCCTGAGTCAAGATAAACCAGAGCATTAAAAGATATTTAAAATTCTTAAAGCCATAAATGAAACAATGATATGTGGAATCCAAACTCTTCTAGTCCCAGAGCTAGGGGCTTGAGAACACATTAACATTTGTCTTTGTTCAGGCAGAGTTACGACTCTGATATCTGGAAACAGCTGAACCCAATCCAGATTGACTGATGGTTCGACCGCAGTGGCGGACGTCTGTGGATTTGTATCTGTGGATCTGTACCTGTGGATTTGTATCTGTGGATCTGTATCTGTGGATCTGTATCTGTGGATCTGTACCTGTGGAAACTTTTGGCATCACCCGGAAACAAATCCAGCCAAAAGTCTAAAAAATGTTGAATATTTACTAGTTTTAATATTCACTAAATCTTGATCAAAGAATGAAAGAGTCAAAAACTTACACTAGGCTCAGCCATTTCTAATTAAAGAAATATTTAGAATGGTCAGCAGGGAAAAGGGGACTACGTCAAACAGTCTCTGATTGCCAGGCCCAGACAGTTGGCAGGTAAACATTTATACAATCATTTTAAATAGAAAATATGATTATTTGATATTTGCATATATCTTGTTTATCAGAATAATTTTATCCTATACAGGATGATTGCTGCCAACTCTGTTTTTGATTCTTTCTGGATGAATGGGGAAAGATTTCAACTACAGCTATAGCAACTGAAGATTGTCTACAAACAAATGCACAAAGTTTATTTCGAAAAAAATATTCATTTTTTGTAATTATAATCTTATAAAACTAATATGATTTATTTTTCAGTTTTCCACCACTTCGGATGTTGTAAGAAGAATATGCTCAATAAATGCTAAATACAGCGTTGACTTTAAAATGTGCGTGTGTAATAAGTCTAGAAATTCCAGAGCGCTTCCTGCATTGCGCTAAAAATGTTATAAAATGCACCATTAAAGGGGAGTTCCGTCCAGAAGAACAATAAATAAAGATATTAATAAATAAACCATGATATACTCACTTAATATGCTTTAATAAAAGGAATATATCGAAAATTGTATTATTACTAGTTTTGTGGGTCATATAATTATTTAATAATTATTATTATTCTTATTATTTGTAATGTTATTATTATTATTTTTAAATAGCATATAATTATATAAATAAACTATTCGCCCAAAGATGTCCCCGACGGTAAATTATTTTAAATAAAATATATCTTAATGGTAATCACGACGAGTCAATATTTTAAAATGGAATTTCTATTTAATGTTAAAATCGGTGAACAATTTCTTCTTTTAATCACATCATTTTCTGACAGTTTGTCTTCCCAAATTTACTTATTTTATTTAGCATTCAATTCTAAAGGACAATTTACATTTAACAACATTATTTAAAAATTTTATTTTATTCTATGAACAATGTACAAAAATATACACGAACACAGATTTGATGGAATACCTTTAAAACACAATTTTATTTCCGCTATAAAGGGACTACACGCGTAGTGTTTCAAGTGACCTTCCGATTTCCATGCCAATATGGCAATGCCCAATTCACAACGAATTCTCTACAAAAGTGACCTTTACGCATATGTATTTTAACTGCAGGGAAACATATAAAAATAATGAGAATTAAACCAATAAAATGAAAATACCTTCCCCACTATTGATCATATAAAGGTTTCAAGTGTACCGTTGTGAATCAGGCATTGCCATCTTTCCATGAAGGAACACTTGAAATTACGTTTACATCCCTTAAAGATTATGCCTATTTGATTCTCATGAGATGGACAATCCACAAATCTTAAACATGATTGAATCTGATGTTAAGACCTCATTTTCAACCACATCTTCAACCATTAAAGGGACTAAAAGCGTACTTTTAAGTGAATCTTCATTCATAACACAATTCGCATACACAATTTAAAACGGCGTCCTGTAAACCTTTGTCTGATCACCGATGACAAAGTAATCCTTGTGTTTATCTAAAAGAAATTGTATTCAAATTACCACAAAACTGCAGACTGTACGCTAGCATAAAGTGTAAACTGGACACAGCTGACAAAAAATAGTTTTCGAGAACCCTGAATAATTCATGTCCAACGCGATTTTAAAAAAATTGAATGAAAGTTTATATTTTCTGTAGCTTCTAAAAATTAAACATTAATATTTTTTAACAAAAAGCTTGATCAGTCAAAGGTTCAACTGGTACTGATCAGTCAAAGGTTTAACTGGTACTGATCAGTCAAAGGTTTAACTGGTACTGGTCAGTCAAAGGTTTAACTTGTACTGATCAGTCAAAGGTTTAACTGGTACTGATCAGTCAAAGGTTCAACTGGTACTTATCAGTCAAAGGTTTAACTGGTACTGATCAGTCAAAGGTTTAACTGGTACTTTCAGTCAAAGGTTCAACTGGTACTGATCAGTCAAAGGTTTAACTGGTACAGATCAGTCAAAGGTTCAACTGGTACTGATCAGTCAAAGGTTTTACTTAACAAATATAAGGTCACTTAAACAAACGCCAACAGTCCTTTAAATAGACATTGCTCGTATTTTTAATTTTAGTTTTATTGAATTTACTTGTGTCGCGTAGTACAGTACAGTACAGATGTATTATAATTTTAGCTTTAAAATCATACTGACAAATTTTATTAAGTTTATTCCAATATAGCCGGCTAGGACATGCCTTGCTGTCCTAGGCACGATCCCTGGACAGTGGACTTGTCTAGCTGCTTAGGTACAATCAGGATGGAGGGGTTGGATGTTGGAGTCGGTGATGCAAAATCTTCCACTGAAAAATTAAAAATACCAAAGTTATTTTAAAAAATATTATTGATCAAAATAATTTATTTGTTAAATTACAGAGTGTAAGTTAATACCCTATTAAAGAGATTGTTTCCTTAATACACATAATACTAAAATTTTAAATGTATGGAATATATCTAAGCCAAACTCAAACTCAAAGATATCTCCGACGGCCGTTCATTTCCTATTAATTTCTTATAAAAATATTTCCGAAATAATGATAAAATATTTTTACCCGATTTCTAAAATTCCATCACAGCATGTTTTATTAGGCAGCGAACTTAAAAAGCAAAAATTATCAAAATCATTCCATGAGGAGCATCATTGAATTGGAAGATATGCCCAGGTGTATTTTTAATTTAATAAATTAGAGTTTTATGTGTAATTTCATATAGTTGAACAGTCCCTTCAAGGAGTATTTATAAAATATTAAATCCCAACATTTTGCAACCTGATGGTATAAACCTTTGATTTTTCCATCTTAACTATTTGTAAAAACAGAATAATCGTTGAAAAAGCCAATGGTCCACAACATTTGGTTGCCAACGTAAAAAAAAATCAAAAATTTGTACAGGCGAGTTTTGAATTTCATTACCTGCACTCCCCTTTCTCCATGTATTCTCTCCTCCATTTAACTGAACAGGACTGGTTCCTTGTCAGGCATTCTCCCTGAACATTTCATTCTTACATTATTTACAGTTTAGGGTGCAAGCGATCCAGAAAGCTGTGGAATAAGGAAACGACTTTTTGGCTCAATTTATTATTCTAAAACTGAAAACTTCATTTGTAAAATACAGCTTCAGTTACACAGCACGATTGTAACATATAAAATAAAATGGAGCAAGGCAAATCAATTAATTGTTTTCAATTCTAGGGATAGTAATGTCCTATGTTCATGAAACACAACAAGATCGCTTAAAGGGAATGACCGGCAATGTATAATGTATGGTATAGTTAAACTGAGAAGATAGTATTGTGCAGAAATTTTTTAGGATTCATTTGAGACATGAAACGTTTGAATAATGTATAATTACTGAGTTTGAGCGCAAAGTCGACGTTCAAAGCCATCCATTAGGGTGGTAACGTTTTAAGAATCGATTTTTTTAAAATTATTAAATAAAGATGACAAAAAAATGTAAAACAAATCTACAGTAAACTAATTTGATGTTTAGGAACATATTTTTCAATAGACATTTTCTCAATAAATCAATGTTAGAATCAATTATATCTTTTGCTTCATTATTAACTTTCTTATTCTTTATGAATTTGTTCGCGGATTTCTTAAAATTTCTTCAAATGTCGCTTTTTCAATAAAAACTTTAGGAAATCTATTGAAAATGTTAAAGAACAATGAGACATTACAGAAACCAATATCTGAATAAGACTACTTATTTTCGATGATAACAGTTAATTTGTATATTCTCAACCTGTTTCTAAACAACTATATAGTTTACTGTAGAATGTTAACCAAATCTCTAAATCATCTATCTAAAATAAACAATTTCTATCAAGATTTTAAAGATTGAATTTGCGGAACAAATATCCAACGTAATAACGTCTCATGGGTCTCAAATTATTCCTAAAAAATTTCTCCATAATAGTACATTCTCACATTGCCGGTCACTCCCTTTAACTGTCGTCTTCCTCTTCCACAGTATTGATTTTTAAATGTTACATGATAATTTATTAAATAGAATTTATGTATTTTTATTCGATCGTTTCTGTAGAAATAAAATTAAATAATCTAAAACTATGTACGGGAATCAAATCTTAATTCTGACGCTCTAGTTTAAAAGATTTAAAAGTAAAATAGATAGAGACGGGGGGATTTATTCTATGATTGCATTATTGTTTGAATTCTTTTCTTTAAATCCGTAGGCATTTTCAGTCATAATTTTTTTTTTGCTAATTTTCCCTCTTGTTATTTTACGGCGAATTTAAAAATGAATAAACAATTATTTCGATTAAAGTCAACATCAACAATCATGTAAACTTGTAAGGAAAGGTGAAGATTAAAAAACTTGATTAGAAAGCTAATCCTTGGATTTACCGGTTTATAGAAGATTCTGGAACCAACATGACAAAACCCTTTTCTTCTACAGATACCTTCATCTACCTTTAATAATGAAAATGATAATAATAATTATATTAATAATAGCAATATTTATAATATTAATAATAATAATAATAGTAAAAGTAATAATTAAAATTATAATATATATAATAATATAATAATATAATATGATATATAAAAAGAATAATAACAATTATATTTTAGGTCACCTGAGAAATGTAGTTAACAATACCGCATTCCTTAACCTGAAAAACAAAACGTGAACAAAATTATTCAGAATAACAAAAACTGCTAATTAAGCTTTCAGTTCTCTGAAATCATAAAAACGTATAAAACAAAAGTAGAGAATGAATGAAGAAAATGTGTGTGGGTGGAGCATTTACTATTAAGATGATTGAAAAGAATTATGATTGTCAGGATTACGAAAAGTCTGTCTAAAGAGCTTAGAGATTCTGAGTACATAAATATTAAAGAAAAAAAGAATTAGAAATTCGCTATTAGTTTAATAAAATTGAAATGATAATACAAGAAGGGAGTTTTTTTCCCCCGGCAAAGGAATTGAGTATTTGCCGAAAACTTAAATTTTGTAATAAATATATCTTTGCAATCTGATGGTGTAAATCTTTAATATTTTAAACTTAGATTATTTGTACTAACAGAATTTATAGTTTGAAATATCTAAGGTCTACGACAATGGGTTTCAAAGATATAACGAACATGAAGTCAGAGTTTGTGACAAAGACTCAATTCCTTTGCTGTTTAAAATGAAAATAAACAAAAAAATTAGATTTTTCAAAATTCTTTGAAATGGGACGATCTTTTAAATTATCCCAATAAAAAATAAAGAAAATAACATCCCACCTAAAAGCAGAAAAAAAAACTTTTTGGGACAAAAGAATCTAGGTTTAGTCTTGTATGCAGACCTGAACCGACTAATCTTGCTTTCATATGCCAATTACACTTGCCATTATAATTTATAACACATGCCATTATTACTTTTTTCATAAGTAACACTTGCCATAGTAACTTTTGTCATCATTTTCTCATTTTTACAAAGTAGAGGTCCATCTTGTTTTCTTTTAAAAATGCGCAAAATGTCTGTTCAGAAGTGAAGTATTGTAAATGTACGATGTAAGTTGAAATTAAAATTAATTTCTGTTAATACCTGTTTGGGTGTGTTTGCTCCAAGCCATGGGTTTGGCGTAGTATTATCTTGTAAGCCCAGAGATCTGGAGGCTGTGAGCTCTACCCTGTCCAGATTATCTTGGTTCAATCTTGAATAGGAGGAATTTACTTCGGCTTTTTGGACAATACTCTGGAGTTCTTGGTTTAATCTTGAATATGACGGGTTTAGTTCATCTTCTTGGTCCCTATTCTGGAGATCTTGGTTTAATCTTGAATATGACGGGTTTAGTTCATCTTCTTGAACCCTACTCTGGAGATCTTGGTTCAATCTTGAATATGACGGGTTTAGTTCATCTTCTTGAACCCTACTCTGGAGATCTTGGTTCAATCTTGAATAGGACGGGTATAGTTCATCTTCTTGAACCCTAGTCTGGAGATCTTGGTTCAATCTTGAATAGGACGGGTATAGTTCATCTTCTTGAACCCTACTCTGGAGATCTTGGTTCAATCTTGAATAGGACTGGTTTAGTTCATCTTCTTGGTCCCTATTCTGGAGATCTNAATTAACCGTCATCAATCCCTTTGAGAGTTTTAAATTAGGAGAAAGTTCAGGAGAAGTTTCCAGATTTTTCTGTTTCCATCCTTGAGCATTTAAAACCTGAGATAGAGGTTGTGAGTGGATCAAAGATGAATTCAAAGTTTTATGGGATTTAAGAAGTTGATTTTTTAATTGGTTTAAAGCTGATTGGTGTTGTTTTGATATGGTTTGATAAAGATGACTTGGGTTCGGTATCATTTCAGGCCTGTTTGGTGTAGTTTTTGCAACAGTAGGGATATTTACTGGCTGGTTGGGTTCACTTTGGACAAAGTTTTGTTTGGAATTGATCCAGTTTGGTATTATTTGTGGCATATCTGGGAGGGCATTGTTGGGAATTGGATATTCGTATACTGTTGGTGGTATGTTTGACTGCCATATGGGTTTGGTGTTTGGGGAATAAGAAATCGAGTTTGACGCGCCTGGATTGCTTGGTAACATATATTTTGGTGTGAGGTTGACTTGTGTGGGGTTGTTAGATGGCGGGTTGTTTGGGGGATTATTTGGGTAACTTAGTGTGTCCACCAGGCTTTGTAGGGTTTGAATAAGATTTTGTTTTGTTCTTGAAAGATTTGAATTAGTTTGAAACTTGTTTGGTTTGGCATGAAACATGTCTTGTGAGGAGTGGGAATAGGTTTGAGTTTGGTGTAGCTTGTCTGCTACGTTTGGAGTTCGATATCGTTCAGTCCCTGGCTTCCATTTCTCAGCTAACTAATAACAAACAAATTGTTAATATTTTCACATTCTTCATTAGCATGGTTGTGGATTTTTCAGAAACAAATACAATTGCCCATTTCGAACAAAATGATATGGTTAAAAATATACATAAAGCTGCACTATCATTGAAAATATCATATTCATTCACGATTTCACAAATTTAATATTTACACAATATATAATCATAAAGGCGAAAGGAGGAATTATCTCCTTTGTTGAAATTTATTCATTAATTCTATCGAAAGCAATATCAACATCTTTTCCATTACACATAAATAGATATATAGATATAAATAAATATATAAACAGGGCCGGCCTGGCTAAAAAGCTAAAAAAATGGAATTTGCATTGTTTTAGAAAACACTCTAAAATTGTTTGCATGGTTAATGTTTTAGAATTTTTATATGTAATATTTATCATATTTGTTTTATAAGGAAGTTGTTTTATTTATAAAAATTATAAAGTGCATCTGTTTTGACAAGCTGATATCTACACCTACTTGAAATTCAACTGAATTAGATTTTTCTTTTGCAATGTACGCAGGAAGATTCAGGTTGCCCAGTTAGGCTTAGTTAAAGTAAATACAAGATTAAGTAGAAACTAGTTAAAACTACTGATAGAGAGAAACACATATGGGTCGAAATGAAGAGACAAAGAAAAGAGTGAAATAGAAAGAAAGTATAGAAAAATCAAGGGTATGAGAAGGATTACTCAGGAAACCTGAGAATGAGAAGGATAACTCAGTAAACCTGAGAATGAGAAGGATTACTCAGGAAACCTGAGAATGAAAAGGATAACTCAGCAAACATGAGAATGAAAAGGAAAATTCAGTAAACATGTGAATGAGAAGGATAACTCAGAAAACCTGAGAATGAGAAGGATATCTCAGAAAACCTGAGAATGAGAAGGATAACTCAGTAAACCTGAGAAAAAGAAGGAAAACTGAGTAAACTTGAGAATAAGAAGGAAAACTCAGTAAACCTGAGAATGAGAAGGATATCTCAGAAAACCTGAGAATGGGAAGGATATCTCAGTAAACCTGAGAATGAGAAGGAAAATTCAGTAAACATGAGAATGAGAAGGATAACTCAGTAAACCTGAAAAAAAGAAGGAAAACTGAGTAAACTTGAGAATAAGAAGGAAAACTCAGTAAACCTGAGAATGAGAAGGATATCTCAGAAAACCTGAGAATGGAAAGGATATCTCAGTAAACCTGAGAATGAGAAGGATAACTCAGTAAACCTGAGAATGGGAAGGATATCTCAGTAAACCTGAGAATGAGTAGGATAATAGAATGAGAAGGATAACTCAGTAAACATGAGAATGAGAAGGATAATTCAGTAAACCTGAAAATGAGAAGGATAACTCAGTAAACCTGAGAATGAGAAGTATAACTCAGAAAACCTGAGAATGAGAAGGAAAACTCAGTAAACCTGAGAATGAGAAGGATAACTCAGTAAACCCGAGAATGAGAAGGAAAACTCAGTAACCTGAGAATGAGAAGGATAACTTAGTAAACCTGAGAATGAGAAGGATATCTCAGTAAACCTGAGAATGAGAATGATAACTCAGTAAACCTTAGAATAAGAAGGATATCTCAGAAAACCTGAGAATGAGAAGGACACCTCAGAAAACCTGAGAATGCGAAGGGTAACTAAGTAAACTTGAGAATGAGAAGGATATCTCAGTAAACCTAAGAATGAGAAGGATAACTCAGTAAATCCGAGAATGAGAATGATAACTCAATAAACCTGAGAATGAGAAGGATATCTCAATAAACCTGAGAATGAAAAGAATATCTCAGTAAACCTGAGAATGAGAAGGATATCTCAGTAAACCTGAGAATGAGAAGGATATCTCTGTGAACCTGAGAATGAGAATGATAACTCAGTAAACCTGAGAATGAGAATGAAAACTCAGTAAACCTGAGAATGAGAATGATAACTCAGTAAACCTGAGAATGAGAATGATAACTCAGGAAACCTGAGAATGAGAAGGATATCTCAGTAAACCTAAGAATGAGAAGGATAGCACAGTAAACCTGAGAATGGGAAGGATAACTCAGAAAACCTGAGAATGAGAAGGATATCTCAGTAAACCTGAGAATGAGAATGATAACTGAGTAAACCTGAGAATGAGAATGATAACTCAGTAAACCTGAGAATGAGAAGGATATCTCAGTAAACCTGAGAATGAGAAAGATAACTCAGAAAACCTGAGAATGTAAAGCATAACTCAATGAACCTGAGAATGAGAAGGAAAACTCAGTAAACCTGAGAATGAGAAGGATACCTCAGTAAACCTGAGAATGAGAAGGATACGTCAGTGAACCTGAGAATGAGAAGGATATCTCAGTGAACCTTTGAATGAGAAGGATAACTTAGTAAACCTGAAAATGAAAAGCATAACTCAATGAGCCTGAGAATGAGAAGGATAACTCAGTGAACCTAAGAATGAGAAGGATAACTCAGTGATCTTGAGAATGAGAAGGATAACTCAGAAAACCTGAGAATGAGAAGGATATCTCAGTAAACCTGAGAATGAGAAGGATATCTCAGTAAACCTGAGAATGAGAATGATAACTCAGTAAACCTTAGAATGAGAAGGATATCTCAGTAAACCTGAGAATGAGAATGATAACTCAGTAAACCTTAGAATGAGAAGGATATCTCAGTAAACCTTAGAATGAGAAGGATATCTCAGTAAACCTGAGAATGAGAATGATAACTCAGTAAACCTGAGAATGAGTAGGATAACTCAGTAGACCTTAGAATGAGAAGGATAACTCAGTAAACCTGAGAATGAGAAGGATAATTCAGTAAACCTGAGAATGAGAATGATAACTCAGTAAACCTGAGAATGAGAAGGAAAACTCAGTAAACCTGAGAATGATAAGGATATCTCAGTAAACCTGAGAATGAGAATGATAACTCAGTAAAACCGGAGAAGGACAACTTTATAAACCCCTGCTGAGAAGAACAAAAAATTAAAGATCCAACAAAAAAAGAGGGAAAAAAGAACAATGAGAAGAAAAGAAAGAGAACAAGAAAAAAGTAAAAAAAGAACAAAAGAAAAAAAGAGATCTAGAAAGAGGAACAAAAATCATAGCTCCAAAAAACGAAGAAAAAAAACGTTGGCATCTCAGTAATGTACACTTTACAGTCAGCCGGAGAATGAGAAATGGAACGAGAAATGGTATAATATTAACAAGAACTGATAAGAACTAGCGAGAGCAGTAGAGTTATAAGGAATAGAGTATAGGTGTACTTGAGTACAAGCGGTATCAGATTTTAAAAACATTTCTCACACTGAGCCTGAAATTTAAAAGAGTATCGTTGAACGAAACTTCCGAGTTTCCTTTTTGGGGTCTTATTATTTGTGTAGATTTTGATTTAAGAGATTTGATAAAAATGGTAAGATATAAAGGATTAAATAAAATAATATTTCAAAACAAAACTATCGATATCTACAAAACTGGGTAAACCCATTTGTGAAACCCGGGTTCCAAAACTGGTTTTCATAACGAAACCCTGTCTTAAGTTTTGGGCTCTGGAGGCGATATGAAGTTATACATGTACACGTATCCTTCTACCCTTTCTACTGACTCAGTGACATCAACGCATGCATCAACGCTAGAATATTAATTAAAATGTGCACATAACATTATGACCAGTCGCCAAGGGGAGGGGGTTCCAGCTAGCCCAGGCAGGAAATGTGGGGAAGAGGTGTGGTGGTGGAGGGGGATGACGACTCTATCTTTCTTTATTGTAATGGGTGGTAAATAACAAACATAAATGAACAAGGAAAAATATAGGGAGTCGTCTTAAACTCAGCTTGTTTGCCAAAAAACATTAAGAATGAAGAACGAAAAATAATAGTAACAAAGAAGATAGTGTAGAAAAAGGAATCTGAGAGGATAAATTCAAGAAATGCTCGAAGATAAAGATAAAAATATATTATTGAATATATACCAAATAAACTATATCATATACTTGTTCTTACTCTCTAAAATACCTGACAGTTCTGTCTGAAAAGCCTGTCCAACTATATTAAAGCTAATAAAACATGTAAAAAAGTTACTTTAAAAAAATCTATTAATGAAAAAAAGTCATTTAAAAAAAATCCACTTAAGATATCAGTAAAAAACTGCTCAAAAAAATCTTACCAAATCTTACAAAGATTTCAGTATAACTTTCTATTTAAACAATTTTGTTATTTAAAATTTAAGTCATAATAGCGATTATTTGTAAACATTTTTTGCCTAAAACGTTAACCCTGGTAAAACAATTGTGTTGTTAAAAACAACGCTAATACAGGTTTATACGTTTACTCACCTTACAGATATAAATACATAGATATAGAAATAGGTATAGATAAATATATATTCTAAGAATAAATTTCAAATGTTGATTAGACATCTTTTATAAAAATCTATCAATAATCCGAATTTTAATGAAAAATCTAATTTATCATTTATTTACCCAAAGCGCGTCTTCTTTTGATGTTCGGACCGATTCTCCTGAGAAAAAAAAGTAAAAAAAAATTTAATGATAAACGTGATTTTGATTTTCATCTAAAAAGACTTGTTAATTAAATATTTTAACTTGAAGGAACTGCGAAGTTAGGTTAAACAGAACCTTTAATTTTTATTTTGCATATTAAATTAAGAATAGTGTTTTTTAACTGAGTAAAAATCATAAAGATATTTTCATTTTCCTCTTGGTTAATTCTTACTTATGGTTCCGCTACAAAAATTACTTCCGAATTTCTGTTCCAAAGACAATAATGGAAATTGTTTTAGAATTTGTCTTTCTTTAAGATAGAAAACACAGAGATCTTTCTCATTGTTTCTCAGATCAAGGTTTATCATGAGTACTTACTGTATTCATAGGACATACGTCTACAAGAACATAACAATATCTGACCTTTGTTTAGCTTCTGCACTATATTAGACCAACTAGCAGAATCTACAGAAATTATCATTTAAAGGTTTATATTGTATATCTAATTTAATTTGTTTACTGTAGTCTAAAATGAAATTTCTTTTTAATATGAAATAAATCAGGATTTAGTTGGGTTTTTTCTATGTTTTGATTCTTAACTTTTAAAATTTTCAAACTGTGTTTAAAAACACACCAACAGATTTATTTTACTAAAAGGAGTGTTCGCCTATTTTAAATTACTCAAAATTTTAGGAATTAGGAACATGCAAACTTCTATTTTAACGCTTAATTCTTATATCTTTGCAACTTGATTATGTAGGCCTTTTAAACTGTGAATTCTACTAGATCAAATAGTAAAAGTTTGAAAACCCTTCAGGTTTGAAAAAGATAAAAATTATTTCTTTATTGTTTAAATCTAATCCCTGGAGCTGATGTGTGGTTGGACAGACTGGAGATGTACTGTACATAAGTTAGAAATATACAGAACAATTTCATTCTGAAATCATTTTTTAATTTGTAATTATTTTATCTGTTATATCTCCGATCGAAAAGGTTCAGTGCCGATTTCCATAGGTTTAACAGTTACAAATTACACAATCCATAGCGACGCACTTCTATAGGTGATGCTATGTTAATTGGACTAATGGCCGATTCAACTATAATGTTCAATTGTACTAAAGTTTACAAACAGGTTTATTTGTTAGATATTAGTTCAAAGAAATTGAGTTTTTGCCACAAACTCGGATTTTTAAATCCCAATTTCTTTAAAACGAAATGTCGTAGACCGTAGATATTTCAAACTATGAATTCTGGTGGATCAAACAATGTAAGTTTGAAATATGAAAGTTATGCATCATCTGGTTGTTGAGATATAGGTATTATAAAATTGGCATTTGTGGCAAAAACTCAATTTCTTAACAAAATATAAATTCATTATGATTAAATGACCTCATTTAAAAATAAAATATGCATCACTCTGGGGATCACCCAGCCCCTTTCCTGTAATAAAAAGAAAATTTTGTTCTTTTGGACTTTAGTTCATTTGAACGTTAGTCCAAATTAACCGTCATCAATCCCTCAATTTGTATTTTTTTTAATTTGTCAATTAACTAATTTCAAAATTTATAGATTTCAGAAATTACCAATTAATTTACAGTTTTTAAAATTGTTTAAAACTATCTATTTCTAAATGCCAGGATTTTTTATTATTCAATTCTTGATGTTTAATCATTCGATTTGTAAAGCAAATAGTTCTTCTAGTACCGAACACTGCCTGGGAAATCCAAATATTGAAGTATGAGTATAAAGATCCGTATTTATTTAGTTCTCGAGGTTGGAGATTCTACCAGAGAGAAGTTCTCGTCAGATAAAACAGGTTTAATGAGGATCAACTCACAATTCTCCGTTCATTCTGTATTCCCCCCCCCCCCCAAATTAAAAGAAATCATAAGAAACTACACACTTGCAAAAACTTCAATTTTCTCATCACTATATCTTTGCAATTTGGTTGAGCAAACATATCTAATTTTGACCATTCAATCTGGCGCAACTCATAATTTGCAATATCAAAGGTCAATCAACTTAGCCAATAAAGATAAAGGAATTAGAGAATTCAGGAATTAGAGTTTGTGGCGAGTAATCAGTTCCTCAGCTATACTAAATCTAGATTAGGCCTAAAAATCACATACCTCTTTCAAAAAGAGTTTTGTTTATATCTTGAAAGTTTGGTTGTATAGTGATGTTGATTGTTCTGTTTAAGATATTTTTGTAAGTAGTAAGTCTGCTAAGCCTTCAGCAAAGAAGTGTATTGATACTTTGAATACCGGAATGATGGTTAAACATATTTTTGTATGGTAACAAATTCACGTAGAATTCAGAAAAATATATTAAATAAACATGATTTGAAAATTAAATAAAAAACCTTTTAGAAAGTCTTAAAAAAGATGGATAAGCGTCGTCCTTCTCGTGAAAATCTCTTAAATGGTAGTTTTGAAATAATCTTCCAAATGTGCTATCTTTTTCTAACTCAGAAAGGCCCAGAGAAGGAATCCGCAATTCAAAGTTAAAGAATGATAATAAATAAATTACCATTAAAGCCTAAAATTTAATGGACCAACATTTAAAAAATGTGTGCCAATAAAGACAGTGGGTCGAATTGAATCAAAGGTTACATGAAAACTCTGTTTTATTCTTTTTCTAACCTACAGTTTCCTCATGATACCTCCTAGATGGAGCATTCAAAAAAGGTTATAAAATGCCCCCCCCCCCGGTAAAAATTACTTCCCCCCCTCCCTTCTCTCTGGATATGCCTTAATTAGTGGATAAGAGGATAATTGTTTTTAAATATAATCTTCAAATATAGTAAAGGTTGCTCTTCATACAATTTTAAAGGGGATGTTAACGTAACTTCAAGTGGCCCTCAACTAACAGCGTTGTACGTTCCATGATTTCCCACAGTCGGATAACAATGTGGAAGGCATCGTCGTTTTTTCTGCAAATACTTCTAATTTTCTTCCTTTTCTTCACTGCATAAACCTACAAATCAGTTTTATAATGAACCATAATTAAAATTGATTAATAATGTCGACTGAGCTGGGAGCTTTTGAATAGTGGATATCGGGATTAATGCTTTATCCACTCTTTTTCTTAATCTCGAGATAAATAACGCTTGTTCTCATCTTGTTTTTAATCTCCAGATTAATTAACAGATCGGGATGAAGGATATCTCATTCTAAAGTTTTCAGCTCAGTGCCATTATCTACTAGTTGAATTATTCTGCAGAAAGCTTGGTTAAAAAGCATTATTAATTACAGTTCTAATGAAAATAAGATCTAAAAACAAAAATCGAATAATTAATTTTCAAAATTCGTTTATTGAGAAGAGGGTTCGTTGATAACAGATTAAAACAAACTGATTTCTGAGTTTTTAACCTTTTTGGCATTTTAATATTTTTTGATAACCAGGACAACCTTAGCAGGTTTTTAAAATAAAGTAAACTTCCAAAAATCTATTTTGAAATAAAAATCCAAAAGTGTCTTCAATGTAGAATCTTCTATGTGGAAATCCAAGAGTTTCTTCCATGTAGAATTTCAAATGATACTCTTCTATAGAAATCTGATAGAAATCCAATATTCTTTTTTTTTTTGCAAAAATTCTAATAAGAACCAGCATTTAGATTAAGTTGGCAGAGATATAAGTTAAAAAAAAACTATTATGCTATTATGCTTCAAACATTAAATTAACTTATTAGTTTGTCTCTATTGTTAAAGTAATCAATCGATGGAAAATTTTTAATAGAATAGGAAGACGACTTTTAGACTCAAGATATGGGTTTAAATTGTTCAATAAATATGAGACATAGCAATTTAGCAGTGTTAACAGACTCATTTCACTAAATAAGGGATTTAAGAAATAACAAGAAAAACTAATTATTGCATTCCCTCAGGTTTATCTAACATAATGTTAACGAAATAATTTTAAAACATTCTAACAAGTGTTTTTTAGCATTCAGTTTATTTTCCATGGACTGATTGTCTCCGTTAAATTTATGCACATAAACTTTTCCATAATGATATGCTTTTATGACGTTTTTTTTTGGAAATATATGAATTTGTTATCTGATAATTACTAACAAATAATTTTTAAGTAGTTAGCTGAGTATAATGCTCGAATCCTGTATCTCCAATTAAAAATATCTTTCATTTAAAGGCTTTTTAATTTACAGTTGGGAAAAAAACATGAATGAAATTAATACTTACAAAGAAGGTTTGGTATGAAATTGATTAATCATATTTAACCAAAAAATGGAAACTTCCATTTTAGTAACGGTTCAAATGGAAGGCTTTGATGAATTAAGACATAATTTTTTTTTTTCAACCTTTTTTTCAAATTTTTTTTTTCCACGGGAAATTATTTTCAGCATCATGCATGTACAGTGATAACCAACAATGGAATAGAAAAACGACATTATAGCAATAATTAAAAACATTTCATGTTGTTACAAATCAAAAAGTTGTCCTAGACAATTATTAAATCACTAATTTAGTGAAATGGGTCTATTTACGCCTGTTAACTCTACACAAATGCTGTGTCGTTTTCTCTTTGGACTTTTAAAAGTTATAACTTGATTCTCAAAATCGTTTTCCTATTTTATAGTTTTCTGGTTATCACTGTGGCTGCCAAAATATGCTCACATTTTATTAGGCTAAAAGCCCAGCTTTTAACAAAAACTATCTAAAGTCAAGAATAGTGATAAAAGAAAGTAAGTTACCTTTACAGTGATCAATTCCACATCTTGCTAATACTTTTTATTGAGTTTTTTATCAAGGGCTTTTAAAAATGCATAATTTGTCATAATTTGATTAACAGTTTACAACCGTTATTGCAGAAAAGGCAACAATGGAATAGAAAAAGGGCACTATAGCAATAATTTCTTAACCATTAACAATTTCTTAACAACGATTTATTTTAATGACATTTTTTTCGGCGCTTTGCGCCATTAACGATTTCAAAAACGTAAAAATTGTAAAGGACTGTGGCTGCCAAAATATGCCCACATTTCACATTTCAGCTTTCACACTTTTCAAGAACACAGGGGTATCTCACTAAAATTCAGCCCATTTGATTCAGCCGTGTGACCAGCCATAGCAAACACATAAATGAACTAAGAGATTTATTATATAGATTACAATTGTTCTCCTACTTTTTTTCACAATAAAAACTTTTACTAGTTATAGTTATTTTCTGGACCTTTTTTCATCTCATAGAATTTAAGTTTAAGTTGAGTTTTTCATTTTCAAATATGTCTTTTACTATCTCTAGTTTAAATACTAATTATTACTTACATAACATTATAGTAAAATGTCGATTTTTTAGAAACAATGCTATTTTTGTACATTTATGTGTACCTTTGAAGTATCTTATACTTATGTCTATATCAAAGAAGCCAAATGTTTTGAATTTACAGTTCAAATTTTGCCCCCCCTCCGCCGCGACCCAGTTGTTCTTGTTAGATTAACAGGTTGGCCGACCGCTGGTTAGACCTGACCATCACCAGTCTGTGCTGACCCGTTCAACTGCCCACCCTGAGATATGGTTCAAATTCTTCTCCCCCTCCCCCTCCTCCTCTCCCTAGTCTCAGCTGCTCAGATTTATCCATCCAGGTATTTTTATTCAAAAATACTCAATAATGAACAAAATATTTCTGACCCCCTCACCCTAAACGATAAAATGGTGTGCAATTACAAGGCCTAAGAAGGTTTTTTAATTTAATAAGTGAAAACAAATGCTATAGAATATTTGAATAACGCAATTATATATCAGTCACATTACACTATTTAAAGAAATAATAATATTTTCCTCGTAATTTCAAGCAAAGTGTAATTTCAAAATGCTTTCTGTCTTAACGCGCGCCAAAATTCTGTTTTTGATCCAAAAATCCCAATATAGGGCATGCACGACCAAATATGATGTTGGACAAAATGTTTATATATAAATATATATATATATATTTACCACGTAGACTAATTTCATTTTACCCTACTGCTTTCTTAAAAGCTTGTCTTATTTTACGAAGACGAAAAAAGTTTTTACTTTTATTTTCCCAACACGTTTAGCAGATAAACTCAATAAAGGCTGGATAAGGGAAAAATCTAGATATTAAGTACTTTCACAACTCAGCTAATTATATTTAATAATATGTAATGTAAAAATGCTCTAATCCATCTTGCATCAATCCAAAAGTTTTCTTAGATAATATTAGAAAAAAACTTATCCTCAAGATTTATGGTGTTCCAAAATTCGAAATTTTATTACAGTTTCTGAGACAGTTTATATTTTTTTATTCAATATCAATTTTATACAAATGAATTAAGAAAGTTGAAAGGCTATGAAAATAGAATTAGCACAGTAAAGGATTGAATAAATTTCTACAAAGTATATTTATTGTGGTATCTTTTAGATCAGTAAATTTTGTTGATCAGTTGCTCATTTTTATTTGCAATTATCAAATATTAACTATTTGATCTAAATATTTTAGATATTTAGCCTTTTTTCTTAAACGTAGTTTTAGCATGAATTTATTACAAACTAGTATTAAGACAAACATTTCTAGTCTTGGGATTTTAAAATATAAAATATCTTTGTCAAAGATTCAATGAAGAGAGATATTTAATGCTGCGTTTGTAGTGCCCTGCTAAAAAATTAATTTGTAAATAGTGTACACAAGTGCTTACTCAGTCAAAATCGTTTTGAAGCGAAATAAAAGTCGTCTTTATGAAATCTCTTAACTCTTACACTGGTAAGAGTTTTATAAAATTATATTGGTTTAACTCTGAAAATGAGCCCTGAAAATGTTCAAAGATATAGCAGTAATAATTAATGCAAATTATAAAATATTAGCTTGGAAACCCAGCTTTGCCTGCAGTTTTATAAATAAAACTCAACCTATTTTTTTAAACCAGGCTACGAACATTATCCTGAGTTATCCGATTAAAATTTGAGGCAAATTAATCCAGGGGTTTCAGAGTTATGATCAGACAAAAAAACAAACAAACAGACAGAAAATCAGAGATTACTACTAACTACAGTCCCTTTAATCCATAAACATGATGCCTAGAAGTCGACCTGTTGTTGGATTACCCCGAGGTTTAAACCTACGAGAAGCTGAGAACCTTCTGAGGATAATTGAACCTACAACCTGTGGATGTGCTAGACCGGAACAGTTCTGTGAGGTTCCGGTTCCTCAGGTATTATAAAGTATAAATATATATATAGAGATGAATTAATTCAGGTCTAATCACAAAGTAAATACATATCGAGAGGAAACAACTCAGGTTTATCCATAGATAAATATATATAAAGAGAGGAATTAACTCAGTGATAACCACCGAGTAAATAAATATAGAGTGTGGAATTAACTCAGGTTTAACCATATATAAATGTATGATATTAGGTACTTTCCCAAAGGCAACTTCCAAAGGGTTTTTTTCCCCAAGTATCAATCTCCCAAATATGCAACTTCCCAAGTCTGTCCTAGTTGCAGCGCTCGGCCCCATAGCCTTTTCTAGTCGCAGCGCTCGGCTTTGCCGATTTGATTCTCCCAATAGTGGGATTTTAAATTACTTAACTATCCCTTGGGAGAATTAAGTAAAATAAAATTTCGCTCCGCGAAGTTTTTGTGTAAAAATTCGTGCTTTTGTATCTCGAAAGATGGATGTTTTGTTTGTAAAATTGGTCTTGGAAATCCTTTGCATAGTAAAATTTCCTAAAATTCCCTGCTGATTACTGATTAATTGTATAATGGTAAATTATAGGTTTTGTTTCCAAGAAATTGTTGTATCCAAATGCTAATAAATCTAATATTGACATCAAAAATTTATTTTATCTAAAAATTAGAATGAATAGCTGTCAAGTCCCCAAATATATTGTTACTAAAAATACTGAAAAGAAAAAGAATAAACAAGTGTAACTTTTAGAGTGGGCGAGCTCGATAATTTTGGATCTAATCCCCCCCCCCCGTCCACATTTTTCTTGCAACATTTCACAATAACCTACCAATAAAATCTTAACTTGTAAAACGTTTTATAGTTTAAATAATGCCTTTGTTTAGGCTAAATATATGGGGGTTCATTGCAACATTGGAGAGTTTTGCTGCCGCAGAAAACGATCTCCAGGTCAGATAAGCATGAAAGATCTTCAAACCCTTGCTCAAACCCATCTAAAGAATCAGAACGTGATCAAGACAAACCAACAGGGAGAAATTGTGCTAGATGCATCCAACCTAGAGATATCTGATCAGTTTAACCAGAAAATACAAGTAAAACCAACCCCATCTCAGGGTCAAGATAAACCTATAGATCAGAAGAAAGATGAATCCTCTAGGTCTCCTGAGCAGCACAAAGAAGAATTCCAGCCTGTAAAAAGTCCCAGTTCTGAATTATTTGTCAAGAAACCTATATCAGCTCCTCGGTCCCAGGTTCCAACAGGGCCTGCAGGGTTTCCTTATCTTTCCAAGGATATTGTTAATCCTGGAGAAATCCCAACCCAATCGGCTGGACGGATTTCTTCATCTTCTTTAGGACGGGTTTATGCACAAGGATCACCAAGAGGAGAGATTCATCCTCAATTCTTTGATAGCATAAATCAATATGCTCATATTCAACCTACTCTCCGTCCTTACCAACAACCTAGAGAGGGTTTAATAACACCCGAAGAGAGCCAGCTTTCAGATCTTAGAACCCAAATACCAGCCTTAAATAATCCTGAATACTCATTTACAAGGCAATCAATTGAGCAGGAAAAATCAGTTGTTGGACATGATATTTCATCAGTCAGGCATGAAATTCCAGTGGAAAGGCACGAAAAACCCATAATAAGACATGAAATCCCTAGTTCTCCAGCAGGACCTGTTTACACTAGACCTGGAGAAATGAGATCCCTTGGAACTTTATCCCTGCAGGATCTGGGTATACCCTCAGGTATAGTGTTTCTACTCTCCATTCAATATACACCTTAGTATGCCGAGTCCATTAGCTCCTGATCCAATCAGGGTTTAGTCATGTGTTTGTTGTCTATTCTGAACCAATAGAAATTGCATGGCGGTAACATCTATCTTTCTATCTAGCTCATTATCCTATCAGAGATAAATCCTTATATCGGCGCTATAACAGTAAATGGAAATATTTACTTCTACTGAAACTTTGGTGTATAAAGCAATAAGTAATACAAAGGAGTTGAGTTTTTGCCACAAACTCTGATTTTCTAATCTCTATATCTTTGTAACCCAATTTCGTAGACCCTAGATATTTCAAACTATAAATACTTATAGGTAAAATAATCCAAGTTTGAAATATCAAAGGTTTGCACCATTAGGTTGCAAAGATATTGGGATCAGAAGATTTGAGTTTGTGGCAAAAACTCAATTCCTTTAAGAAACCGAAGCGGATTCTAGTAAAATTATTTTTAAAGAATTTCAAACTAAATTCTATTTCGTATAAAAAAACAGTGAAAAGAATCTGTTCTAGCTTGTGCAAATTAAAGAAATATATATTTGCAACTTTAGATTATCAATTCGTGAAAATTTTAAAGCCACATTTTCAGGTTTACAGCACATTCCTTAAATTGTTGGTTCGCAATATCATTTTCTATAATTTCTTTACAAAACTAATTCCAGTCGTAAAAAATGTTCATTAAAAATTTATTCTAGGTGTGAAAGCTTATATAAAACCAGTTTCCATGATGGAGAAACTTCCTAGAGAGAGGAAGCAAGAGCAACACCAAGCTCATCCGAAAAATGGTAATTTTGAAGATACATATTTACTTAGAGTAATAAAACGAAGAGGTAAAGCTAACCTCAGATGTACACAACCGACCTCCGTATTAATTAATTAATAGAGTGGTAGGTTGTGTGCATCACGATATGTTTATGTATCTAACACTGTATACTTGTATGTAGAGTGATCGTATTTCTAGAGGGGTTTTATGAAATTGACAAATTTTTAGATTTTCTTTCTTTATTTAAAGAGAATTCGAGAATGTTGACTGCAAACTTTTGACAATTTTCAAATTTGTAGGTTTTCAATTTATTAGCTATAAGTTCTGTCAAAAATATTAAATTTCTATGGGTATGCTTTGAGCTTAAAACTTGGATAACATGTTTATTTCAACATTTTTACTCTTTCTTCTCTTCAACTCTTCTTAAGGGGAGGGGGGTGCTTGCCTCCCCTTGCCACCGCTAGTTGCGCGCCTGTTAATACTGTGAAAAAAAAATTCAAACTTTTACTAAAGTACTGAAAATACCCAAACTGGTAGGGTATAAGTTAACAAATGATAAACAAATGAACTGAAAAAACGATGCGCGCGCATCTTTAATTGCGACTTCTTTTTTTAAATTATGTTAAATATTAAAACATTATAAATTAAACAATACAGTAAATTCATTTTTATACTCAAGTTGAGAGCAATGGTGTTGCATTTTTCTTCAAACTTGGTTTTTCCCCTGACTAATATCTCCTTCTTTAAAATGGTTTGAGCAAATATAATTTGTTGAGGGATAAAGTGGAGTCTCCCAACCTGAAAAGGGATAGCCATTCACAATGTTTTGGTATTTTGAAAAAGCTCACATTTTTACAAGAAAAATTGTTTGTGCACTTTTTCACGATGCAAAATTTGGTCATCTTATATTAACATAAACAAACAACTGAACTGGAATGTACTGCAGTATAAAATCCTGTGTTTACAATCCATATTAAGTGTCTATCTAATTATTATAAAGATTTATTCACACACAAAGATATAAATACATATATAAATGGTGTAGTTTAAATTTGTTTAAATAAATTTTTAAAAATAAAGGTTTCTAAAAGAAAAGAGAAAAATATGGAAAATTATGCACAAATAGACATTGATCATTACTTATTACATAACATATTTATCATTTCAGTTATTACGTAATCATCAATACTAATTTTCAATTATCTACAATGGCAGAAACGAACTTAAAACAATCGATTTAGTGTGAATTGATACCCATATTGTAAACTATGTGCATTAAATAATCCCTACTACCCCAACTACCGTCAGATTTGGATGGGTGTGGGTCTCTTTAAAACTGAAGGTAGTTGGGGTATTGTGGATAGTTCCCATTCAGATTCAGCTTCAAGGGTGAGGGTGGGGTCTCTCTAAAAACAGACAGTAGTTAGGGTATTGTGGATAGTTCCCATTCAGATTTAGCTTCTAGCTAGGGTGGGGGCATGGGGTGGTGGCCATTCAGATTTAGCTTCAAGGAGCTAAATCTGAATGGCAAGTACCTTCACTACCCCAACTACCGTCTGTTTTTAGAGAGACCCCACCCTAACCATGAAGCTGAATCTGTATGGGAACTACCCTTACTACCCCAACTACCGTCTGTTTTTAGAGAGACCCCACCCTAACCATGAAGCTGAATCTGTATGGGAACTACCCTTACTACCCCAACTACCGTCTGTTTTAGAGAGACCCCACCTCCACCCTTGAAGCTGAATCTGTATGGGAACTACCACCACTACCCCAACTACCCCAGTTTTTAAAGAGACACCATCCCCACTCTTATATGTGTTTATTCTATGCGTATTAAGCTTGTTTCTGGCATTCATAACACTCTCCGACCATTACTATCCTCACCACCCACCTTCTGAAGGGTGCACATTTTGTAGTCGACAAACGGGGATTTTAAACGTTCACCTAACCCCCCCCCCCCCCAGCAGGAATAGGGTTACAATCATGGGAATGCTCTTGGTTTTGGTTTACTGCAATCACTGCAATTATAATCTCAAAGCAAACATACATTAAAGAAACTTATTACTCGAATCAAACTCTAAATATAATCCAAATATCTTTACAATCTAATGCTGTACAAGTTTTGACTTTTTAATCTAGGAATTTTTAGTTTAAAATAACAAAGGTCTACTACATCAGGTTGCAAAGATATAAGAATTAGAATTAAAATTTGAGGATAGTAATCTTTACCTCAGGGTTTGTGTAAATATATTTTTAACGATTTTTTAAAGTTTCATCAGAGACCCCAACAGTCATCTCATCCAAGACCCCAACATTTTTATCTGAGACCCCAGATTGCATTAATGGGTCTCGTTTTCTTAGATTCTTCGATGATATCCTTGGGGTATCCAATGAAAATCTGGGGGTCTCCGATGAAGGTTGGTCCCCCGGACTCTAAATATTTGTAGAATTCGCTAACTGGGTTGTTTAGAAGAATGTGGATGTATGAGAACAGATATTTGTGGATTTGAGTTCGTTGATCTCAGTTTTGGAGTTTCTTGTCCTTATGGAGAGGTACGATGCTGCAAATCTTTACAGGTTAGATTTTAAAAATTTATTTTTAAAATCTGCTTTATTTGTTTAACGCATAAAATGCACAATAATGTTAAATAGATGAAGTTTTAATGTTCAACTCAACATTTTAACCATTGACGTGAAATGCAATGTGTCATGTTTCTTATATAACTAAATCTGTGTAGAAATTTACTACAGTGTCTAAAACTAAAGAACGAAAAGTTTTGACTTAAATTTTAAGTTCATGGTTAAATGCCACTTCTGACTTAATTTAAACCTAAACTTTAACCGTGAGGTTAAATATTTAACCCTGTAGTTAAATATTTAACTCGCCGAAATCGACGAGTTAAAATTTAAACACAGGGAATTAAAATCTTGAAATCCTGCATTTTCCCTATTGTCTATTATTCAATCATCATTCAGCTGAGAAAGTGGCATTCAACTTTACGTTATATTTAAATGTGAAAACCTTGTTAAAGAAATTTTTCGTTTTAGATTAATTAATTTTTGCATGTAAACCCAAAATACGGTTGTAACTCGAAATATGTTTTGTTTTCGGTTACGTAATCAGCTGATTAGCGATGGTTATTTAATATTCTCCTTAAATCCTTTTCTCTGATTGGTTCAGATTTTCCCGGGAAATTCAAATTTAAAATTGAGAAAGTTTAATATTTAAGTAGCTACTCATTATTTTACAGAAAACTTAAAATTTGCGCATTCTTTAGTTTTAGACTCTGGGCGTGTCCTGATGAATAACTGAGAAACGGTTAAAAACTTAATATTTACCTAATTTGTATCAAGAAGTGATGGTGAACCTCTTAAAATCTTAGGATAGCTTCGTTTAAAAGCTTCATAAGATAGCTTCATATGATATCTTCATAAGATAGCTTACATCTGTTAGCTTCATTAAGTTGCTTTATTACAGTCTTATAAGATATATGCTTCAGTAGATAGCTTAATTAAATAGCATCATTTGATAGAAAATTATTAGATAGCTTCATAAAATAGCTTTATTAGATAGCTTCATTAGATAACTTCATAAAAAAAGCTCCATTAGATAACTTCATAAAAAAAAGCTTCAATAAATAGCTTCATTAAATAGCTTTTATATATGGCTTCATTGGATAGTGACAGTAGATAGGTTCATTAAATAACATCATCAGATAGCTTTATTATATAGCTTCAAAAAAACCTTCAATAAATAGCTTCATTACATAGCTTTTTTAAATAGCTTTACTAGATAGCTACAGTAGATGTCTTTATTAGATAGCTTTATTAAATAGCTTTTTTTATAGCTTCATTAGCTTCGTAAGATAGTTTATTAGATAGCTTCATTAAATAACTTTATTAGATAGCTTTATTAAATAGCCTCATTAGATAGCTTCATTAAATGACTTCATCAGATAGTTTCATCAGATAGCATTGTTAGATAGCTTCATTAAACAGCCATTGAAGATCAAAGTCTATCGTTAAGTTGTCTCACGAGTCACGATTGACTGTGCCTGTATGTTACTTTTCAATGATAAATTTTGTATTTAGCAGCGACTGGATAATCCTGATGAAGATCTGAAGACTAAAAATGAAGAAGAAAAAGAAGAATTTAAGGACAATGCATATATGATTACCAGACCTGAAGTTGGCTTTGGTCAGGTTAGACCTGTAAATCTTGAAATAAATTATGTTCCAAGAGCCTCAATTACATCAACATCAACTACATCATCTACATCAACTACATCCACTACATCAACATTAACTACATCAAAATCAACTACATCATCATCAACTACATCATCATCAACTACATCATCCACATCAACTACTATAACATCAACTACTCCTACATCAAGTACAACAGCATCCACTACTTCTGCATCATCTACATCAAAATCTACTACCCAGACTTCAAGTACTATAAGGTTATCAAAAGAAACAGGTCAAGATTCTTCTGTAACTGTTGTTGTTGCGGAACAGGGGCAGGTTTCAGTTTCTCTTCCTTCTCCTGGTTCTCCTCCTTCTCCTGGTTCTCCTTCTGCTCTTGGTTTTCCTACTGCCCCTGGTTCTCCTTCTGCCCCTATTTCTCCTTCTGCCCCTGGTTCGCTTCCTTCTCCTGGTTCTTCTTCAACCCTTCTCCCTGCTTTATTTCCTATAGGAACGGATCCAAGAATTACTCCAATAGCAGCTTTACCTGTCCCTACACAATATTCAAATCCCAATTCTGCTCGTCCTGCAGTGCCGAATCCTGTTCGTTCATCAGTTCCCAACTTTAATCGTCCTACAATTCCCGACCCTCATCGTCCAATAGTTCCTACCCCAGCTCCAGGTAAATTATCAACCCTTTCTGCCCACCCTGTAGTTCCTCACTCAGCACCTTATCTTGTTTCAGCCAATTCTGCACGTCCTGCAGTTCCGAACCTAGCTCAGGGTGTAGTTTCTAACTTTTCTCCTGCAGTTCCGACCCCTGTATCTCAAAACACTCTCGGGGACAAAACTTTCTTTGACCGGGAGGACAGATTTCAAACCAATTTCAATAACCCGCAGCCATTACCAGGACAAATTTATCGTCGGACAGGACAAGCCTACCCATCAGGACAGGGTTTCCGACAAGTTCCCGGACAAATCTACAGAGGGGGTTACTATCGGACAACTGAAGCTCCCGGATTTATCGAATCTATTGGACAATCTGCACTTGATCTTACTAAAGGATTCTTTAGCTGGCCGTTCTAAACTTTTAATATTTTTAAAATATTAAAATCAAATTTGTAAATACATTAGATGATGATAAAAATGCGAAATCTAAAAATATCTAAAATTTCTTTGCATTCAATATGTATATTAATATTTTTTCTCTCACAAACGCACACTTTATAGAATGTTTTGCATTTTTCTCTTTGGACTAGATGAATATAACTCCTTTAGCCGTAAAATACGTATGTAGCTAATAATAAATTTTTAACTAAACTATAATTTATGTATATTATATATGCATTCTAAAACTTCGTAAATAATATGTTTAACAAGTTTCTATTTAATAAATGTTGTAAATATTAAAACTCTTAATTTTTAGTTTTTAATTATCATTTATGTGAAAAAGGGAATGTAAGCATAATTTCAAGTGACCCTCTATGCAAAGAAAAATGGATTGCCGGATTTACAACGGTACCCTTTAACCTTTTACTGATCATATGGCGGCATGTGACGTCTGGAAAGTAAAAATAGATTTCTGTAGAAAGATATGTATGGGATGATTCTGTCATCTTCAGTCAGATCCATCCAATATTTTGGTGCTGATCATAGCAAGCTGACTTTCGACATCAATTTGACCAATTAGAATAAATTGTTCGTATTTCATATTTTCCCGTTTATACGTTTTTGTTGGCATATACGGTTTTAGTGAACAAGTAGAAAAGTCAATTTTGTAACTTTATGAATTATTGATCAAATCACGATTGAATTCCAATTGTGAACCGTTGTGAATCATACCTTCCACTCTACAAGTTAAGTGTTACTTGAAGGGAGTGTTCGCGAAATATGAAAGGGGGTATAGGCTTACTGCGAAAAATAAGCGGTTTTGATCTCTACTAATTTTACTTCTATCTGTTGCATCTATAAGAAGAAAATTATCAAAAACGACTCATAACGAATTAAGAAAGTTGCAACATTCAACTCGGATCGTAAAAAAATCAATTTAATTCCCAAAAAATCATTCAGACATTACAACCAAAAATCATCGATAATTTTTCGACGCCTTCGTAAATAGTTGATATTTCATTAAATTTTTCATTTTTTATGATCTGATAGTTACTTTTGAAAAAATTTAATCCTGTTTTGAGGATAATGATAATAAAGACGACATTTTCATATTTTCCAGGAATGATCAAATATTATTTTTAAAAATACAAGATAAAAAATATTATGAAATATCAACTATATACGAATACGATATTTTAAATACCCCAAAAATAGTAGACTCGAATTCTCTTGACTCTACAGGGTAGACATAATACATGTACAGTGATACCCATGTAAAACTGTGTAATAAAAAGATGACTATTAGACTCCAGTGATGATTTTAATATTCCAATGCGCACACAGTCATTGTGCAGTGTACACAGACCTTTACTTTAGTTAACTTTTAAAACTATTTTCTTCAAAACAGCATCAAATACTGATAAAATTCTTTTCTTCAAAACAGCATCAAATACACTAAAAAAAATTTAATTACTTTCTTTCAACTCCACAGTTGTATGGACTTCACTGTACATCACAAGCAAATTGTGTTGTATTGAAATCTATTCTTAACAGCAGCTGTATTTAAAAATAGAGCAATGGTTTAATTAAACGGAATCAGTACTATTACAAATTCAAAAATTAATATTGTGTCATGTTTGAAACTTTTTAATATTGTTTATTGTAATAGTAAAAACATCATTTTGTAATCGATTTTGATGAGAGGTAAAAAAATTAAATAAAAATATGTTTTTATTTTTTTTAAATGGTTATAAAGACAAAACTTATACAGACAAAATAGAATAAATGTTACCAAAAACGTTCAAAATTTTCACCTTTTAGAAGTAAAATGAATATTGTTTCCATTGTTTGGGGGGAAAAATCAAAACTAAAGATTGTACAGATATTCAATTGTTCTAGAACAAAATCATACAAAGAAACATATTCCTTGGATTGTACTAACTTCATGGATTGTACTAACTTCATGGATTGTACTAACTTCATGGATTGTACTAACTTCATGGATTGTACTAACTTCTTAGATTGTACTAACTTCATGGATTGTACTAACTTCTTGGATTGTACTAACTTCTTGGATTGTACTAACTTCATGGATTGTACTAACTTCATGGATTGTACTAACTTCATGGATTGTACTAACTTCTTGGATTGTACTAACTTCTGGATTGTACTAACTTCTTGGATTGTACTAACTTCTTGGATTGTACTAACTTCATGGATTGTACTAGCTTCAGGGATTGTACTAACTTCTTGGATTGTACTAACTTCATGGATTTACTAAGTTTTGCAAGTAACTGGAAGTTTAACTATAGGCTACGATTAAGGAATTTCTTAATGATTACTCAGTTTAGGAAAAACTTGGAAAGGACATATTGTAAAAAATGAGTTTGTTTAGAACTTAAAATTATTTGTAAAATTGTTTACTTAGTTTGGATTAGTAGATTTTAGAGCAACCCTTAAATAATATTACATTTTGTATTTATTTAAACATTTTGTACAATTTGGGATTTCTACTTTCAGGTTTGCCAGTCTTGTTGATGAATAACCCTGGTTCCTCGATTAGATCTTGGTTTAAATCCAACTCTAAACAAAACATTTTTTTAGCTTTACTTAATAATCCTTTTCGGTGGATAAATACCAGTTAAAATTTTCATTTCTGAGAAGAAACACCCTTTATAGAAAGAGATGCAAGCCTGATTCAAGAGGGATGGAATCCTCGGTAGCCATGAGCCTCCACCATGCAGACACGAGCCTCCCAGATTTGCTATGCAGACCAAGTCTCCGCCATGCAGTAAAGAGCCTCCGCTATCCAGTAAAAGAACCCCCGCTATACATTTTCATTTTTTAACATAGTGTCACAAGAATTTTACTTAAGATTAATATTATTTATAGATTGTCATGATTTGTAACTTATAATGACTCATAAATTGGTTTAAAAGATTTCTGTTTTACAATAAAACATTTCTTACACAGTAAGAAGGCTATTTAAAAATTAATTTCCCAAATTGACTTTGTTTATTTTGTTTTAATCTTTGATTTTAGCAAAACCTTTTATGGGAAATATTTTTAAATTCACCAATTTTGATTATCTGGTAAAATCTGGTAAAATTTCAAAAAATGTATTGCTTTAATCAAAGATTATAAATTCAAAAATAAAGATTTTTAAATTAAATATTTTATATTCCGTTAAGTTTTGCATGTTAACATTTGTATTAAAAGATATATTTTGTAAATATCACATTAGTTTAGTTACGGAGTATACATATTTAATGTAGATTTTAAGATACTGCAGCAATAAACGTTTATCAAACAATCAATCAATTATATTTAATGTGAATGATGTACTAATTAGTATCCGGTTCATGAAGAACATATTTAATAACATTACGGGATGAATTTGTTAAATAAATGACACGTATTGAAAAATTTCTCAAGTTATAATAAAAACAACATTTTTGATAATACTATGGATCAGTACTTTTCGTGTTACACATAATAATTTAGATAAAATTTATATTAATCACAACATTTTTTAGGAAAATTGAGAAATTTGAAAAAATGAACATACATTTACAGAATTTATATGAAATTAGAAGACACCTTTCGAAAATTCTTCGAATTATGTTAAAGACGACATTTTTTAATAGTACTTAAAAAAACATCCAGTGTATTTGGAACCACGATATATTTAAGGAAACATTTTTTGAGAATATTATGAAACATTCTATGAGCATTATAATTTTTATATAGCATGTGTAATTATTTAAAAATATGAAATTCGGTAATCTGATAAAGATTATTGCTTGTGGCAGAAACAATTTTATAGCATTTAGATCATTTGGTTTAATCATGTCGTTAATCAAAACTTCTGTCACATTCCAGAAGGGTGCTCAGCATCCTTTGGGGCCTGAAAACCCCTGAAATCAATAGATTTCACTGGTCCAGGGGGGGGGCTTCTTTAGGCCTGAAACCGGGCTTTAATACTAACTGCCTGAGTTCTAAGGCACACTGCCTGAATGACAGCTTTTTCCTGTAGCAAACTAAATCTTTGTTTTGACCCACTTCCACTTGTCAGATTTTGATAAAATTCAAATTTTTTGCAAACAACCTGTCAAAGGAAATTTGCACATTTTTAGTTTTTCTTGATTAAAAATCAGGTTATTTAAAATTTTGCAAAAATTTTTGCATATTTGAAATGGCATGGTCAAGGGCTTTTCAAAAATGTATAATTTTTCATTTTTTGGACAAATTTTTTTTTGCAAACATTTTTACTATATAACTGGATTTTGCGATAAAAAATTCAATTTTTGCAAATTTGCAAATTTTTTGCAGATTCTAAAAGTAGAGCACAAGAGCTTTCCAATGATGTATCATTTGTCATATTTTGACATAAAACATGGGAGTTAGAGGGGGGGTCAAATTGACCCCCCCCCCCAGCATATCCTGGTTTTCAAGTACCCCAGCAGAGATAGGGTGAAACCATTATAATGGTTATAGCCGGAAATGATAAATTCTCAAAATTTCTAAAAGAGAAAAAGTCGTTGAGGATGGCTTCTTTCTTATCGTAGAATCATGCGCTCGAGCTTTCTGTCTCTCGATGCTCGGTGACTCCGGACTTTACGTGGTAGTGAAGTTAAGGAAATCCTCCCTTCAGGATTTTGCTGTGAAGGCTTCATTGTGCTCGTCATCCATCCACGCAGTGAGTGAGTTATGCGTCGTCAATAGTCAGGGATAAACTCCTTACCGGATCTCACCAGCTCTGTCTTCTTTGTCCTTTTCACTTCATCCCAGAGTTTATATCGTCTGGGATATGCTAGTTATAGGTTCTCAACAGTTTTTTTCCCTCTCTATCCTCTTCAATTCATCCCGCAGTTCATTAAATATTGCGACGAAGTTTAAATCAAAGAAAATTAAATCACCTGCGTTAAGGGGGGGTTACGGGGAAATGGAAAAATTTATATTTTTCTTATTTTAAGGAGGTGATACAGAGAAAAATTAAAAAGCGATATTTTTCTTTTATTTTGAAATGCAGGGGGGAAAAGAGAAAAGAAAAACAAACATGAAAAACAAAATAAGATATTCGTTAAATATTGTGGGTTACACTTCGTGTAATTAGTCTGAAAATAATATCAAATAAAATTACTTTCAGAATTTTTTCTCTAAACGTTTTCTTTTTTTGCGTAAAAAAATATTCAAATTTTATAAACAACTTTACAAGTCATAATTAGTCACTATATAGTATATGTAATAATTTATCTATCTTCTTGACTAAGAACGGAACGGAGGATGTAACCGTTCTTTGACTAAGAACACCAAGAACAGAATGGAACAAGATGGTTGTTTTTACATATAAGAACGGAATGGAACAGGACAGAACGGAATGATTGGGAAAAAAAGGAACGAGAACAGAAGGATCTAGCTGATGGCCCTTGTTCTAGAAAAGAACCAAACAATTTCAAAAAACTTGATTGGCATTTCTTTGCTTAGTTTTTACTTGTTTTTTGACAAAATATATTTTTTATGGTTTTTAAATATTGCACATTTTTTATATTTTCTTCATTGATTTTTTGAGATTTTACGTGTTTTTTCATTATAAAGAAACTTTCAATAAGAAAGAAAATATGTGGAAACTGAGAATTTAAAAGTTATTAAAAAAACTAACCTTAAATATGAGGAAGCGGGTCAAAAAAAAGAGGAAAACGATCAACAAACTTGGAATTTAAAACTTTCTCTGCAAACCGGAAACGGACCCAAAAATGAGGAAACGGATTGAAAGAAAGAGAAAAATGATCAACAAACTGAGAATTTTAAACTTTTTTTGAAAACCGGAAACGGACCCATAAAAAGAGGAAAAGGACCCAAAAAAAGGAGAAACCGATCAACAAACGTACCAAGAATTTTAAACTTTTTCTGAAAACCGGAAACGGACTAAAAAAATGAGGAAACGGATCGAAAATATTAAGAAATCCCTCAAAAATATAAGACCGGTATAAACCGGAATCCGACCTAAAAATTGGGGAAACGGATTTTTAAAAAAAAACAGGAAATTCCTCTAAAAAATATATTTAAAGAGATTTCCGATAATTTTTGAAAAAACAGGAAACGCCTCAAAAAAAATTATTTGGAAGTGGTTTCTGTTTTTTGAGTCCGATTCCGTGTTGAGGCGTTTCCATAGCACCGGGCATTCCCCGCACAAATTCCTGTATACGCCCTAGAACAGTGCACCTTTAATAGTTTTGTATAAAACAAATAACCTTGAATGTCTGAGAATATTTTGTGCGTATATCTCGAATTCCTCTCTACGGTCAGGTGGAAGGGATTTATAGGAATCCATTATTATTCGTCTAGTTTTCCCTTGCCGTCTTCCTGTCCAAAATCAATCCATTTAACATGAAATTAAAATACTTGGAAAATTTGCGAAAACTAAAAAAACCTTCAACAGAAATGTGAAATTCATAAATTTAATGATAAAACGATTTTTCAATTTTACAAAAAAAGAAAAACAATTGTATAATAATAATAATAATAATTATAATAATGAAAATATCCTTAACGGTCATCTTCCACTTTAAGGGTTACGGGTTTAAATGAAAAGTTTTTCTATTTCAAAATACACACATTAAAGATGACAATGTAAGTCATCAAATGCCGCGTTTAGTTCCTAAATCAAGTGCTGGGATCAATACCTTTAGCGCTATATCCTATCCTTCCTTTAATAGCAACAGTTATAAATACACTGTTTTTTTATTTTTCAACTCAACATGAGTTTTAATCAATAAATACTGGCTAAATAAGTGGTAAGTGTAAAAATATGAATGAATAAAGTTTAGCTAAATAATCTTATTGTTCAAATGCACCGAACCTAGTTTATATCTGTTGGATTCAAGCAGTGAAATTTTCTAGTCAAAAATGTTAGAACTAGGGACAAGTAATGCATGAAGGGAACAGCCAAGACAAATGTAGGTAATGGATGTCAAACATATTTTTAAGATTTTTTTCTTGTTTAAGTTAATGCTTCCAAGGAATTGGATGATATGACATAAATCAACTCCAAAGTCTGCAAGTTTTCAAATTTTTTCAAATTATTCATAGTTATTTCATCACCTCTGTCTACCTGCAAGATACATTTCAATTTAGCATTTTTTCAAACTCTCAAAAATATGTTTTCCAAAATTATTTGTTTTATACAATTAAGGGCTTTGTATATGCGAATGGTAATTCATAATGTTTACATCCAAGAAATTATTAAAAATGTTCTTTTTTCAACACTGCATAATTGAGAATTTGTAATCGACAATTTTTTTTGATAGGGGGGGGAACTCTTCAAAAAATACTACACCCTTGGGAAAGGTTAGCTTTCACACAAAAAAAGAAAAATTATTTTACTATTGTCATTCAAAAGTTCACAGTTCTAAAAACATCCCAATGAGGAGGACGGATACTTTTACAAATTGAAACTTTTCTCATAGTAAGAGTGTAAAAAGTGTCAAAAAAAATTTATGTCGCTTTGCCGAACTTAACATCACAAATTTTTATTTTTTTCGTGTACAATTTCTAATTGTCCCCGTCTTTTTTTCTAAATAATCCCTAGGGATTATTTAGAAGATCCACCTTAATTCCATGCATGAAAGAAATATTGTTATTTTGGCCTAAACAAAGGAACGCAGACTAAACAATACTCTCACATTTTTACAAAAGAAGTGTATTTAAGCTAACTATTATTATCAAAATAGTAATGTTTCCAGACACGTTATTAATTACAATAACTTTAAGATTGATGTTTGTCCCGTTAGCAGTAGGTAAGGCAGATAGGGTCTGCTTGATTGTAGCCTCTAGTACCCCATGCAGGGCCTCCTAAAGGGATGGAAAGTGTACTCCGAAGGGTCAGGTAGCTTGAGCAGAGCAGCAATCTCGTGGGGCACCTTTAACACAGAGTTCTTGCCCATGTGCTGGGTGGTCAACATCTCAGTCTTCCTTCCAGTGAACCAGACCCTCCCCTTGTACTTTTCCAGCTGGTGTTTAACCTTGTCCAAGTAAACAGCATATTTGCGAATCCTCCCTCCTCTGGAACCATACAGTCAGACTTGAACTGCGTGAGTTTTCTACTAAATTAAATAACTTTTAGTTATTTAAATTCTTAACTTTGTCGAGGAATCTCATCTCAATTTTCAAAAATAAAGATAATTCATCTTAAACGTTTTTTAAACGAAGAGGAATTGAAAAATAATCGAGATTTTCATTTGCGTTTAGTACAGATTATTATATATTATTCGATTCTAGACAAATAAGCTATGACGCCGTCTCCGAGCAGATGCATTTTTATTTCTCAGCGTGTTTAATTACCCAGGAGAGCATTTAACTATTTATTTTAACATGGAATAGAAACAGTTTCGAGCATTCCTTAGTTTTTAAAAAATTGTAGCTGCAAGATAATTTGCATCAGTTCTTATTTATGCTTTACATTCCGAAGAAAGTACTGCCATAGAAGAATTTCTTTTGGAGAATTTGGGCGTAGGACTATCAACCCTCTTGCATCATGGAGACCATGTTCCCGATTGTTCTTTAATCTGCATATCCGTTAGTTAGTCAGTTACAAAAACCCAGCAAATTCCATTTAAGCCTTTCGTTTCTACAATTACTTTAAGTATGTGTGTCGATAACTGCTCAGATATTTCTACATAAAATGGCCATCCTAGAGTTTCTTGAAGAAAAATAATTAAAGAGATTAACAATTTAATCCTGTTAAACATTGGTTAACCTTGTGGATGTTTTTTATTTCCTAAATCAATAACAAAAAGAAAATTACTTATTAATAATTTAAAATTACCGAATTCAAAAATACCAAAAAATCTATATAAAACTTGCTTTTATTTTCAATATATAAAAAATGGCATATTTGTTATAAAAACAAGACATTCGCATATTTATATGTTGTCTATAGCCGGCCAAACAGCTGGACCGATTGGGCTGAAATATTTTTGTGGACACTCATGGGTGGCCGGGGGATTTCAAATTTCAAATTTTTCAGCTAATTGATAATAATAGTAATGATAATAATAATAATAATAATAATAATAATTATAATAATGAAAATATCAATAATAGTAGTAGTAATAATAATAGAAATAAAAATAATAAAAATCATAATAGAAATAACATACCAAAATCCACAAAAAAAACATTTCTTTAATTACAAAAAATTTTCAGGCTGATGTGGATATCCGTGATTACGGGAAAAAAGTTCACAACTTTGAGATCGAGTTTGATGAAACCAACGATAAACTTCAGAAAGCCATCGGTAACAATCCTTTTGTTTAAAGCCATAGAGAATAGAATATATAGAGAGGAATCTCTCGGTATGAATTTTTTCAGTCCCTTTCAGCCTGAAAGGGAGTTCAAAGTGTACAAATCATGTAAATGTTCACAAATTATATGCAGTTGNATATATATATATATATATATATATATATATATATATATATGAGTGATTTTTTATTAGATTAAAGAACAATAATAAAGAAGATCTTTATTTTTTTAAGTGGGTGGATGACAAGCACAATGAAGCCTTCAGAGCAAAATCTTGAAGGGAGAACGGCCGTAACTTCATCACCACAAAAACTCCGGTAAAATCTAAATTTCCTAAAGGGTCAATCAGATATAAGAGTTTTTCTTGTTTATAACACTTTTTAACAGGCAATGCTTCCGCTCATAATGTTGACAGAAGTTTTGATTAATGACCGTAATTAAACCAACTTATCTAAATGCTATAAAACGGTTTCTGCCATCATGCGATAATCGAATCAGATTATCGCATTACATAATTTTTCAAAAAAAGATTATAAAGTTTACAACAATTTCTTTGTAGTTGAATAAAAATATGAAAAATATGAGATTAAGGAGAGATAGTTAGACAGATAGATAGCAACATATGGACCCCTGGACAGATGCATACCCATTATATTAGTAATATGATATGGCAACTATTGAAAAACGCCTTCACCCATGCCTTACTGGTCTATTCAAGCCCACCATCTCTGTTATACCCTGCCTTCAGGGGGCCGAAACCTATGCCTTGAAGACAAATCAATGCCTTCTACCAATGCCTTTTGGTCTGTTTGGGTGGCCGCCTTTAAGAGTGTGGTGTAACTAAAATAATGTTAATAGTTATTTTCTATTTTTAATTGTGCAAAGTACTTTTTCTCTCATTATGTTTTAATTCTTAAATAATGTTAAATTTCTTTTTGCTTTGTGTCAATGTGTTAATTTTTTGCCAAAATTAGTCAGCTCAAAACGTTAAAAAAAACTTACCTTTTTGTTAATTTCTATCTTTAATTCTTCATCCAGTGACTCGAGAAAAGACCCCTTCGAAGATTTTTCAGATTCAGATTTTGCACTTGCAAACCGTACCAAGTCGGTTTGTGGTTGGTTTCCATTTTGCTGTTGTGGACTACCTTTTGTTAGCCTGGCAGACTTTATTTTAGACCAGTGTTGGTTTTCCTTTTCATTCTTCACATTTGAGATTTGATCTGTGAAAGTTTCAGCTGTCTTAAGGTTTGGTAAGTCTTCTATTGCAGGTTTAATTTCAACAACAGTTTTGTCAAGTTTTTTCTTATCTAAGGCTAAAATCAAAACTTAAGTAGATATACTTTTTAAAATATTTAAAATTAAATGTATAAATAAAATAAACAATCCTACCAGAGTCAATTTGATTGAAAATGTTGGATAAAGTGTTGTCAACTGCCTGCAGAAAATATTATTTAAGATTTCTAGATTGAATTAGATTGAATTAGATTGAATTATACGAATTTTAGATTCCATGGGAAATGTTTTAGATCTAATCTTTAACCCTATTCCAACTGGTGCCTCCCCCCAACCCCCAAAATTTTTTTTGGACATAACTCAAAAACCTTTGATCTGAGGCTGTCAGAGTTTTTTTAACTTTTCTAACTTGCAAGTGCTTAAATTATAAACTGATCTTTGCACATTTTCTATTTTTCTTGAATTTGAGGCTTTTTAAGGCTTCTATAAAATGCATTATTTGTCATTTTTTTTCAAAATTTTGTATTTTGATATTTTCTTTTAAACATGTGCAATTTTTTGGCAGATTAGTGAAGCAGAGCCCCAGGTATTTTTAAAACTGTATCAAATGTTACATATTTTTGACACAAAAAGCAAATAGAGGGACGTCTATTTTAAGTAAAAGAGACGTCATGTAGTAGGCTTAGGGTTAGAAATAAGGAAAATTAAAATAAAATATTTTTAAAATTTAGTACTAACTAATAAGTGTATAGAAAAGAGGAGTATTAAAAAAATGTCAGAAACATATGAACAAGAAAAATGAATAGCTGCTGACCATTCAAATGTGCGAAAATATTTTTAAATGTGTAGATTTTCTTTGAATTATTTAGAAGTGTAAACAAAAGTGCAAAAAATCAAACAATTGGAAGTGTATTAACAGACTTTGTTTGACAACGTACAAATTAGGCATTCAGACAGTTTGCCTGGGGACTTAGGCAGTCGGTGTTTAAGCTCAGTTGTATAGGTTTAAAATCAATGAAAGCGGAAAAATTGCTTCTTATGAAAATATTTTGCTTAACTTTAATGATTTCACAATAACGAAAATATTTTAAGCTCCGTAGGACGGAGTACAAAGGGAATTGCGGGCTGAAAATTTGGTTTGGCTGTCTCCGAGAGGAGATTCAAGTTGAAGACGACATTTTGCAGAGGTCTTAAAATTAATGGTTAACAAATGTAAGGTTGAATTTAGAGGAATTAAATAATGTTGTATAATAAATATGCACAGTCACTGTATATATCTACTTTGTAAGTTTGTACATCAAAGTAAATGTAATTAATAGCTTGCAATAACGTTTTTGTTATTATATATTGAGAAACTGAAATATTCGGAGATTAATATATAATTGAATTCCTCAACTGTTTTTTTGCAAAAGAATTGCTTTGGAGAAAAATCACAGTTTCTTGATCTTTACGTGTATAACTGTCTCATATTTTAATCTGGTTTGAATATTGTAAGATGTATAAAATTGGGTCTGTAAGCGTAATTTTAAGTGATCCTTCATGAAAAGATGGCTATAGCCAGATTCACAGCCTTTTTCTGATCAATAATATTGAAGATATTGTCGTTTTTCTTGGTTTAAAATATATAATTCCGATATTCCTGCAGGAGATATGCGCAAGTCATTTTTGCAGAGAAGCCACAATTTAAAATTATCAGTTTTCAAACTGATGAACATTAATATATAATTTATACTTGATCAGACTGTTTAAGGCTACCGTTTCAATGGGACATTGCCATCTTTGTGCGCATGGAGTGTCACTTGAAATTACACTTACAGTCCATAAAGTATTATAGATTATTTATATATCTATATGTTACAGTCCCTTCAATCAAAATCTTTGTTTCAACTATTTGTAAAAGAAAAGATAAACACAACCAATTATATAATTTTGTATTTAATCTTGTATATAAAGCAGCAGCGCGTGAGAAGAGAATACATGGTTAGTAAAACAATAACAAGAATGACTTTTCTTTAGATTTACAAGTTTTATTTGGACAGCAATATAACTAAGGGAAGGAATATTTATATGGCATATTCTAACAAAATATTCCCCCTGGCCTCCATCTCTTTTTACACGGAATTTAGAAAAAGATTTCTTCCTAAAATTAGACTTTCTCAGTTAGGAAATATTATTATTGTAATGCAAAGGTAAAAAATGTTCCAAATGCATGATTTCACTAAAGAAGACTGAAACCCCCCAAAAAATACTGTTTGACTTGAAAAAGATTAAAACTGATCATGAACAATTTAAGTACGTAGTTGCTCCTTTTCTTGATAAGAGGTATTTGAACAAAGGTCACTTAAAGGGACTGTAAGCGTAATTTTAAGTGACCATTCATGAAAAGATTGCATTGTCCGATTCACAACGGTATTCATGAAGCATTTATCTGATCAATAATGTGGAAAATGTTGCCGTTTTAATACTTCGTCAGACAAAGCTTTTAAGGGTACCGTTGTGAATCAAGCATTGCAGGAAAATTACGCTTTAAAATAAAGGAGGATAAGTTAGCTTATTAAATACCTGAAGTGTGTTTTGATTGATTTGAGTATCCTTATCCCCCAAACTATCATCAGGACCTAAAATTACTTTAATCTAGCACTTAAATATAAGGGTTAGAAACACACAACCAAAATGTCAAACTCATTCCGAATTTTTTTTTAATAATTCTGATGTTTTTAAAAACTGGACTTATTTGCCCTTTTGTATTGATTTAGTTTAAATATTAAATTCTCTATTTCTATTTCATTTACTAGTCATATTTATCTTGTTTGGAAAGAAAAAGTAAACTATATTAATTTCGTAATAAATTCATCTTTGAAATTTACTGCTTGGTAGTTTAGTTTTTTAAAGATATATTTTGGTTTAATAGTTATAAATTATAATATTGTGTATAAATATATTATGCAATGTAAAGTTGTATCTAGAGGAATTAAATAATGTTGTATAATAAATATATACAGTCACTGTATATATTTACTTTGTAAGTTCGTACATCAAAGTAAATGTAATTAATAGCTTGCAATAACGTTTTTGTTATTTTATATTGAGAAACTGAAATATTCGGAGATTAATATATAATTGAATTCCTCAACTTTTTTTGTAAAAAAATTGCTTTGAAAAAAAACACAGTTTCGCAAAACTTAACACTGTATTAACTGTATTTCTCGCAAAATTGCGCTATTCCGCTGTATTTTGCTTAACAAATTCTTAGTAAAAGGTTGAATAAAGGTGTAAACTGTATAAATTAGTTTACTTGCCTTAAACTTTATTTTGCAACCTGATGGCACAAATGCACAATGCAAATCAAGATGTGCACAATCTTACACAAAAATTGAGCAGCATTTTGCCAATTAATCATTTTAAACTTAAGATAGAAACCAACGCGTAGCATTTTATATGTCTAGGCCTACAAAAAAAGTTTCATTGAGTTGAAAAGGTAAAACCAAAGGCCAAGGCGTTGCGACGCTTCAAAGCTGTGGCTGTATAAAATATTGATGACTTAGATTCAGTATTGTATTTATCTCAGTGAGCATAAACCTTTGTTATTTTAATCATATACATTTTACTAGAAGTAGTCAACACTTGAAATATCAAAGTTTAACACCACACAAAGATTCAGACATCTTTAACAACTATGCATCAATTTTCAATTTTCAAATTTCTTATCGTCCCTCAATTTGAAGATTTTTTAACTAAAAGTAACTAATTGAGACTTGAGAGCAGCATAATCATAATTTTTGAATAAAACCTCATTTGTTTGATTCTGTGCTGAAATTGTAAATTTTGGTAAATTTGCAATAACATGTTTTGTGAAAAAATTTACGTTTTCCACAATACTTCTGGTTTTGCACAAATTACGAGAAAAATTGCTCAAAAACGCGCTGAACTTATTGCGCTTCTTGCGCAAAAAAGTATTTACGCGAAAATTAGGCAAATTTTGCGCAACAAATATGGTCATATCGTGGAAACCCTATAGGTGAAAACCTTATAGCTTTTATTGTTTTAAGAAAACAAACCTGGTTGAAGCCTCATATCTTTATTCTCCTTTGAGTCAGTCTCATACTTTCCTTTTCAAAAAAATAAAGCATACGATGATGAATTATATAATTAGCAAATAAAATGTACTTTATCAAGGAATTAATTACTCCAATATTCTCTAGTTTTCTAATCATATTGCAAAGCATAGATATAAGAATTAGAAAGTTTCCGGCGACTAATCAGTTCCATTTAAACTTAAAAGTTTGAAGGGATTAGTACTGAATCATAGAACGAAGTACTACTCCTTTGATTGTTAAATTACAAAATGTCCAGTACAAGCTTCATTGATTGTTTATTTACAAAATGTCCAGACCAAGCTTCATTGATTGTTTAATCACAAAATGTCCATACACTCCCTTGATTGTTTAATTACAAAATGTCCAGACCAAGCTTCATTAATTGTTTAATTACAAAATGTCCAAACACTCCCTTGATTGTTTAATTACAAAATGTCCATACACTCCCTTGATTGTTTATTTACAAAATGTCCAGAACAAGCTTCATTGATTGTTTAATCACAAAATGTCCATACACTCCCTAGATTGTTTAATCACAAAATGTCCAAACACTCCCTAGATTGTTTAATCACAAAATGTCCAAACACTCCCTAGATTGTTTAATAATGAAAATTACCAATGTATGACGTGAGGTACTTCTCCACCGGATTATATTGAGCAAATTTTATTTTATTTTTCTTGATTGGAGACCCAAAACTACTTCGAGAGGATGGACGAGAATTCAGGGCACTAAAATCAAAATATTTCTCATATAAAGAATCACAATGCACAAAATAGAAGTTAAAGGTGAAATTAATGCGATATTACTGGTACAACTTTGCAACCTCATAGCTTCTATATTTTTTTTATTCTCAAGTACAATAAAAGTTAATTTATCCGTTTCATAATAATTTGTTTTCTCAAAAGCTCTTCAAGAAAAGGTGTTATAATTGAAAGATTTTAATCTTACGTTTAAATAAAATACTTTAGTTTGAAGTGGACCATAAATGCTCTAAAACAGCTGGCCAAATCGTAACTGGGATAGGGTTCAGTTGAAATATTCATAAAATTTGAATTAAAAACCTTAAATACGTGCATGGAATCATAGGTAAGTAATGTTGGTCAAAAGTGGATGAAGATTGTAAATAGTGATAAGCAATAACTTGTTAACTTATATTGTATGCGCGGTACAGATATCGTTACACACCTTATGCCTCTAGAGTCATTTTTATTTTGAACTGTTACAGCATTCTCGTTCACCTTGGAAATGTTTTCTTTGCTCTTAGAATGGGTTTCTTTGTTATGAAACTTATTTTCTTGAACTTTTATTTGTTTCTCAGAAACCCTGTTTTTCAATTCAAACTTCTTGTTGTCCTTTTTTCTCTTCCCTTTTTTCTCATGAAGATTTAGAGGAACCTCAAGGTGATCTAAATTAAGAAATAATTAAATTAAAGTATAAAAATCATAATTTTCGTTAAATTGCCATTTATTTCAAGTTGATAACTTTAACCTGGAGTTCTTACATCATTTTTTGAAAAAACTAAAACCCCAAATAAGCTACCTATAACTAAAGGACCAGCAGCAACTGCAGAAGAAACTACTAAACCCATCGTGTTCGAAATTTCTAAAAAATGGATTAAAGTTTAGGGGAAAAATGAATACATCTATAAAATTTAATACTTTTAAAGTTAAACATCGATCGGATCCGGAAAACTAATGCTTAACTTTTTATCTTTGTACATTTCGACAAAATTAACATTTTACTCAAAATTACGGCCGGATGTTAACTTGTGGGATGTTCGCAATGTTTAATTTTTTTTAACAATTCATGTTCATAAAATAATGCAGTACGAGATATAGCTAATAATTCTATATGTTTATCTTTTTTTCTCCTTTCTTTCCCAGCACGTTGAAGTATTGGTAACCTTTCACGCATGATATCGAAATCCAATGTAGGCACTTTTTATACCCTTCTTTTTTATTCTAACATCTTGAAATTTCATGATCTGACAGAAGTAGAAATGAAAAGAATTTTTCCGTAAAAGATCCAAAGGAATTGAGTCTTTGCCACAAACTCTGAATTTATAATCCCTTTGTCTTTGGAACCCAATGTCGTAAATCTTTGATATTTCAAACTTATATTATTTGATCTAGCAGAATTCATGGTTTGAAATATCTAAGGTCTACGACATTGGAATCCAAAGATATAGGGTTTAGAAAAGCAGAGTTTGTGACAAAGGCTCAATTCCTTTACAGAGCCGGGTCTGGGACGAGAGATTAAATGGCCGGTCGGTTATTCAAAAATATCTAAAATAGTCAGTAACTTTTATTAATTGAGCTGCTTATCTTGAATTAATATTTCTGAAAGCCCTAGATCTTCTTTTACATTTGTTAAAGTTGAACAATATTTTTTTAGATTTTCAGCTTTAATTTTTTTCTTTAAGCGCTATAGAACTTTATACTTTTCGGCGCGGTGGTCTGTACTATAACTATAGCACTGTATACTTTACGGCGCGGTGGTCTGTAGTACTATACTATAGTAACTATAATCATAGTGTAGAAATATCTACAAAACAAACCCTCTACAACGAATTACTCAGGGGATATACCCACCGGTATCAAATAAAATAAATTTTTCCAACTTAAAATGAAAATCTCCAGAAGGTGTAAACAAATTTTTTAATTCCGTGCGTTATTCATATTTTTTACATATCAATTTTTCTTGAATATACACCAGAATTAAATTTAGCATTTCTTAAGTGGCATGGAAAAGGGTTTTTTAATGTATCATGTTATACGATGTTATGCAAAATTAGCATTGCATCTAAAAATGTATTTTGCTCATTCTTAACATAATTCCTGTAGAGCTTTCCAAAACTGTATCATTTGTCGTAAATGCACTAAATTTAAGACCCTAGAGTTAAAATATTAATCTGATAGTTTTTGTAAAAAAGCAAGAGTAGTATTCTACACTTTAGAATTCCTTTTTAACTTTTGCAAAAATACTAAGAAAAAGTTTAATCCGTAAGAGCGCTGAGATCTGTTTCCCAAATTTGAATTTATTGTTTCAATTTTTCCTTTTTGAATTAATGTAATAATTTTTATCGTGTTCTAGACGTTAAACATGTTTCATACAGGGCGTTTCACGAAAAATGACAGCTGAGAGACGACTTGAATATCGTCTCTTACCTTTGTAATAATTTGTGCCATTCATTCGTCAAATCAATATCAGAAGCTAAATACCTCAGGTCCTAGCATTTTTAAAATGTGGCCTGCAATTTTTGTACTTTCAAAATTACCAGAGAAATGACGAACTTCATCGAGAATTCGACAATTTTTATCTATTTAATAAATTGAAATATGAATTAAATCCTTAATCTCTCCACTAATATTGAAAGCACAAACAGTTAAACCACATTTGATAATGTCAGGACTACGCAAGTTTATTGTAAATGTTTCATGAATCAGGTTGACAAATAAATGCCGCTAATTATTTTTATGATCAAAGACGATCTTTAATTTCTCTTTCTCTTCAGTGTCATGTTACGTAGGACACCATGTACATTGTACAATTTGAGATACTAAATTTAACAGCCTGGGGAAATACATGGTTCTCTACAAAGAATGAGAAGTATATCTTTTACGCATTTTTATTTGCATTTATAGTTCACTAGCTAGAGATTATATTTATTTCATTCTTTGAAAATCTTCTTTTATTTTTTTAAAAATCCACTGCATTCCGGTGTCGTCTTAAAGGTTTTATCCTTTTGGGGTAAACATGGCACTTTTAACTATTTTCTTTTTGGTAGAGAGTTCAAATGTCAAGAAAGAAAACTTGATGTTACATAGATTAAAATATATATTTAAATTCATTTTCTAGAGGTGTATTGTTTTAACAATATTTTGCATACTTACTTTTCGTTATTTTGATATGAGATGAAATTTCAGCTTACCTTAAATCATCCATATAAGAGTTTTCACAAAAAGATTGGGCCTTATCGTAAGTTTTTTTTCGCTTATTGGACACAAAAAATCCTATCGAATCAGAATTGTCAATTACAACTATGGCAACTGGCCGAAATATTGCACACTACACAGTTAGGGCCATTATTTAGAAGTTTAGTATTTTGGATTTTTCCGTTTTTTGTTTTTAACTGAGTTTGATTATATCGATTACATGATTTCGTTTTTGAACTTTAAATTGGTGTTTCTAATATTCTTTAGAACCAACAGACAACGCAATTATATATAACGTTCGTATCTAAAAAATGCATCGAAAACCTTAAAGAATTTAATTTGTTCGTATATCTTCACTTTATTTTTTTGCCGTTGCAATCTTCAGGATACTTTAGTGGAGTTTTCTGCAAAAAGATTTTTACTTTTAAAATATGAAAATTTTTCAAACAATAAATAATTTACGTCTCATGACGATATCTATTTATAAATATTTGGATATAGATATATATTTGTTGCTGTTAAGAGACTAGAGTCAACCTCGCCAATAGGTAATTACAAGTTAATAAAGTTGGTTGTAAGTATGGTGTAATCTGGTTTTTGTTGGTAAAAGTTGTAAACTTGGGGTTCCGATGTAAATAATTATATTAATAACAGTCTCATAGGGCATTGACTAAACTTATACCTTGCATGTTCTCTGATAATGTTAAAACAGGTCGTGATTTATTAACTTGCAAGTATATATTAGATATATATTACTCAGGGGAATTTATTAGGTTTCCAGAGCTGGGAACTCTTATATCATCCGGATATCTAGATTTTTTTTTTGATCTCGATATTTTCTTAATCTATACAGGGTGATTTGCGGCGCCTGTTGCAAAAGTGTAACTTTTTTGTGCAACTCTTCTGTATGGTGTTTTTTTAATATTTTTTGAAAATTTGTATTTTTTTAGTACTTCAATGGCCCAAAAAAATCCGCGAACCTTTTATTCTTTCAAAATCAAAAGTTAAAAAAAAAAAAATTGTGTAAATAAATTGTTTCCATCGAAATCTAAAATTTTAAAAAGATTGAATCACAGAATCTCAGAAAATTTGCAAAATGTGCATTCATATTATTTCTATCTAAATCTCAAATTTTATTAATATTGAATCACAGAATCACTAAAAAATGGCAAAATTGTAATAAGAAAATTCGCAATTTTCAGTTCCGGTATAATTTTTACGGAAAAATTGTTTTTCGCTGGTTCTTAAGGTTTCAACTGAACAGTGTATATTTAATACTTTAGAATATACTAAGAAGAAAGAAACTAGAGAATTTGAATAACTTTTCGTTAAAAATTCGCCCAGAACTGAAAATTGCGAATTTTCTTATTACAATTTTGCCATTTTTTGTGATTCTGTGGTTCAATCTTAATAAAATTTGAGATTTAGATAGAAATATTATCAATCACATTTTTTGCTTTCCTGAACTTTTGATTTTGAGAGAAAAAAAGATTCGCGGATTTTCTTATGGGCCATTGATTACCAAAAAAAATACAATTTTCAAATAATATTGAAAAAACACCATATAGGACAGTTGCACAAAAAAGGTACAATTTTGCACCAGGCGCTGCAAATCACACTTTTTTTGACTCACCCTGTAGATTAATTTAATTTTTATTTGTCCGATATCCCTTAAAGTGGCAATCAGATATCTCGTGAACAGCCAATCAGAAGCCAGGGAAATTTGCGTCCAACCACTAAAAGAACAGAGAAATTCCGGGTATCCAAAACCAAGAGATAAAGCAGATTCTGCGTAAAATTCAACAGTACCAACTTTGGATATCGAGATCAAGATATTGGAAAGCTCAGTAAGCCTTAAGGCAAAAATGTTACCTTTCTAAAGTTGTAGCTCCGTCTACGATGATTTTTTCTTCGTATATTTTGGAAATCAGATTTTCCTGTGATTTTTTGTGAATTTTTGAGTCTTTGAGACATTTTAATTTTTGTCTTCAAATGGCTTAAGTCTTACAGGCATAAATTTGCTTTGTTGTGATGTAAAAACAGGATAAAACTTAAACTTTTTGACATACTGTGCAGTTTACACCTTGAAGCCTGAAAATGAATCTAATTATTTTATCACAAAAGCCCGGGGGGATCCTTTCTGTATTGTACCATTGTGTTTTTGAATCTAAATAACTTTATTTAATCATGTTGAAGGTCAACTAAAAGAAACTTTTTAAAGTTTACTTTAACCTTTGACTATCGACTATATACGATTATATTCTGAGATCGGACATCTTGTGTGTGTTAATATCAATGTGGGTACTATTAGATTTGAGGATTAATATTTAATCACTGGATTAAAGTTATCCCAGCATATATCACAGGATATTGAAGTGTAATTAAATGCTTGATCCTAAGATTACCGGCTTTTAGATGTCATAAAATCAGAATATTTTATAAAAGTAAGTAAGAAGATAAAAAGGTAGACCTTGACATTTTTAGCAATGCCCGATTTACATCCACACCTTTTTAACCTATGACTGATAATAGAGGCCAAGTGTTTTGTCTCAAATAGCGTTATATATATTTTTCGTAAACGGGAGTGTACATTAGCGCAAAGTGTAAAAGTGTAAACTAAACTCAACTAAGGTTTCAAACATAGATTAATAACAACACATATATAACGCTAAATGTCGTCTTATCAAGATGTAGGGGTTTTTGTTCACAACAACCATGATTAAGAAGCCCAAAGGAGTTATGCGCATGGGGCTTAGAACAAGCTCTTTTTCTCTCTTGTAATTCTAATGTTCTATCTGTATTTTTATTAATCTATGGTTTCAAACCTCGGTAATATCAATTATTCTATGCTCATGGCGGTTTCCAGAAAATGTTTATTTTCTGCCACTTCTAGAATGTAAGTATAAATATTTCTTAAATATAAAACAGCTTTAAAGTTAACTGTTCAACAATTTCAAGCATTTCTATAGGTTAATTGGGATCAGTCCGTCATCCTTGATAAGGCAAAGGTTGGAAGGGTACTGTTGTAAATCGGATAAGTCACTCTACGCATGAAGGGTCGTTTGAAAGGAAATGGTTAAAAACGCTCAATAATAATGCATTCCTCTGATATAATATAATAGAAACATCTCTTGCAATCGTTTATTTTGATAATCTGCCATGTCTCTAGTTCTATTTACAATATATATCACACTTCATAGGTTTTACAAAAATATTTAACAACGACATCCTTATCTCCGAATGCATCTTCTCCATTCGGCAGTAGATTTCTAGGTCCCATTACTTTCTTCAACCCTGAAATATAAATATTGAATACCGTGATCACCAGAAAACAGTGGAATTGTGGTCTTCTTATATCGTCAATTTTATGATTGAATATCGCTATGGATTTTGTAAATTGTAACCTTACAAAGTACATGATATTAAGCAAACGTTTACAGCTACCGATAATAACAAAGACCACAATAATATCAAAGTTTTCTGGTCACTTTTGCAGAGAAAAAAAAACAATTATATCTCATTCAAACTTTTTCAGGAAAGGGTATCGTTGTGTATCGGGAATGCCACAATCTCAATGCAGGGGCCTTTGAAAGTACGTTCCCAGTCCTTTAAAGTGTAAAGTGGAATTTGAGACGACAGATGTGAATTTGATAAAATAAAATATGTATGTTGTGGTGAAATACCTTTAATTTGCTGGCAGCACCCATCCACGCCTCCTGAAATAAAAGATGACATTAAATGAAACATGGACTAGGAAAAAAACTTACATTCTGAATCAGAAGAATTTTGTCTTTCGCGCAGAAATGCTTCTTCTTGCTGAGTAATCATCCAGAAATCACGCAGAACCCTCTCTTTGAATATTCCTGAGATAAACTCACGTGTTGAATCTCGTGTTGTGTCACATGTTCCAGTATCATCCCTTGATCGTCTCTCATATTTGCTCTTTTCTCCCCCCTAGATACAATTTAGTATCAATATCATTATCTTTATGATCATTATGATCATTATCATCATTATCATCATTATCATCATTATCATCATTATCATCATTATCATCATTATCATCATTATCATCATTATCATCATTATCATCATTATCATTATCATCATTATCATCATTATCATCATTATCATCATTATCATCATTATCATCATTATCATCATTATCATCATTATCCTCATTATCATCATCATTATCAACATCATAGTAAATCTTAATCTCATGATCATCCTCATATTAATAAGCTAAGAACTAAGAAAACGTATTATGGGACATATGTAGTTATATTGAGAATGTTAACAAGAGTCAAGACTCAATATTCCTTTAAAAAAAAATGAGTTCAGGGCAAGATTAATTATCTGTTTCTAAATATTATTACAAAAAAATATCGTCCCCTCCTGAGATCTACTCTCTTTGATAATTGTTATCCAATATATAATGACTCACGTGACAATCGCACTGTTCCTTTTCCTTCTCAACTTTTAAAACCAATTCAGACCTAAAATAAAAACATTTCAATCTTCATTGATTTTGGAAAATTTACAAATGTATAAAGAATTTAAGACTCCCAAAGGTTTCGAAAACGTATTTGCATATATATATATATATATATATACTAATATACTACTGAGGATCGTCATGAGGATTGAGGTGTGAAACATTTAATAGTCGTCATTGTAATCCTTTATTTATTGGGACACTCTTTACCTTGAAATTGTACTTTTGTATATTTGTTGTTTTAATAAAATGAAACTGGAAGATAATGAGAATCCATGGTGTTAAATGTTTTGAGTAAATAGCTAGTTTAACCCAGGGCCAAATTTAATGAATAGCATGAAGTTGTTGAACTACGTAACAGTGGTTCAACCACATGTAATTTCTTCAAACTTTGAATTGATGATTCAAAATTTGATCTGTCAGATCCAACCGGCGGTATGTATAATGTAGTTCAGTGACTTATCTCAAATTCATTAACTCCGAACCCGGTCCCAGATTCACCAAGGATGTGTGAATCAAGATTAAGAACGATAAATTTAAAAGTCGTCATAGTAATCCTTTGTTTATTGGGAAACCCTGTACCTTGAAATTGTTGGTTTGTATAAAGAAGAAGAATCATAAGAAGCCGCCTTAAATCCCTTAATCCCTTCCGAAGTTAACGATACTCTAAACAAAATATTTTTAATTGTTTAATTGTTAATCTCAGAACAGATGCAATGTACTTAGGGATGTTAACGTTTCCATTTTACAGAAAAACGATCGTTTCTTTATGAAAACGACGACGAAAAATCGAAAACGAAACGATCGTTTTTTACAAAGTTCGTTTTTAAAAAATGGTCGTTTTTAAAACGATCCTTTTTTATAAAATTCGTCGTTTCGTTAACGATCATATAAAAAACGGTCGCAAATCGTTTTAATAAAAACGATCGTTTTCAAAAACGATCTTTATTCGTTTTTCTAAAAGTTAAAAACGAGTGGGTCGTTTTTAAAAACGATCGTTTTTTTCCGAAAACGAAACGATCGTTTTTGAAAACGAAACAAAAAAACGATCGTTTAACTTTTGTTTAACGATCGTTTACAAAAACGATTAACAACCCTAAATGTACTCCATGAATATCCATGAATATAAAAAAGACAGTAAAAATCGTCTCTGAAGTCTCATCCTTTGTGGGTAACCCTGTATGATTTTTTAAATATATTTATTTAGATTTTTTTTAAATTCATACTTTGAGACTGTTCTGTAGATTTGTGACTGTGGTTCATCAACGTCCAAAGACTCTAAGCTAACACTCAGGTTCTAGAAAAAATCATTAAATCAATTATTATTACAAAAACATATTTGGATCTTTGTGCGATTCTAGGATTACCTTTTGAAGAAGAGAAATCTCTTTCTTCGGAAATATTCTTGATTTTATTTTTGAAAGACTTCCAATTTTTTTTTCAGCTTTCTTTTCTAAAACAAAACAAATATACTTTTAAAATAATTCTATTTATAAAAATTGTCTGTTTTTGTATTTAATTAATGCCAAGACAACTGAAACATGGGCCCTCTTAAAAAATGTTCAAAAAAAATGTTCGAAAAAAGTGGTTGCAAGTAAAAATAGAATTTTAAAAGCCCAAAAAAATATATAATCGACGGGCATAAAGCTTTGTTTTCTATATCTATTTATTTTGACTGATAAAAAATATACCTTTATTAATGAATTCCTCCACTGATGGTTCTATAAAATTATGGACAGTTATTCGATTTTTTTAAAAGTTTTCATAAAATTTGAAAAATACAACAATTATTGTACAAAGATATTTATTGGTTGAAAAGAATCAATAATAGAAAAAAATACCAAACCTTGAACAACCAAAATATCCAAAACTTTAACTTCGTCAGTTTCAACCTGAAAAAAAAATATTATAGGTATTCGTGCATTTCTAAGATAATGTTTGAATTTTCGTTCTTTTGATATTATTTCAGTAAAAAAATTATTCATACAGTGATAACCAGAAAACTGTGGAATATGAAGACTACATTAAAGCAATACTGAAGTGCATTTGATGTTGTCATAAAGCAAATAGCTTTACTAGTAAGTTATTAAATCACTTATTAAGTGAAATGGGTCTGCTTACACTGCACAATTGCTGTACCTCATGTTCATTGGACTATTCAAAGTCATAAATTGAGTCTAAAAGTCGACTTCTTATTGCAGAGTTTTTTTATTATAACTGTCATATTTTTCCCTAGTTATCTTTTGGACGTGTTCCTTATTCTATTTTGCTCATCTTACCTTTTCAATTGCGTCTTCGGGATCCTTATTTGTCTCTTTTTTCAGTTCTGTTTCTTTATTATCATTATTCTCAGAACTATCTTCTAAAATAATTTCAGCCGGAGCCATTTTTAGTACTTCAACCGCTGGATCAACATCAGTTGCAAACTCAGCGACATCTTCCATAGATACATCTTTCTCATTTTCTTCTTCCTTTTCTTCTACTTCCAATTCTTCTATTTCTTCCTTTTCTTCTTCCTTTTCTTCTTCTGCTTCCTCAGCAGAATCCACCTCTTTAGCATCTAACTGGTTTTCAGTTTCATGATCTGTTTGTTCATCATCCTGGTTCTCCGATGTTTTCTTGGGTACTTCTTCATCATCACTGTCAGGTTGGCTTTTAACCCCTCCTTCAACAGCTTCTTTGGCGAGATCAAAGCTACTTTTCCCGTTTTGATGAAGAACAATGGTGGCCAACTGAAAATAACTATGATGTAAAATAAATAAAAAGGCTGTTTATTGTTATACAGTGGGACCCATAAAAATATGGAATATAAAGATTTTAGTTATAATATGCAAAAGTTGAAGGAACATTGCGCACTTTACACAGACCTAAATCACTTACTAAGTTGATTTACAAGCTACTTTTAAACAGCATAAACAATATACAGGGTGTCCCAAAAACATGGGAATTCAGTGACGAATTCGATATAGTTTTTGTTATGAATTAGCACTGTAATACCTAAGAGTTTATGAATTAGCATTGGTATACTGTAAATTTCTTGTTTTACTAAGTACAACCATATGCAGTCAAAAATAAACAAACAAAATGTGAACATAGCAGACGAAACTCTAACAGATTACAGCTTTCTCTCCAGAGACGAGATTTAAAAGCTTAAACCCGACTAAAACCCGGTCTTTGCGTCTGCTTAGACCCAAGTAAAGCTCAAGTCAAGACCCGGGTTTTGGATGTCCTTGAGTTTAGTAAGAACCAACCCTCTTGGGTTTTACTCTCTTTAAAGCTCGAGTCTTCAGCAGCTGATGATCGTAAATTTCGTAAAATCTTTTATATTTGTACATTTAAAATCTTGGGAATTATTTGTAGTGTCAAATTTTATTGAATATATAAAAAAATTATACCTGTCCTACAGATTTTTCAATCTGATCAAGTTTCTTGTTTGAATCTTTAATCCAGGTCTGCTGCACATCAACAATGGAAGCAAATGTGTCAATGGCTACTTTTCTCTGCAAAAAAAAAGTTTACGGTTGAATGTTTTACAAAGCTTGATGGAAATTGTTTTGAAACATTAAATTTAAATTCACATTTTTACTTATCATCATTTACATTTTTTATTGAATTTATTAAACGTTATAAAATTAATTCACGGAGTAGCGGACTCCTAATATCTATTGTTGTGGGTATTATTAAGACCATACGAAATACAGTGAAACCTTTAAAGTTTCTGTGCCTCATGGTNTAATTAAAAAACTAAATATCTGCAATATTCCATTATCAGAAAGTGAAGAATACGACATTTGATGAATTCTTTCAATGTATTCGTTATTAAGGGTTTCACTGTATTAGGTGTAAACGTGATATATTCCCTCAAAAATGAATCAAATGAATCACCTCCAAAACCTTTTTTCCAAGCTCAGTTGTGTACTCAACAGATTTGATTGGCTCGGTGGGAATTTCCTGGATTATAAAATTTATGAAAAGACTCATTTACTTTTGTTATTTTATGCGTAAAAATTATATTTAGAAAATGTTTAAATTTAAGCTAAATCAATGGATCAATGAATCAATGGATTTTAAAGCTGAAGCTTCAACTTTTTATAAAATTAAAGGGAAAAATTAGTTCTTATAGCTCTATGATTTTATTCACATACTAATTGTATAATCAAATAAAACATTGTTTAAGCAATCTAGTAGTGTAATAATAAAAGTTTTATTACAATGAAAAAAGGGAATAATATTGAAAATGTTTTATTAGTTTACATTTTACATTTATTTATATAATATCATTAAGATTTAATCAAAGGAATTGAGTCTTTGCCACAAACTCTGATATTCTAATTCCTATATCTGTTCAACCCGATGTCGTAGACCTTTGATATTTAAAACTACGAAAGCTGTTTGAAATATCAAATATGTACTCCATCAAATTGTAAAGATATAGGAATTATAAAATTTGCGTTTGTGGCAAAGACTTAATTCCTTTCTAATTTTGAACTTATGATTACACTTTTTATTTATGTTAAATAGTAATCCCATCAGAAAAAGCTATCCGATTAAATTCAGACATCTCCAACTGCACACATACATTGGATGTGATTTGGATGAGATTGCTTTATACCTGTTATAAACCTATCTATTAATGAATATATGTTTTGACGCTTAAATTTTAAAGTTTCCACTAGAGATATTGGTCTTAAACTTTCTTGACGATTCTCATACAAACGTTTTAACATCAAAAATAGTTTTAAAAAGGCTATGGCCGATTTAAAATAAACCTTCGTCTGATCAAACAGAAAAGATTGACTTTCATTGAAATGCGGTTCTCTATAAAAATGAAACAATGAGAAACTATATATTTGTTTAAGAAATATAATCAACGATATCTTCCTCATTGCTTCATCGAACGTTTTCTTGAAAATAAATCTATTGTCCTTTTAACTCTTTAACCTATACCTTGAGAAAGGGGGATTGTTCAAACTTCTCTTTCAACTTGGAAACTTTTGGTGGACCTTCATATTCAGAACAGTCAAGGCCCAAGAAACCTTAATATGTATTCAAATCATCAGATATTTATTATTTTATAGTTGCCATCTGAATTTTATCATACCGTACACCGTTTTTTACACTATACAACCTCATAGTATGAATTCTATGTTAAAATGTGGACAGAAACAGAAGAACTGTCTAGAGGGTATTAAAGGAATTGAGTTTTAGCCACAAAAACTGATTTTCAAATCGCTATATCTTTGCAACTTGACGGTTTTAGCCTTTGATATTTCAAACTATTATTATTTGAACTAAAATAATTCATAGTTTGAAATATCTAAGGTCTCTGACATTAAAATGCAAAGATATAGGGATAAGAAAATCAGAGTTTGTGACAAAAAACTCAATTCCTTTGCAGTTAAAAGCCATAAAGTAGAGCGTGATGAACAACACATGATGCTGAAGAAAAAAGTAAAAAAGTAACTAAAATGTTGAAAGTAAACGCATGAGAAATACATTTTTTAACATATTCACAAAAACTTAATATTTGTTAACTTACTTATTCTGATTTTTAAAGCAGCCGATTAGAAATTAGAATTATAAATATAGGTGTTCACAGTTTTGAAATGAAACTCATAAATATTACATATAGGTTATGATCAAGATATATAAATAAAGGAATTGAGTTTTTGCTACAAACTCTGATTTTCAGATCCCTATATCTTTGGAACCCAATGTCGTAAACCTTTGATATTTCAAACTTATATTATTTGATCCAACAGAAGTCATAGTTTGAAATGTTAAATGTCTACAACATTGGAATCCAAAGATATAAGGAGTTTGTGAAAAAGATTCAATTCCTTTATAGATAATTTTTCTCTTGATTAACTTGATTAACAAGAAAATATTTCAAAAGATTGTGTTTTCGTGAAAAAGTTTATCATATTTTTAAATATAATCTCTAATGGAGCTTTTAGATTAGAAAACTTAATAAAAGTAAAGTTTTCTAATAACGTAAAAGGGAATAAAAAATCGGATTACCTTTTAACTTTAAATCACAAATTAATCTTAAAAAATTATAAATAGGTTCTTCTATGGAATGAAAACGTGGCCACAGCAAATGATTTTACGTAAATATTCTAAACGTGGATATTCTTTAAGAATAGAAAATCGTTATTTTTTCTTTATAATCCCTAAAGTGATACAAGTATTTTTTTTTTCTTGCTAAGATCGAACCAATCTTTTATTTGATTATACAGAAGCAGGATTTGCTTTTATTAATAAAAATATATTCGTTTTACTTATAATCAATTCATAAGAAAGATGAATTATTTGTCTGCCTAATCAAAATGATAAGGAAATTTTATCGTTAATCCTGAAGAGGTACCAATTATAGCTAATTGAATAATCAGTATTTATTTAAATTCGTTACAATATTAATGCATCAAGAAAATAATTAATTTCCATTTTTTTGTCTAAAATAGAGCATTTTGTAGAATTAAATATAAAGAAACTATAGACGTAATTTCAGGTGACCTTCCATTTGCTGTGGCTTGTTGGATTAAACCTCTGTCTGAGAAAGAATGATGGTGGTATACCTATTAAACCTTGTCTGAGAAAGAATGATGGTGGTATACCTATTAAACCTCTGTCTGAGAAAGAATGATGGTGGTATACCTATTAAACCTTTGTCTGAGAAAGAATGATGGTGGTATACCTATTAAACCTTGTCTGAGCAAGAATGATGGTGGTATACCTATTAAAACCTCTGTCTGAGAAAGAATGATGGTGGTATACCTATTAAACCTTGTCTGAGAAAGAATGATGGTGGTATACCTATTAAACCTCTGTCTGAGAAAGAATGATGGTGGTACACCTATTAAACCTTTGTCTGAGAAAGAATGATGGTGGTATACCTCTTAAACCTGCCTGAGAAAGAATGATGGTGGTATACCTATTAAACCTGTCTGAGAAAGAATGATGGTGGTATACCTTTTTTTATTTAAAAATTATTATTTTTAATTGCGGTTCTCTATGAAAGTGACTTGCGTATCTATTTTTCAGTGACAATTAGAGAAAATAAAAAAAATCAACACTTTTTACGATATTATCCCACTGTTTCTCAGCTGGAGGTTTAAAAAGTGGCTGTTGTAAGTTGTACAAACTATTCTAGAAATGGACATTTGTAATTAGGCCTCTACCGTCCACAGTTCCTTAAACTTACCCTTATTTGATACGGGTACTGGTATTCTAGATGCAGGGCTGGATACAGGTGTTTCAGATATCCTGGCTGTTGAGTTGAAAACAGGTGTTTGAGATATCCGGTTTGTTGCGTAGGATACAAGAACAGGTATTCTGGATGGTCTAGGCTGGTCTGGAGGAGGAGGGGGTGGAGCATCTGGACTCCGCCCTATAGATCTAGCCCTTAGATTGAAGGGTGCAGGGGGAGATGATTGAATGTCTTGGGGTACCTCAGGAGATCTTGAAGATATAGGAGTAGATATAGCAATATCATCAGATTCCCCAAAACTAAAAATATTTTCAGAACTAGTTGTTTAAAGAAATTGAGTCTTTGCCACAAATTCTGATTTTTAATCCTTTTAACTTTGTAACCCAATGTTGTAGAGGTAATTTATTTCAAACTTTGGATTCAATTTGATGCAATAATCTGATTGTAAAAAAGTAAAGGTTTACCCTATTAGTATGTAAAGATTTGGGGATTATACAATTTGAGCTTGTGGCAAGGACTCAATTCCTTTGTCCAGAGTTTGGAAATTTTGTGTTGTGAAACCAATATTCCTGATTACTTGAACTCGATATCTGCATTGGGCACTTTTAAATTTTACTCAGAATCTGCTTGATCTGTTGATTTTGGAAATCCTTAAATTCTCTGTTCTCTCATTGGTTTACCCTGGCTTCTGGGCTGTTCACGGAATAACTGATTGGCATTTCACGGGATATTGAAAAAAGATTAAATTTATTTGTAGATTACAAAGATCGAGATAAAGCATTGTTATCTTTATATTTTATTGTTCAATTCGCAGATGTTCAATTTTTTTATTGAAAACATTTTCTAACTGGATATTTCCGGGATTATGTAAGATTCATTAAAAAGAATCTGTTTGGTTCAACTGTATCAACGTTTATTGTGAACCAAACAACAAACAGTTAGCAAGAATCTAATTCACCGACATAGGGTCAAACGATCTAGAGTCAAACGACATAAGGATAAAACGACCTAGGGTCAAACGAGAAGCGGTAAAAAACGCGACAAATGGTAAAACGACATAGGGTCAAAAAGTAGGGAAAACATGCAAAATTTCTTTAGACTATTTTTGGTTAATATGAACTATTCTTATGTTCATTAGAACTAATAGCAACAATGCTCGGCCCCATAACCTGCCATAGTCGCATCGCTCGGCCCAGAAATTGTCTTAACCTAACATTAACCTAACCTAACCCTGTAATAATACATAAAGTATGTATTTTCCATTTTGACCCTTTGTCGTGTTTTTGACCATTTGTCGTTTGACCCTTGGTAGTTTCATCCTATTTTGTTTGACCCTTTGTCGGTGAATCACAAATCCATATATTGTGGAAGACGATGCCTGGCCGCGTTAAACAAGTTCCACAAGATTCAACAGAATGAGATAGAACGGATACGGGGCATAGTACTGATAAACAGTCTAACACGTGTGATATTGATATAGACTCATGTTCTGAACCCTCTAGTAATAAGTTATAAGAAATATAGATACTGGAAGTACTTTATGCGTTTTTATTAGAGTCTGACTCACGTCATCTATAATATACGTAAATATGTCAAATTAAAACATTTTCATATATTTTAAAATCTCACTATACTTTGCCTTGGATCTAATCCTCAAAGGATAATATATATACATATATGTTCAAAGAATTTTGACTACTGAAGATCGTCATGAGACGTGAAATATTATGTTAAGTATAATTCTTTTTAAATAAAATGTGAAGTTTAAATACTGAAATATATATAAATACAGGGTGAGTAAAAAAGCAGAGATTAGCAATGTTTTGAACAAAATTTTCAACATTTTCTTTTTTGTTTGGATTTTAGTCGTAAATAGAACAAAATGTGATAAAAACTGAAAAATATTTTTAAAACATTGAAAAAAAAACTTCGCAAAAACAATTTTTTTAAACGTTGAACTTTTTTGAATTGTTTTTTAGGTTTTATAAAAATTCATTAAAAATTGAATGTGACATAACAAAAAATATATGCCAATTATTTGCATTTTTTAAGTCATAACAGTTCTAAGGTTATAGATTAATATAATTTACTGCAGATTTCCACATTAATTTTTTTGCGGATTTTTTATTATATCTCATTCTTATTTTTAAATCTCATTTTTAATGAATTTTTAAGAAATTTTGGAAAACAACAGAAAACATTTTCCTAACAATTTTTCCAAAAGTTTAATTTAAAAAAATGGTTTCGTGATTTTTTTTTCAATGTTCTATAAATATTTTTGAATCTTTTATTTTCACTTTTTATTTTATTAATGCCTTAAATCTGAACAAAATAAAAATTTTGAAAACTTTTCCATTGGACTCGTGCCTGCCCTTTCAGTCCGACTCAAGGAGCTTCGAGGGCTAAACTTTCGGGAGATTTTAGGACTAAATGGGTTCATCAAATTTTTTAACTAAACTATTGAATTTTAAATGTAAAATATTATTACTTTTTCACCGAAACATTTGTATTTCAATTCTAAGAAAAGATAAGGTTGGTTAAAAGGTACATGTTATGGTAAAATGAAAGGGGGTATAGGCTGAAGGCTAACAACTTTAGGAGGTGTCTGACTCGAGAAATTGATATAAAATTGTGTCAAAGATACTTAACGGCCATTGATGGAAATTCTGGTCACATGTTAAAGGCAGAGCCACATGACCAGATGCTGCACTGCCAATGGTGGAAATTCTGGTCACATGTTAAAGGCAGAACCACATGACCAGATGCTGCACTGCCAATGGTGGAAATTCTGGTCATGTGTTGAAGATGTAACAATTATATTATCAATTATATCTATTTAAAATGAATAAGTATTATATTCCAATTATGATAGGAGCGTACATAAAATTTTAGAATTTAGGCACCTCTGTGTTATTCTGATTTTCAGATTTGTTCCGTATTTGCTGAATATGATCAGTTTAAAACTTTGATTCACATACCATATCACATATATCAAGTTTTAGTATTTCTTTGTCACAGTTTTATATTAATTTCTCGAGACAGGGACATCAGAAACAACTAATATTGGTCGCGATCAACTCCTAAAATTTCTAGGCTTCAGCCTATACCACCTTTCATTTTACCTTAAGAACCCCTTTAAGCCAGGTTAAAGTTCAATAAATTAGATTATGTCTCTTTACAAAAACATAATTTAATTAAATCTCTCTTTTATTATTAAAATGATACCGTACTGCACCTAGGATAATAAGATTACTAAATATACTAAATATACTTGAAGGTGTTGAAGCCAAATAACTGCATATATAGGGGTGGAGACTTTTGATTTTTAACAGAGGTTGTATAATTTTATTCCAAATTGGTGTAGAAAATTGAAATCTTAAACAGAGCTTGAGTAAAATCTTTTAAATGTAAGAAAGGTTGTTAATTGTATTTGTAAATTGAATGTGGAAACTTTTTATCAGAAGTAGAGGTAGAGTTTTTAATTGCAAATACAGGTGGAAACTTTTTATTTTTGAGAAAATAGCTGTAATAATAATTGTAAATAAAGGTAGAAAGGAACTGAGTTTTTGCCACAAACTCAAATATTCTTATCCCTATATCTTGGCAACCCAATGTCGTAGACCTTAGATATTTCAAACTTTTAATTCTGTTAGATCAAATAATATAAGTTTGAAATATCAAAGGTTTATACCCAGTGGTTGCAAAGATATTGAAAATAGAAAATTTGAGGTTGTGGCAAAAACTCAATTCCTTTGTGAATCTTTTAATTGTAAATAAAGCTGGAATATTTTAATTGTGAATGGAGGTGGAATATTTTAATTGTAAATAAAGCTGGAATATTTTAATTGTAGATAAAGCTGGAATATTTTAATTGTAAATAAAGCTGGAATATTTTAATTGTAAATGAAGCAGGAATATTTTATGTGAATGGAGGTGGAATTTTTTAACTGTAAATAGAACAGAAACTTTTGTATGCTACTTTTTGTTGTAAAACAAGTGGAATCTTTAAACTGTAAAAAACAACTTCGGAATTTGTATTTGATTTCCCTACTAAACAGTGTGATTAGGCTAAATATTAATTTTCAGATTAGCTGTTGTAGGTTGATTATTGGCCAGTCAATTTCCAGTCAATGTGTAAAAATTTAAATGAATTTCCTTAATTTTTTGGCAACTTTAAATGTGAGTTTTTTCGCCTCTTTCTCCTCGACATGATGATTCCATTGAGCAATGAGAGAGCCAATCTTTAATCGGTTTTCTAAACAAAATTTTATCAATGAACCAATTTTTTGAATTGCACAGGTAAGAAACCAGTGACAAAGCAAGCGTAGTCCAACTCAAAAGAGGAATTTAGATTGAAATCAAAGAAATAAAGTTCTTATTTTTAGTTCATACACAGCGCATGCTACAAGGTAGAAGCATGACTGCAAGAAGAAAAGGATGTATAAATTCAAATGCAGATATGTAATTGAAAAAGGGAATGCAAATGCGAACAGAAATAATGTAATTGAGTTTTAAATAGTTTTTAAGACAAAAATGTAAGATGCAGATTTAATTAAAAATCCAAACAAAATAAACTGAAAAAAAATGGATCTGGATTTTACCTTGTTCATCTTGAAGGTTACAGTCCTCAATTTTTATTTCTTCATTGGCAATCTTCCTTTCCATCCTCTTCTTCTCTGTACTCTCCTTAACCTTGGCGGACTTCAGGGTTGGACTTCTTCTTCCTCCAGAAAAATCTTCATCTTTTCGTCTACCGGGATACCCGGAGTCGACTCTTCTATCCTTCTCGAAAGAAACTTGTTTTCCTTCCTCCTCTGTTACTCCGGAGCTACTTTCTTCCTCTGGAGGAGAATCTGGATTTAACCAGTTCCAACTCCAGTCAAATCTTCCAGAATCTTCCGGTTTCTTCTTCTTCTTCTTCCTCTTTTTGGATTTATTTGTTTGAAGAATGGATGCATGTTTATATCTATCTTGCTCCTGCTGCGATATTCTAGCTTCTCTACTTTCTTCGTTCACCATATTCTCATCTAACCTAGCCCAACCCCAACCCCAATCCCAAATAGATCTCGGTTCCCTCTCCTCATTTTCATCCTGCCTTGGGAGGCTTGCTCTAGGACTTTTAGACCTACGTCTCAGATCGACATCTGGAGTTTTCGATCTTGATCGTTCTTGACGGTAGAGCCGTTCTGCTTCAGCTAATTCTTCTTCAGCGGTGTCTAGTCTATCTTGATCATCTCCTTGACCCCACCCCCAGCCCGAAGGAAGAGGAGATTTACTTTGGGATTTTTGAAAACCATATTTTCCTCTCGAAGTTTCATTTTCATGTTTTAGTCCTGAAAAAAGTTCGAATCATCGATCATTGATGCCATAAACTTTTCAAAAGCACACTTTACGTTGACGTTTCAAAAGTGGATTTTTTTCTACAAGAATTCCCTTTATTTATTTTGTAATTTACTTTGGTTTTTGATATTTTTCAAAAGAGTATATGAAATATCTGACTAAAGGAATTAAATACCTGAAAAGAAGCCTCCTCCCTGGGGCACCGTGAAGTTACTGAACCCATAATCTATCTCAAAAGACGAGTCTGCTCCAAGATCACTAAAATACAGAGTGTACCAATAAATAAAACTCAAATTTTAAAACTTTCAAAGCATCTTTAGCTGGGAAGAAAAATAAAAATCTTTTTAACGCGCACACGTTTTTGTACGAGACCGCCCCCCCCCATACATTTTCCTCCTGCAGTAAATTATATATGCTTATCAAATATTTAATTAATCAAAAATAAAACCTGAGAGCTAATTTAGATTCAGGATCCTCGTCTCTATAATTATAGTCGTCTTCGTCTGCATAAACCTAGATGGGTAGAAAGATATAAAGATATATTAATAGGTATATGGCTCCTAAAAGTAAAAAATTTGGTGATTATGGCATACATCAAAGTTAGGTTAAAAATTTTTTCAAGAGAATATGACGAAATTTATTATTGCTGAAAATGCACTATAAAGGAATTGAGTCTTTGTCACAAACTCTGCTTTTCTAAACCGTATATCTGTGGATACCAATGTCGTAGACCTTAGATATTTCAAACTATGAATTCTGTTATATCAAATGATATAAGTTTGAAATATCAAAGATGTACGACATTGGGTTCTAAAGATATAGGGATTATAAATTCAGAGTTTGTGGCAAAGACTCAATTCCTTTAAACAAAAAATTCTGTAAAATTTTGAGAACGATTAAAAATGGCAACTTTCAAGAGTTCAAGGATATAAAATTGTTATAAGGAAACTGAAAGGTGGCGCGAAACGCCCTTAAAGTCTAGTTTTTCTACATGTCCACTCATATATGTAAAGGGGAGAGCCAGGACACTGCTGCTAGGACATTAAGGAATTAATTTTAGTAAGTTTCAATTTGGGCAAATTTTATTACCTCATCCTCTATTAGGAAAGGTGGATATTCCATAGAAAGTTTCCATGCTCTAAAATATTTTATAATTTTGTAAGAGATTTTTTAGAAAAATGCAAATTTGCATGTCTATCCTTATATGTAAATATCAAATTTTCTCAAGCCTAGGGTTTTTTAAAAATTTGAAGAAATACTTGACAATATTTTGAAGGATCTTTCAAAGAACTGAACTAAATAAAAATTTTCTTTTATATTCTCTTTCTTGTATTTGATATTTGTGTGATGTGCGATTTTATGTAATGTATTATATTGTAACAATAATTTAACAAATGCTAGTGCATATACAGTGAACAAAGATTATATCAGAACAAAGAAGACGACTTTTCATTTATAACGCTTTGATCCTATTTTCAAATTACAAGTGAGAGGCAAAAGAAGAGAAGCTGTTAATTGACAACTTTGTTTACATGTTTATACGTCTTTGCTGTTTAAAAGATTAGTATAAATCAAAATCAAAATAGAAAATCGTCTTCATTGTAACTATACAAACAACGACTGTATGTCTTAGCAACATGAAGGAGTCAAACTTTAATATTCTAAATGTTGAATATTATTTCTAGCAGAATTCATGGTTTAAAACTTTTACTAGTAAGGGTTCAAAAATTAATTCGATGCAAGTATTTAATTCCCGTAAAAAAAAATCAGCAAGCTGTTTTTCGTAATTCAAACAAAGGAATTGAGTTTTTGCCCATGAGCAGCATGACATCCAGCAGCACCTCTTCTTCAAGTCAGCATCATTGCAAAAACTGACTCTCCAGTGTGAGGCTGCGTGTTAAACAGCCCCTGGCTATCAATGCCTCCCCGTCTCAAGTTTATAAATATGTTTTAAAATATGATATTTTCTATGTTTTTGGCTTGGGACAAATATATATATTTGATATTTGATATTTGATGTTCTTATCCTAATATCTCTGCCATTCAATGTCGTTGACCTTATATATTTAAAACTATAAATTCTGTTAGGTCAAATTATCTAAGTTTGAAATTTCTAAGGTTTTCGTCATAAAGTTGGACAAATATATGATTAGAAAATTCGAGTTTGTTGCAAAGACTCAACTCCTTTCAGTAAATTCTTTTAAACCATGACTCTTATATTCTGAGGTGGTTTATATCGAGTTTTCAGGATTTTTTTCCACCTAAAGGGGATTTATGATTTTTTTAATTTAAACTTAACGTCAAATGATTTATAACAAGAATTTGTTGATAAAGTATAAGGGGTCATCGAGTTAATGCATTTCTGTTTTTGGTTATTTTTGTCAACTTTGGGAGATTAAAAACCAAAGATTGGTCAAATAAGCAAAATGTGTCTGTATGATGTATCCCAGCCAGTAACTAGGAGTTTCTGTGGGGGTGGTGGGCGCTGTGAGTGAAACGAAGTGAACGAGGCATAGAAAAAACTAAAAATTTAACTTTCAGGAATTGAGTCTTTTACACAAACTCAGATTTTCTAATTCCTTTTTTATTTGCTACTGAAAGTTAAAAACCTTAGATATTTCAAACCATAAATTCTGTTTTATCAAATAATCAAAGTTTGAAATATCAAAGGTTTACGTATCATCAAGTTGAAAAGTTTAGGAATAAGAAAATTTGAGTTTGGAACAAAAACTCAATTCCTTTGTGAAATGATACAAAGAATTACAGTTTAAAGTCATTTTTTTATTAATTAAAAATATATCATTGAACCGTCATCAGCACAGTACTTTTAATGAATGATAATATCTGGAAACGAATTGGTTTTTTTCAATTTTAATAATATGTAAAAAAGTTTTTTAAAAATCTAGTTTATGTATATATTGAACCTCTTTCTTTGTTTTTAAAAAATTGTTAAAAGGGTCCTATTCGGATCATTTGTTGCATGGCGGCGTAATTTAAAATAACCCTTTTTTTAAACATCACCCTTTTAACTTTTGGTTGAGAAAATTCTATGGAGATATTCAGTGTTTCTATCCGAGAATTTTAAACTATAGTTCTATATTAGAGCCACTAGCAGATTTATGCAGCAGGGACAAGGAAACACATACGTCTACCACATTTGGCTTTTTATTTCTCTTTCACAATTCATCAAATTTCAAACATTGTCCGTATCTGTATCTGTATCTGTATCTGTATCTGTATCTACCTATATACTGTGAAGGGAAGGAGAAAGGTTAGCCTGGCTATCCCGGAATAAAAGCTGATTAATGTTAAAAACATTTCTGTTAACCACGACATTGTTTCTAGACAAAAATACTAAAATTATTTCATAAAAATGAAACAAATGATAACACAGAAATGGCAGTACACTTGTTGTTTACAAAGATATCGGGGTTTTGATGAATAATTTTTAATTTCTTGCTGTGCAAGGAAAGTTATTTCAGAGGTGTACACATCTTTTGTACTTCAGTGTACTGTCTCTGGGCGGTAATGTAAACACAAGACGGATGTCAAAGCCTGACATGGGATCCATCTTTCACATAAAAAATCGATGAAATATTCTGGTCATAGGAAACTAATATGTGAATTATCAAAATTATCAAAATTTAATGCTTTTAACCTCCTCGGATACAAAACGAACACTGATGCATCTATTCTAGTTTACAAATTCCGCCCAAAGAGAACTGGTTTCAATATTACGCAGAGTATACACGACCGCAATTAACTTTCCTTGCATTACACCCTTGTTGCTGTGCGTGTTTCGTGAATCCACAATGTTCAGGTATAAAAACAAGAATATCGAAACATCTTTGAGCAATTAAAAAATACAAAGTGATGTAATCAAGTTTAGCCTTTTTTCCCTGAATTTTATTGAGATTTATTTTCTATTTGTAAATTTCAATTCATGCTAATTCATAAATATATCTAAACATAAGTTTAATTGTAATGAATTAGTAAATATTCTTTTTATTGGTGGAGAGTAGAAATGTCCATCCATTAGCAATTACTGTTAAAATAAATACGATCCTGTTGGAGTTCCTGGAAAATGAAAATCAATATTTGGATGTACGTGATTTTCTTTAAGTTCGTCCTTGACGAGAAATGTTATTGAGTTTTTTACCATAATTGGCTTTATACGTCTCACAATTCAAATTCAATTAAAAACATATTATTCAACTGCAACTTCTTCTTAGCTCTTAAAAAAAGTTATAAGATCATCTTTGCTCTCTCAAAGTTGTTCCAGTAAAACCCCATAAAAATGAGTTTATTCATTATCTTTATGACACTAGACTTTTATGACGTTTCCTACTCTTTTTCTAGTAAGAATCTTAGCTATGTTAAACGGATCTTTATGCAATCTTTCTTTTTCGCACATTTAAACAATAACTAAAAAAACGATGCAAATTTATTGCGTATTTGTGTAATTAAATTTCACCATGGTAGAATTTAAAAAAATTGGCCTTTTTAACGTTATTGAATATAAAGGGTGAAGTTTTTGCACCAACAGGATTTTAGGAAATTAGAAGCAATGTTGTTATTTTGACGATTTCTTTTTCTCACTAATATTAGTTTTTTATTCTACACAAACAAAGTAGAAATCTGAATAAGTTATTAAATAAAATAGTTTTACCCTTAATATAAACAAAGAGACAAGGCAAATTATATGTAAAAAAGGGCGACTGTACTAGTTGGCAGTTTTATTTTTTACTTTCCATAGTTTCAATTTTAGTCTTTTTCTCTCAAATATGGTTGGCTCCCTACAAAATCTAAAATACTTTTTGAAGCGGGCTTCCTGGTTTCTATTGTTAAGGATGTGTGGGAGCTAAACTAACCTTAACATCTGGGCAAATTGATCCCTAGATAGTATGTTAATGGAGCTAAACTAACCCTAACATGTGGGCTCCCTGCTCCCTAGATGGGAGGGTTAATGGAACTAAACTAATCCTTAACATGTTGGCTCCCTGCTGCCTAGATGGGAGGGTTAATGGAGCTAAACTAATCTTAACATGTTGCCTCCCTGCTCACTAGAGGGGGGTTAATGGAACTAAACTAACCTTAACACGTGGGCTCCCTGCTCCCTAGATGGGAGGGTTAATGGAACTAAACTAATCCTTAACATGTTGGCTCCTTGCTCCCTAGATGGGAGGGTTAATGGAACTAAACTAACCTTAACATGTGGGCTCCCTATTCCCTAGATGGGAGGGTTCAGGGAGCTAAACTAACCTTAACATGTTGCCTCCCTGCTCACTAGATGGGGGGTTAATGGAACTAAACTAAACTTAACATGTGGGCTCCCTATTCCCTAGATGGGAGGGTTCAGGGAGTTAAACTAACCTTAACATGTTGCCTCCCTGCTCACTAGATGGGGGGTTAATGGAACTAAACTAACCTTAACATTTGGGCTCCCTGCTCCCTAGATGGGAGGGTTCAGGGAACTGATCTAACCTTCTTATGTGGGCTCCCTGCTACCAGGTTGGAAGGGTTCAGGGAGCTAAACTAACCTTAACATGTGGGCTCCCTGCTCCGTAGATGGGAGGGTTTAGGGAGCTAAACTAACCTTAACATGTGGGCTCCCTGCTCCGTGGGTTAAGGGAGCTAAGCTAGCCTTAACATGTGAGCTCCCCTCTGCTCCCTAGATGGGTGGGTTAAGGGAGCTTAACTAACCTTAACATGTGGGCTTCCTGCTCCCTATATGGGAGGGTTCAGGGAGCAAAATTAACTTTGACTGCGGGCTCCCTGCTCCCTATTGTTTAGGGTGTATAGGGAGCGAAACTAACCTTAGCATGGGGGCTCCCTGCTCCCTAGATGGGAGGGTTAAGGGAGCTAAGATGGATGAGTAGAAGATATATCTGAACCTATGCCCATCTCCTTACTGAGTGAAATTCTACTACACCTCATATATATTATATATATTGTATATAGATAGGTTTTAAGAATTAGACAAATAAGTGAGATTAGTCACTAGAACGGCTTTGATCTTAGTATTGATTACTGACATTTAGGAGGAGGGGGGTGGGGCACCAGGGGCTTGAAGGTATCACATTTCTACTGCTTACGAAAGGTTTCTGTAAAATCCAAATAAACGGTTTAAGAGACTGTAAGCGTTATTTCAAGTAAACCTCCATGCAAATAAGGAAATGCCCGATTGACTATAATGGTACCCTTTAAACCTTCGACTAATTATTGAGACAGGACACAGTAGGCCATGTGTTTATTATGGTTAGTCGATTTCGGAACCAAGCTTGAGGTGCAGTTGGCAAAGCTGGTCAGAACTATTTAAAACCCTCTGGAAGGTTAAGATTTATTTTCGTGTGCGTACAATTTTCGTGGGCCATTTTTACAACAAAAAAGTCACTAGTAAGACCGTAAAAAAATATTTTAAAAACATATCGAAATGGGTATCAAAAGATGCGTCTCAAGCCGCTGAATCTGACCAAAATTTAGTTTTTTGATACTTATTAAAATGTTTGATAAATGGAACTCGGCCAAATTTTCAACACAAAAACCAGGTTTGTGTCTTTAATTGGCTTAATAATTATCAAATTCATTTGAAATTAACCTTTCTGAATTCAGTGATTTAAGACGGATCTTTTGACACCCTTATTGACATATATTTAGAAATTTTTGTTCGGTCTTACGAGAGAGGGGGTGCAGAAGCACCATGAGTCCAGCAAAAATGAGCTCCAAGCCTTCAGATTTGCAGAATGACCTCCAGGCCCCGAGAAACCGTCTCCGTGCCTCTCGTTAAGTCTCCGAGCCTCCATCATTCTTTCTCCACGCCCTCGCTTTTTGGTCTCCAACAAAAGATATTTGGCTTTTACATCCATGAAAAACCTTTTTTTTAGAAAAATCTTAACACATGATAAAATAGTTCATAATGATACATTCACAATTTGTATTAACAAGTCCATTTTAATAGAGATTAAAGGTTTTGTTTTTGTTTTTTAAATTTCACAAATGCCTTATATTGTGAAGAAGTATTGCAGTTTTGTATAAAGATAGACAGATTTTATATTATTTCAAAGGTTTCATGTACAAATCAAACGATATTAGCGGCAATTCAAAGAACAGTAGTTTTTGTAAAATCCTTGAATTTGTGCTTTTATTATTTGCTCTAGAAAACATTGAAGAACTATTTTTTTTAAATTGAAAAAAAATTAGAATAGTCTAAATATCTTTAACATGTTATTCAAACCTAAATCAACGTATAGGAAAAACCTAAAAAATCATGATTCATTGGATTATTTTATAGATATTATAAATAAGTATTTTTACATATAGGTAAAACCTATAAATTCCGGATTCATTGGATTTTTTAGGTTTTTATACATACGCATTTTTACGTTATTCATTTATGTATTTTTACAGATATAGAATACGTATTTTTACGTAGAGGTAAAACCTATAAATTCCAAAAATTAAGGAATGTTAAGGTTTTTTCAAACCTAAATCACGTGTAGGAAAAACCTAAAAATACGCATTTTTAAGATTGTCAAATGAGGGTGGGGGAGTCCAGAAGTCCTCAACGAGTAATCACCGCCACCCAAATGTGTTTTGCGGCATGCAAGCTCCTCAATTGGTAATCTCCGTAAAATTTAGTTTTCTGAGATTTTATTTTAATGCCCTTTTAACACAATTTTCGACATCTATCGGGGTTTTATGGCATCTGTATTGACTTAAACTAAATTTTCACAATGTTTTCAGATTTGTTTGGTCAACAAAAATCAAGGCACAGTTCATCTTAGCCGAATCTTAGATACAATTCGCTGATTTAATGACTGCATTTCATGATTGGCGTTAAGATACTAAAAGGTTGGGCTGCCTGTTTACTAAAAATTATCTCATCACATGCAAAGTAATATCTATCTCCATTTAAAAGTTATTTTCAAAAAACCTTTACAATGTTCAGGTTATTGTATTCGCAGCTACTCGAGGTCAACATCTACAACAAAACTAAATACAACAAGGGGGTCCAAAAATCGTTATCTAGGACTGACCCCTAATTTTCATTTCTCATTTGAACAATTTCATTTTAACTATTTTTTTGTTCATTTGAACTATTTTTATGTTCATATAAACTATTTTTATGTTCATTTGAACTATTTTTAATTTGAACTATTTTTAAGTTCATTTGAACTATTCTTTGTTCATTTGAACTATTTTCATGCATGTTCACTTGAACTATTTTTATGTTTATTTGAACTATTTTTTGTTAATTTGAACTATTTTTATGTTCATTTGAAACGTATTTCTGTGTATATGTTATCTAATTAATTGTATATGGTCCCAAACTTCATAATTATAAAAAAATTTAAAAACTGAATTGGTCAAAAAATAGTTCAAAAGAGTAAGTAATGTGTTGATTTGATCAGTAGTTCAAATGAACAATAGTTCAAACGAACAATAGTTCAAACGGGAGTAGTTCAAATGAGAATCCACCCCTGTCCCCTGTATTTGTACTCGAGTCCAAATTTTAAGCGGAAATAGTATTCCTTAGCATGTAGTCGGCTCTGCCAATCAAATTCTATTTAGATCTAGAATAAAAAGAGGGGAGCGTCGACTAGCTACAAAATATACCAAACCAAACAAATTCGAACAGTTTCAGTGCAGTCCACGTGAAGTACGCTGAAGTTTCGCTAATTGTTTTATTATACTTAAAGCATGTTATTTTACCTTCATACTATTTTCTCTTTTTATTTGCCATCTTGTTACAATTATAGTGAAAAGAACAGAATGAGGAAATGCCATAGTTAGATTTGCATGCATTTATTTAAATTCGAATTTTGTGATTGCTTTCAGAAGACATGGGTAAACCATCCGGTATCCGTACTGCCCGTAAGCACGTTAAGAACAGGAGGAAGCAGGTTTGGGCTGACAAGGATTACAAGAAAGCTCATCTTGGAACAAGATGGAAGGCTAATCCCTTCGGTGGAGCTTCCCACGCTAAGGGAATCGTTCTTGAGAAGGTAAATCATCTAATTCTTTATTTGATGTGATATGCTCCTACGGTAATCTATATATTAATTGTCAGTATAGTTAGGCAAATTAAAGTTATTTTCACATTTATTGAAAATTTATTTCGGTCAGGGTTGACCTTCGTCAGTTCTTGAGATTGTTTCCGTCTCAAAGATTTAAAACAATCTCGAATCAACATTTGTGATTGTTCAGATTGCATTATAAGGACACTTGGATTAGTTCAATGACGGGGGGGGGGNTAGATGTGTTTTTCTGTATGTGCGCTCTTTAGTGGTAACCAAAATAAAAAAGTTCAACATTAAACGGTTAATTTCTTAGAAGTAAAACAAGATTGACCTCTGTTAATGGTCCTATGGTGTACAATATTCTTTAAGCTTTCTTTATTGCTCCTCAGTTTCGAAAATAAATCTCTATACATGCCACATGAAGCGCTAGAAATAAAATCACGACCAATTTTTCCATTTTTCTGTTCTTTCTAGGAATGTTTTCAATTTTGTTAAAGATGATTAATTAATTCACAAAGAATATATCATTAAAAGTCGTCTTTCAATCATTATTTAAATTGTTGCTGAGAAGTGCTCGAGCATGCGCAGAAAATATAAATCCCTCGAGGGTGGATAACTGCCATTAGATAGGATGATTAAAAACGCGTTAGCTGTTCTAAGTTAGGTAATCCTACCCCGAATTAGGCAGCATTTAGCTTCTATACAATCAATATTTTATAAACACTTGTATTAGCGGTAAGATTGGTTAAAACTAATACCGCTCTCATACCATACTAAAGAGTCATCTTTCTAGAATCTGCCTGAAGATTGTTATTATCCATTTTTAAATTAAAAACATTTTGGAGAACATTTTTCTTTGCTAAATTTGAATGCAGTAATTATGGCAACCAAATACACAGCCACCAGAAAAAAATTAATACCAACTAAAATCGCTACCCCTTCAAAGTTTTCAGTTAATCTCAAATGTCAAACTACAATCGGAACTTGTATTGTATTTTTTTTAAATTACACAAAGTTTCTCAAATTTATGTGAATTAATGAGGGGGAATTCAGTTTTACGTTTTTTATTTCTTCTTTTTAAGGTTGGAGTTGAGGCTAAGCAGCCTAACTCTGCTATCCGTAAGTGCGTGAGAGTGCAGCTGATCAAAAACGGAAAGAAGATCACAGCATTCGTCCCCAATGACGGTTGTTTAAACTTCGTAGAGGAGAACGATGAGGTTTGTTGGTCTTCCTAAGTCTTATTTCTGGATTTTGATCGTCAGCATCTAAGCAATAGCTATGCAATTTAGACTTAATTCAAAATTAGTTTCAAGTTCCATTTTTTTTTTACACTCCTGCCACCAAATCTTAAAGAGATTATGCCTAGTTCGAACAGGTTCATTTAACAACTTAATGGTACAACCAACAGTTCTAATATAATGAATGAAGATATATTAAAGCTAATTTGATCACTGTATATCTTTATCTGCGATCACATCCCTGAACGAATCGACACTTTTTGTTTACATGTAGGAGTCTTATGTCAAATAGAAACAGCACCTCAAATTGTTATTGTCCATATATTTCCCTAATTAAGTAGAATAGGAAGTAATAAATTCTTAACTTAAATTAGGTTTTGGTCGCTGGATTCGGTAGGAAGGGTCACGCCGTCGGAGATATCCCCGGAGTCAGGTGAGCTTTAATAATTACTTTTGTGCCAACGTCGTTAATTTTCCGATCTTGTCTTAGAGTTATTTTTTTGTTACCGTTTTCGATTATGCTTAATAAAAATTAAAGATTTGGTGAACGCGTTTATATTGTTTGGATTGATGGGTTTATTTTATAAACAATCCCGTGACCATGTCATGGTTGATCAATTCGTATTATTTTGACATTTAAAGTTAATATTTTTGGCTTTGCTTAGTAATTACTTTTTCCATTTTAGGTTCAAGATCGTGAAGGTTGCGAACGTCTCCTTGAACGCCCTGTTCCGCGGCAAGAAGGAGAGACCACGTTCTTAAACTCTGTCTTATTACCGTGCTACCCAGAGCTATGTGATTAAATCTACTACTGGATACACTAAACTCTAAATCCTATTTCAGAGAAGATGCCGTTCAAGAAGTTTGTCGAGATTGGGCGGGTTGCCTACATCGCCGATGGGCCTGAACAGGTAAGCAGGGGTCATTATTTCTTCACATAATCGCCTTTTTAAGTATTATTTTTTTTGTTCAAGTATTATCAAGGGATTCATCTGGGTAAAAATTCTACATTTCACCTCCTTAAAATTTTTCTTAACATGTCAAGAAATCTTCCATATATTATTTAAAGTGAAGGTAAGTGGACCTTTAATACGGTCTAAAATAGTATTGCAGAGTCTAAGCATGTTAAAATAATATATTGGCCATAATCAAATCTGACAAAAAAAAATAATCTTTGTCGAAGCAATCTGAAGCTGAGGGGTCTCCCAAATAAAAATATATCATAATTTACGGTTTATGCTTTTTGTCAATTTTCTTGAAGGCTCCTTGGCGGAAATGACAAAATTGTATTGCCTAATAACATCCTAGTTCTTCATAATCCAATTGCTACACTTTGTGAAATATATTTGTTTATTATTCAGGGTAAGATCTGTGCCATTGTTAACGTGATCGATCAGAACAAGGTCCTTGTCGACGGACCCACCTCAGGAGTCATCAGACAGGTATACAGGTGACGGAAGGAACAGTAGGAGAGGTGACGGGAACATATCTATAGATTACAGGGGACAGAAAGAATAGCAGGTTAGGTATAAAGGGGATAGTAAGGAACGCTCAGAAAGGAACTTACAGCAGTAATGAGTTTGTAAATAATGAAAAATCAGAGAAATGCCGGGTGGTGTAATCCTTATTGTCTATTTGTTTCCCCTAATAATTAAAATTCAATAGTAGTGTTCGTCTTTAAACTTTTTCTTAACTCAAGATGTTGGTTATGTTTGCGCTCAAATTGTATCATGGTTAAATTTAGTAGGGGAAAATAAATGAGTATTCGGGTAAAAAGTACTAAAGTGAACGCATAATTTTGCCTTTGCTTTTCAATTTTTCCAATTTAATTAAATCGAGAAATAACTAGGCATTTTATATTGCCAATATAATCGAGCAACCTTGTTCTGACAGTTGCGTAGGATCCATTTAAATTTGATGCGGATCCTGATCCTGGATCCGCATTGAAAAAAATGGATCTAAATTCTGATCCGGATCCAGGTCATTAATGAATTTTTTTAACAAAAAATAATTTTCAAATTTTGTTTTATTTTTTTGCTTATTGTTATAATAAAACTTGATGAACCATTCAGAAATTAGAATTTTTATAATCTCTCTTTTTTTCAAAAGTTTGAATTTGGGTTTTAGGAGTAAAAAAGTTTTTGGTTGATATTTTACCCCTTGGATCCGGATCCGTGGATCCGCATATTTTTGCAGATCCGGATTCAGGAAGCCAAAATCTTGCGGATCTGGATCCTAAGTACTGCGTTCTAGATATTTGGAAGTTTTATCATGAAGATTTTTGTCTAGGCCTACCGTCTGAAGCAGATGCACCTAACCCCGATCAAGATTAACTTCCCCTTCGATGCTCCAACTAGGATTGTCAGGAAGGAGCTTACCGCCAACAAGGTAAACAGCTCAACAGTATGAAGTTTTGCCGTTTAAACTATCAATCGGATGAAGTATATATATATATGATCTATTTACGTAGATTGCTGAAATTATACTTTAAACATTTACAAATATTGAACATTCAAAGAAAAACTTAATTTTTTTTATGTATGAAGGAGTAAATAAAAGGATGTTCTATTTTTTCAAATTTTTTGGGCTGGGCCATTTAGGAAAATAATATTGAATGCTAAAATTTTGTATTAGAGCTAGTTTTACCCAAATGCTTCATTAAAAAAGTGTTGCACACCTGGCCCCCCCCCCTCCCCTTTTTTGTGATGCAAATTAAACAGCTGGCAAAATGGCTCACTAAATTGACTGACATTATTTAGGAAACCAATTCAAAATATTTCTCTTTAAAATCAGATTTTTTTAATTTTTCGGGCAACTTCAGCTAGTTTTACACTTGAATTCACTGGGTCATGAGTTTTTCAAAAATGTATAAAATACCCTATTAAGACAATTTTTTTTTTTAGCGAAAAAACTGGATTTTCGTAAATACTTGTATTAATGCAAATTCGCGTACTTTTCAGACTTTTACTTTATATACATAGTTAATCGCTTATACGCTCACATGCTTTCACACTTTGATACTTTCATACTTTCATATAGACTGCAAAAAAAATTCAAAGCGAAAGTGTGTATAAAATGTAGAATTCCTTAAAGTGTAGACATAAAACTACAAAACATTTTTTTGTAAAAAATATGCAAATCTGCTTTCCAACGAGCTATACAATTTTGAAATCCAATATCAATTTCATCTTAAACCTAGGTGCTTGCGTTTTTAAAAAATCCTGATCAATTGTGAGTCAAGTCTAATAAACACAAGCAATAGGAATAGGGTTAATTTCATTTCTTTTTGTGGCGCCTTAGGTCCAAAACCAAAGGTGCGATAAAACGATTTGTTGTCCTTTACTGAATATAACTAAATAGTCATCAATTTCTAGGTTGATGAGAAGTGGGCTGGATCTAGCTGGGCGAAGCGTCTGGAGAACAAGAAGAAGCGCGCGAACATGACCGATTTCGACAGGTAACTGTTATTTTTCTTACTCAAAAAGAACAACTTACGAAGATATTTGTTCTTTTTAAATTTTGACAATTTTAGCAATTTCAACTTTGATTTTATTACGTTTTTATATTAGATTGAGACCAATTTCTAATATGTGCATCATTTTGTGGATTTTATGTAAAGTGCAAAAAATAACGTTTATTTGTCAGTGAATTTTAACATTTTTTGAGGGAGGGGGGGCCGGTGGTTAAAAAGTTCCACAACTTCCCTAAATGTGTGTATCATCATTTTGAGATAATTTAACCTTTTTTGTCGCAGGTTCAAGCTGAGGAAAGCCAAGTCTGCCAGAAACAAGATTGTCACAGTTGCCCTCAACGGAAAGAAGAAGGCTCTGAAGAAAGCTGGAAAACTCTAAATTATAGATTTTTTATTCAACCTCAGCTCAGGACATTCTTGAATTTCAGATAGAATGGGTCAGAACAGGGTGCGGGCAAAGACTGGCAAGTCTGCCCGCTGGGCCAAGGGTCAAAGCAGTAGCAGCAACCCGGTCAAATCCAAGCATAGAACTGCCGCTAAAAACAGATATTTCCATTTTGAGCACGGAAACCAAGGTATTCTTGAAAATATTCCGCAGTAAATTACGATTATCCCCGTAATATCATAATATAAACCTGTATCGTGAAGTGGCGGGGATCAAATATGTAATAATTTGCGTTTCTTATTCAGTGTTTTGGGAAAAATTATTTTACAAAACCTCAAAATGAATTTATCTTGCTGAGTTGAAATTTGAATTTTGTCAATTTTAAGTTTCGACTTTTTATTAAATTATGCACTGAACAGGGCAAAATAAAATCCTTTAATTACATATGGCATGCATTTCTGGCAATTATTCAATTTTTAATAACAAGTAGATTTTGGTAATATTTATTTTTATCAGAAGACTAGCTAACTATAGATTATCGTGTATTGTTTTTCAATCTTAATTTTTCGATTATTTTGTAAATGCACTTCCAAATAATAAGAATGGTTAATTTTATCATTTCTACATTCGAACCTCACGCTCTTCATTTTCTCATCTAAAATACCTCTGAAACTTCATGATTGGTTTAATCTGGAGAATTGCTTTTCATTTTTTACAAATACATACCCAAGGGGCACAAATAAATAGAATATTTAACTAAATCGAAATTGAAAATGGTTTAAGGGAGAGGTTGAGATTTGATTATTGTTATTTTGGTTAAAATCTTCCAATTTTCTGGCTGCAGGTCTAATTAGTGATCGAATTTCCTGAAATAAAATCTAAGTGAATTTTAATGACTTATAATGACTTCTAATGACCTCAACAATTGGAAAATGTTTCAACTCTGGCTTTATGCATATCAAACGAAGGCTAGAAACCCAGGGCATAGAGCACACGCTGAAAATGGACCATCAGAATTCAAGTCAAACACCTAAACTTGGAAGAATTGGACATATCCACCTTCCCCTTTGAGTCTTGAAGTTAATGTTCTTGAATTCCTCAAATACCCAAGTTAATAAAAATGTAATCTAATTAATTTATCAAAATCGAAAGATTTTTGTCTGGTGGTTCCATGGCAGAAACTAAGCGGATTGGTTAACAAATATTTCATATTGTGTAATTTTTCATTTAAAGAATTTTTTTGAGTTTGAAGTTTCTCGGCGAATACACAAACAAAAAATGTGTACACTGTAGTGGAAATCATTTTTTAAATGCATCTATTCTCCAGATTTGACGGTTTGATAGGTGAAAAGGGCATCGGTGAAGTTCTAGGCTCTAATATGTGGGGGAGAGAATTAGAATAATTACTAGAGCTAAGTTTAAACCGGTTTAATCCTTTTGTAGATCCTGCAAGCAATGTGTTACTAGAAGATATTTATTTTACGAATAAAGATTTATAATCCATAATCTTTAATGAATTATCCTTCTCTAGGAGAAAGCCTGGGAGCTGGTAAGTTGACTGCCTCGGCCCTTCTTCGTCACGATGCGTTGCTTGGAGATGCAGAAAACATGGAGCAGGAATTCTATTCTTCTCTTAACTTAAATTCTTATTTTATTTGTTCGTGGAAGATTTTCTGAATTGAATCCATATTTTGTTGAACTGATTTGCAATGCGAGTTTTTTGTGGAGAAGATGATTACATATTAGAGGTCGAAACTTAGTAGGATACGCGACAATTAAACGTTCCACAGGAAATTTGATGCGTTAATCCTATAAAGCTGTCTACATTTTTTAAATATTTTTTTACTTCACTCAACACGAAGTGATTTATTACACTAAAGAGAATATGCAGTCCTAGACCTTTTTCTAGGTAATCCCACGCCTTCAATATTGCACGATGCATTAAGATACAGTTGTTAAAGCTCAGTTCTGAAATGCTTTCTCGTCGATCCGACACCTATTGTTAAATTTGAATATATAATAAATAAAAGATATTACTAAAATTATTTCTTGCTGGGAGAAGGAGAGATGTGAGAGCATTTTTCAGAATTCAATGAGAGGTTTGAGTATGGTTGTTACAGAGCGAGGAAAGAAGACTAACATGGTTTTGCTTATCCCTCATGTTTTGGTACCGTGTTAAAAAAATTATTGTTTTTAATTGATAATTGAAATACTTGTGGTAAAGTAATAACTCCTACTCTCAAGTACATTTTGAGGTGAATGTTTAGTTCTATGGGCAAACATTCAATGTCACGGAACAAAATTTTAGTAGTCGTCTTTGAATATATTTGCGACATTTAGTTGTCAACCTACAAAGTATGATTCATTAAACAATAACCTTAAAATTCTCCCTAGCATATCTAAAATGTGGTTAGCCTCTTCTGTTATTATGTCCGGTCACCGGAGTTCTGCAGAATTTCGTTTATATTTTGATTCCGTAAAATTAGATCTCAATTTTGAAACCTGAACTAAAATCCTTTTTGTCTCCGGTAATACTGCAAGCACAAAAAAGCAGACCACATGCCAGGTCTAGAGGTATTTTTTGATTTTTATCTCAATATTTCTTCATAATATTAGTTGGACCTTTAAATGCAGAAAACCATATCAAATCAAAGACTACGTTTTAAGTAGTCTTGCTACTGTCGTGAAGTTCTGAAATTAACGAGATGGCTTTTGATTAAAAATGCTTTGGCACAATACAGGAGTTCAAAGTTAAATTGGTTATCTAAAGAATCATGATAATTTAAGTTTTAGACCCGTATTTCAAGTATTACATGATTTAAAGGCTGTTGCGCATTAAAAAAATATGAGAAGTTTTGAAGATTTTTAATTGTTGAGAAACAAGGTCCAAGGGTTATTTTATATTCATTCATGCTTGATAAGTTTATCTATTTAAACGAATTCTTTGGATAAAATTACTTAAAATGGAATTGATAGAAAAGTAAAGAGTGTCCTGCTCGTCCTGCCCAGCCTTGTTAAAAATTGGGGCACAAGAGATCGATTTACTCGCACGCTAATGTTAAAAATATTCTGAAATAAGCAAAGCTCGGAAAATTTATATTGAATGAGTTTTGAAACCAATTTCTAAGTTGTGCTGTTACAGATACAGCAAAAGTAGGTGTTTCTATCCATATTCTTTAAAAAATTTCCATGAAGATTTTAATTGCACCTGGAGACTGGGCAAAGTATTTTTGCTATAAGAATTATGTAAAGACTAATAGAATTGGTGCAGGATGACACGGTTTCCCTTGGCATTACCAACAAAACCTTTGATACATTTGCTTCGGACTGGACTCAGTGCACAAACGTAGCGTTCGATAAGCTGCTTAAAAAGTTCCAGATGAAGAACTCGCATCACAAGGTATTGGTGAAGAGGGAGAATAATGAAATTGCTTAAATTCGCGGCCCTATTAATATTTTCTCTTTTCTTTGGCTCCAATATTTTTGATCAGAACTCGTCACTTCTTGCATTTAAAAAAAAATATAAAAAAACCCGCAATTTTTGACACCCGTAGCCCTCAAAGAAATAATTTTTTGAAATTTTTTTCCATCAATGTGATGGATAATAATTTTAATAATATTTTTTCTTTTCTTTGGCTCCTATATTTTTGATCAGAACTTGGTCACTTTTTGCATTAAAAAAAAATTTATAAACCGCAATTTTTGACACCCTGCTTTGACATCAAAAACTGAAGGAATTTTAACTTATGCTAGGGTCATTGGAAGTCTATATTAAAAAATTGGGCTATTTATGTCCAACGAGGTCGGAGATAAAAAAAATCGGAGCCGACGGAGGTCACTTTTCAGAGGTTCCAAGTCTCCGGAAAGAGATTTCGAAATCGAACTTCATATCCTGCTCCTAGGCAATTATAGGAGTCTACATTAAAAAATACAACCCGCTGCTATTAATATTTACAGAGATATTACAAAATGACTTACTTGTTACGGGTTCTTTAAAATTATACCTTTAAATTAATAAGATTTTTAACAGTTGAAAATCCGCCAATTAAAAATTTTGCGATTTTTTAAGTTAAATTGTGTACGATTATTAATGATGACGCGAAAAACATTGATTGACAGGCAAAATTATAGTTGGTTAAAATGGCGCAAAGCGTCTGAAAAGTTTAGTTTTCAAGTACTTATGAGAATTGAGGGACGAATGTTAATTAATATATACTTTAAGCATATTTAATGAGAAGGACAAGTAGTTTTTTCCATGTGCTCGTATTTTTGATGGATTTCTTTGAATAAGATAGATCAACTTGATTCTTGCTGCACTTGTAACTTTATACTTGTCCTAGCTTCAGTGGCGCAACTAGGAGGGTGTAAAACTCAGCATATTTCCCCCCCCCCTCATTTTATTCCAGCATGATCATGATTGTGGACCATCTTTTATCAAATGTTGTCAACTAAGAAAAAATACCAAAATTTTCTTTGGCGCTTCGCGCATCATTTCAAATAGAATTCTAAAACCATTTTAGGACACAAAATCTGACAACCTAAGAAAAATAACAAGAAATGAAATAAGGAGTATATCGGACTAATAAGAGTTTTTTAGACTATTAGAGGAAACACATGGATAAGCCCCTCACTGGCAAACAAGGACAGAGGAACTGTGATTAGAAAGATTAATGGATTATAAATAGACGAAAGATAGTCGAGTACTGCCAGGAACTGCTTACTAAGGACTGCACAGACCTACTATTAAGGGACTATTAGTGGAAAAATACGACTAATGGATGAATTACAAAAAAACTGCTGTAGTCTGTAATAGGGACTTTATATATGGTGAATATAACTAAGCCAGGGACTAACGACACTAAGAAATAGATGAAAAGACACTAGAAAAACATATTTTGGCGCTTCGCCCACATGTTAATATAATTAACTCATGTTGTTCATTTTAAAGCTTTTGGAAGTATATTTTATTTAAACAGAAGAACAAGTCATGGATATTATGATAATTTAATATATTGTGCACAACCCTTCAACAATTAATAAGTGCTGTTTTTGACTTCAAATCCTGAAAACCGCACTTTTTTTGAAAAAAAATGTCAACAGGGGGGGCTATCTCCCTGTACTCCCCACCCCAGCCCCTCAAAATTAAATTTTGCCCCCCCCTCACAAAAGTGCTAGTTGCGCCACTGCCTAGCTTTGCCTGAAATCCATGTTATGAATTTGATAACCAAGTTAAGAACATTCCCCCAATCAAAGTTTGATGAAAATCGGTCCGTGGGATTCCTGAGTTATGATCGGACATCTAACAAACTGAGATAACTTCTTGATATATATACATGCATATTGTAGGAGATGTTGGCTGTGCTGGCAGCTGTAACAGCGGTTCTTAAAAGTCAAGGAGGGAAAGAAACTGAAACTGAATATTTTGCTGCCCTCATGTCCACACTTGAGGTAGAGTTCTCTTTCTATTTATGGGAAAATAGAAACTGTTTAAGAACGTTTATCCTCTTTCTATTTATGGGAAAATAGAAACTGATTAAGAACGTTTATCCTCTTTCTATTTATGGGAAAATAGAAACTGATTAAGAACGTTTATCCTCTTTCTATTTATGGGAAAATAGAAACTGATTAAGAACGATTATCCTCGTCTAAGGGTAATTACCCTCTACAAGAGAAAATAAGTGAAACTTTGAATAACGTACAGAAATAAAAATGAGTAAATGCTTGCCAGTTGAAATTTATTATTCCTCTTAAAATCGTAATTAATAAAGAGTAATATTAAAAAATATTCACGTCATATAATCGATGTTTGAGAGATTTTCAGGATTTTCTTGTGATTTGATACAAATTATTGTAATATTTTACTTATCCTAGCTCTGGCAACAGAAACGATAATCGTCTCTTAAGTTTATAAGTTTATGTATTAAAATGTATGCAATCTATGTAGGTGAGTAATACCGTAGAAAACCTGAGTGCAGTGGTTCGTCTGCTCTCCCTCGTCATTAAAAAAGTTGCCAAGGAGGTTCTTATTACAAGGTAAATAGCCCTTCCCCCTTTATTCGGATCCTGGGTTCTGGCTCCGTCCGGAAAAAGTTCATGAGGATCGGGGTCCATCCAGCCATAGTCACTTTTCGTTGCAGTAGAAAATTGACTGAAGGAGTAAGATTTGTTTCGTCGATCTCTTATTTGTCGACACTTGCAATTTGGATTTTGCTAAATGCCGATTATAAAACTTTCAATATTTTAAAGAATAATAAAAAGAGTGTTTGCGAAAAGTTTTTATCTTATGGCAGATAACAAATTAAATTCAGTTTTGATAGTTACTAATTTACTTCTGTCTGTTGCGTATAGTATAGAGAATATTGTCAAAACCACCTTATACCCATTATACCCTTATACCCAAGAGAATAGAGTTCATTTAAATTCACGGAGTTGCATTATTCCACCCAAACCAGAAACAAGTCGAATTAAATCTAGCGGCCAAATAATCGTCGTACAAAGTTCATCGTATTTAAAATCTAAAAAAAGATTCTGATATGCCCCAAATTGAATTCAACATTTATGACACTCGCCTACGCTGGCAGACTGCGCCACCACTTGGCAGTGGCACACAGCTTACTTTACGGCAAGGGCCACTCGCGTAAATTGGAAACAATTACAGCTTACAGAAGAGGGGACAGAATGTTTTCTTTTAATATATTTTTTCTTAGTCTCGACCGTTCCTGTAGTTTTCAACTGTATCCAATTTATAAGATTAAAAATTCAAAAATCATAAATCATAAATTGCTAAAAAAAAAGCACGAAATGTGTACACATATTAAAAACCTTGAAGGACACCTTTTAAGTAAAATAAAGGGTTTGAAAAAATTTAAATTTTGAGACAGAATTTAAAAAGATGTACTTGCATAATAACCGTAATCGCAGTTTACACTGTACATATAAAGATTATTGATAGTGAAATAATTATTGTAAATATTTAGGTACAGTCAGGTTTGTGAACTACTGATGGATACTCTAGAGAAGCATGCAGATACACAAAACGTTGCTCTACTCAGGGGGTTACTTGGCTGTATATCAGTAGTGCTTAGGTACCTTACACCAATAAGACTTTAATTATGAGTGAAACTTTTTTTATGCTAAAGCAAGAAAAAAAACTTTCTATAAAGAACAGAAATTAAGAACTTGAGACAGGTTATATAAAGATTAAAGATGCAACTCGAATTGCTGAAAATCTTTTTTTGAAATTTCAGTGAAAGTCCTTGATGCTATTAATTACTGAAATTTACTACAGCATTTCTGGAATATCAAAACCTTAACTTGAAAAATAAAAAGTATGTTATTTTAGAGTTCAGCCCCCAGGAGTTTGGAGTTTACCAGAACTAAACAAAACCTTTCAGAGTCTTTTAACCTACACAACACATACTAAACCCAAAATTAGAAAGGTATGTTCTAATCCACACAATACACACTAAACCTAAAATTAGAAAGGTATGCTCGAACCTAGACAACACATACTAAACCTAAAATTAGAAAGGTATGTTCTAACCTGCACAACACCTACTGAACCTAAATTAAGAAATGTATGTTCTAACCGATACAACACATGCTAAACCTAAAATTAGAAAGGTATGTTCTAACCTACACAACGCATACTAAACCTAAAATTAGGAAGGTATGTTCTAACCCACACAACGCATACTAAACCTAAAATAAATATTATGTTTTAACCTACGTCCTACACAAGACACGCTGAATCTAAATTAGAAAGGTATGTTCTAAGTTCTAAACTACACAACACATGTGGAACCTACAGTTTTAAAGGTATGTTCTAACCTACACAACACATACTGAACGTAAATTATAAATGATGTGCTAACCTACAGTACAGTACACATACTAAACATACTATCAATTTTGACCTGGAAATTATTTTTAAATTTTGATACTTAATAAAAGGGGGGGGGGCACACAGCGTATAATTCTCTGTTAAATAACATAACTTTGCCTTGTCGTAAGAGGCTGATTTTTGCATGCGAACTTGAAATTTTGTTTATTACATGCATTTTTTTGGTTTTAAACGGATCTGAGCAAAAATGCGCGCGCGCGCTTTTTGTGAAAAATGCGACTTTTTTTACAGTAATTCAATCTGAACTTCATTAATTGCACTTGCACATTTATCCTGACACTCTTGAAACACACATGCGCTGAGCAATGAAAGAAAATACTTTTGAATACTTGGGTGCTAAGTTTGACATTACTTAAAAAAAATAGCATGAGATACATTAAATTATTAAAATAGACATTAAAACATTCTGACCGGCGCGCTAGTAGCGAACCTTTACTTAATGAGTAATCTTAGAACAGATTTTACATGTGTATGTCGATTTATAGGTAACTGTTGCTTTTTATCTATTTAAAAAGTTTTTCATACTGTTTCCTGATGCTTAGGCTGGTCATCACGCTGTAATAGCTGTTGTACGAGGAGGAGAAGCTGGTGCTGGTGGTGTGCATCCAGCTGCAGGGGTAGCTGCTCAACATTGTCTAGTTGTCATCAAGAATTCAGGTTAATATTCAGTATTACAAAAATCAAGGGTGTATAATATATTTAATTTAGTATGATTATTTTCCTAATGGAAGGGTGAAGTGATTTTTCAAGAGAAAATATTCATTTTATTACTCCATTTTTAAATGAAATATTTAGAATAGGTTATTGTTTACGCGGTAATTGTACATAAGACACATTTCTTATTCACATGAATTGTTATTATTATAAAGATTTATTCACACACAAAGATATAATTACATATATAAATGGTGTAGTTTAAATTTGTTTAAATAAATTTTTGAAAATACAGGTTTCCAAAAGAAAAGAGAAAAATATGCAATATTTTTCACAAATAGACAACATTGATCATTACTCATTACATAACATATTTATCATTTCAGTTATTTCGTAATCATCGAATCCTTCAACATATAAATTATTCATTCTTGTATTTAAAAGTTCTTGTAAAACCGGAACTTTCCATAACCGTTAGCAAAGCATGTATATTGTATAATCATATGATAGGGCGGGCCGTGTCAGTTGTATCTCTTCTATACCATACCCCTTGGTTATATCTCATTCAATTTTAAGGAATTTTTATGAAATTTTAGAAAAACAATTTTCCTAACAATATTTGAAAAAATTTCATTTAAAAATTTGGTTCGGGGATTTTTTTTCAATGTTTAAAAATATTTTGAGTTTTTTAAAATCACATTTCCCTTCTATTCCATACTCCTTGGATATAACAAAAAAAAACTGCAACATTTTTGAGTGGAAATTTGCAGTACATATTATCAAATTATAACCTTAAAACTGTTATCACTTCAAAAATGCAAATAATAATCTGACATTTTTTTATCTCATTTAGTTTTGATGAATTTTTATGAAATTTTGGAAAATAAGAGAGTAAACATTTTCATAATAAGGGGGGAGGGGCCACACGTATTACTCTCCGGAACATTTTAACACAACTTAGAATTGTCGTAGAAAGCTGATTTTTATTGTAACTGCAAAATTCGGATTTAAAAAATCTGAGCATAAGTGCACGCGCTTTTTTGCAATCTTGACACCATGAAATGAACTTGAATTTGCTTCAAGATGCTTTCAAACATGTAATGCCTAAACAGTTCTGTGCAAAAAAGCCTCTAATCCCCGCGCGCGCGCATTTTAGAAAATGTTAGGCATTCTTCAGTTTTTCAATTTTGGCATTATTCAAAACAATAGTAGCATATGATAAATCGAACAACAGGAAAATTGGAATTAGGAATTCATTTCTATGGTCAAAACAGACATTGGAGTGTTCTGATCGGTGCGCGCTAGTAGCCAGATGTTGCATTATGGGTCATCTTGCCACAAATTTTACATGTTCTATGTCGATAAATAGGTTATCAGGCACGGGGATAATAATTCTTGGGTAAAAAATGTAGTTTGAGCACTCTGATCGGCGCTCTAGTAGCCTGCAATTACATTTTGGTCATGAGCCATGAACAGCCAGGAGCTGCCGGTCATAGTAGCGTTGAATGGAATGTATTGTTTGATTGGATCCTGTCCGCTATTAGGACTGAGTCGTAAAGTCTAGAGTCTATGTACTCTTTAGTCATAGTTTTTATTTGACAAATGCGAAAAAGCTACATTTTCTACCAAAAAGCGCGGGCGCACTTATGCTCGGAATTATTTTAAAACCGAATTTTGCAGTTACAATGCATCATTTTGAGTTCACATGCAAAAAGAAAATCAGCGGTCTACTACAATTCTATGTTACACAGGTTTACTCTGAGTGTGTAAATAAAGAGTATACAAGAATTTTTAAATAAAATTTGTTGTTCAGGTCCCTCTGACAACAGTATTCTTTATATGATGGTTCTGCTAAGAGAACTTTTACCAGCATTGCCCAAGGTATTCAGAAGTTTAATCTGCAAATCGTGTTATTTTGAAGCAGATCCGTCGTATTTTTTTTTGCAAACTTTATGTTTAAACGCGATCTTTTAACAAGAGAATTTTACCAATCGATCATTAAATAATCAAAATAATCAAATTTAGTTATTCGAGTTTTCTATTTTTATTTCCTTATTCTAGGCGCAGACTAAACAATGTTGTGAAACTATTCTCAAACTTCTCACTCTGGGATCTAACATAATTATTTCTACAGGTATAATCTCCCCACGTGCTCTCTCTTCTCTCCCACCCTCGAAAATAAATGAGTCTTGAAATGTTCTTTCCCATCTACCCTCTTCTTACTATCTAAATACCAGGTTTTTGAATTTATGAAGATGTATGAAAATTCCAATTGTATGACACATTTACATCGAGAAATGTAATATATCTTACTTAGTTGACATCTATATATAAATTTAGCTTGTCTGTCTGTTTGTTTGTATCCAATAAACGTTAAAGTAGCTGAACCGATCAGGCCCAAATTTTGTGTGGGACCTCACGTGGCTTTAAATATGTAATCTTAAAATATTTTTATCTTAAATTATTTAATTTTGTAAAATTTTGGAAATTTGCGAAAAAAAGCCACAATTGAAAGTTGAAGTATTATAAATTTGTCATAAGACAATTCTTTTTAAAACCTAAGTCTTTATTTTTCATGCAATTTTTACAATTGTTAAAGATTCAACTATTCATTTTAATTCAAACTATTTCAGGATTTGCTGCTCTGTTTGGTCTATTCTCTGACCGGCCTGGACCAGCAACTCTGCCTACCGACCTGAACGGTCAGCTCATCAGTGCACTGTATGATTACAAACCATCCATCAATGATACAGGTAGACAAATAATCACATTATGAAACAAACAAATGAGCTATCAACCATCATTCCGTATAAGTCAGGAAAAGAAAAAGCATTATCTAAAGTATACGTAAAAATACTAACCAATTAAATTTTTTTATCAGTAAAAAAAAATTACGTTTTTTCAGGACCGATGATTTCTTGGCTCGCGGTTATTCAGGAGGGCATTCTGAACTTGAACCAGCTCAACCCTACCCTAGCTCACTCCCATATTCACAGGTAGTGTGCTCAATTTACCTATGGGATACCAGGTAAGTTTTCTACAAACATAAGAGCGAGTATGAACTCTTTCTCGTCGGCTCACCTCAATTTGCACTGGTTGATATCTTAAATATATTTCAGGTAGGCAGTTTATACAGGACTTAACCGTGAACTGAAACACAATAAATCAGTTCAGGGTTAGTTAAATTCATAATAATAATTAAATTATATCCTTAGTAGGATTAGTTGCTTGAAGATAGGGGTTCTCTGTAGGATAAGCTGGAGAACTTCTCGACTTTGAACACCCTGAACTCACATTAGTTTATAAAGATCCACAGATCTTACACTACAGTTAGAGTCTTAAACTATACTAGCTTAACCCTATCCTAGCCCACTCCCATATTCACAGTTAGAGTCTAAACTATACTAGCTTTACCCTACCCTAGCCCACTCCCATATTTACAGGTAGAGTCTAAACTATACTAGCTTTACCCTACCCTAGCCCAGGTAGAGTCTGAACTATACTAGCTTAACCCTACCCTAGCCTAGCCCACTCCCATATTCACAGGTAGAGTCTAAACTATACTAGCTTAACCCTACCCTAGCCTAGCCCACTCCCATATTTACAGGTAGAGTCTAACCTATACTAGCTTAACTCTACCCTAGCTACTACCCTACCCTACCCTACCCTACCCTAGCCCACTCCCATATTTACAGGTAGAGTCTAACCTATACTAGCTTAACTCTACCCTAGCCCACTCCCATATTTACAGGTAGAGTCTAACCTATACTAGCTTAACCCTATCCTAGCCCATTCCCATATTCACAGGTAGAGTCTAAACTATACTAGCTTAACCCTACCCTAGCCCACTCCCATATTTACAGGTAGAGTATAAACTAAACTAGCTTAACCCTACCCTACCCTAGCCCACTCCCATATTCACAGGTAGAGTCTAAACTATACTACCTTAACCCTACCCCAGCCAACTCCCATATTTACAGGTAGAGTCTAACCTATACTAGCTTAACCCTAGCCTAGCCTTGCCCACTCCCATATTCACAGGTAGAGTCTAACCTATACTAGCTTACCCCACCCTAGTCCACTCCCATATTCACGGGTAGAGTCTAACCTATACTAGCTTAACCCTACCCTAGCCCACTCCCATATTTACAGGTAGAGTTTAACCTATACTAGCTTAACCCTACCCTAGTCCACTCCCATATTCACAGGTAAAGTCTAAACTATACTAGCTTAACCCTACCCTAGACCACTCCCATATTCACAGGTAGAGTCTAAACTATACTAGCTTAACCCTACCCTAGCCCACTCCCATATTCATACAGGTAGAGTCTAAACTATACTAGCTTTACCCTACCCTAGCCCACTCCCATACTCACAGGTAGAGTCTAAACTATACTAGCTTTACCATACCCTAGCTCACTCCTATATTTACAGGTAGAGTCTGAACTATACTAGCTTAACCATACCCTAGCCTAGCCCACTCCCATATTCACAAGTAGAGTCTGAACTATTCTTAACAAGGGTTTATGTTCTTACTTAGAGTTGATTTCTTTTCCTCTCTTAATATAAGTTAGTTGATTTTTCTTCCTTGTTGTTTAGCGCGAGATTTTTTTGGCTGCAGGAGGTGCGCGATTTTTTTTTGGGAAATGAAACTATCGTTTGAAGTAACAGTGCTACAGGAAAATAATAAATTTCTCCCTTTTGATTTTAAAGAAACTTAAAGGGGAGAAAATTCAAGCAAAATTGTATTTTTCCCCTTTTTTAATTTTTAGTTTTGGGGAGGAAAATTCAAACGTAATAGATTATTCTTCCTCTTTTTCTTAATATTATTGACACATTTTTTTTTCTTACTCTCTTTTCAATTTTTTTCGTTAAGCTTTTTTTATTTATCTCCTGTTGGTTCAAATTTTAATTTCAAGAAATACACCCCTGCTATACTAACTTAACCCTACCCTAGCTCACTCCCATATTCATATTAGGTAAACGGTATGCTTGCGTGGAGCGGAATGTTTTTTAAAATTTTTCTGTTTTGCTGAATTGAGGGAAAAATTATTTGTAGGTGAAAATAACTGAATTTTTGTGTACTGATTATTTTTAACTTGCTTATTGATGTTCAATTTTTCATATTTTCCTCAAAGCATCAAAAATCATTAATAAAGAAATATATCTATCTATCTATTATGACATCCCAATAACACGAATGTTACCAGGAAACCACCCCTCCCGGCAACCCTCTGCCTCACTTAGAAGTAAGTGGGTCACAGAGTTAGCATGACATGTGCAATGATACGGGCATTAGCTGAAGCCGTGAAGCCCCAACTACCGTGGCTTGTATCTACAGCCTTAGTTTGTAAGAGAATGTTAGGTTTATCCTTATTTTCCTCCGACTCCTGGCCGAATCATTCAATGTTCTTTTATAACCCAGTAATTCCATACATGAAACCAGATAAAATTTTAAATTCTCAAATATAAATTTCACATTTGAAACCATATATGAAAATTTAAAAAATGAAATCCACAAAGAAACTCAAATTAGGTTCGATTTGTTCAATGATTGGTATATTCATAGAGAACGATTTTTGAACCCCCCCCCCCCTCATATCAATTTTGTACATGGGTCTGACAGGAAGTGTCTTAACTTAACCTAACCCGTGGCCACAGCGCTCGGTCCCCTAGCCCGTCCTAGCCGCAGCGCTCGGCCCAGAAAGTGTCTTAACTAATTAACCCGTGGCCGCAGCGCTCGGCCCCCTAGCCGCAGCGCTCGGCCCAGAAAGTGTCTTAACCTAACCCTAAATAACAAAAAAATAAATAATAATAAATTTGCTGAAAAATAAATGGTCATGTACAAAATTGATAAGAGGGGGAGGGGCCTGGGGGGGGTCCAAAAATCGTTAACTAGGACAGACCCCAATGATTTAAAATGGAGGAGTTAAGGGGTCACAATACGCACTATGATTTCGCGTAAAATTAATTTATTATGTTGAGATTGTATGTAGTTACAATTTGATACCAATTTCTGAACTATCCCTAATTAACTCTACCCCCCCCCCCCCAAAAAAAAAAAAAAAAACATTTAAAATGATGCAACATCTATCTATCTATTATGACTCCCCAATAACTCAAGTGTTACCAGGTAACCATCCCTCCCTGCAACCCAGAGACCCCTTTTGGGGTGTATGGATCACTGAGTTAGCATGACATGTACGTGCATTGTGAACTGATACTGTTTTACCCGAGTTGCACTAGCCGAAGCCGTGAAGCTCCAACTACCGTGGCATGTATCTATATGTTATACGTTGATCAGGTTCTGTTCCGAGGCTGTTTCCTGCTGGCTCTCCTCGAGGCCAGAAGTTGTTAAATCCTCCGGCCTCGCCCTCAAAGCAGTCATCCTCGAGACCATGAAGCCGGTGAATAAGGAGATCTGTGCTAAGGTTAGATTTTGCTGAACACAAATGTAAAATGAGAAATTTAGCTTACTGGTGCTGAATATTTATTCCAAACAGTATTCAAGTGTTAGGACATTTCATGTCCTAACACTGTTTTTGGGACGATTTTTTTCTTGGGGGGGGGGGGGTCTTAACCTTATTGGAGGTTTAACCTGTAAACGCTCTACCACTCCCCTCAAAATGTCCATATGTTGAGTATTTGAATTTACAAGAATCAACACAAGTCAGACTTTTAATAACACTTGTTTGAAAGTTTAAGATCTCGTTTTGTCTAGCTGGTTAGCGAGGTGTCTGCTGGGCTCAAATATCAATATCATACATCTTGGAGTACTGTACTAGTTGTACTTTCCGCCGTAACAGAGGTAAATATTATGCTCTGCTCTCATAATACCTACTCCTTACCCTACTTTCCCCTCTTCTTTACTCTCCTTTCCTTCTCTTTACTTGATTTCTTCTTTTTTTCTCCTCTTTTTTCTCACTCTCTCCCTCCTTTCTTTTCTATCATTTCTATCTTTCCTATCTTCTTTCCCTCTCTCCCTTTTCTTTTCTTTTCTTTTCCATCATGTCTATCTTTTCTCTCTCCTTCCCCTCTCTCTCTCTCTCCCTTTCTTATCCATCATTTCTATCTTTCCCATCTTCTTTCCCTCTCTCCCTTTCTTTTCCATCTTTTCTCTTTCCTTTCCCTCTATCTCTCTTTCTTTTCAATGATTTCTATCTTTTCCCTTTTCTTTCCATCTCTCTCCTTTACATTTCCATGATTTCTATCTTTTTTCTCTTCTTTTCCTCTCTCCCTTACTTATCCATAATTTCTTCCTTTCACTCTGATTTCCCTCTACTTCCTCTTCTATAAATCTCCTTTCTCACTGCTTTCGATCTCTCCTTTTCATATTTTGCTCTCTTCTTTCCCTCAAATTTCCATTTCCTTTTCCGCTCCTTTAGTTTTTTGAAAAATTTTAACAATTATGGCCCTCTTAAATGCATTTTTTAAAGATGGTTGGAGACAGATATCCCGAGCTTCTGTATTCCACCTTAAAACAGTTATCAGAGTTAAGAGCCTCCGACAATATCAACCTCGAGGCCGAGATTGACGGGGTGGTAGGGAAGGCGGTGACCGTGATGGGTCCTCGGCGGGTTCTGCAGGCGATACCGTTAAATATCACAGGTAACGGCGGTTTATAGGTCTCAAACATCCTTTTAGATAAAAGAAATATTTCCTGGTCTGTTTTTCTTCGTTTAATAACTAAGTATTTCCCTCAATGATTTTTCTGTATTTAATGTTCGGAAACTTGTCTGAAATTGCGTAATTCTCGTTTTTCTTTGAATTAATTTTTTTAACCAAAAAATACAAGTGTCAGTGAAATGTCCTGTCCATTTTGAATATTTTTCCTGAGCACTTTGACTCGAAAAATATTTTTCGGTGGGCCGGTAAGGGTGGGGGGGTAATTATAAAAATGAATACTTATTTGATTACTGCTGATTCAATCGCGACAAAAGTTTGCGCGCATTTACAAAGACAATTAATATATTTACTTTTTTTCTAGGAACTGAAAATGATTACGAATTTAAGAGTTCATGGCTTATCCCAGTTCTAAGAGATAATATAAGGAATTTAGATAAAAAATATTAAAATTAATTGTTTTTGATAACCTGAGTTTTTATCTATTTTAATCGATACTTTTATTACTACCAATAATTTTAAATGTAGTGCTTATGAATCCATTTCATTTAATTTTGATGCGCATTCGAATACGGATCCTGGATTGCCTTGAAAAAAATTTATCCGCACCAAGTTCATGATCATTTATTCAAGATTTACTGGTTTTTTAACAGTTAAAAAATTTAAAAAATCTTTATTTTTTGGCCTATTTTTATGCTGAAAGTTTAGTTACTGAACAATTCAGAGATAATGAAGATTTTAATAATTGCTTATTAGTTAACACTTAACAGTTGAGATTTATGTCTTGAGAGCAAAAATTTAAAATTTTTCGGATTTTTGGTCAGTGTTTTGCCCTTTTGCGGATCCAGATTCGAAGCAATGTTTTTATGTAATTTCAAATTAAACCAATTTTAAATTCAGATTAATATCTAAATTGCACAGGAAAACAGAATTGGCGTTTTTCGTTGAATATTTTCTGCCTCTGGCTGGCCGTTGCTTGGAGAGGTCTAAAAAATGCGCGGAGCAGCAGGAAACTATTGGCGCCAAAACATATGAAGTTCTGACTTATCAGGTAAGATAAGATTGGATTAAACCTTTTCGACAAATGCTTGAAGCGTCAACAAAAATCCTGCACGTTTACGTCAAGTTTTAATTTTCTAACCCAAAGTTTTAGAACTTTTTAAAGCCTACGGCCTTGAAATATTTTCGCCCGCATGTTACTCTTAAAATTTTAGACACTTTCTGGCAAGGTCTTTAAAGGTCTTTTTTACCGACAAGACATTTTACTTTTATGCACAAAAACTATTTTATTCTTCTAGATGTGGTCTTTGTTGCCTGGATTTTGCATTGCTCCTACAGACCTTAAAAACAGTTTCAAGAATATTGCCCGGATACTGGGAACGCAGCTAACCGCTAGGTAACTTGTTTACTTCTTACTAATATTGAGAATATATTTCTTTACATAAATTGGCCTCCTTTGAAAAATCATTTTTCTCGGCAAGTTTTAGAGTTATATTCGCTGAATTTGGGAACTAAATATTTTATATACAGGAACATTTGTTATTAGGTCAAAAAGTATCAAAAAAGCTACATAACCTTACGAATTATTAATTAGTTTCACCGATCCCATGGGTAGGGGGAGTGAGTGTTTTAAATTGTATACCCTTTGTGTAGATCTTTATGTCGTCTGTTAAAGATCCAACTTTTTTGATTGTAACATTCACATTGAGATTACTATCAAATGAGTTGTGGGTGACATTAGTTTTTGATTAGATTAAACTCCCATTCCCCTTATTTTATAAAGATACAATTTTTGGCGGTAAACATCTTGTCATTGCTTATGGGAAAGATTTTTTTGAGTAGATTATTTTGTTGAAGTGTATTAACTTTCAAAAAATACTTCGTTCCCTCACGAAATACGTCTTTTAAAAAAGTTTTTATAACAGGAAGGAGATTCGGCTGGATATCCTGACCTCTCTTCGTCATGTGATAGCCTCTAACCTCGAAGACCCGGAGAACCGGGCTGAGCTCTCCAGGTTTGCGAAGAACTTCCTGCCGATCCTTTTCAACTTGTTCACCTCCAGACCTTCGGGATCAGAGGAGGCCGGCCAGAGGCTGGCAGCGTTAGGCACGCTCAAATATCGGCTTTTATATATTTAATAATATCATTTTTTTTACCCGTCCCCACAAAAAATACAGAGCATCTTATTTATCACAACAGATTATTTCCATGGCGTAAGCTGATCAATACTAAAATTGAACCAACCGCCCACTAGTGTTTCATGTGTGTTGATTGACACCATTCAAAATGTATCGAAATCTTCAAAAATCGCCCGTAAAATTCTGATAGGACAAGTGAGAGAAATTACTACAGAGGAAAAAATAAACAACAGGGAATAGACTGAAATTTGTATTGGTATCATTGTGGATCTGTCTTGCCTGTATGGAGAGTCACCCGAAATGACGACCACAGATCCTCAAATGAATACCTCAATGCAAGTTAAGCTTGAAATATCAAAATCTCTCCCCTCCCCTTTTTTTAAAAATCAATACGCACAGAAAAATAAATATGAAAATTGTAAAATATGTTGAAATATGATGTTTGTGTCCGTGAACAGAAACTATCAAATCCTTCCTGAAGATCGCTGATCAGGATCTCCTGTTCAACATGTTCGACAAGGCAATTGAGAAATGCAAAGACACAGACATTGACGCATTCACGAAGGTCAGTTTATAATATCATATTTAGAGTGTAAAATTTTCATTTTTGTTAACATGGTTTTACCCACCTCGGTACAAACATGGAGTTGGCCATTTTTTATTTTTTTTACAGTTATAATGATCTGCATCCATTATGCCCCCCTTGCGACCCCCCGCCGCAGAAAACTTCTTCGAAGTTTTCGAAGGCTGTGTGTAAATTCTGTCACTTTTTCATTGTTATTGATTAAATTAAGCGTCACACATGTATTCCAAAATTTCAAAGCTAATACTTGACTTCAAAAAGAAATCTTAAACAATAAAATATAAAAACCCCAAAGTTTCATGAAAAATAGTAATGAAAATCTTATATTAAGGACCTGGTTATTGACCTTTTTACAGCACCAAAACGCTCTATTCTACTACCAAAATCCTAAAATTTTTCACTGCAAGCCTTGCGACCCCCCGGCGCAGAAAAATTCTGCCACTTTTGCTTTTATCCTGACCTGCCACAAAAAAACCTGGAAGGAACCCTGATTCATTATGTATATGTATGTCTGCACGGAGCGAGACAATTTTTTCAGAATTTTATTTATTCAATTGGGGAAAAATCGAGGTGTTTTTTAGATCAAAATATTTTTTCGGGGAACAGAATTAAAAAAACAAACAATATGCATTACTACCAAATATTCTAGGATGCTGTTCAAGATCTGCTTCGTTGCATGCTATCCCACGTAGACAAGGAAAGAATACAGCTCCTCTATTCAACCTCGTTACAGAATATTACATCCAAAGGTAAATTTCACAGGGCCATTAGTTTGTGATCATTTTGATATTCTTTATGTACATTCGTCGGACAAACATTTTTAGTGTTATTTTTTTATGTACGGAAAGAAAAGATATGACTATTCAGAATCAAAACTAACCATTTAATGAAGCTTACATAATTACTAGAAATATGGGTAGGAAGTGTTCTTCACGCTTATTATCATTTTTATTATATCATATCTGTTCGGTTCCATAGTAGTAAACCTATTGTGTAAGAATTCCCATTATTACACGGTTCAGGCGGAACAATTTTAATATTGATCGCTTCCTAGCGTTTAAGAATGCTTATTCTTACACTGTAGATGCAGAATTTTCATTCTTTAACGCTCAGACCGTGTAAGAATGGAAATTATTACATGGCCAGAGCGTGAAAGAATGTGTATTCTTACACCCTCCGAGCATTAAAGAATGGAAATTATTACACTAGTTGAAGAATATTCATTCTTACACGCTCCATATATTGATCTTTTCAACACAGATCAATATTGATATTAACATAATTATTTTGTACTGACAACATGCATAGGGCAAACTTAACTGTTTCTTTTATTTTAATACATGCAAACTTACCTTTTTATACTTAAAATAACATGCTCACTTACCTTTTTCGTTAATTTTAAGGCATGCAAACTTACCTTTTTTACTTTAGTAAAACATGCTCACTTACCTTTTTATGCTCACTTACCTTTTTCGTTTTTGAAGTATTGATATATCTTAATTCAGGAATTTATATTCAAATCTTAACCTTAAATCTTAACCTTAGTCCTGACGGAAGAGTTGAACCCCCATGTGTTTAATTAGCATTTTCTAACCTTTCCAAAAATAATTAACAATGTACTTAAAACTTTAACCTTCCATTGGACATTTTAATCAAACTACCGAGTCTCAAGGCATACTGCCCGACTGCCTACTTTATTCAATTTGGTTTTTAGTTTTTCTTCATTGCAAACCAAGTTTGGTGAGATTTTGCAAATCTCTGCATATTTGTAATAGTACTGTCATAGCTTGTCATAAATGAAAAGGTTTGTTATGTCTTCACAATTTCAATCAATTGTTTTTTTTTCACTTTATAAAGCTTTAAAGTACCTCAGCCTGAGTCAGTAGTCACCATATCTCGCATAGCTCGAGATGATGAAGTGAAACCACAATCAAAACCAAAAAAGTTAGTTTATAAAAACTTATCATTGGAATACTAGTGTCAGAAATTTTTAGTGGGGTCTTAGCACTCCATACTCCATAGCAATGAAAACAAACCAGTAAATCTTGCTTCATTATTCATGTCGAACTGATTCTTACTAGATAACCTGATTTAGCTCTTCTTTATGGAAGATTTAGGATCTAATATACAGGAAATGATTTCTTCTTTAAATGATTTCACGATTTTGTTCAGTAGATTAACACAACCCACTACAATACCTTCTCCCCATCTAGAAAAAACTCGGGGCACATTCAACATGCTGCATCTAAATCTAGTATTAACTTGAAAAACAAGCAAATTCATTAGAAATTGGTTAACAAACAAACTAAACTAAGGAAACAATCACACAACATGCATTACGTTCAAATTAAGAACCAATTTTTACTTATAAAATGGTTTTTAACGTTTTAACATTAGAAAAATAAAAAAAACAGTGTTAGTCAGAACAAGAGCTTAAAACTAATTTGCAACCTTTCATAATGTGAACTGTTCTAACTTAAAATAGTCGGATTTCACCAAAATTGTTTTTTAACGTATAATTGTTGGGTATGTGCCCATGGAACCTCACAAATATGATATAATAATAATCTTATGAGGATAAAAATGTAATAATCGAATTCTTAAACTCGATGAAATAATCTTGATGCATTCTTTAACTCAGGCCTGCGGCCTTCGTTAAAGAATACATCAAGATTATTTCATCTCGTTTAAGAATTTCCATTATTACATTTTTTTCCTCATAAGATTATCATATTATTTCTAGATCATAAAGAGCAGAAGAAAACCTACAAGATGCTGGAGGAGATTTGTAAATGTGACACAGAGGAGGCCAAACAGTTCTTTGCGTCATCACTTCCAGGTCGGTCTTCTTCTTTCACTCGTACCCTTCATGGGGGGTAATTGATCTTTATGATTAGGCTTGGATTATTCTTAGGACTCCTTGGGGTTTTGTCGCAAAATTGAATAGTTGTTCTTGAGAAATTCATCCACGAAAGGTCTCTTTAAAGCTTGCAAGGGTTTTAGTACAAAAAAGTATTTAATTCTGTTTTAAACCACCGAATCAGTGAGATAATATTTCTAATGTTTCAGAACTGCAGTCTACATTAGTGTCATCCTTGTCTAAAATAAGCCCTTCAAGTCAGTCTCCTAGGCTAAGATGTTTGATCTCAATCATATCAAAACTACAGGTACCTGTACAGAGATTGTTATAAATCAATGTGTGCAGAACTGATGATGGTTTGATTGGCTTATGAGTGATGGGCTGATTTGGGAGTGGGGTTTTAATCGTGTATTCGGATTTGTGTAAAGCATAAAAATGTGAAAAACTATGAGAAAAAATGTTCTGTAAAATCAATTTTAGTTTGACGAATTGACTTTCAAGAAAAAAGTATTTTTTGAAAAACCAGTAGTAGTGACCAGTCACTCTAAGAAGAAATTCCAACCCTACAACTTGGTTGGATCTATTTAACAGGACAGTCTCGTTCGTTATCTTTAAACTCGGTTTTCGTCCGTGCATTATGGACTTAAGAGAAAAAAGTCTTTTCTTAAAGACACTGTAATATCGCATTGTATGATATTCTGGGTAAAGCAAAATTGACCTTCCTTATTGTGTGCATAATTTATTTAGATGTATTATGACTACAACATAGGAACTAGTTTTACAAAAGGGAATTAATTCTAAATTAAGTTTTGGAAATCATGGAGGTCAATGTCATGGATTTTCTTGAAATTTTGCACGTAGCTTGCATATTATCAGAAAACATTTAATTACAAATGTCAGGCTCCTGTGATTTTTATTTGCTAAGTTATGGCCTTCTAAAGTGTCGGCCTCCAGGCAATATTCAGCTCGACCTCGCATACTAATTGGCAATAACATTTTCGTTGATTAAGTCAAGATATAATGGCTCTTTTTTACTTGTTCATTTAAGATTAAATTTTTTAAAAAGATTTTTTATTTTACTTATTTCATGCAATTTTATTGATATTCTTTGACCTTGATTTTTTATGATTTAAAATTCGGTGATGGTGATGGACCAAACCTCTAGAGTTAAAAAGTAGTATAAGTCAATCCTCAAATTTTTGCCAAACCTTTTTTAGAGATTCCTATAATGTATTTAATGATAGTGCTAAGTTTCTTTTTTGGTAATTTACTTGGTGTTGGAGCTAGAGCTCTTTAACCTTGATTTTTGGACGTTTTCCGAAAAAAATCTTTGCAAATACAACTTTTGTAACAAAGCAGAAGACTTTCTTTAAAAAGAATGACGTCTGAAGTAAAATAATTTCAAAAATAGAGTAAAATTATGGATTATAAGGTCGAGCTTCAACAACAAGTAAACGCCAAAAATTTAACTTTTCACAATCAATTAACACATTAGGGAATCTTTAAAATAAGTTTTACGTAAATTGGAGGATGGACCCTTTAAAAAAGTCAAAGTATAAAAAAACAAATAAAATTTTTATACCATAATGCAATAAATAAAATTCAAAAATCAAGATATAATCTGACAAAACAAAAAATGGCGTCAAAGTTAGCTTAATATCTCAATTTACAATTGCCAATTAAAACATGCAAGGTTGTGCCGAAAATCGAGGCCGGAACTTTAGAAATCCATAAATAAACTACCAGAGGTTACTGATTTGATAAAGAATGACCCTAAACTGAATCAAAGAACGTTCGTAAATAAAGGTGGAAATTTTCATGAACAGTGAACGTACTTTGTACATTGTATAGTGTATTGCCGTCGATTTTTGAATTGATTCTATACAGACGATGGAAACCAGAATTACACCTGACTTGAAACTTTTAATTTAGATCATTAAAGAATGATCTCTCATCGGGTTTCGAAATTTAAACCATGTGTGCGTGTATCTTTTCGCAACTAAATTCACTGTATTAATATTGATATTGATGTAGGAGCCCAGCTATGAGTTTGTGTATGCTAGCATCCCGGAATCTGTGCTTTGTATCCGGGCCGTCAATAAGAAGGCCAGGGAGTCTGCTTTCACCCTCCTCATCACTGTAGGGGAGGCGTTAATCAGATGGGAACCAGAGAATAAGGATGCTGCCGTCAGGTAACATGCACAAATTTTGACAACTTTGAGGATTTTTAATCTTAATGCCAATTTTTGACCACTTGCCGCCAAATTCATTTTTTTTTCGTTTTGACTGATTTTATGGGAGGGGGGGGGG